AAGAGAGGCAACTCCATGCTGCTTCTACTAATATATCCACATACTCTCTAAGTCTCTCGGCACAGGTCCGACAGCTTCACCAGGCGATTCTTGAATATATCGACCAAGTTGACAGTTGTTACGATAATAATGCAGAGCAGAAGAGTGCTATGCTTCTTACGCTACTAGAGACGTGGATGTCACTTGACGAAGCGGCGTGTTCCATGTTCCCACTTCTGAATCATTTTCATCCGGCCTTTACTCCACGATTGTTGGAAGTACTTCGATGTCCTCTCCTGTCTGATATCTCGCGAGTTAGGAAAGTGGAGTCGTATATACAAGATCGAGTTTCTAAATCTAACACACGGGCTACGCTCTTTGACGATCCGTGTAAAGGATGCTTCGCGGAAAGGTATTTTGACGAATCTCCCGGTTCTGATGCGCTCACAAACATACTTGCCGAAATACAATCAGACGCCATGGAAAGAAGAGAGGAGAAAGAAAAGGAGTGGAGGAATTTGAGTGCCGAATATGAAAAACTGACAAGAGAATACGAGTCTTCAACATGCCTCTATATCCAATCACAAGATGGCTTCCATTTGGAGCATGAACCTCATTACTGTCCAAAATGTCAACTTGATAAAAGGAGATCTCGCATAGTAATCAAAGCTTTCGAATCGCCATTACCCGAAAACCCTGTCATGGCAAAGGTTGTAGTTTTTGAGCTTAGGTGTCCTGAAGCTCTTGCTCAGTATCGCGACGCCACATGGGCAATCTTGTATCGCATCGCAAAGCAAACACAGGAGTCGGGAGTCGAACCGAAGCTTTGCCTTGAAGATTATTCGGGGCTGCAATCGTATGCAAAGGTTCCCGGACATATAACCCTTGCATCAACGACCAAATCCTGTGAGTTATTGCATACTCCTTCACAAAAGCAATAGCCTACTAACACAATGTAGTTCTGATGACCCATTACAAGGAGAGGAAGAAGTTCCCAGTTGACCTTGATCAAGTTTGCCTTCCAAACGGCCTCAAGCTTGCGTACTTCGACCAGGCTACTCATTCTTGGCCCGGTCGCAGAGAAATTCATACAACCTTCGAGCACCATTGTAAACTAAAATTACCCAAAGACTCGCCATTTTCACCACTTCTAGAGTCCCCAAGCTTTAATGTATATGGTAATGGGCCAACTTCTTATGAGATTGCGGCGTCTCATTCATCCTGTCCTTCTAGCCTAAGTATACACGAGTACATGGCATTCCAATTCCTCCTATCCGGAAAACGTCGTCGGTGGATGACTCTTCTAACAGAACTTGGGTCTTCAAATCTCAACATTTCTACGGAAGCGACTGTTCTCTTATTTGATCACTTAGCACACCAGGTCGGCCCCTCGGACAAGCACCAAACAATTCTTGGAACTGTACACTATATTTTCCGAGATACCTCTTTCTGTGAAAGCCTACTTGGACAGCTCCGAATGAAGTTAGAAGCCATCGCTTCCAATTGGCGTGAAACTCACCTTATGGAGATTGTCATCATGTTGGCGCTGAGACTAGTCGCGTTTACAACACCTTTTACAGATACGAATTATCTGGCGTCCAAAGCGCTATTTCTCCTTTTTGTGCGAGACAAATAACTTTCCAATGGGTTAGAATGCTACGAAAGGAAATGTATTGTGCTAGTGACCTTGGTAACGCACAAAACTGTCAGTCATATCTACTGTGGGCCGCTATCCTCTGCAAGAGAACATTTGCTTTTCTCCAGATGTCAACGACCGAATATCTCAATAAGGACGAACTTTCTATATTTTTAGAATGTAGTGCAACGGTCTATGACAATATTCCGGACAATATTTCTTCTCTTGGGCAAATAATGAAGAACTCATTTGTTCGAGATTTGAGAATGATGTACAAGCTGAAGGACCAAATAAGGAGGTCCATAGAGCTTCATGGAAATGATGCTCTTCTTACCACATTGCAGGTTCTGTGGCCAGCTGCCGAATCAAAGTACATATATAACGTCAGCTTACAAGCCGATAACTGGCTTCAAGTTGAATTAGTTGATCAGCATGGATTTGAAACTGCAAGCTACAACTACCTTTTCGGCATCTTGCTAGTAAATGGCCAACCACTTGGTGTAAGTAACCATGCCACACGTGGATTCAGGATACACCCTACTAACAAGTATGAAATCACAGAGACTCCCAACGGATCCTGAGAGTACCATCATACTCGAGGAACTATTTGGGAGCCAGACTAGTCTCATGAAATACCCATCATCCAGCCCAGGAATGACGCACGGTAAGTATTATTTGGCATATTGTTGTCTTGCGCTTCAATAGTTATTCTAAAGAAATTATGCGGCTAATATTCAACTATGTTCAGTCTTGGCCTTCAAAAAAGAAGGCTACCATACTCATATAGGGTACGACGAAGGAGAGACCATAATCCGTGCCATTAAAGGCGCACAAGTTCTGGAACTCGTTCCGAGAACGATATTTCGCGATGGAAACTCATTCGACCTTTCCCGCACATCTAGTTGATAATTGTATTCATTGGCTGTGAGTTATTACATTGAATTTTCAACTGCGTTCTTTACGATAAAACTGATCAAAACCAGTGACCCGATATCCGGCATCATCGAAATCAGGCCAAAGTCAAAAAACATTTGGCGCTCGCACCCACACAACTGGAGATTGGATGTTACTACTTCGATATGTACACGATTTACACCAAAAAGGAACAAAGAAACTCTGGTGGACCCCTACAGTCCACTGTTCGTGCGTGTGTCGAAGATATTCGCATGGTTCGAGCACGCAATGCATTTAACCATCTATCAACCTGGCGGCGGTCATGCGCTCACCGTAGAAATGCCCCGCATGCAGTTGAAATGGTTTGTAAACAAGAGCAATTCACTACAGTCTTCCCATCTACAGGCCGAAATAGATCCCTACCAATCCATCGACACGTGGTATGGATTCGATAGCAAACTTATTTGTCGCAGCTTGAAGGACCCCCTGGAGCGTTTTGTACTCGTTCCGTTAGGCGTTCTGAGGGCAAGAAAAAGGGGCTGCCATATTCAAGTATGCGTGCAGCTGCACAATATGCCAACAGCCGTATATCTCCGCTTCAAGGTTAACAAAACACTTGGACGTATAGAGTCTGGGGCTGAGCCCGCATTGGTATACAAGAAGGCAGAAATACATGCGCTCACATCTTTCATCCTCCCGGATCCTCTAACAGGTCTAACGGGAGTTGAGAGCGCTCTAGCGATTTTAACTTCTGGGATCTCTCAGCCGTGGTCACCTCTGACGGTCCTCCCAACTAATATTCTACATTCCATTTCGAACCTCTCACCGCATCGAGAATACTACCCTCCAGGTATAAAAGTTATGAAAAAGGAAATGTGGGATCATCATTTACCTACGATGATTCAGCGGGAAGAGTTTCGCATAATTGTTTCCCAGATCATCTCACAGTCCAATAGGCTAGCAGCATTCCACCCTCACAGGACAGAGGATCTTGAAAATCCTGAGATGCCGGAATTGCCTTCATCCGGCGACCATGACTTAAACCTACGTAGTTTGCACCGCCGACGACAGTATGAGAGGCGTTCTAACTATGAATTGCCATTAAATTATCCCGACGATACGGTTTACGAAGCTAGGCATAATCCTCACGCTACAAGTTTGCGTTACTCAAACGTCCTCGAAGCGCTCTATATAATCCGTGACAAACCTGCAACTATGTCCACAGTAGAAGATCTTGCAGTTAATCTATCACAATCACTTCATATCAAGGGTTATAAGCAGATTCTTGAAAAGATAACACTGCAAGAGCGTCTTAGTACTGATGTGCGCCGTGAATGGGGTCCATTAGTTGATGTGGTAAAAGAAACGCGCGACCAGTATAGGCTCATGTTCTTCATAGGCATACTATCATTTCGGTCAGATGCGAATATGCCTCTGATCAGAACTCTCATTGCATTTTCATATTGGGACCAGCTCCAGTCCCTAGATCTGCCGGACCATGCGGAATACCACAGTTTCCGACCGCGTCAAATACCACAGCTTGACGTTTTGGTCAAGCTCATTGAGCCATTTCAAGTGCCGCCGCCAGAGGATCCGCCTTTGATAGAGTTTGCAAGTAGTAAGGATCAAAGGAAGCTCTGGCAAGCTAAAGCTGTCCATGCTCGCAGAGCGAAAGAAGATTGCGAAAAGCTCGCAAAATCTTTGATTTCAAAATGGCCTACTGTAACCCCGAGCGCAAACATCAGCGACGTACATCTAGTGGATATACCCGCGGCTTTAGAAAAATTGAAGCCTGAGTGGGAGAGGCTATACCATAATCACGAGTTCTATAATCACCTCCAAGAAGTTCAAAAGATTTTATGCCAAAAACATTCAGACGCAAGGTTCCAAAGGGCAGACTTTATATCATCTGAGACGGCGTACACTATTCAGCAACCGGGCTACACACTACCTGAACTTGGAACCAATTTAATGAAGATGCCTATTAACAAAGCTAGAGAGTATCCCGAGAACCCTTCTTATGATTTTAAAGGGCATAAAACACAAGTCGAAGCACCTTCTTATGGTCGTCTTCAAGATTTCGGGGTTTCGCGTGAGTTGGATCAAATTATTGGAACCTTTTCCAAATCAAAATCAATCATCCAGCAGAAGTATGCCGGGGATCTAAAAGAAAGTCTAAATGCATTTCTTGCCCGTAGCATACCGACTGCACCACGCTCAGGATCGTTCTTCAAACAATGAGTATACGTTATCTTATCTTCAGGAAAATGTAAAACGATGCCTCGGGGACATTAAGTCTGCTATAGAGCTGCCGAGTGATACCTACTCCAGAAGGCAGATTTGGTGGCTCCAACAGGGGCAATTGTGGCCTGCTATTACTCCGATCACTATACTCGAACAGCTCCGAACGACCACTAAGCGTCTATTTGGAAGTGGCACGAAGGAGTGGATTCTTCACTTTGCCTTATCAATCACAAACTTGCAACGAAAGATGAGAATGCAGTCATATCAGCTTTCGAAAGAAAATGCTCGATACGAAGAAGAGAGACTAAACGTGGGGCATCGTAACTGGCGCGTCGAGGAGTACCCTGACTGGCTCCTGTTGGAGGTTGAGTCTAACCTACTTATTCGTGAAACTCAAGTCGAAGTCGCGTTAGCAATAATCGCACCGGAATCTCAAGCAAATAGTGTTCTTCAGTTGAACATGGGCCAGGGAAAGACATCTTGTATCATCCCGATGGTTGCAGTGCTACTCGCTGATAGCAAGAACCTTGTGCGAGTTTCCGTACCTAAAGCTCTTCTACATCAAACAGCGCAGCTACTCCATGGGCGCTTAGGCGGCCTTGTAGGTAGAGAGATTAGCCACGTACCATTTTCTCGAAAAACGCCAACCAAGGAAGATCACATAAAGCTATTCCATAGGATACATCGCGATATTCAGAGAAAACGTGGAGTGATGCTTTGCCTTCCTGAGCACCAAATGTCATTCATGCTAAGCGGCCTTCAGCGGGTTCTAGATCAGCGGATTCCCGAAGCTAGCATGATGGTTCGCGTGCAAAAGTGGTTACAATCCTGTGCCCGGGACGTACTGGATGAGAGTGACCACACATTAGCGGTAAAGACACAATTAATCTACCCATCTGGGTCGCAAATGTCTGTTGATGGACATCCACATCGTTGGATTGTAGTCGAACAGATCTTGGCTTTGATGGATATGCATCTATACGATCTTGCTACCAGTTTCCCCCAATCAATCGAAGTTGTAAGACGTTCGCACGGGGGTTTCCCTTTTGTTTTCTTCCTCCGGCCAGATGTTGAGGAAGAAATGATCAAGCGGCTCAAAGTCGACGTTTGCCGTGGTACCAGAGGTATTTTACCAATAGACACAATCGACCCGGCTGATCGTCTAGCCATTAAAGAGTTTCTCTCTGGCGGCAAGGTTCGTCCTTCCAGTTTAGATCGCATCAACCGTTTATGCCCAGATCGTCCACATATTCGACAGACAGTGCATCTACTACGAGGGCTTTTTATTCATCGCATTCTAATCATGGCACTCAAAAAACGATACGGAGTCCAATATGGATTACATCCCTCTAGGAAGCCTGTAGCGGTCCCTTTCCACGCAAAGGGGGTTCCAAGCGAGCAATCGGAATTTGGACATGTTGATGTAAGTTGCGCTCACTAATTTCCAGCTACCGTGCTGCTTGAAGATAGATTAGAGCTTCATATAAACCTATTTTATAACTACCTACTAATGTGGTTTAGGTGGCTATCCTATTAACTGCGTTGGCCTTTTATTACAGTGGTATTAATCTATCACAAACCCGCCAAGCTCTGGAGGCCGTCTTGAAATCAGACGATCCCGCTTCTGAATACGATAAATGGACCGAGGATGAGGCTTTCCCTGATTACTTGAGGGACTGGCACTCAATCAACGTTGACGACACTCAGCAGATGAGTCAGATTTGGAGTTGTGTTCGGTTCAAAGTTCCCGTGATCGACTACTTTATGAATAATTTTGTTTTCCCACCGTATGCAAACCAGTTCAGTTCAAGTTCGATTGCAATCCAACGGCTGGGACATACCCCTTTTCTCTCATGCACAATCTGATGTGTCGGTCAAGAATACGTCGCTGAGCAAGTCCCGAGGGCTTACAACTGGATTCTCCGGTAAGCTTCATAAACCTATTATTTCCTCTTTCCCCATTCTGTCAGCTCTACTGAGGTGATATGATATTTCTTTAGGTGCTAATATAATATTCTATACAATAGGCACAAACGACATCAAGTCGCTTCTACCACTTACTATTAAACAAGACGACTTACCCTCATTATCGCATACGAATGCAGAGGTACTCACCTATCTCCTGCAGCCACGGTCAAGGAAGTACGTTGTTATGGCTGATCATAATCAGAAGCGTCTCAGCGAGATCGCATTCTTGCAAATGCTTAGAAAGTTTAATGGCGGTATCCGTATCTTGATCGATTCTGGAGCCCAAATCCTCGAACAATCCAACAAGGAGCTGGCCGAGAATTGGCTCAGAATAGATGGAAGGGCAGCTGCCGCACTCTACTTCGACGGAGATAGCCCATTCATCCTTTCTAAGCAGAATACGAAGACCCCATTACTTGCCTCTCCCTATGCAGATAATCTTCAAGAAGTACTTGTATATCTTGACGAGGTGCGTTTACAAGTATACCGAATATTGAATATATCATCTAAATTCTCTCTCTTCACAGGCTCATACTCGGGGGACCGATCTCAAGTTCGGCCCAAAAGCTTGTGCAGCTCTCACTCTTGGCTTAGGCCAGACGAAAGACCATACGGTGCAAGGTGAGGCCTTTAGAATTATAAGCAATTTAGAAAGTATAACTAATGCAAAATACTTAGCTGCAATGAGATTACGGCAACTCGGAACGACACAGTCTGTTATATTCTTTGCGCCGCCCGAAGTTAACCAGAGTATTCGAGATTTATGTAGCAAAAAAGACGACCACCGAGTAGATTCATACGACGTGTAAGTTCAACCTATTTCCTCGCCACAATAAACCCTAGGCTTGTCGCCCGTATGATTAAGCAGAACTAACTCGGTGGTAGGATCCGCTGGCTCATCAACAATACCTGTGATGGAATCGAACAACTGCAGCCGCTATTCTACTCCCAAGGAACAGATTTCTGTAACCGGATGCAAGCAGCAGAGGATTTTCCAGATTTCCTAGTTAAGGACGAGGATAGGATAGCGTTCATTGATGCTGTTAAACATAAAGAACGGCAAACCCTGCAGCAGCTTTACGGCACTCAATCTAGAGCAAAGGCAAATGTATCGGTGAAAACAAATGCCAAAATTGCAAGCTTCGCTAAGGAACTCGAATCTCGCAAGAAAAACTTCCAGGACACTGGTCAGGCTGTTCGTGCTTCGGCCCTGCAAGAGGTAGAACAGGAGCGAGAGACCGAAAATGAGGTTGAGACGGTGCGCCAAGTCAAAAAGCCCATGTCGTACACAGCTCTCAAATTCCCTGGGCTCCATAGGGACCTAGAGACTTTTGCTAGGACAGCCAGGATTCCTGCCGGGTCGGATACTTTCGTTCATGTCATGCGAGCTCTTACGAGGACTGCGCTTGGTAGGAAACATAAGGTAAACCACGAAGTCAGCTCCTCCCAGCTATTTGTCTCGAGTGAATTTGAACGGACGGTTAAGTTGGTCTTTGAAGCGGCAAACGACAATTTTCTGGTAATATTCCCTTATTCTTTTATTTTACTAATCTTACTAACTCTTGAAAAATAGCGCCCTGTCCAGTGGATTCTTTATGCAACTTCTCCAGAAGCAGCAATTATTGTCACGCCCGAAGAAGCTGAGCATCTGATCCAGATCATCCAAGAAACAGAGAAAGAGAAACAGAGATGCCCAACTCGACTTCTAACATACGCAGCCCCTGTTACTCGACGGATGATGCATTTCAATAAGCTAAGCTTCTATTCTATGCCACCTCTTCCTCCGGACTGGAAGCCCTCAGAATGGATCACTACTGAGCTCGGATTCTTCGCCGGAAGATTATACTTCGAGTTCTCCGAGTACGATAGCATCTGTAGGATGCTGGGCATAGATGTGTCCAAGCCTGGGATTGATGAGTTTGACAGCTCAGAAACGGATACTACTGAGCAGCAGACAAGTTCTACCACTGAGAAGTCGAGTGTAGCGACGTCTCCAAGCTCCAACGAGGTACACAGAGTTATCGAAAGTCCACTAAATGAGAAGCCCCAAAAACCCAAGCGCTTAGATTCAACTCTCACGTCAAAGCCTTACACGTTCACACAGGAATACTTAGCTGTCCGGCGACGCGGGCAGGACTTTACGCATACCCCCATGGGATTCTTGAGCAGCGGGAAGCCATTAACCGAGGATAGTCCTTTCTTCCGTCGTGCGGATACTATCCGACGTAGTCAAGGTTTAGTACCCGTAGGAACAGCCCAGGCCGACGACGAAGAGGGAGATGCAGCGGAAGACATGATGGATCTAGGAAACTACGATCCTTCAGCAGAGGTTCAAGATGATGAAGAGCATATCACGATAGAATACGACGAGTCTGAATTGCACCCTGTAGGCGAAGAGGAAGATGACTCCAGCACCGAGGCTTTGGCTCCTGGAAAGGTTGATAGGCAGCGACCTACTAAGCTGAAGTCCAAACGAGGTGGATTTGCTATGAGTTAGGTTGAAGAAGTTATGATAGGATTTCTTTCTAAGTTTGCTTGGCTTGTTATGTTTGCGTTATGATGATGGAAAAAATAATGTGGCTATTAGCCTGTGTATATGTAGGACTAATTACGTTCTTGTTTCCTTCTCAAATTTACTCGTTGCTACTCGACCTAGTTTCTACGTATTTAATCAACTTCCCGAAGTTTGCGTAGCCTACACGTTCGTTTCTATCTCTCGTACCACATGCAGTGAATCGTCGTTTTACTTACGCAATTTCGAGTCACAACATCCCATATGGGAGGTGATATTATCCGAACTACCAAGGATTACTGAATATCATCTATATTTGACTCGGACAAACCTGGGTACTTGATACAATGAAGGTAACGAAATCATATCTGCGACACACCTTAGGTACTTATCTTGATAGATGCTAATAGATACTTTCTTCAGATCTTCATCTTCCTCCTTGCGCTAAGCGCCTACACGGTCGCCGCGCCACACCGGCCTCATTTCCAGGCAGAAGAATCAACCACCTACAGGCTCGACTGCCACTCTCCAAACACGACGAAGTGGTGCGAGAACAACTACCACGCCGGATGCAATAGCAACGGGACGCTACACACGGATAACGTCTTATATTGCGGCAGTAGAGTGTGTAAATGCGTTCAGTAGGTGATAAGTCCGTAGGAACGCGATTCATTCTGAGGACAGATGGGAGATGCGAGTAGCGATGAGAAGGGGGGGATGTGAAGGAGGAAGTTCGCATCGGATAGGATTTGAATTGCATGATGCATACCGGACTTTACATCTGGGAATAAGTCGCATGCTGATAATGATACACATTTGAAATAAATCTAGGTAATCCGCGGCGCGCAGCCACATATTGATAGTATCGAATTCGGAGACGTCATCGTAGCCAACGCGATGTTTCGGGGTCGCGGTAAAGCCAACATATGGCTCGTCCACGTACCAGTGAGCTTGGGTATTGTGTTTCTTATTCGTGATATATACTAGGTTTCTAGTCCGGGTAGGATTAGGATAGTTACATACCTGTGGTGAGGGCATCAAGGAGCTGGACAGAGTATTTAGGCGCGTGTTGGTCCGTGCTGAACCCATAATAATGTCTGCCCCCGCCGGACGAAGGCCGTACGACAACCGTCTCATCTATCCTAGCAAACAGCCATAGAATGCGCAACTCTAATTACATAGAGTTCTGTTTATCGTAGACTGTCGATCCGGATCGTTCCGCGTATTTCACAGGCTTCAGGACGACGATGTCTAAGACCAGGGTTTTGGCAATTTCCTCCGGTACCGAGTCTACCGAGTCCTAGTAAAGTGCCAGGCTTCGCGACACGTCTGTGCGGCGGCAGACGGATCTATGAATGTCTAGTCCCCGGCCTCCAGAGTGATATCTATTAAAAGATTTAGCATATAAGTAAAATAGGCTCCGCGGAAATATGTAGTCGTGTATGTCTAATCGGATATCCTTCGGTAAGCCTCTGAATAGGAGGGAATACCGCGTCCCGCATTTCCAACCTCCCGCGGATTAGCTGTTTAGAATCAAAATTTCGATCAGCCATTCCTAGAGGCTTTGAAATTTTAAGCATCTAAACTAGATATCAGGTATTCGTAAAGGTGATATCTTCAGGGGTTCGGGGCACGAGTGTGGCGTTGATCTTTAAGCAGTGATAGTTTTAACGCAACTGGGTTTATATTATTGACCGGTGTTTAATATTTTTTCTCTAATATTTACAGAGTCTCCTCAAAATTCACGTCTTAGTAAAATATTCAAGGCAATAGTATAACAAGAATTCTGTATGTAACCAGGAACTTTTAAGCAGTAGGAACCGTGGGTGGCTATCACAGAGACGTGACCTCTTTTGGGACCTCTTACTCGTCCAATTGCAGAGATAGAATTTCAGTGTTTAGTCTTGTATATACACTAGTACTTAGAAACAGCAGGTTACCAATTAGTATAGTCTTTCTCTTTCATCTTAGACCGTTGGATAGCTTAGCATCTCCCAGCCGTACGGCCCTAATCCTTTCGCCTAAACCGACACTGGTCGACTTCGCCGGCGGAAAGTTTCTATTCGTGTCGGAAGTCCATCTACCGGGACGCTCTGGCAGCAATCCGCTCGCCCCGAGCATGGTAGCTGGGTGGATATTAAGCCGGCCAAGCTTGAAGATGTATGTAGTGGTAGCAGTGGTGATCTTCTTTTCCCATAAAGGTCAAATAACCCCCGAGGACGCGAAAATCCAGGGCCTACCATCTCGCTTCCAACCTTCGCTCGCATTTGATATTCTTTGTCGAGTACGTACACGAGTTATCGGAGGCGGTCGAGCTACGATGACTATCAACCTGGTCGGCCCTAAGACAGCCTCCGCCCTCTTGAGCACGCTGCCCAGGGTTGTTGACAGTGGTATAGGGTGGCATAGCACGAGGTCTCGAATTGCTTTTTGAAGGAGAGGTCGGTGTGGGCGTAAGCTTACCGTATCGTTTGTTGCCTTCGGAGGATGTGCAGTTACCGGTCTGCGTACTAATTAACATATTTCGCGATGGTTTTGATGAATGAGACCGCCCAGAGCGCTACATATTGGCTTTTACGCACAATACCTCTGAAGTCGTTGGCTATTGAACGTCTATGGGCCGAAACTAGTCTCTTAGGAGCAAAATCAATGTCCGATACGGTTTCACTTCGGACGCATCTGTGTTACAATATTTAACACATTCAACTGTGTGCTAATATGCGAGATTCGCTTCAGGTAACCCTCAAAGCCGAGCTGCGGCTTTCCTCCTACCTAGGTACCATCTGCATAGTTTCTGATTCGATAAAGCAGGGTTGCTGGGAAGTTGTCAAATGCACCCCCATACCATCCCAAGCACCCCATGCGCCCGAGGAAAGTATAAAGAGAAACATCAAGCCCTACCAGTAGTGTCGAATTCTAGATAAAGCTACGATCCACGAGACTAATACAAGGACCTTTTCAAAGATACATAGGTAGTTTATATAAATACTTCTTATAAACCATATATTCTCGAAGAGATAATTTCGTAGATTACAACTCTGCTGCCGTAGTAAAACGTAGTAGAATTCATAGCAATCCGCCAATCAAAGGCAATAGAGGCCGACAGCCTATTACGACAACAAGCTGTTGCCACGGCAGGATAATGTAGTTGCTACCATGGTCCAAGATAACCAAAATATGATTTATTACCGGCCTTTGTTTTGAGAGCCAATCTCTATTTACCTTCGGTCTTGCTCGACTTACTACAACATCACTATCGCGCTTCCAGTCTGGCTTACTATGACTAGTTATTTCGGGAAATGCTTTATTCACCAACTATTTGGATGCTAATATGAGCTACTTCTACGATGAGTTGCCACTGTTGATATATAACCATCGTTAGTTCCAGACTCATAAGCGTCAAGTCCAATTCTCATACCAACCAGATTGACATCAAATAGTCATCAGAAAGTATCTATTGCTTTGGGGTTTCTCGTTCTCCTAGCAGCTTCAACCTCTGCGAAGCTCGAGAAGCGGCAAGGCGGCTATCCCGATACCTGCGGCGAAGTCAGAGACGACGCAACAATGAACCCTCAATACCTCACGGGAGACTGTGATGACGGCTACGGTTTTACTTACAAAACGCGCCTTGATCTGAACCTGTAAGCACTGCCTTTCTTCCAGCTGTAAACCCGCACCCTAATGCAATATCTCTAGGTGCTACTCCCGAACGAAGATGGCATCATGGTCCCACCGACAGGGGTATTGGGTTGAACACTTCGCAAAGCTACAGCCCCTGGTAGATTGCTTCATCGGCAACGGCTACGAACTCCCTCGAACCTACTACGCCTGTGACTGCATCGGTCCCCATGGTGGGAAGTTTACGCACAGTGGCGTCTATCTGGGTGAGCAAATCCTGCAAATCGTTCCATTCGCGTGAGCGATGACTGACGAGTTTTCGAAACAGATGAACTTATTTATAATGAAAAGGGGTACCTCAAGTGTTTCGATAACATTGGGGAGCTTAGGCCTTTTTAATCAAGGGTGTGGGATTCATGCCATTCCAAACTACTCTATTATTTCCTACCCTTATACCTGAATGTTACTTGCGAGGGGGTTACGTGACTCGTGATAGTATCAAGCCTACTTTCGATGGGATATCCCGTAGAGCTGTCTTGGATGAAGGCTTCAGATGTACACTTGTCTACCTAGATATGTCACAACGTCTAACGTGTATCACGGGTCCAGTAGCTCATAAATCTCGGTCTGTGTATTCATATTGGCCTGATCATTCTGCTTTATTACATTATGTAATTCTTAGCCGGGTGACTACCTAAATAGCCATTTACTCTAATGGATCAATATTAGCAAGCCTTTTCCGCATAAATTCTCTACATAGTTTTGTTAATATCAGAACAAGGTAGTAAAGAAAATATATTGATATAGAGATTGACAAATAAGGGCACCCATGAGCCAATACGTTGGTAAGGTGGCTTAGTAGGTGTGACTTGTTGTTGCTCAACAGGTTTTAACTGTTTATTAACTGTACTGAAACTTTGCCGGATAATTATTTGCTTCTGATTATTCTAGTATCTCTTAGATAATTGGAAATCATATGCCTCGAGTTTAACTCGCTTGCAAAAACTCGACATAACGAGCCTGCCGAAGGGAATTTAGGAGTGACCCCTATGTGTTACTATAGTCGTATAAAAATAACTTCAAGAAATAAACCCCAGTTCCTCGTCCTAAATTATAATATTGTACTACTCTTATCAGTATCATAGGTCATTAGTTGTCACCAAGCTAATGACTCTAGATATAAGTAGGACAGTACTTATCCTTACAAGTAGTACGATATTTTTTCACATCTATCAGCCCGAATTATCTTCGAATAACACTAGGATTCTAAATAAAATCTATTAGACATGTACTAGTTAAATACTTGTTAAAATGAAAATTCGTAGTAAATGTTTTAGAGGATGTTGAGCCTCGCATAGACAATCTTAAATTTTCTCTACACTCAACGCCACGAAGCATCGCGAGGGCTCACTCACACCTGCTGCGCGGCTGGTAATATTGGCGGACGCTTGCCAGTGCGTGACAGCCCCTCGCTGTCGCTGCCACTCGATCTTCTGGTCTCTAAGCAACGAAGTATATCCGGCAAAGTACCGGCCCAGGCAACAAGACATATATATCTGAATAAACTGCAAACGTTCAGCCGACCCCGCAAAAAGGAAGTATCCCTGGGTGACTGGAGGCTAGAGAAAACTGCACCGTGGTGTCATATGCTGGACCGGTATGCCCGTGACTTGACAGTACGACATTTACAAAGTAGTTTTTCGTAGGTTCTGTGTTCAACACACAGGCCGAGCTTTTTTTGCAATTCTTTTTATTTTTTATTTTTTGCTATCCCCCTTTTTTTACATTAGAACTGAGTGCCTCCTCTCTACATTTTATTAATATGCAACTATCCTTACGGCCTAGAATTTAATCAAATATGCAAATGCCTTTCTGTGCAGCGCTATAATATACCAGAAGTCAAATCTGCATTCGCCTCATAGTAAATTCGAATCCCTCCTTAATATATTGTGCGATCTATGGCAAGAAGAATAGGTAAGATTTACGATCGATAGCATATCGACCTTGCCCTAACACTATTGCATACAATTTACAGAGGAGTCATCTTGCTTGCCTACTGTACTATGGATCACCCATGGTAGACAAATCCTTATCTCTTTCTCACGAATTCCGGAAGTCGCGTTGGGATAAGCTGTGACGTGCATTAGAATAACTATGTCCTGAATATGGAAGTAGAGATACGATTGCATATGAACGATGCGGTAGGTACTGGTTAAGCAGAAACACCAACCGCCGTCATTACCAGTCAACCTTTCTTCCACCCTAGATCATCAACACAACTTGGAACAACTGTCATTTTTAATTCCTATTCCAATAATCCACATGCCTACGAGTAATATGTCCGTATAGCATCAATTTTACATCCTAAATTTAACTATACCTTACGCAAACGACTCCTAGCTACACATAATTAACTTTTTATACACGACGCTTCTAAGTAACCATGTCGTCTTCACACGGGAGAAGTATCGAGCAATACTACCTCACCAGGGAGCCCTTCTATAACGGACCCTTGTGGTTAGACGATATGCTGAAATACATGGAAGTCGAGAACGCCACAGAGACGAATGTATGGGAAAGCCTCTTCGTCAACTTGGGGCGCCCGCACCGTCACGTCATATAGCATATCCCTACCCAACTTCGCCTACGTTATCCATTCGGTCACTATGGGCCTTATGCCACAGCCAAGAATGAAACATAGAGACATGATAGTCGACAACTACAAGGCTGCAGGAGGGGACTTGGCTACTTTTCAACGGATAGGCATCAGCTTTATTACCAATACGTCAGCCTATGGTTGTATCGAGGCTGCGTTTGCTGCGAGAGGATTACAATTCCCAGATAAGGGCTGTATGGTAATCAATTTGGTACGCAACCCCTTTTCCTTTCTATAGCTTTTCGTTTCTCATCTAACCTCACGTACCATCGCTAATATTCATCCAGTAAGTACAAAAGCCCGTCTAACTCGCACTCTTACCATATAACCCCTATACGGCCCGTCAGGAGCACTAAGACATAACATAACAGCGAGCCCGACAGTATTGGCTGGTCCAAACTCGTAAACGGAAACCCGTTCCTCGAGGGCCAGCAGAAGATGCTTAGGGAATACGCAGAGAATCACAACACGCGCGGATCAAAAAGGTAACGATTGCCGCAGACGAGAAACCCGGCATGATCGAAATGAACCTCCTATTTATGGTAACACATCTAACACGCGATGGGGAGGTTGCACAGGCGGCACGCAGCAAGAGATACCTTCGCCAGACACTCAGAAAAAGATTCAACCCTGGGATTGGTATATAGGTGATTTAAAAGAGTTAGAGAGCACCGAATAGCTGTTAGATGTAGAGGAGTCGATATGCTTACCATCAGCGTTTATTCTGTAGCGTAGTATCATAGGATAGACAGTATGTGTAATTCGACAATATCCAAGCGAGAATATAATATACGTATATTTTCATGATTCTGTGTTAGATATTTCAGTGAAATTCCTTTAGAATCCCAGAACGACACAAAATTTATCATGTCCAAGATACATATTTGGCTATTTCCCCTATCCAAGAGCAGGTCTAGCTAAAACATCACTGAACTCTACACGAACTTCAAAACTTTACCTCGGAAGCGGCAACGCCTTCTGCAACCTCAAATCCCTCGAACTCGCCCCGACATATGCTGTCTTCGGATACCCAGTGAGACGCCAATCTTCCTCCTCGGAGCTCCAATTGCTCAAGTCACGATAAGTCACATTAAAAACCACCGTCTTCGTCTCTTCCGGCTCGAGGTATATCTCGTCGAAACCGCGTAGCACGACATTTGGTTCCGCCGGACCGCCATGCGAGATGTACTAGCAGACACATTAATTAGATGTAACTATCGACAAGATTATACGGGGATCGATCACTTACAAGCTGTGGGATCTCAGTCCCAGCTACCTCTCCGCTGTTAGTGATATCTGCACTAATAACATAGAGTACCTCGTATAACTCAGGATTTCCACCTGACGGACCTCCCGCCGGCAGGATCGGCTGCGCAGAAGCATTGTGGCCTCCCGGGGGAATCTCAGCGGTTATGTTTGGGATCGTCGGGTTATTGATATACGGATAAATGAACCTCGGTATCTTGGAGAAGCCCTCGGGGGTAATCGCATTCTTCGGGTCTAAATCCAACTCGCCGTACGTTGGTGCCGGGGGCGTGGTTCCATATGCTGGTGTATATACTCCTGGGTCGTGGTGAACTGCTGTCAAATTCGAGTACGTGAAGTTGGTGTAACTAAGTCCGAAGCCGAATTCGAAGCTAGGTTCGATCTCCTCTCGGTCGAAGTATCGGTAATCGATGAAGAGGCCCTCTGCGAAATCCTGCTGTGGCTCCATCGAGGTAGAGTTGAACAGGATAGATACTCCCCAGTCTTTCGCCCCTTTGCCCCAGGTAAAGGGCGTTCGACCCTGCGGGTTAACCTTTCCGTACAACACGTCCGTCAGCGAGTTACCCGACTCCTGACCCGGGAGACCAGCCCATAGGATGGCAGTCACGTTTGGATTCGTCTTGATATGATCGATTAGAACCGGGCCGACACTGTGAATAACAACTACAGTATTAGGGTTAACAGACGAAACTGCTTCAATCAATTCATCGCCACCTTTCCAAAGCGTAAGATTATTACGGTCTCCGAAGTTACCGTCCAACGTCGTATATCCCTCTCCCGAATCAGCATTAGCGAAGACAATCGCAACAGAGGCATTACTTGCAGCCGCTTTGGCAGCATCAAGATCGAAATTCCCCTTTACATTCGTGAATACTGTACCATCGGCCTCCGCCTGCTTCTCAAGCGCGGTGGCCGGCGAGATCAAATAGGGGTATTCGGCCCGTCGCCGAACCCCAGCCCATCGCAAGCGTCCCGTTATTGCAAATCCGGTCTACGCAACCATTCGGCCCATCGGGGTTATCCTGCGCATCTTCCCCAATCACAGCAATACTCTCGGGCTTAACCAAGGGTAAAGCTTTCCCAACATTCTTAAACAGTACCGTCGCCTTTGCGCCCATCTCGCGGATGAGCTCTCCATGGTCGGCCTGCACGTCGACATGATAATTCACCGTCGTGTTTCCCTGCTTCGCAGCCCAATACTGGTAGCCAGTGGTCTCGTTCGTCCAGGAAGAGTAGTTAATATCGACCTGCTTCGTGTCCCGCCCTACCTTGTAGAAAGCAGCCATAATACGAATAACCATGTCGTCGAGTCGCCACTGTGGAACCGCACCGCTAAGCACCGCTTCAGTCAAAGCGCCGCCCCAGTACGATCCGTACGTGCCCGCGCCGAACCCCTCCCCAGGCATCGTCATATCCAAGCCAGCGAGTGCGCTAGCAACACCACTGTGCTGCGCGCCCCAATCGGTAACAACTACATCAAAGTCCAGTTAATCACACGTGTTTCCATAACCTTTAAATTGCCGCTGTTAAACCCCCTTAAAAACTTCCCAAAAGAAGACGACTCACCGAACCCCTGAAACCCAAGCTCGTTCTTCAACAGCTTATTCAACACATACGAGTTCTCGCACGCATAGCTATTATTGATCTGATTATACGAGCACATAACACTGCCCACACCCGCGCGCACCGCGTCCGCGAACGGCCACAGGTACACCTCATGCATAGTCTTATCATCAAGATTAGAGCTGATGCCGCTGCGGAAGTGTTCCTGCTCGTTAAGGACATAGTGCTTGACGCTGGCCACCACGCCCGCGCTCTGCGCCCCGATGATCGTCTCGGCGACTGCTACGCCGGCGAGGTACGGGTCTGGCCCGAAGGCTTCGAAGTTGCGGCCGCCGCGGGGTCTCGGCCTAGAGGGCCGACTACGGGACCTAGGTGAACGTCTAGATGGGGGGGTTTAGAATTAATTTACTTGCTGGTAGTGAGGTGAGAGAGAAATGAGCGCTTACCAACGCCTTTACCGCTGAATTCTTGTCCAATCGCCTCGCCCCGTTTCCGGAGTAAAGATCGCGACCATGTTGCCGCTGCGCTGATGCCAGCCGGAAACACGGAGTTGAGATCGGCTATCGACAATCAGGTCTTCGTTAACACATACTCTCCTAGCCAAAAAATGAAATACGTTTCTTCACGCTCCTTTTATTCGCCTCTTCAGCTAGAGATATATGCCAACTTACTATACCGAACCCCCACCGGTCCATCCTGCAAGCACAGATGGCGAAAATTGAGTCTTGGCACCGACCCCGTATTCCCCGTACATAAATCCGCCTGATTACCAGTCCCGGTCGTCAAGTTAACCTTTTCAAGCAGCGTAAGCTTGCTAACGAACTCCCTAGCCTTCTCGTACGCTTCGTCCCATCCCGGACCACCAGTTCCCCACGGCGAGGGGTACGAAAGCTCGAATGTGGCCTTCTGAGCACCGCCGAGGGTAGCAAGGGAGACAAGAACCGCCGCTGAGATTCGCATCGTGCTTATTTCAAATTTTCTCCTTCTCTATCTACGACCTCAATAAGGGTCTCAAAGGGTATTATGAGGTTCAGAGAATAGTAGAGATGAGGGTAGGGTTGTTATTTCATATTCGAGCTGCCCGCAATCACATCATTCGAATCTATAAGCGGAGCCAATTACCGCATATATATGCCATAGACGCAAGGTCCCGCTGGAGAACAATATACAAATAAACAGAGCAAGCTCTCGGTTCACTTGAACCGAATGTTGTATTGCCTGATTGAGTCGTTCATTTGCGGCAGAATGCAGGAGATCTACCGTCGGAGGATAAAATCAAAGGTTGGAGCATGAGCCGCATCTCCAAATTGACATTTTCTCAGGGTGAGCTATCATACTGTAATAAGATTCAATAAAATAGCAGTAGTAGCTATGAATCCTCAAAATCCACACATCGCCGATGCTTTTGGGAATATCTTTACCAGCCTATTCTCGTAACTCCAACGTACCTGATAACTCAAGTCCAAACCGCAAAGTTAGGATATAGAAAAACATGCAATCTACGAGAACTTGCCCACAACGCTCCCAAAAATCATCTTTCTTTTCTGTTGGCTGACGTACTTACTAACATCATCAGCCCATCTTTGGCTACTATCTGCGGCGGAATCCAGACTGTCGTTCATGAGGTTCAATTTCTCTGTACGCTCATTCAGTTGCCTGGTGAGATAATCGCCCCAACCCTCTTGACTACCGGATCCTGAGCCGGGGCCCGCTCCTAGATCTCGTTCGATCGCCGCCGTTGAAGCGTTCATGCGCTTACTAAGAGGTCGATCGGGGCCACCGATCAAAAGGTCCAGGTCTGCCGGTGTGACATATTGTGTGCCCGAGATCCATTGCACATTTGAAATTGTCGGCCTCGGGGGTATTTCGAGGTTAGGATTTATTAACTGATCAGCCGTATTCTCCAATGGTAAACCTGTACCCCACGCCTGAAGAATTGCAAGTTCGGATGGACTTGTCCAGCAGAATAATCGCCATCCTCCTGTCACTATCGCATCGCTAGATCGGCTACCATCCATCATAGGAAGTTGATAGCTTCCTAGTTCCTTGAGTCCTGGTAGGCTAAAAGCTCTCGTCGTCAGGTCTCCAAATACACCAACCAAGGCCATTCCATGCAATTCGAATTCGGTCACCGCAGCGGCATTGCAAAGGTAGTCGTCGAATGATTTCGAGGCCCCTTTAGCCGTTGCCGGCTTGAAAATCCGAGCTTCGCTTTGCGTAACTAAAATATAATTAGCATTTGTACGAATACTACCCTATATTGGTTAGCTTACCAACTACGAGTAGGCCGTTAACATGTTTTCCTTCTCTGAGCCCAGCGACAGCTTGGCCCGTAGCAAGAGCGGGCTTTCCATCCGCCGCGACGATAGGGCATATAGATACTACCTTGTCGTTTAGGTGTGCAACACCTGCTGGTGTAGCAGTATATCCCGTACTTGACGGTAGTATCTTGAAGGTAATGACCTTTCCTAAGTTTGTGCCAACGAAGCAGCATATGCTGGAATATTTGTCCTCGTCAAGAGTCATAACACCAAATTCAATCACCACGGGCCATTCTTTAGCCATCGACACGCTAGACCGGCCTTTGAAAAATGACGCACGTTTTTCACGTTTAACAAATTCTGTCATCGGCGCTTGGAAGATGACCGTAGGCCCTCGAAGATCAATGATGCTTACGAAGCCATTCTCGGATCCAACAGCAAGGAAACCTGCGTCTGAAGCCTTTATAACGCTGATTGGACCCTGCATCATTTCGTATAATGATAGCGGCTGAAGTCCACTCTTTAGAGACGGCTCAGCTCTGGTGCTAATATTGGTGATGCCGCCAGGGTTTGATTCTATGTGTTGATCGGGAGGTTTCCCAAAATACGGATTACCACCCCATCGGTAGATGACAACTTCACCCTTGCTTGTACCAACAGCGAATTCGCCGGTGGTAGAAGCCATAGTCATAGCCGTAATTTCTACATCCTCGTAGCGGTCAAGAGCTCTAGCGACATCAACTTGAAGCTGGGACGAATTTTCGATCTCGTCACCGTGGCCCACGTCCCAAATTCGTACCGTGCTATCTGCGTGTGCAACTTGAATGATAGTTCGCCCCTCGAAACGCCGGCGTGGTCGTGGTGCCTCGGCACCTCCTTTCAACAATGGCTCACCCTGGTTCCTACTTTCGACCATTCCAAGCCACCTCCCTCGATCGAGTATAGTAACTCCAAACTTCGTCGCGAATGGGTGGGCAAACGATACGGACGGATGAAGCTGATTTGTTGGGGAAATAGGATAGCCACTCGGGAAACTCAACGTGAGGATTTCTCCCGATGAGAGTAGAGTCATGATAGCAATAGGGTCCTGAGCACCGGCAAAATGAGGTGACAGGCGTTGAATCAAAAAGAAATTTGCAATTCCAACTCCAGCCGGCGTCTGTATAGTATCATGGTGCTTACCTTTCAGGTAATCTGACAGGATCTGCCACGACGAAGTTGCATAATTAGGCGTAATTCCAAGGTCGATAAAAGTTAGACCATTTGAGGATTCATCCAGCTTCCGGCCACCTGCGATGAGCAAGCCGCTGTCTTCTGGATTCTGCTTGCAGCACCAAGCAATGCGAGTGTACGGGTGCTTGGGGCTTGAGGAGCCTGGATTTGGCACAGGTTGGTTGATATTGATATCATAGAGAGTCCGCGCCAATACCACGCGCCCATCTCTCGGATCCCAGAATACCAAGCTTCCATCATCATGGGCAGTCAGTATAAACGTTCCAGTAGGATGCCATAACGCATCGGTAACCTTTGGTTTCCTCGTAGATTCGACAGCCTGACTTGACCCTCCGGGAGCTCCTGGGGGTAGCTGATACTCAAAGAATTTGGTCGGAATGTTCTGCTTGAACGAGTAGACCACTATACCATGCGTGTAAGCAATTAACAGCTTACCTATGTCGCGCGGGTGCAGCTGCATGGAGACTAGAGCCACCGCCCTAGCTCTAGGATCGTTTTCAGTCCATAGGTTAGGAATTCGAAACGGTGCCATACGTTGTCGGTCAATATCATATGTATGTACCTCCCCCGTTTGCGTGCCTAGAAAACACCAATCCAATACGGGGTCAGTAATCATACAAGAGACAATTCCAGGCACACGAAAGCCAACGATCTTCTTGCCAGTATCTAGATCCCATATGACAACCTCGCTTTTTAGTGTCTAGGCTCACCAAGCGATTATTGGTGAATTGGATATCTGAAAAGGAACATGATCTTGATGGAACAAGAAGTTTCTGAACACGGCTTTGGCCGAAGACGTATATCTTCCCACTACCATATTTAGACTCATTCGTTCCAATGGCAAGAAGAGATTGGATAGGTTCATAGGCGATGCAACTAAATGAATGGAATGAATATAGTTAGCCAACCTCAGTATCTATAAGATATAGTAGTATGAATGACATTATGATGACGAAAAGCAGCGTAAGAATTGATGGCGTACCTGATCTGAGAATTAATACCGTAACGCGCGCGATCGTCGGGTATGAAAGAGCCTGGGATGATGTTAGCAGACAGGTCATTTTGCATACCTGCCTGTCGTCCTCGAAGAAAAGAGGCCATTATTTTTTTGATAGAAATAATGAACCAGACTATAATTTAGAATAGTCTTCTTATATCTATCGCCTATCCCAAATTCCTCTAGTTAGAAGTAATTAGAAAAGATAGGAGAGGAAGTTTGTCTGCTAATAAGAAACATACGTCATTGGTGTTTTACATAATGACACCCGGCTGCCCGGCACAAAGCCCCACATAAACTGAAGAGATGAGATCCGGCCACGTGATTCAAGTCACCTTCCACGTGCTTTACCTTGACTTGGCACTTCTTAATTATCATCTCGTCTACAACTTACATACATATAAGTAATATCTCCAACTAATATCTCCAATCAGATCAAATGCTCATCTCTTATTCACTTTATACTAGGAAAAGAAGTAGATACCATCACTACTACTTCCATACTTTCCAGTCTCAAGGCATCACCACAAATAATAGCTACAATCAAAACACCAACTCAGACTTGCCGTATAGTTAACCTAAAAAGTCAATCTTACCAGATATTATTTCCCCTTTTCAAAATAAACTCCCACCGATATAACCGAAGCCACAACTAAGTGATAGTTGAAGCTGTTTGGCCTTGTAGATCCCCCGAACTAGCCTGCTATACAGCCTAGAGCATCAACCGAGTTTGATGCTTTGCAGCCCTCCTTGGTTCTGCTCCCAGATGGCTTTAGGTACTCGCCCCACAGCCTTTCTTTCCATGAAATCGCCTCTCCTTTCGACCCAGAGCACGTTGTAGAAATCATAATTCTCGTGCTGCCACTCTTCTGGTAGGCCGCGGTGAAATAAACCAGAACAACTCATGCCACTAAGAAAGAATGGCCCCTGATCCCGTCCGCCGCCAGCCTCTTTCTCCATACTCTTATAACACTCAGATCTCGAATCTCTATGGCAATGCACTGGTAAATCGTTAGCACTAGATTTTTTCCGAGGTATCATTCTTTCTCACATATCTTCTGCTGGGAATTTTCAATCGACGCGAAATAGTAGTCAGCATAATTATTGCCCCTAAACTTGTAGCAGGCCAGTCTATCGACTGTCTCCTCGTACGCCGAAGCAGCTTCCATACGACTTGTACTACCTCTCGAGATAGCTACGACTTCAACTGTTTTATAGGTCTTAATACTTTCATTGTCGTCCATTACCCTGAGCAACCCAGCCCAGCGCCCCTGTTTATCTTCGAGGGTTATCACGGAACAACACATCTCCAAATCAGGCTTATTCTTGTATAGTTCCGTGTCTAGAACGGAGGTAAAAATCCTACCACTCCTCCCTCTCATCCGACCCTCCTTCTGGTAAGGATACAGAACTCTCCGGACGTTGAAGTTAGCTGTAGATGTCGTGCAGGAGAGGAAGCGTTTATACCCTTGCCCCCCAACGGTTAATGGAACATGTGTCATTGGTAAAGGGTAGCGAAAGACAGACTTGGCGTCTGGATTATAGGAGTACCAGTCATTTGGCCGGTTTGCGGACGTATGCGGCTTTGCTCCTTTCGCAGAATCCGTGTCTTCTGTCCTATGAGACCATCCATCAGGCAAGTTTTCATCGGAAGGGTTATCCTGCAACCCTTTATATTTCTCTAGTATTCCCGGTTCTAATATCTTGAATTCATCATCCACGGTGGTCGAACCAATCCAATCAACAAGCTTTCTAGTCCTCCACGAATCCATGGGGTTTCCCCAACCTCCCCTTGATGCACGATCTCGGACCTCGTAATCTAAACCACTCTCCAGGCTTGCCGGGTCAATTAGGCATTGCCACCCGGCCCAAGACCAGGACGGCAGCGCCGGGGACGATTCAGGTTTCTCATCAGAACAAACCCGTCTCTTCGCCTTAAAAAGTGGCTGCCAAAGAAGGGCAGAATCGAGAAAAATAGCCGGCAGTCCACTAATAAAGCCGCCCGAAAACCCGCGTGTCAAGGCATCAAGCACGCCAGAAATGGCAGTGCATCCTGGGCATATGTGAGATCGCGATAATTATACCGACATATCAGCTCTATGTAAAGCCTAAAGTCGGGCGTAGACAATACCGTAAGGTTTTGTGATAATTGTCTATTTTCATCATAGATCCTTGTTTCAATGCCGTCTGTTTTGCTTTGAGATATAAATCTTGAATGCCTATTGTCCCCCTTTGGCGTATTTTGTTCGCTATCGCCTGTTTCCTGGTTGGTGATCAAGGACTCAGACCACCAAACAGCGTCCTGACAATTCCAGAATGCCGTTTCATCAAGAAAAACAAAAGACCGCATGGAAAGCATTTGTTCCTGGAACGTCCATCCACGTGTGGCCCAATGTGTTGTGAGCAGTGCGCCATGAAGGCTACCCGCATCAGGAACGCCTTTGTCATTTTTAACTCTCTCAATATCAGCTCCTGACCCGTACAACCCCGGTGATCCTGCTGCTGCTATGATCGTGAAATAGGCTCCAGAGTATATGTCCCTCATCGATAGGACATTATCACCGGTGGTCTTGTCGTTTTGGGGAATGCAGAGACAATCAACCCAGAGATACCGCACGCCGGATTGTTGCACGAAGAGCATCGAGTCCTGGATCACTTCAGGTAATTTTTCAGCGACCCCAGGCTCGGAAGATAGAAATCCAGGCTTTCTGAAATCATCCAACTTGTCCCATTGGAGCATCAACCTCTGTGTAGGTTCCTGGTTGCTGCTGGCATCCAATGGAGACCTCCAGACATAGCTAAGAGCTACATATTTGTCAACCGAATCACCCGGCACGAGGCAGTTTTCTTCGGTGTCGATAATCCAGAAGTTTGGTATGTGTTTTGGTAACGTAACTTCACATTTGCTGCCGTGGAGTTCTTTACATTTCTGGAGTGCGTTTCGTAGCGAAGACACGAGGTCTGCAGTCGATAGGCGTCCAACTGCCATTCTTCCCTGCCCCACGCAGCTCAGGAGAATGGCTTCTCAACTAAATAAACGATACGCGATATATCGAATAATATCTAGCGGAGGATATTGATCCCGTATCTAGCTGTATTTCAGAAGCGAGATACTAAATTTCAAAGTCGGAATTACACAGATTGATGCCTGACATGTCCCAGTAAGACTTTTCTAGAGAACATACGTTTGCACGAAAATTTCAAGCTCCTGGTGTCACGACTGAAAGAAAATAAGCCACCGCCACTTCATTCATGCCCTGTTTATGCCCTGCTTATGCAGATGGCACACATTAGGTAGTTAAGCAGGATATATGTCTTAAGTATCAACTACCAAGATCTATGCGATTATAACAATATGTTGACTGAGGTTTTAAGTTCAAGTTATAATAAATGTATATATCAGAAATCACTATATATAAAGTATAATATAAAAAACTAAGCCAACCAATCATGTTAGAAGAGGGGTTATCCTCACGATACGAGTAATGGAAACAAATGTATAACACTCGCGAAGACTTAAGAGCTCGGTCTACTCCAAATATCACATATCACTTTGCTTACTATATTTAAATATTCCGAGTCATTGACTCGATTCAAATATCATACTTCTGGTCAACCAGTATTTTGAATTTCAAAAGCCTACAATACATAGGCTACATATGTCCCTAGCTAAGACTAGCAATGATATAACCCATAGCCCTTGTCAAATTGTATATTACAAATGCACCCCTTTAAAATATGTGGCAGCTGTCAGATTTGCACATTGTTCGGCTAATTCATCCCATGATAAAAGGTATACATGTAGATACATTAAGGGGTAGGTACCTAACCTATGTATCAAAATTCACATATTGGCACTTGCAGCATCACGTCGCGGGGTGACCATCTTCATCTTTTTGCAGTAGGGTCCGTACTTTCCACCTCTTTCTACCTCTTTTCTTTTTATGCAGTCCACGTCAGCTGGATTGTTAATTCTGCTGGAGCTTTGATCATTCCCCAACAAGATAAGAAAGTTACGAGTCAATGTAGCTTTAGACATATCACATTCACGTTCGCGCGTTCACGCAGGCATCCACCGTTAAATTCCTTGCGTGAACGCCGTCGCGCCTTCATTTTCTTCTCATCTACAACTTCAACTTCGAATCGTTGTCGACGCCAGAATCTCTTCACTCGTAGATGTCGCGTCCCTTCGTTGAAATGCCCCTCTGTCCTTCAGACGATCAAGGCAAGTTAATCCACCCTATTCTTAGAGGTATCTTCATGGTCTAATGAAAGCAGATTCGGACTTTGATAACTTGTCCGACACTATGTCGTCCCCTGGTGCTCTCAAACATGCACACTCCGAGGTAAGCCTTTCTGTTTTTCCTTCTTTCTTCCTTCATCCTCTCTATCCATCTCAAAAGCTATGCATGCTAAATAATTCCAGTCTGGCGACGAGGCCTCCCCAGCGAAGCCCGCCAAGGTCAAAAAGACAGACCGAGAGAAGCACATCGATCTACAAGATGAACTTCGTATAGTTGGTGGCGGACTGAAGGTTGCCGCTGCTGGTATACTGGAGGTCGAGAAATGTGCGACGATATGAGGGATTATTTGAAAAAATTCCGAGTCGAGACCAAAACGGCCACCCAGAAGCTCTCGGAGTGTAACTGGGCTCTCTATGTCTCTACCCAAGTCAACGAGAAGCTGGCGAGAGAGAACGCCGTTCTACAAGAACACATCGGCATGCTAGAAGCCAGACTCAGTGAGAAGGAGGACTAGGAGTTCTGCCCACGACGTCATACCATCCTACGCCTTAAGCGCTGGATCAAGATCAAGATGATGAAGATGACGCTGTCTGGAACAAAAGCTTGATCGAATTCGGAGGGATAAAGAATACTTGACTTAATAGTTCAGGGGTGTAAGGATGGAGTTGAGTACTTTGTCAATCAGAGCTTTGCTATGGCATCACAATCTTTGTAAAGGAGACGCTCCTATTATTCACTCGTTGATTTCAAACGGACCAATAGGTTCCCCTGCAAGTTTAGGTAGTCGCCTACAATTAGTCACAATTGACTTGTTATATTAACTTCCAAGGTTCGTCTAACTTTGATATACTCGTTTCAGCCGCGATATCAAAATATCATAGACTCAACTCAAACCCCATATCGTGAGCAAACAAGTCTACTAGACTAGATGGGCTCTAGTTTTTTATGCCTTCCCTGACCAAGTTCGAGCATGATCCATTCGTAAACGGCCCATTGGACCGCGTTAACAATGAAGGCCCTAACACTACATACAGTTAACCCTCTAAAGAACACTCGCATGCCTTCTTCTTTATATGCGGCTTTGGCAACCTCAATTGCTCCTAGGCGCTTCTGGGTTGACGGAGGGGAGTTAAGCAGTGGCATTTTTGCAGCATCAGAAGTTTGTGCCTGAACTCTGGTCTTAATGACATCAAGAGGAAAGATGCTAACCCAGGTGACAATGCCAGCCAGACCGCCACAAAGCAAGACCTTTGCTGCATCTTGTGAGAAGTCGGGGGCGCCCCGTCGGTTGGACTCAACCCACTTACTACTCAGTTCGTAGGACCAGAAATAGAATCCATATCCAATACTATCTCTCAGCGCTGTGACAACACCGCCAAAATATAACCCCTTAATACCCTCGGTCTTGAATACCTGTTTTGCAATGCTCCAGCTCGACGCTGGAGGCGATGACAACTGAGCACGGCACTTGATCAGCTCAGTTGGGGTGCTTACAGCCCAAGTTGCTAGGCCACCAACAGCACCAGCAAACCACGTAGTCCAGAGGTTTGACTGGCAGTTCAGGGCAGTATTGATAGCGGCTTCGCTGCGGTTATACGAGACGAAGAGGAGAGCGTTTAGAGCGCCATAGCCGAGTACAGGTGCAGCAGTTCCGGCTAGTAGAGCAGACTTGCTTTCGAACTGCCGTGCATATGATGTGACCGTTTGAGTAGGTATGCCATCGCGCGCTTGCAGCCGCACCTTAATAAGGTCCAGGGGGTTTCCGATTAAGATACCAACAGCTCCGCTGATATAGCCAGCCCAGAAGTCTGCAGACATAGCTAGAACACTTGATCTTATGAGACCACGACTAGTTTCTCATGAAGATTCGAAGTTTTAAATTATAAGTCTCGGAGACAAGAGCCTATTATCTCATTCTTGTCACTTCTTAACCATGTACAATTTCATGGATATGGAGTGACATGGGGACTTGAGGGTTAAAGGTCCTTATCGAAAAAGTAAAAAAGAAAAGTACAATTCATGTTATATCTCTACTGAATATAATAGCGCATTAAGGACTTAGATTTGATAAGCCTACCAAGTGAGATCAGTAAGTGAGATGAATATACCAAATAGAAACCCCGCTATTAAGGAACAGTCAACCCTAGAGTTGATCAAGCGCCAACGCGGGGCGGCGGATAACTTTAAAAACATAGTGGAGCTGATTTTTAAACCATCTAAAGAAAAAGTAGCCTTGAATATAAGACAACCTCTTAAAAATATTTGCAGAATAAATAGGATGAATTGGTATAAGAATAGGAAATTTTGTATGTATATGACAATTACAAGTTACATAAGAGAAGAGCTACTAAAAAGAGATGGCAATATGGAGAATTCAATTAATAGAGTATGTGGGGCAGACGAACTAGTCATGTGATTTGGTGTTAGTTCCCCGCCAGTTCCGGTGAAGGCGCGACGCGCTTGCCTGAAGTCAACAAAATGCCTAATTGATTTCTAATAAGTCGCCGTCAAGTGGCAAACTCCAATTCTATACATCATTTAATTCGCTACTGTATACCTCAAAATATATCTCACTTTCTTGCAGAGTAACTGCTAGGTGTGAGGAGGAGAAAATGTATATTCAATTATGCTCTTCTAATACAATTGATCAACTACTAATATTATATATAGGGCGAGTGCACCCACTACTCCGCTGGTAAAGCCGAACAACACCCCGGGGAAACGCCTCCATTCGCAACAATCAAAAGACCAGCTATTTAAACCGTTCAGATGTCCTGGTGCTGCTCTTAGTTCCCCAGCTATCGATCGCCCAGTTCGGAAAAAGAGGAAGGTTGATTATAAAGGTGCTGATGGCGATGACTCGGGAGACAAGCCTTATACAAACGCCGATAGATTAGCTCTGGCAAATCGAGATGTCAACCGCTTCCCCGTCTTCCAACCTAAGGATAAAGACAAGGTCTTTAGGAAGGCTTTTAGCATACCTCTAATCAACAAGAACAACGGTTCCTATAACCCCAATCGTGCTCCGCCAACACTCGGCTTAAGACAGGGAGCTGTTTTTGTCGCCAAGCCTTTACACGATCCGACTGGCGAGTTTGCTATTGTGCTCCACGATCCGACTGTCGACGATAAGCCGAAGGTGACTAGCAAATCAGAAGGTGATGAACCCAAGGATGCAACTCAAGAAAAGCTTGATGCACCCTTGGTTCACAAGAGTCTAGCTGAGATTCTAGGCATCAAGAAGAAAGTCGACAATGAGCATCCTAGAGTGCCTGTCGTCATCGACCCGAGACTCGCCAAAGTGCTACGACCACATCAGATCGAGGGTGTCAAGTTTATGTATAAATGTGTCACTGGCATGATCGACGAGAAGGCCAATGGCTGCATTATGGCTGACGAAATGGGTCTCGGAAAGACGCTTCAATGTATCACACTTCTCTGGACTCTCCTGAAGCAATCACCCGACGCCGGTAAGACGTCGATACAGAAGGCTATTGTCGCCTGCCCATCTAGTTTAGTCCGCAATTGGGCAAACGAGCTTACCAAGTGGCTTGGCGCCGACGCCATCACCCCTTTTGCGATTGACGGCAAGGCTTCGAAAGAGGAATTAACTAGACAGCTTCGTCAATGGGCCATTTCAAGCGGTCGCGCAGTTACGCGACCAGTAATCATAGTTTCTTACGAGACACTTCGGCTGAATGTTGAGGAGCTTAAGAATACTCAAATCGGTCTGATGTTGTGCGATGAAGGCCATCGATTGAAGAACGGAGACAGTCAAACGTTCACGGCTCTAAACAATCTCAAAGTCACGAGGAGAGTCATCCTTTCTGGTACACCTATTCAAAACGATCTTTCCGAGTATTTCTCTCTGATCAGCTTCGCAAATCCCGGTTTGCTTGGTAATCGACTGGAATTCCGAAAGAGATTCGAGCTTCCTATTCTACGAGGCCGCGATGCTGATGCAAGCGAGCATGATCGTAAGAGAGGTGACGAGTGTCTGGGCGAGTTACTTGGCATCGTCAACAAGTTTATTATCCGACGAACGAACGATATTCTATCCAAGTATCTCCCCGTCAAATACGAGCACGTCGTATTCTGCAATCTTGCTCCATTCCAACTAGATTTATATAACTACTTCATCAAGAGTCCAGATATCCAAGCTCTCTTGCGTGGCAAGGGAAGTCAACCCCTCAAGGCTATCACCCTCCTCAAAAGCTTTGCAATCACCCAGACCTACTCAATTTATCAGAAGACTTACCAGGGTGTGAGAAGTTCTGGCCCGAGGACTATGCGCCAAAAGATGCACGCGGCCGCGATCGAGACATTAAACCATGGTACTCGGGGAAGATGCAAGTGCTTGACCGTATGCTGGCGCGTATCCGACAAGACACGAATGACAAGATCGTCTTAATCAGCAATTACACGCAGACCCTTGATCTCTTCTCCCAACTCTGCCGACACCGCGGATATGGCCATCTACGCCTCGATGGTACCATGAATGTCAGCAAGCGACAGAAGCTTGTCGATAAGTTTAATGATCCAGACGGAGGCGAGTTTGTGTTCCTGCTATCCAGCAAGGCTGGTGGTTGCGGTCTCAACCTTATCGGCGCCAACCGTCTCGTCTTATTTGATCCCGACTGGAACCCCGCCGCCGACCAGCAAGCGCTAGCCCGTGTATGGCGTGACGGGCAGAAGAAGGACTGTTTCGTGTACCGGTTCATCGCGACCGGAACTATCGAAGAGAAGATCTTCCAGCGCCAGAGCCACAAGCAATCCTTGTCGTCGTGCGTCGTTGACTCGGCTGAAGATGTAGAACGCCACTTCTCGTTGGACAGTCTACGTGAGCTGTTCCAGTACAGACCAGATACACGAAGTGATACGCACGATACATTCAAGTGTAAGAGGTGCAAACCCGATGGACGGCAGTATATCAAGGCACCGGCGCTATTGTATGGAGACACGAGTACCTGGAATCATTTCTCCAATAAGGATCTCAAGCCTATACAGGATTTGCTGCTGCGCCAGGAGTGTGGGGAGAACGAGGTTTCGGCTGTGTTCCAGTATATCTCGCATTAAGGTGGCTGTTAGAAAGGAGGAAGGAGGGATTTGCGAGGCGCTGTTTTGGCATGATAGAATGGCGCTGGAGGATTGGTCTGTGGCATTTGCAATGGTATGGCGTTAGGGCATGGCGTCGTCGCTTCGTAGATTTGCTTGCTGCATGGCGATATAGTGTATCATGAGGCTTTACGAGAGTACTTAATGAGAGTATGGTGTGACGGATATTTGAACTCATTTGTTAGTTCGTGTGTATAAGTTTACTTCTACCGCTCCTATAAAATTGTGACACTCCTGGGGCTAACAAGGTATCTATAAGACTATTGCCTCACACATAGCAATCTGCAGGGCTAACACTCCTAAATCATACGCATCATTACTGTCTTCACTTATACTCTAGCGTCTCCGGGCTATGTGCAACATCATGGCCGTGCTGATCCTTGAAGAGGACTTGTGAAACATTAGCTTCCCTTCGACCTTCTGTGCGCTTGATCCCACTCCTGCTCTTTTCCTCTCAAAATCATAACTCACTATCCTCTTTATGATATGTAAAGAACTGAGTTGAAGCTTTAGGTACCTTTGGCGGATTCTTAACTCCCACATCCTGCGCCTCGGCCTCGGATTCAACGACCCGGTCGACTTCCCCCTCACGCCGGACACTGCGCGCTTTAATCCACACCGTGTCGCCTTCTGGATGGGCTAGTCTTGCTTGTCTTTGACTTGGGTGGAGGATATTGTAGATCTAGTTGATGGATTGGTTTTCTTACTATTACCTGTGTGTGTGTGTGTGTGTGTGTGTTTGTTTGATGGAACGACAATTCAAGAGAGTTAAGCCTAAGTAACCATGTGGTTGACAACGCCAGCATTTTTGATATATAGAGGGTTGGTGCAAATGAGAGGTATAACAGGTACCTAAGGTAACTAGGTGATGACCTTGTCGATCTTTAAGTAAAAACTGAAAGATATCGCGGGATGCTTAATGTCAAGTTTAGGGCCTCATACTACAATGTACAATTCGGTACTGGTCTCAACGGTATCATGTTATTAATTCTAAAGTAGCAAATCTGTTATAGTCGTTAAGTTAAGTCTTCAATCAAGTAGATAAACTGTAAATAGAAGGGACAGTACCTTGGTTAACCATCAAGTTTAGAAAGTAATTTTGATAAATTTGCTTAACTATGAAGGGTTTCTTACCATTTCATTGACTTTGCCTCTATCCCATCTAACTATTTTTGCTATTACAAAGGTGATCTACATAGTTACCTGATAGAGCATTCCAATTCATCATGCATCTATATGTTTCTGAGGCCAAGAGTCTTTATAGGAAGACGTAGTTTTAGGAACATAAGACGAAACTACGGTATCTTGGTTAAATTACCATCGTATTTGTCGATACGTTTTATAAATCACCTCTAGACTGCTGAGATGGAGGTATACATAATATAACCAACACTTGATTTAAATAACTTAGCGGATTTCTTAGCGCTGCTAAGATTTTAACCATAGTTCCTCACCTCTCGTCAGCTACATCTATACTCATCCGTACCGACGAGAGCAAGTTCTCAGATCAACACACGGACACTTCCAATGCTATTCCCATCTCATCTCTCATACCTTCCACAATACACAGTACACAATATATCCCGCTGATATGTAAATAATGGCAACGAGTCTATTGTCAAATCCACAACGCAAGATCCATCAGTAGGTACCGTATTTACACCAGACGAACCAGTATACAACCATCTTCAGCAAGGATTATTTCCTACTAGACCCTACTGCATAAATACCTATCCATCTATAGGTTCGCCTCCAAGCAAACGCCATGATCTACCATGCAAAAAAAAATCCCAGAGGTCGACATCCTACATCTACCTAGCAGACGGCTTGACTCAGCTTGACCTGGCCTAGCCATGCCTCCCCGCAATCCGCCATCTTGATAAAAAAAGGGGTTGGAAATTTCGTCGGCATCTCAACAGAAAGTGGTATCATGATAAGAAGTGAGAAAGCCGCAACCAATCTATGTCAGACACAATATATTTGTCCCGTTACATGACAACCTAAGATGGAGTTAGTACAATCGTGAGGTCAAGGTAAAGGGTCAGAAGAAGGTAAAAACCGGAAACTTACGCAATCGTCGCTCTGCTTTCCCTGAGGAATACCCATCGCCTCGAAAAGCAGGCCCTTGGCTAGGCTTAGATGTGGGCTTGGACGCGGGCACTGGCGCGGACGCTGCGGAGGTGGGAGTACCGGATGTTGGCGGCGGGCTTGATACTGGCGGTCTAGCCTGGGCCTGTTGGGGAGGGGCGCTTGAACGACCGTAGTCTAACTGACTAGGTCGATCTTTCAACGGTGCACCGCTTCCTCGGCCGCCGCTTGACGTTCTCTGGCCGCCGGGACCACCCTGAGGTAATCCTCCAGGCACCGGCATCGAGCTATTACGAGGCCCAAGGCCACCACTCATGGTTGGAGATGAAGGGCCTGAACCCCGACCGCCATGATCGTAAGCACCAGTAGAGATCCGTGGACCAGGAGCATGGGGGCTCGGGATAGATGACTCCCTCGGACCATAGCTACCCGGGTACTGCCCTGGCGGAGGCCCTTGTTTTGTGAGTCGGTTGGGTCCGGGATTCTTGGCGGGGCCAGGGCCAGGACCAGGACCAAGTCGTGGGTCATATCCGGCCGGGGGTGGTCGCTGATCGAATTGCCCTGTGATAGGGCGAGCTCTCGGGTCCCTTCCAGGGCTAGGCTGGCGGTAACCGCTTTGACCTGGCGATCCCCAACCGGCGGAAACTGGGCGACCACGGTTGGGATCCATACCAGCTGGAGGAATAGGCAACTGGCCTGCTGAATGAGACGGACGCATGCCACCGTTACCAGGAGATTGCGTACGAATCCCAAAAGAACTTCCCGGGCGGTCCGCAATAGGCCCGTTTGACGACCGAATGCCTGGGTTATAGTAAGGAGCAAGTTGCGGCTTTCCACCCATATCGTCTTCGGGGTAAGGTACAGCACCAGACTTGGGTCGTAGGGATAAGGCTGGCGGTCTATCATCTTCTGGATACGGAGTTGCTGATGCCGGTCGGTCCGGAAGGTTAACAGTGAAAGCAGGAGGTCGGTTACCACCGCTAATAGCGAGTCGGGATGGGTCAGGCATGTCTGTGTGGTCGAAATTCTGTACTCTAGGGGAGGGATGTGGTGATACCCTAGGCGAATTTTGGTCTTCCGATAACGCCGGCATTGGGTTCTGCGGTTGCTTGAATCGCTCGGGTCTTTGACCTCTCTGCGAGCCATGTTTCGACTTGATGCGCGTCAGCGCCGTCGTCTCGTGGTCCTTCTTCGACAACGTCTTAGATTGTGAAAGACTCTCTAATCGGTCCACGGCGTCTTTGTTACCATGATCTGCTGCCAACTCATACCACCTTCGGGCTTCTCGTAAATCTTTCTCGACCGATATTCCGATTTCGTAGTAATAACCTATGGCAAACTCTCCAGTTGGTAGCTTCGCCTTAGCAGCTAGCTGAGCGTACTTGAACGCGAGCCCTTCGTTCTTCGCAAATGTCCCTTCGTATCCAAACAAGAACCATCTGCTAACACCTAGACACGCTTCAGGTTGACCCTGTCTAGCAGCTAGGCCATAGTAATGTAGCGACAGAGCCGGATTGAAATCGCAACCAAGTTGACATAATTCGTAAGCCTGTCCCATCTTCAGCTGGGCCTTAGCAAAACCGAGATAGGCAGCCTTTTCGATATATTGTCGTGCAATACTAACGTCGTACTGTAGAGCACCTTCGGGGATGGCTACGTCCGGGAGATCTCTTGCGATGAGCATGCCGTATACAAAGGCACCTTGGGGTGCATCTTCATCAGCCGTATCAGCAGCGATATGTATCATATCTAAGCCCCTCGAGATGTCTTTGGGCTGGCCCCGTTGACCTAAGAGGTTGATCATTCCTAGTCGGTAAGAAGCTGCGGAATCATTCGTAGATAGGCCAAGTTGATAATGCTGCAGAGCTTTATCCATATCATTCGAGTTTTCGTATAGCATACCGATTCGATAGTCGGCGCGGCCCCATCCTGACTTTGCGGCGGCTGAGTAGCAAGTGTACGCCTCCTTCTTGTCTTGTCGCTTTCCAAACTTGCCGAATTCTAGCCACTTACCCCTGATGAATAAAGCCTCAGGGTGTCCCTGATCTGCAAGATAGCTAATTATGTTAATAGCATCGATTCGCAGCTCGTGCTCAATCTTAGGCGTTGCCGTCCGTATTGGTAGGTCTCGATCGTTAGGGTTGCGCGTAGCCTCCTCTTCTCGAAGGGCAGCTTCGGCAGCTATCTCAACATAGGACAGGACGTCGCGAGCCCAGCAAATCTGCATGTTGGGATCGTTGGAATGGAGGACATGGTGGCGACTCTCGGCTAGTACCGCTTCTTTCTCCTCATCGCTAGGAGGGATGTGTTCCCCTTGAACCTTAGGGAAAGGCGAAAAAGAAGGTAATTCGCGCATATCTCGAAGGTCGCTCTCGAACTGGGGAGCGCGGTCTTGAGTTTCTTGAAATGGACTGAAATTGGATGCGGGACTATAATCGGCAGCAGGATTACTCCCTTGGTATTGCTGCCCAAAGTTATTAACTTTGGTGTTCAGGACGGTTGATAAGGACGGTTCGCGAGAATGTCGCGGACCGGATCCGGATGCTTGCGACGATGAGTTTCTCGGGTCTATTGATCGAGCTTCTAATTCCATGCGTTGAAGGCCTTGCTGCATGTTCTCGGGAACTTCTGGCATTACCCTATATTATATGCGAAAAGGTTAGGTCAGGTAAGATCAGGTTGAATCAAGTCAGATGATAATAATTAGGTCACAGAGATGTTGCATAGATATTAGAGGTCTTGCATGCTGTTGGTTAGGAGTAGGAACTTGTTTCAAGAGGTAGATAAAGATGTAAGTAGAGAGATGTAAGTAAAGACATAGGGTAAGTGGTAAGTGTAGGTAAAGTGTAGGTAAGTGTAGATAAAGTATTGTAGTCTTTTACATAGAAGTAATAATGTTAGTTAGATTAGTTAGTCCTTTAGAAACGTACCTTTGTGGTGATGGGGCTAGAACCTCAGGCATGTAGTAGTCGTCCATACCCCCTGGATAGAAGGTAGCTCCAAAATTAGGCATTTCGAAATCGTCTTCGCTTGTCTGCGGCTGGAGAGAACCTGCATAAATTTAAGAAAAATGTACTTGTCAGCCTGCCGCTCCTTAGGGGCCTATGTATGTATGTATGGGTCACGCCAGTCCGGCTTCAGACCGGCGTAAGATGATAAATGTAGGTTAGGTACTTTGATCTGACTGGTAAAGGAAGAATCCGTTGTTGTGGCGGGGTCCCCTATTTTCCTATTTTCGACCGAGTGGCGGCCAAAAAACCGTAGTACGCAATAAGTTATGGGTAATAGGTAATGAATTATTGTGAATTGTTTCTCCCTCTCTTTTAACATGGAGTACAAAACCCTTTGATCGTCTTGTGTCTCCGCGTATAAAGTAACCAAGTAACTTTAATTAACTTTGGATCCGACTTGGCCAGCTAAAGGGTATGTAAGAAAGAGTAAGACCTATATTCCTAGGATCCAGGACCATATAGCATATGAATTTCGGGAATATGTAAGCCTTAGGTAAAGTTGTTGATTTTAATTTCCCATTTTCGGTAACAATAAAATAAAAAGGGGTGGGAAATATTTATCGATTCTTTGAATATTGAATAATGTTAAAACTCTCAAGGGTGACGATTGTTTAAGTGCTCCGCGATGGTCCAGACGCTCTGATTAAGACGGAAAATGTCACCGCTGAGGGGCTCAGGTACATTCATCTGAACCTACCGCCACTTCCCCAGATAGGTTAGACATATTTGCTAAGCCCCTTTAGTGCCGAATTTAGAGTATTTTTATAGGTACTAAAATTCAAGCCAGTTTCGGCCAGTTAGGCACCATTAATAAAAGGTTCGCTCTAATAAGAAACCGCCCAAAATCAGATGTACCTTAGGTACCTAAGGTAAGCATCAGATTGTCGAATATAGCTTATTGTTATTGTTAATTCACCGTTGTCCTGAGTGGATAGACGATGCAGATACGTTAGATCGTATTTCTAACATATAAAAGGTTGTCTTTTGAAATCACAGCCTCCTATGTAAGCAAACAGTTGTCTTTTGTCGGATATGTTCCTGCATGACTGCAAGATCGTCCCGGATCACGGATCGTTACTTCAAGGTTCGGTTCCGGAATCTTAAAATCCAAGGGTCTAACGGTAGTATCCATTGGTGTCCATCGAGCCGGCAAATCTTAAAATCGATATCCGTGCAGGGCCTCATGGGTGGTGTAGATGATGGTAGGGAGGTGTTGTGGAAGGGATAAAAAGGGGATCTATTTACATACCTTGATTGATTTTGGGCTGCGCATCCGCAGTTGGCGTCCTCGGCCGCGCGTTACCTGCTTGAGCCTCCGTCGTCATCTTTTCCAGTACGCAAAGCGATCGTATAAGTCTAATTAACGACTACGTAATCCTTGTTTCCAAAGTTAGATACTACCGGTTTGTATGTGAGGAATCAAGGTCATAATATATAGTAAGGGTTTGCAGTAAGGGAGTGATTAGTTAGTTGGTCAAAGTCGCACAAGTCCAAGCAGCTGGTTCTTAAGTGTCTACAATTTAAATACTAAAACTATCTTCACCCTAGCAACTATCAGGAATATATATATATTTACATATTTAGATTCAATCTGGGTAGGAGTTGGGAAACAGATGGCAGAGTCCGAAATGAGATGAAGGGACATCACACTCCAACGTCTACGGCCGAAATTCCCGTTGTCTAGCTAGGGAAGTTTGATATCAAGAGCGAAATGAAGCTTCTACGATCCTTCCATTGTCTGTATATGGTAAAAGGCAGGGTAAATATAAAATCATTTACCTTATTAGTTTATACGTCAATGCTTAAAAGTTACCATGCAGGTGTCACGGCCGGTACGATGCTTCATGTTGTAATGCAAGCCAGATGGAGAATATCGCGGCTAGTTCACCATAGCCTCATTGTGTTTCTATTTCTGGATCAGCACGGTCGTAGCCGCAGCTGAATGTAGGATGTACCTGGCTTCGGATATCCACTAGTAACAGACAGTTGACAGCAATCCCTCTTCCCCCGCTGATCCTTCCGGGTTTTTTATACATAAATGCATGGGCTAATGCAGACAATGTCAGATTGAAAGTTAAGAGACGATTAAATAACGTGATTTGACTTCCTTAATGATATGCATGAACATAACTTATTTTTCTATTCTATGGAGAAGTATGGAAAAGACGGAATAAACAACTAGGCTAGATCAAGTAATACCAAGAAACGATGGACAAGTTTGACACAAACATGTTACTATCCTACTTGGATTCTCAAAAGGCACAGGAAAGGCACAGGAACAATGGAAATTCTATAGAAGATCCATTTGCTACAGTTGGCAGGACGGAATGAAACACGACTGTATCTGATGTGTCATGTGGATCTGGATCGTTCACCGTTCGGCTCTGGCGACTAAATAAACCAATATTAGAAAAGATTGAAAAAGTGTCCGAAAAGAGCTATAGAGGGTGGCCGATACGTGAGTGACCAGGACCTCGTGGACAATGGACAGTGGGTTAGCTGTCAACTGACAAGACCCAGAAAGAGATGAACAAGTAAACAGAGAGACCATAATCATAAGTAACTCATATTAATAGAATAGAAGACATGTCGATTTACGACTTGTAAGTCGTCTTGATACCTAATATTATCAATATTTGAATATTTTAGGATAACTAAGAGAAGAAACAAAAAAAAAGGGAATTTGGAGAAAATGAAAATACGAATAAGAAAAAATGGGACTTCAAGTCCACCAGCCACAAGTATAAGCACATTTCGAAGCTTCAGCCACATATGGCACAAAGCTCGTCAATCGATTAAACAAAGTGGATCAGGTTCTTTCGTCAGCCTCTCAGCCTGTTGCTTGCCTTGCCTCATCACCAAACCGATAAATCCACCTTCACCAAATCCTCAAGACCAAGCAACAGCAACGACAACACCACCATTTTCCATCCGTCGTATCGAATTTAATTCATCTGAATATCCTTCAGAAACACCAATTGGGAGATCCGAGCTTGCGAAAGCTCCACAGTCGTATCCGCATTTATATCCGCCAGCGACGCCGACGAACCTACTACAGCAGCCCAACGGTACCAGCGAAGCCGTCACTCCCGTAGCTCTCTCATCGTTACCTTCCACAGCGCCATCTTCACCATTACTTCCGCCTTCATCATTATCACCACCACCACAACGCACTAACATGGCCGAACGAACACTCCAGCAGATCCTTAACCAGCTACGCTCGAATCCCGGGCTGCCCTACCCCGAAGCATCATCCCTCCTCTCCAAAGCCAAGATCCAACTGCTGCAGCTCAAGGCCGCTACGCCCGGCGCCCCCGGGTCTACCGGTGTATCTCCCCAGAACCTAGCTCTCGCCCGCGACGTCTACGAGCAGGGCGCCCTCTTCAGCATCCGCGCGCGGAACCCCGACGCCTTTACCCGGTACGTATCGCAGCTGCAGCCCTTCTACGAGCTGCCGGCTACCGCTGCTGGTGGTGAGCGCAACAAGGTGACCGGTCTATACCTGTTGTTGCTGCTGACGCAGGGCCGCTATGCTGAGTTCCACTCGGAACTTGAGACTCTAAGTACTAGGGCTAAGGAGAGTGGTGCCGGCGAGATCGAGGGTGACCGCTTCCTAGGGTACTCGATCAACCTAGAGCGATGGCTCATGGAGGGGAGCTATGATCGTGTGTGGAAGGCTTTGAAGAGCCGGGAGGTGCCAAGTGAGGAGTATGGTGTTTTCTCTGAGGTGAGTTTATATTTTCGACCCCATACACACCTACCTACATACCTTATCCCATATATATACCGTTTCCCCATCCTATCACTCCCTTATATCCCCCACCACGCCACCCCACCAACTCAAGCTATACAACACCCAAACTAACCCCCCGCACACAGATCCTAACATCCCAAATCCGCTCCGAAATCGCCTCCAGCAGCGAGCGCGCATACCCCTCTCTCCCACTAAGCAGCACCAAATCCCTCCTATTCCTCGACTCCGAAGGCGCCGTCGTCGACTTCGCGCGCCACCGCGGCTGGGTCGTCCGCGACGGCAACATCTACTTCCCCACATCCGCCGCCACCGTCGACGGCGAGCCCATCAACGTCGCCTCCGAAGCCGACGCCGGCGAAGAAAAAGAGTTCAGCCGCATGGTCATCGAGAACGCCCTCGGCTACGCCCGCGAACTCGAGACCATCGTCTAAACCAATGCTTAAAAACCCCGAAGATAAGAGGCTGGTGAAAGTTGACCTACCTACCTACCTACCTACCCCCTTATGAGCTAAGTATGTAGGGCCATGATGAGAACTGGGCCCTTGGAAATGAAATGAACGTCGACATTCCGGTGCCGTGTGAAGGCTCGACTAGTTGCTACCTATGCGAAGGGGGGGGTGGAATTCCGATACATTTAATAATATCCGCCGTGGGGGATGAGCGCGAGATAGATACGCCGGGTGAACCATTTATGGACCTCTGTGTGGATAAGCATAAAATTAAGCATCAATAGCATGAACGTATTAATGTGAGGCTTCACCAGCAATTAAGTGCTACCTAATTTTAATCGTGTGAGCAAAGGTACATGTTATTATGATAATCGTCATAGCATAGAATCGAGAAGCGTCAATCATCTCTCTAAACAACACAACAGCCACCATTTACTTCCATCAGTCCGACGACTGTATGAATAGGTAGGCTTCATTTGATTAGGCAACTCCTCGGTTCCAAGCTTTCTACATAGACATATGAATCATTGTAGCCCCTGGCCCCGGTCCCAGCGACAATGACTTTTTTTCCTCCGGCCACGTCCACAGAGTACGACTCATAAGATTCATCATTACCTACTCCGTAGCCAGGCTAGGCTAAACTATCAAACACCCTCTCTTATCTAAGCGAATAACTTAAGACCACTACCGTGCTTTCCGACCTCGCACACCTCGCAGACTGCGCAGACGGTACCCTTGTACTTGGTGTGGTACTTAGATCCGTCGAACGCACACTCCTCATACGGGGTACCGCTGTAGATGGGCGTGTGGCTGGCAGCACAGATCTCGAACTCAGCGAACTGGTCGTACTCAATCTCTACCGTGTCGTGCGGGTTGCGCTCGCACTGCGCTTTTATCCTTCGTGCCTGTAAATCGAATTAGTTAGATTACATACGATATGGGAATAACAAAAGTACTTACGGTCTCAAGAATCCTTTGAGCACCACCATTGGCCAGGATGCGGTTTGCAAAGCTCAAGGCGGAGCTGAAGTTCTTGCTCCTGGATGCTAGGTTCATAGCATTGAGAAGGGCAAGTTGTCGATGGGGGACCTCGATCTTGGGAATTGTAAAGTATGCAGACAGCTCAAGGCTTCGCTTGAGAAGCTCGGGGTTGCCGTTAACGACATCCGGAGAACCTAGCTTTCTTCGCGAGAGTTCGATCGACATAGCGACGGTGTATTCGCTTGCCGAAGTGATGAGCTTCTTAGCCTCTGCTACCTCACTTTCGCTCGCAACCGCATTCGCGAGCATGGCGTGTAGGATACTCTTGAAGATCTGAACACCCTCATCAAGTTTGTTCGTCTTCATCGCATCATATCCCTTATGTAGATCGGTAGTGGCAAGATGTTCGATATCTCGAGGGATGATAGGCAGAACTTTCCTGGGATCCGTCTCTTCCAAAGTCCGGCGAACATAGTTAACTAGAGGCGGTAAACCAGGAGACGCGGGGAGGAAGGTCCTCGACGCGGAATAAATCTCCAAGAAGCGTGGCTTGAGCGGAGCAAAGTTGACGGCACCAACTTGCCTGTTAAGAAGGTTCATAGCGGACTCGAAGGAGCCTGCAGCGATGTGATCCGCCGCTAATGGAGAATTGCGAGCCCACAGGTCAGCCTCGCTGCTGCCAGCTCCGCCAGCATCCGTACTCTCAACGTTGACGAAATCGCTATCAGCTTCGGGAACGATGTCCTCGCCCATATCCCATCCGGCCCGCATCCTCGTCGTCTTCGGCTTCCAAACCGACATTTCGCTTAGCAGCAACATCCTCATCAATAGCCTCGTCCAGAAGTCCATTGCCGGCTGCCGGAGGCTCATCCTCGAGAGTTATGCCTTCCAGTTGACTAGCAAGGGCTTTCTCGAAGAAGGATTGCGAGGTCGCCTTCGTAGGCCAGTTGGCCTTGTACGTCGGGACAACCGGCTTCGGAGGAGTAAGGCTCTCGCCAAAGGCAGGCAGCGTCAATTGCTCTTCAGTAATACCAGCCGCCTCTAGGATCGATTGGCACTCTTCCTCAAGGCCATGCGCTTTGGCCGTCATATACGCCAGAGGGTCTGCGAATTTATTAGTTTTCCCACGTCAAGAATAATTGAAAGGTGTAACTCACATAAGTCGATCTCTTTGAACATTTGTATCCTGTCCTCGACTTCGCCTAGGTATAACGCATTTTGGAATCTCGCGGTAAAGTCACCCCGATGCTCGGCAATCTTGGCCATCCTTGCCAGTTTCGAGTGGTCACCAGTTGCGAGATATAGGAAAGACAGCTTGTCGAACTGCTTGAGCTTCTGATAAGCCATCTCCACGACTTGGTGGTTTCCATGCGCCAAAGCCTCAGCACCTAATCTCGTCCAAAGCTTAGGTCGGTCTAGTTCCCTGGCCATCTCTACAGCCACATCAAGGTTGCCGCATTCGATGGCAAGTTCGAAACGAGTGGTTGGATCCTGTACGAATTGCAGAGCAATCTCGGGGTATCCTTTCTTCTGGAGGTAGGAAATAATAGATTGGCCGACCAAGCTAGAAGTGCGTATAATGTGAAGCATCTCCTCATAGTTGCGCTTTACTAGCGACAACTTGAAGCGATACTCGGTTGGGTCGATGTGAAGGATCTTGGGCCTAGCGGCGCGGTCGAGGCAGTAGACATTTCGGCCCTTGACTCTCACGAGGTAGACTGTCTGGTCAAGGGTCCTAACAATACCGTTGTCACCATTCATAAGAGTGTACTTGACGTGGTTCAGAGTAGAATATAGTAGGACTCCCTCATCCCATCAGTTGCGCTCTTGATCCTGATGGTCTCGTGTAGAGTGCTAACCTGTTCGAGAGTCTTTGTCACAATTGTGACATTGTGTTTGCTCAAAAGTGCTGCATGAAGACCGTCGTTCGACCAGACAACATACTTGACACCATTCACCGATAACTCGGCGATGCTCTTCTTCTGCTGAATGTCGTACAGGTGAACCGCAGTAGGAGTAATTATGAGCAGGTTTCCAGTGCCGCCAAAGTAGATATCGGTAGTTCCGGGAGGGGGCTTAATGCTTCTCGCCGTATTATTAGAAAGATCTTTGATGTCAATAGTCTGCGTAGACGTGTCGAGTACGGCAAACCGGTTTCGAGCTACAAAAATAGCCGAGTTACCTGATCCGCTCTTGGAGTCAGTCGCTTCCAACGCACCAGAGCCATCTCGAGGGAGGTTGATTAGTTCATATTTACCACCCTCGGCAGGGGATGTTATGAGAACAGAACGCTCGGCAGGGTTGTAAGATAAGGTGCGAGGAGGAACCCAAGCGCTACCGAGTCGCTTCAAGGACAGCAGCGTTGGACTCTCGGCGTTCTTTTGAAAGTCGTAAGAACGGACGTGCTTCTCTTTCGTAACGAAAAAGAGCGAATTCTGGTGAACAGTTGATGCCGGACGCTCACGTTCGAGTTTAAACACCATCACACCATTGTCGTGACCGGCAGCAAACAGGTTGATTTCAGGGTGCGCCGCGATGACCCAGAATCGATCGTTTTCTCGTTTAAATGATTGAACGGCGGTACGCTTCTGAGAATCCCATACTCGAATCGTCTTGTCCTCGCCACAAGACAGAATTAAATCCTGATGAGGGTGGAACAAGCAACCAGAAGCATTCTGGAAATGTCCACGGCAGGTATCCACTTCCCAGGCCTTCGTCTCGCTAAATCGCCACAGCTTAATAAGACGGTCATCGCCAGCAGAGACAATATGCGGCGCTGTCGGATGAAAAGCGACCCAATTTACACCTCGATCGTGACCTTCAAGTACGAACTTCACCATCGCGTCGGTGTTGCCGAACATGTCGGTCTGCTGGGCGTTCGATCGAGCGACCTGGTCCTCGAAGGACATAGACGTCGGGGCGGAGTGCTTCTTTCGTAGGCCAGATATATCCCAGACGCGAACAGACTGATCGAGAGACGCGGACACTACGAGGTCGTCCTTCGGGTGGAATTGGGCGCACATTACATAGTGATTATGGCCAGTCATCGTGCAAACTAGATCAACTATTAGCACATATTTCCAAAGCCCAGTTTCCTTCGGAACCCATACTTAATGAACGATTTTGCCAGTTCCATATTCGGATCGTCTGGTCGTCGGATGCTGATATAATCCACGGCAGCTCGTGGTGGAAGAAGACGGTTCGTACATAGTCTAAATGTCCATTCAGAGTAAACAGACATCTTCTCGACTGGTAAGACCAGACTTTAATCTTGTAGTCGTCGCCACCGGAAACGAAGAGAGGTTGTGTCTTGTGGAAATCGACGCCTCGGACGGGACCATCGTGCTCTTCGAAACGATCAATGAGAGTTCCCATGCGGTAATCCCACAGCTGTATAGTCGACGAGTGTAGTGATACGAGGATCCATGGTCTAATTGCTCTCGGATTAGCAACGAATAGCGGTGACGATAGTCAAATATATAGCGAAGGGGGGATGCTCGAACCTCTTTGGGTGAAAGGCAATACCTTTCGCTCTCGAGGACTTGGACTCGAACTATAACCAGAATTGTCAGTATATTATTTAAGGGTATGCGACCAACTTGAAGACGTGTTAATAGAGTATGTACCTTTGTAAGCATTCCCGAAGAGGCCTGCATTGTGAGGACGGTAGAGGCAGCAGGAAGCCCCTAAGCTTGTGTCATGAATAGGCAGAAGGAATGCGCCCAGTTAGAATGGCGGCTTTAATAGACGGTCGGAGGGGAATTATGTAGAGATAACGGGTAGTGGAGAGCTGTAAGGCTCTGAAAGTTGATCTATTAACGTCAACTTCGGGGATAGTTTAGAGACAATTCGTGAAGTACATAGAAGTCAATTCGTGGCCCCAAAAGTGACGGTGGATTTAATTCTTAGCCAAGCTCTAAACGTTGCAGCGTTTCTAGGCTAAGTGGCTAACGGGTTAAAATGTGGCTTGGGTTATCGGAAAGTAAATGTTACGGTTCCGACGATTAGGTAATTCGATTCGTTAGGTACGTAATGTTGTTAGGTTATGCAAGGTTGCCCCGGCAGTACTATTTTTAACTAGTTATATTTTTAAGCCTCAGCCTTGTTATCGGTATATGTATATCTACCTCCTGGCTTTTGCCATTCCATTTCGTGCATAATATTACCTCTACTACCTAGCAAATTGATATTTACAGTTGAGTGTGTCAAGTATTATTTAATCATGAGTCTATCAAGTCAAGAAACAAAGTGCAAATCACATGTTGTCCCCCCAAACTGACTGATACACTTGTCATGCTTGTATAGGTATCTTTCTCTAACGCTTTATACATCTCCTGTTCTTTTTCTACCTTTTCTGAGCCAGACGATCCGTGGACGGCCTCGATAGCATCAATCGAGTCTCTCATTACCCCTTTACAAAGAAGCAGCAAAGAAAGCTGAAGATTGCATGGATGATTCACGTTGGAGTGAGGTACTCTGTCCTGACTGTCAATCGCTTAAACTTGTAGTTTAACGAGGAATGTGAAAACGTAATAATTCAATGCTACTAGGGAGATATTTAGCAAAATCCTTGGCTAAAAATAGATGTCAAGCGTACCGAAGATGTCACAGGCAGAGAATATGGGACGATGGGACGGATGATCACGATATTGTTCTAGTGCCGGTAGAAGGTCTAATACGGCAGTGTTGGAAACTTCTTTATCTAAGTAATATCACCTTGTGATATATTACGTGCCTCCTCGAATAAAAGTGTGATTATCTGCAGATTTGATTGGCAAGAGTGTTGATATAAGTATCTGGTACCTACCTGATATGTAACTGGGCGAGTAAGACAAATGACTACTAGAACCGTTTTTGATAATGAAGCTATCACGAAAGAAAATGTCCAAGTGCTTACTTTCTTAGGGTCTCTGGATATTACAGATACCTCATCTTTTTTAACCTCTACAGCACTGGGGTCCCCTTCTATTATTTGGAACAACTATTTCGAAGAAGATACCTTGCTAGGCATCACAAACACTTCTTATTATCGTGCAACGAAATTGACATGATATTTCAACGGTACCTCTTAGGTACAAAACTCTGCCTCTACTCTTTGTATTCAGTTCCGCCTCCGACTACTCATTCCAGGTAAGCAGTTACCAATATATTCTTCGTAACACTAGCTCCTCTTTCCTTAACACGCATTTAATCCACCAAAAAATATTCATCCCAATTCACATACAACATCTACATGTCCTTACACCACATCCTCTACCTTCCTTTTCCTTGTACTCCCAACCGAATACTAGGTACTTGCCATACTTTACGCAAACTCATTATCTGCGTCTCGTTTGCCCTTTCCACCTAACATCATTCGGTTTCTTACTCACACCTAAATTTATTTCGTCTGTGCCATCTGCATACAAATGAGGCATCCCTTCTTCACTTTCACATAGGTACCTATATTTCATACCGCTGCATCTTTAAGATTCATCGATTCCCAAGTTGTCATATCTTTCGTTACCTCATCTCACACCGGAACAGCTATATTGCAAACTACAAATCTTCCACATCGTCATACCCCTCCTTTCTTAGTCCTTCTAGGGACTAATAATAGGCCAACGGTAAAGGTTAGGAAATATTTACGCACGACACCGACCTCTTCCCTGTTCTACTTTCTCACCAGTTCCTCTATACGGACTGACAGGTACGTGCTTTCCCTGAAATAGTGATCTTCTCGTTGCAATAGCACACACTGGAATTCCGCTCACACACTTCTACATCTTTCTAACCTGGGAATGTTAGACAATCTTGACGTCTATTCTCCTTCCATCCCGAGTGCTATCCGCGTACCTACGAGGATTCAGCTCGATTACATTTGTTCCGGTTGATTCCTCTCATATCTGCTGCACAACCCACCAAAATGTCAACCACCAACGAGGAAGGCATGACCCAAATCCCCGAGCAGCAAACAAACGAGTGGGAAGCGGATAGCAACAAAAACGGGGCTGCGTCGAAGCAATGCAATTCCAAACCGGAGATTGCAGGAGATCGATTTGGAATTGACGAAGATGACACTACAAGATCCAATTCCTGGAACGAGGTAGGATGATTGAATATTTACATATAAAAATATTTTGCTAATTTCTTTAAAGGAAGAAATTCGAAAACATCGAGAAGCTCTTGAAAAAGAACTGGAGCTTCAACTAGTTGAAGAACAGATTGAACTACTTAAAAAACAGTCTGAACTAATTAAAGAAAGTCTTAAACTAGCTGAAGAAATGCTTGAATCGGCTGAAGAAGAGTTTAAACTGGCCAAGGAAAAGAAGATAACAGACGTCTTGATAATTACCATACTATGGTTCTGTTCTATCTTTGGGTTTTAAGGGGTCTCTGATTAGCTAGATCCTTATTAGTGGAACGGGATGAATTATCCAAGATACAATCCCAAAACGTCCTCCTGAGCCCCTTTCAATGCATTATCAATATGAAGTTATATTCCTTTCACCCCAAGGGTAAATTTGGGCTATTGTACCAACCTGTTTAAGTGCAAGTATATGAATAGCAGTACAAGAGGTAGGTACTTGGAGGGGTAGTTCCCCGTTATGCAATTAAACGCAGTTCAACCCCTGACAGCTTCAAATACCTTTAGCTATTCCTATTGGCCAAGCTCCAATTAATTATCTACGTTTAGGTGTTCAATTGCAGCGGCTTCTCCAAACTCTCTATCTTATCACTTACACGGCAGCTTTACATACCTCGCCCCAAAAAAGTCCAGACCTACAAAAAGCCACTTTGCATTTACACAAGACTTGAACTCGGTTCCAATGACTTCGAAATCAGGTTCTTAACTTAATTCGCGATATATGGTTCTATAGACTTGTCAGCTCCAAGCTCTGCCGCATGCTAGAGCTTGCGACAAAGCAACTTCGTCTCTTGCCCCTCTAGCTCAAAGCATCATGATACCGCGACTTTTTCAGTTGCCATGTGGCCTTGCAGCCACTCTTCTGGCAACTCTATGCTTGAACTTGGGTCATGTCGTAGCCGGACCCTCCGTTAATGTTGCTATGAAAGCTGCATTCCCAGCTCCTCCCTATCTCGTCGAGCTCTTGTAGGTTGCATTCGTGATAGAGTCCAATTAGAATATGTAAATGCTAAAACGTAGCTTAGAGAGACCGCCGCCGGAGAGAACGCAACATCTTACTTCCCACTCCTCGATCGAATCGCCGATGGTACCTTTGCGGATGCGAAGACAGACAAGGAACTGTACGAGAAGTTCCTCCAAATTTTAAAACAAGATGGCCACATGGAAAGCCCAGAGGCGTTGTCTACTTTCAAGCTTGCCCTCTCCATGAGGTCAGCAGCTCCGAGGATAGAGGCTCATTATCAATACTACGATACGGCTGTAGCGCCCCCCTAGGAAAAGCCAGAACCGACTGTGCTGAGTGGGTGCTCATGAGCGGGAATCAGTATTGCTCAGCTTCGCTTGCGCATGCCGACGGTCACATCGCAGGGGACACGTACGTACCATATCTTAGAATCATCTGACTATGTCTTACATGAATATAGGCAAACACGGTCGCTTCCATTCGATCGCGCTTTAGGAGCAGGCCCTGAAGTGATACTATACGCGGATATCGCCAAACCCGAATTTGGGCCCTTCCATAAATCCCTATCCGAGATGGCCCGAAAAGGGGAGGTTTCGTACCGGTTAAGATATCGCGTCGACCAAACCGAGGAACGAGAAGCGCTGCCGGTCAGCGGGTACGGTGTGGAGCTTCAGCTGAAGCGGACAGACTATATTGTCATTGACGACCGCGAAGCCGAATCCGAGACGAGTTCGGCCGCTAAGTCCGCACCTACTGAAGTCGTACTCGACGGGGAAGAGGACGTAACAGACCTAAAGCCGCTGTCAAGTTCTGAATTGGCATCGTTGGGTCTCAAAGCCGGTTCTTTTATCATGCAAAGCGATGACCCTTTCCAAACATTGATCAAGTTGACTCAAGACTTCCCGAAGTTCTCTACCTCGGTCGCCGCACATAACGCTTCGGACGCTTTCGTTAAGGAGCACCGCCAGAATCGAGCCCTGAGCGTACCTGCCGGGATGAATGTCCTCTGGATGAACGGCGTCCAGCTGATCGAACGACAAATCGATCCGTTCACTCTCGTCAACAGCATTCGGCGGGAAAGAAAGCTTATCGAGGGAGTAACAAGTTTGGGCTTGAGCGGAAAAGAAGCCGTGTCCCTACTTGGTCATCGCGAAGTAACATTGGCCAAGTCGGACGACGAGCCTCGTAGATTCGACTGGCGGGACGAAATCGAGGAGGGCCGCGTCATTATCTGGTTGAACAACATCGAGAAGGACAAGCGATACGCCGAGTATCCTAAGAGTCTTATGGCTGTAAGTACTAACAATTTACGAGGTATTTCATCCTACAATCAGCTAACTATTTCTAGCTTATGCAAAGGACCTATCCTGGGCAGATTCCTCCGATCCGCAAGGATATATTCAACCTAGTCATCCCGGTTGACTTGACCAAGCCAGAAGATCTATCCTTAGTTGTTGAGCAACTTCAAGCTTTCATAAAAAGGCTACTCCCCGTCCGCTTCGGATTGGTACCGTTAACACCAACGAAGACAGCCGAAGAGCGAGCGAAGGTAGCCTATTATCTGCTAGAGAACTACGGATTATCCAGCCTCATCTCCTATCTAGAGGCTTGCAGCACTGGTGACCGCTCTGAACAGGCATACTTTGACAAGGCAATTAAAAACCGCACTACGAAAGACGAAGTCGCACCTCTTTCATTCAAGGATATCCTCGAATCAGAGGACCACGCCAAACAAATCAAGCTTGTAAATCATTGGGTAGAGCGACTCAACGCTAATACAGAAGTGCCTCCACTGTTTCTTAACGGTCTAGCCATACCGCGGGAAGACAATTGGCTTCAAGTCATGAGCATGAGGATGGGCACCGACCTACAGCTAGTCCAACAGGGAATCTTCACGGGCACGGTCGACGACGAGACGTGGATTCCGCAGCTCTTCCTAGAGGGTGCAGCAACTCGACGCAATCTCTACATCTACCCCGACGGCGAGAATACTCTCATCGTATTAGACGTAAATAAGCTCTACTCCGAACACAACGATCTGTTTGAACGGGTTCCAGTTATCGAAGCGGGCGAAGACACGAGCAAGGAGACCTGGGCTACTCTGACAGTTGTTGCCGATCTGAGCTCGCAGCGAGGTCTCCGTCTTCTCCTATCTGCCTTATCATTCCGGCGTAACAACCCCGGAGTGCGTCTCGACATTGTCAATAACGCTTTGAAATCGAGCAGCGCACACGAGATCAACGCGCTGCTCAAGAAGGACGTTGCCAAACTCTTGGAAGTTGAAAATCTGGAGACGCTAGAAGTCCTCTTATCGGGCCCAGCTGACGTGCAGGACGACGGATATAATGCAGCGTTGTCGCGTTTCCTAACAGCCGCAGCCGTCGCCCCAGGTGCAGAGTTTCTCATCCTCAACGGTCGTGTGGTCGGCCCATTCGTCGACGAGTCGGGATTTACAGAGAATGACTTCGAGCTGCTGCTTGAGTTCGAGCAGGAAACAAGAATACTCCCGGTGTATAAGGCAGTTGACGCTCTGGGTTTGGCAGACAAGATTACACATCCTCTAACTGCCGCGAAGCTCACGTCAATAACTGCTCTATCTACTATATCAGACCTTCCAGAAGGAATTTTCGAATCCGCCCCGACGCTAAGAACGGCTCTATTCGACGCGTGGAACTCCACCCACACGATGATCGACGTCGGTGATGCGTCCACGGCTAATATCCACTTCGTTGCCGTGATCAACCCTGCCAGCGAGATAGGACAGAAGTGGGCTCCTATACTCAAGGTTCTGTCCCAGCTAGACGGTGTCTACATGCGCATCTTCTTGAACCCGAAAGAAAAGATCGAAGAGCTACCGGTTAAAAGATTCTACCGCTACGTCTTAGACTCGGCGCCATCCTTCGACGAAGATGGAAAGGTCAGCGCTCTGAGCGCGATATTCAAGGGACTTCCTTCAGAAGCTCTTCTCAATCTCGGTATGGACGTGCCGCCTGCCTGGCTAGTAGCAGCGAAGGTTTCAATTCACGATTTGGATAACGTGAAGTTGAGCTCCATCAAGACAGACGTAGAAGCCACTTACGAACTCGAGCACATCCTCATCGAAGGTCACTCACGAGAAGTATCGGGCGGTCCGCCTCGTGGCGTCCAGCTATTGCTCGGCACCGAACTTGATCCCCATTTCGACGACACGATCATCATGGCCAACATCGGCTACTTCCAGTTCAAAGCCAATCCCGGGTATTACAATATACACCTTAAGGAAGGAAGGAGCTCGGAAATTTTTGATATCATCAGCGTGGGCGCAAAGGGATATAACCCCGTCCCCGGCGACGAAGGTACCGAAGTTGCTCTCATGGACTTCCAGGGTACGACTCTATACCCGCGGCTGGAAAGGAAGCCGGGCATGGAGCTAGAAGATGTCCTCGAAGAAAGCGCTTCTGATAGCGGCGACGATCTCCTCTCTCGCGGTCTCAAATTTGCCGAAGGAATCCTCGGGACGAAGCCCAAGCCCAAGTCGGTCTCGAACGAAGAACACGCCGAGATCAACATCTTCTCCGTGGCGAGCGGTCACCTATACGAGCGCATGCTCAACATCATGATGGTCTCCGTCATGAAGAACACAAACCACACGGTCAAGTTCTGGTTTAATCGAGCAGTTCCTGTCTCCGTCCTTCAAAGAATTCATACCCCACTTAGCTAAGGAGTACGGCTTCAAGTACGAAATGGTTACGTACAAGTGGCCGCACTGGCTCCGCCAACAGAAAGAGAAGCAGCGCGAAATCTGGGGCTACAAGATCCTATTCCTGGACGTCCTCTTCCCCTGTCCCTCGACAAGGTGATATTCGTCGACGCAGATCAGATCGTCAGAACCGACATGATAGACCTTGTCAATCTTGACCTACAGGGCGCGCCCTACGGCTTTACGCCAATGTGCGACTCTCGCACCGAGATGGAGGGCTTCCGCTTCTGGAAGCAAGGCTACTGGAAGAATTACCTCCGTGGGAACCCCTACCACATCTCAGCCCTCTACGTGGTCGACCTTCGCCGCTTTAGGCAGCTAGCCGCGGGCGATAGGCTCAGGCAGCACTACCATCAGCTATCGGCCGATCCGGGCTCCCTCTCCAACCTCGACCAGGACCTACCAAACCACATGCAATTCGTGATCCCGATCCACAGCCTGCCGCAAGAGTGGCTGTGGTGCGAGACGTGGTGCAGCGACGAGAGCCAGAAAGAAGCGCGAACCATCGACTTATGCAACAATCCGCAGACCAAAGAGCCGAAACTCGACCGAGCTAGGAGGCAAGTTCCGGAATGGACCGTGTACGACGACGAGATCGCCGCCGTAGATCGACGGAGGAGAGGATTAGTCACGGATGGCGACACCCAGAAGGTGCTTACTATTGGTAGCGACGAAAGGAACACTAAGAGCAGGACGCTCGAGGAGAAGCCTGACGTAAAGACGAGGACGAAGGATGAATTATAAAATTTACGCACCTATAGATATATAGACTTAATTGAGTCTTTTGACAAGCCTGTAAAGTTTGATTAGCCGTCGCACGTTTCTAAATCAGAATAAACAGAACCCCCTTTCTAATACTTACTATCCATGTTCTCTAACATGAGGCGAATCCCCTCTGCTTATATCCCCCAGGCTGCTTATACCCGAAGATGACATTTCGAAGATGACTAGTCATATTCTCGAGTAATCTGTTGAATATCGTCAGCAGATTCTTTTGAATTCGTGTCTCACCAAAATAACATCACCTATACGCAACCGCTTCCGTAGCCAATCCTGCTTGGCGCACCAAGACGTCGAAATAAAAATCTCCACTGGGCAGTAGTGGATTATTCCAAGTATTACCGCTAAATACTTAGCACCCCGGCCCCTTTCGCGTCCCCATTGTCCTAAAAAAACATCCACCATTTTACCTACCGTCCACTAACTATCATCCATCTATTCGCCCCCATATCCATATCCGTATCCATTCCCCAGCGGTATGTAATGTACCTTGCGCACCGGGTTTAAGACATGCCAGCTTTTCTCACCTACCTCTGCAGCAGCACAGCATTCGTCCATCGTGTCGCGCACCGCCGTTAGGTAGTCATTAGTACCTTACATACCAGGTGTATATAAAATTAAGGGTCAGGTACCTTTTACCGTTGCCGTTCGTTACCTTTACCGTTATTTTTTCACCTTTTACGTAGGTCTCTAAGAATGGAGCTCGGGTGCTCGGTGATCTCGCCGCTGGCCCCGCATAAGCACACCCACACCGTGATATTCTTGCACGGCCGCGGCGACACCTCGCGGAACATGGCCGACGCCCTGCTGTCGCGGTGGACGAGGAATTCGCGCGGCCGCTCGCTGGTAGATGAGTTTCCGTCGGTGCGCTGGGTCTTTCCGGTATGTCCGTTATTTTGTTTGTTCGCTTGGCGGTTTAAATGACGTATATCCCGAGAACCTTTCCGGATTGTCTCAGGGGTCAACCCGCTCCCGCTCCCGCTTCGACTAAATGCTTAACGAAGTCACCGTCGCTTTCTGATTATATGCACGCCACATTTCCTTCCTCGCCACGTTTACTTGATCTGCCTTCCACGCATCTATCAACCCACCACTAACACCCCCCCAGGAAGCCGAGCCCCGTCTCGCCGAAAACCTTGGCGAGGTATGGCCGCAGTGGTTCGACGTGTCCAACATGTTGGACCTGACCGACGCCGAGGAGATGCAAGTCTTCGGCTTACGCGGCAGCGTCGCCAGCATCCGGCGGATCGTGCGGCGCGAGGCCCGCACTGTTGGCGGCATGGACCACGTTGTGCTAGCGGGCGTTAGCCAAGGCGGCGCTACAGTGTTCCATACTTTACTACATCTTGACGACGGCGGCGGCTCCGAGAGTGCCGACGGTGAGCTTATGGCGTTGGAGGAGAAAGGAGAGGAAGAGGTACCGAAATCGGAGTCCCGACTCTGCGGCATCATGGGTTTCTCATGCTGGCTACCGTTTCCGGGCGGGTCGTTAGAGGAAACCCGCGAGGTGCTAGGGATGGAGGACGGGTGGCCTAAAACGGATACCGTGGTGCGAAATACGCCTGCATTCCTAGGCCACTGCGCCGACGACTCGCTTGTCTTTGTCGAGTACGGGCGGCAGTTGAGGACTGGACTTAAGAGTTTCGGTATGAATGTCGAGTGGCATGAATATGAGGACGGGGGGCATTGGATTAATGCTCCGAAGGGTGTGGATGATGCGGTGGAATTCCTCAAGGCGCAAGGGATACCACTGGCGGAGTTAGAGGAGGATAAATAGACTTGTCTACGAGAGAGTATACGCTAAGCTTCGATGCCGTGATAGTTGACTTGAAAGTCTCTTCGCTTCGTTGCTCTTGCTCTTACTCTTGCTCTGGGGGGTATGAGATAGAATGTCAAATAGAGAACTACCGTGTAATTATAATGTTTTGCTGGAAATTATCTATCACTGAAGTGTCATTTTACTAGCACTTAGGCTGACCGACTTGCACCTTCTCTTTTATATTATGCGTTACTACCACTACCAAAATACCCATTTTAGTGCACTTGGGCAGGTGCAACTATTATCACACCTTCGGTAAGCAGCTACGATTATAATTGAAATATCTAGGCAGGTACATGTAACACTTAGGTAGGTACCTACCTAACTTACATATAGGCACGCATGTGTATTATACTGTGGCAGGTAGGATAGGTGTTCTAGGTACGAGCTAAGAATGAAGCATATTTCAACGACAACGCATACAGTCAAAGTCAACTATATAGGGCAAGAACTACCTTAACTTCATAATACTACCTACGTAAAGTCCCACTTACTGCTATAGCAAGTTGTTGGGGTATAAGTGGGTTGGGGTAGTTATAGGGGTCTATCTATCTGCCCTGACATTTACTTTATGTATAACATTCATCAAGGGTATAACAAGCTGTCTTTGGATTGATAGTATAGTATATAATATTTTATAGCCATACTGTTGCTATTGCTAACGAATGCCTTTCTTAGTATAATAAAACCTGTCAATATAGCTATTGCAATTGTTTTAATACGTTGGTTCTAATTAAACCTAACCAGTCAATATTATAGCTTTTACTTACTTGTTGACATCAATAGTAAATAGGCCTCATCAGTATAATAATAGTCTTTAAGATCTAGAAGGAGTATGTAACCCATGAACATACCTTACATAAAGCAACAGCTTAACTTTTATACGGAAACATAGCCTTATAATACTGATGCCTTACAGTTATATAACAGGAATATAAGAGAATAAATAGGCATAGCTACCTAGTTACCTATTGCGAAGAGTTTGTTTATAGAAACTTTTGGGAGCTTTACGGAATGAAGCTGGAACAGCATAACGACTTAAAATTCTTTCATCAGAGTTCGTTTTGTACAAACTATAAAAAATTCTAGAACTGGCTGGAGAAACATCATGACGGGGTAGAAATATAATGATCCCATAAAGCATGACATCCGTAGTAAAACCATCCCAAGTTCCTATACACCCCGAGTGTTGTAATTCAAGCAGGCCTCCCCACAATGCGCCTGCATGCATCTCTCCTATATTATTGATCTGATTTTCCGCATCATTCCTTAGAGCTTTCATTTCGCGTTCTTAGCCATCGTGTTCAATGCGCTTCCATTGATGAACCAATCGATTTGTGCGGTATTAAATGTATGGTTCAGCTTTACATCAAAGGCCTCGCCATCCTTAGGGTGTACCCGCATCGTCATGGGCTTGCCGACAGCCAGCTCCGTGCAGAAGAGATCAATCTGGATAACACGTATAAATTAGTCAATCAAGCACGGCAAGTAGACATATAGTTCATGAATAAACGCATCCAACGTACCTTATCATCAGGCTTGATCTTGTCGTAGTCGGCAGGATCCGCGAATGTGAGAGGAAGCATACCCTGCTTCTTCAAGTTGGTCTCGTGAATACGGGCGAAGCTTCGGGTAATGATGGCAAGGCCACCAAGGTGGCGAGGCTCAAGAGCCGCGTGCTCTCGGGAGCTTCCCTCGCCATAGTTCCAGTCACCAATGACAACCCATTTAATTCCCTTGGCCTTGTAGTCGCGGGCCACAGCTGGGACAGCACCCCAGTCTTCCGTAGTCACGTTCTTGACCTTGTTCGCCTCATCGTTAGCCTCGTTGATAGCACCAATCAACATGTTGTTGGAGATGTTGTCAAGATGCCCACGGTACTTGAGCCAGGGGCCGGCCATAGAAATGTGATCAGTAGTGGTCTTTCCCTTTGCTTTGATTAAGATGGGCATGTCTAGAGCATCTTTGCCATCCCAAGGCTGGAAGGGTTGTAGAATCTGGAGACGGTCGGAAGAAGGAGAAACTTGGACATTGACTGAGGAGCGGTCGGCAGGGGGGGCCTGGTAGGTGTTGTTTCCAGGGTCGTATCCGTTTGCGGGGAGACCGTCACCGGTGGGAGGAGCCAGCAGGAACTCGTTACCGTCCTTGTCCTTCAACTTGTCGGTTAGGGGGTTGAAGTGTAAGTTGCCAGCGATTGACAAGGCAACAACTAGATCAGGGAAGTAACGAAAGAGTGAGTTGCGGGATTTCCGTCGTTTCGACCAGTAAAGTTACGGTTGTAGGAGGATAGGATCGAGTTGGCCTCGCCCTTCTTGACGTCTTGACGATCCCATTGGCCAATACAAGGACCACAGGCGTTGGCCAGCACCATGCCGCCAAATTCTTCAAAGGTTTGGAGCTGGCCGTCTCTTTCTATTGTGGCGCGTATCTGCTCTGAGCCCGGGGTAACAAAGAAGGCAGACTGAGCCTTAAGACCATGGTTGAGAGCATCCCGGGCGATAGAAGCAGCTCGGGACATGTCCTCGTAGGAAGAGTTTGTGCAAGATCCGATCAGGCCAGCCTTAAGCTCCTCAGGCCAGCCATTAGCCTTAACAGCCTCGGAGAACTTAGAAATAGGGGTTGCTAGATCAGGCGTGAAGGGACCATTGATATGTGGTTCAAGTTCGGAAAGATTGATTTCGAGGTATTGGTCATATTCGGCACCCTCGTCCTCGCGTAATTCCTTAGCATAAGAGCGGGCGAAGTCACCAATTTCAGTTCTCTTGGTTGCCGCTAGGTAGTCATACATGCGATCTGTAAAGGGGAAGACGGAGGTGGTGGCACCAATTTCAGCGCTTTTGTAAAAGTCAGCATTTTCGCAGTTAGGGATCGGGGAAATGGTGTTGAGAAAAAAAAAAAGACGCCGAAAAAAGAAGGAGCCTAAAAGGGGGAGGAGCGGAAGGAGCGGGAGGAGGGGAGGAGGGGGAGAAAAAAAAAGGGGGGGAAAGGGGGAAAAAATCGGAAAAAAATCGAGAAAAATCATAGAATGCCAGAAAAAAATGAGAAAATTAAGGGAAAGCTGAAAAGACTCACCCCATATTCGCCACGGAGCCGAGGCCTGTTGCAGATACTGTTTTGAGACCAGGTCCATGGTACTCGGCTATGAAGCCAGTACCGCCGCGTACTGTAAGTTCTCCCGCCACTTTAAGAATAATATCTATAGACTTATTAGTATAGTTCGATAAATATAGGGAAGGTACGTAGACTTACCTTTGGGACTAGACCAGCCCTTTAACTCGCCTGTGAGATTAATCCCTAATAAGAGTTAGATTTGTGTAGCTGTAGGTTGTAGGACGGACTTTACCAATATATTTTGGTGCCTTCAGCTCCCAAGGCAGGTTTGCCATGACGTCAACGGCATCAGCACCACCAACACCAATGGCAGCCATACCAAGACCGCCAGCATTAGGCGTGTGAGAGTCAGTACCGATTAGGAGACCACCGGGGAAGGCGTAGTTCTCGAGGAGAATTTGGTGGATGATACCGGAGCCGGGTCTCCAGAAACCGATGTTGTACTTGGCGCATGCAGTGGAAAGGAAGTCGTATACTTCCTTATTGATGTTGACAGCTCGCTCAAGATCCTTCGCTCCACCAATTTGAGCCTCGATCAGGTGATCACAGTGTACGGTTGTAGGGTTTGCTACGGAAGGCATGCCAGCAGACATAAACTGGAGGATAGCCATCTGGGCGGTGGCGTCCTGGCATGCAACTCGATCCGGCCGCAATTTGAGGTATGACACTCCTCGCTCGATATCCTGTCCGTGCGGGTCGTCAAGATGGGAGTATAGAATCTTCTCGCCGTATGTCAAAGGGCGGTTCAAGCGGCTGCGAACGATCGCCAAATTCTCAGACATCTTCTTATAGTTGATAAAGTTGCCTTCTTCCCAGTTGTTTTGCTTGACCTATAGTTTGAGGGAAATATCAGCCTCCATAATCACCCCTCCAGCAAGCTTTAGAGCTTTGCGACCGATTGCTGGCTTACCTTCTTGTCCAAGGCCGAGTCAGCCACGGAGGCCATGCACCTACGCAGGTTCATGTTGGACACGACCCGCGATCGGGCAACGTTGCCCAGGACCTGTCGAGTGGCCAACATGTTGACAACCGCGGTCCTGAGGATAGCTGTGAGGGGTTCAGATGTAAGACACAGTCTAGACCAAATTCAACTCCTATGAAAGTGGGAGAATGAGAAAAATATCAACAGGGAGACGATAGGCCTCTTGAACCTGAAGGAAGAAGGAAGAATTGGTTCTTTAGGAGGAAAGGTAAAAAAAAAAAGATTGTGACGGAAAAGAAGAGGAAAAGGTGGAGAGTTTTTGTGGTTTGCGATTAAAGATGTTACCTTTGGCCGCCCGGTACTACGGTACTACGGTAAAGGGAAGCTGTGAAAGCCTACTGGTCACTAACTGGCTAGGCGTGCTAGGGATTTAGATGTATCGGGGTACTTCGGTTAAGACGAAGAGGTACCTCCACTATTGATGGTATCACCCGGTTGAATGGACGAATCACAGCAAATCCGATTACTTTCAGGTCAAAAACTGTGACCTCACCCTGCTTCTTTAGAGAATCAGCCACCATATGGGATAACGATGGAAGCATGGCTTACATTGTACATACATGTCCATATGTATGCATGCTTGAACGTGCATTGATTGCATTGATTACAAAGAGGTATCATGAAGCTAACCTAGATTCCTCATATCCATATGTCACATATCTATTCATACTATTATATAAGAAGGTCGTCATCGTTACAAAAGTTCCAAGAAACAAACACTTATCTATCTTTAATGTAAGTGGCTTTTGGAAACGAGGGGCATTTGCTCGGCAACAGGATGAAAAAAAAGACTACACTAGGGTACCTAGATAAGTACATGTATTGTACAAAGCCGAAATTTTTATAGAACGCGCGGAATGCAGATAGATGAAAGCGGTTGGATGGAGACTCTTCATGTATAACGACCTAAGAGAGGCACGTATGTATATGTAAGGTATTGCCGGACTTGGATATGAGTTGGGTTAGCTGCAAGTTTCAACGCTGTTAGTCAATTACTAGAATCGCTTCACAAGCTTGAATTCCTTAGCATGGTGTATGTACAACAGCCACGATATGTACCTAGATACTTAGAACCCCATGAATCCATCGTGCAATCAGATCAATGGGATTGGTCAGACTTTAAGCTTGAAAATTCAATTTGACGTCGTCCCTACGAGTAGCACAATTGTTAGTAGTGTATGAGTGTATGTAGTCTACAAGTCTACAAGTCAGGTCAAAGTAGTTCGTCAAGTTGATAGGCACATGTAAATCTGTGCAACTTTCTTGTTTTCCTGTAGCTCAAACCTCATTGGAAGCTCGACGATCTATGACCTAGTTTCTACTTAATCCTTGCTCACCTCTGAGACCTGGGGGTAAGTTGGGTAGTATGTAAGCCTGCGAATCAGCCCCCTTCAGTTGCACAGCTACCAAGTCGACGGTAGCCTTGCAGCAGCATCTTAAAACCTCTGAGGCTTAGGACTGAGATTCAAATTTATTGCAAACACAATTGGTTCTGCATACTAACAGAATGCAGTTTTGGTCCATTTGAGAAAGCTGGATCAATTATGAAGGAATCAAAGACATGTACCTCGTTCCTGGGAACAAGTACCTTGGAAATAACCGCAGGTACCTCTTCGTCGTGGCCCAAGTAACGCCGTAGTGTAAAAGCCCTGAATCGCTTCACGAATGCACGCAGGTCCACATTTACAGGTCTGCAGGCCAAAATCGACAGGCCGAGACAAATTTTGCTCAGTCTGGAGACCAAACAGGTGGGACCGAATTGGCCAATCGGCGATACCACTAGGATCAGTGGACAAGGAATATACCCCCACGACAACTTTGCCTCGGTGAATATTTGGCACCGAGTTGTCGCCCTGGCGCATCGGCATAAGGGTATTGCTAATGCCACATATCTTTATCGCTAAGCCGAAATCTGAGTGTAGAATAATACCGTGTAGCCGTGCAACCATGCACACCTACAGTATATACTCCAACGTTGAATTCGTTTAAATATTTTCCCATGCTTTTTGATAGGTAGGAACTTTGTATGATTGCGGCATGGACCTGACTAATAACCTGCCGCTGTAATGCCGTTCGCCCGGCTCTGTAAAAACGGATGGAGCCGAATCAAATTCGGAGGCTCGGAACGTTAAACCATAACTGCAATTACGGGTTTGCGCCCGGACCACCTGTTGCCACTTCCCAAACTGCTAAACCAGACTAAAAATATTCACCCCACCAAAATTTCTACGCCTAGGAAATCTTCAATTCAACTTACCTAATACATGTGAAATTAATTACTACCTACTATCACAGCAGCTACATTCTTCAAGACGCAATAGTCCTTGTCGAATTTGCCATCGAAAGAATCGTCGCCTATCATGGGTGTCACCAACAAGCGTACGCTATCCAAGACCCGTCGCAAGACGAGGGACCTCGATCAGATCAAAGCCGACCTCCTCTCGCCGAAGCATCTTGCCCAATTCAAGAACTTAAAGGCGCCAGAAGACCTACCTGCTCTAGGCAAATGGTACTGCACCGAGTGCGCCAAGTGGTACGATACTGAGGACAACCTCGTCGTACACAGAAAAGGAAAGCCTCACAAGAGAAGGTACGTTTACTTGATAGTAGCATATATCATTTTACTCAATAGTAGCATATATCATATTAGGTATCTAAGCTAACAGTGGATATAGAGTCAAGCAGCTTCGCGAGGAGCCATATACTCAGAAGGAGGCCGAGGCTGCTATTGGTCTCAGAACCGACAATCAAAGCCCCTACCGAACCGATAGCGGCGCCGATAACGAGATTACCATGTCGACATGAACGGTTCAATCTTATCGCGCAAACTTCTCAAAATAGGCATCTATGGCGTTTCGGGCATACTCGCGAGTGTCATCAATGGAGCACAGGTTGGGCGTCTTATATAATGCGCCCATACGTTGCAATAGTACTTAAGGCATTTTCCAGCCAAATCGGGGCTAATATCAGATCTCGAGATTGTGATATCGCGAGGGTTTGATCAGTTGTCGACTTTGCTCATTTCAAGCCACGAGCTCTCGGTTTGACGAGACCACTTGCGCGACCTCGTCCCGTTCCGCCTCTACCTCTAGACTGGGTGCCGCCTCTTGAGGGAGGGGGGACACGAGATTGACGAGCATCCTGCGTCGCAAACTTCTTAGGAGTCGGCTTGGAGACTGTCGGTGGGTTCTCTACGAAGGAGGTGTCCGTAGTCCTATAGATAATTAGCATTAGACTAGCGCATCGTATCAAATGCGCATACATGAATGTCGTCTCCCCCTCAAATTCGCCTCCTCGCTCTGTGCTTCGAGATCGAACTGGTGCCGGCGATTGCTCCTCTCTAACCCGAGCTCTGCGGAATGACTCGGGGATCGGTCCCTATAATTCCATAACTTATCAGCAGGTATTAAATCTTGTATATGCAAAATTGCCTATTACCTCGGCAAAGTCGACGCAGAAAGCATTCATGTTCAGTCCGTACATGAAGCTCGCGAAGCTCTCGCTGAATCGTGAGAGGCTTTCGTGCATCAGCTGGAAGTGCATCATGTTCGCCTCTAGGTCGGCCATAGCATCAGATAACTCGGCGAATGCGGGTTCAAAGGCGTTCAGTGGGAAGGGTTCGCCACCTTGGACGCTGCGCTGAGCGGACTCGCGGAACGAGGAACGGGAAGAGGGGCGGAGAGGAGTTGTCGGACGCGAGCGCGACGTGGAGCGCGGTCGTCGCACGCTATCGTGACCTTCGTTTCCCGACATAGTGTTTAAATTGGCTGGAAATATGATGACGATGATGAATTAAAAATAGTGCTTGTTATTGGTATTTATTTGATTGAATGTGTTTTATACTGTGGATATTTGAATCGTTACTTAGAAAAAGGTAACTGCCCCCTTCGATAGAATTCAATGCTTGGCAACCACGAATTAAGGCTGCCAGGGTGCTCAAGATATGGTGGGGTCAAACGCCTAAGGTTCAAGGTATTGGACACGTGCTAAACTTCTATTTAGATGCTGCCCCTTGGGATAAAGTGGTACCTGAACCCCAACATGACGTAAACTGTACCTAATATCTAAAAAGGAAGGGACGGAAGAGCTGATGTACAGCGGCTAGTAGCAGCTCATCTCAAAAAAAAAAAAAAAGAAAAGAAAAAGAATCGCATAATAGTATAAATCATAGCTCTTACTAGAATTATCTACCTTAGGTAGTCTAACTACTAAATGTAATTGTACTTAGTTCTTTCTAGCTTACATACATCTTCTACGCACTAAACAGAAGAAAAGCAAAGCCGAGTATGCAAATGCTTACTTTTTCTACCCGTCTTTAACGATCGCTTCTTTCTGGATACCTGTCGCTATTTACTACGTATCATCGGAGCTTTAAGATTGAATGCGCTTAGAGTCTGAGAGAGCCGAGACATATATAAAACAACTACTATAAATCAACCATTTAACACACGTATTCTGCATTCGATACAACCCTACATTTAGCAGCTGTGGTGGATAAGGGATAGACCGGACTCGTACAGCTGCTCGTACTCGGTTTCTATACGTCAGGTTGAACAAAGGGATACGGCAGCAGCATACAGCAATTTCTTGGGCCTTGTTTAAAGGTACCATTGCTTCGCGTCCTTGTCAGCAAGCCGGGGACTTTGCGACGGGGCTGATCCCGCCCCCCAGAAAATAAGACAGCCAGCCTTAATTCGAAAAAAAAAGGGTAGTTCGGCTCCGTCGGACATTTGACATTTGTGCGACAACTTCTTGCGCTATCTTAGAACTTATGAAGACAACAGCGCCTCTTGTACCGCAACCATTTCTCTTCTCCACAGTTCCGAGACTCTACTTTATTGTTAGTAGTCTCTCAACTCAACAAACCTTCAATTTACAACAATCTCTTCTACTTCGTCCTTCACCAAAGGTCTTACGCGCATTCTCTAGCCCCGCCCTCCTTCTAACTCGTCCGTCATCAAACTTTGCACAGCCCCGCGGATCGTTATTATTACATCCCCAGAGTCATACTTATAATCGCAATTTTTATTCATCGTCACTCTCATATCAAGTAAAAACTCATATAAAAAGACGAGGATTTTCAAGACACGATCAGAGACCCGAACGGTGCTTAAAGAGCCAAATCTCACCTGCGCTATATTTTTTACCCTTGCTCATATTTGGCACCTTAGTCCTCTACGGTATAGTACCAACTCATCTAAAAGTACTGCCAATATCTGAAGCTATTGCTGGAGACTATTCCAGCGAACTCGTAGGAGACATGGAACCTCTTCCGGGTAGGCCAGGGAACTTAACCCCCGAAGAAGAAGAGAAGCTGCGCAAGTTCTGGGAGATGTTCTTGCACGTATGCGGCGTTCTAGGCGAGGAGGCCTCCGGCGAGGTGGACAATGCTTCAGAGAGTCAGGGGAAGGCAAGCACCGCGGGATCCGAAAAACCCAGAAAGAGTCGAATGTCTATTTTTAAGAAAAAGAAGGACAAGAGCAAGGATGGCGCAGCGACTGCCAAGGTCCCCGCCATGGATAACATCAAGGAAAACGACCCAGAAGATAAATGGGGTGAGAACAAGACATACCTCGATACCTTAGCCACGCACACCCCGGAGCAGATAAGAGCCACGATCTGGGCTATGGTCAAGCACGACCATCCCGATGCTCTTTACTACGGTTCCTGAGAGCCAGGAAATGGGACCTCCAAAGGGCCCTCGTCATGCTGATGTCGACGATGAATTGGAGGTGTTCGGAGGCCCATGTTGACGACGAAGTTATGGCCAACGGCGAAGAACTTGCTTCTATCAACGAGAAAACCGGCGATGAAAAGACTAAAAAAGTAGCACAAGACTTTCTAGCTCAACTACGCATGGGAAAGAGTTACTGCTACGGCACTGATAAAACGGGAAGACCTATTTGCATTGTTAGAGCTCGCCTACACAAAGCAGGCGAACAGTCCGAGGAAGGCCTAGAACGTTTTACTGTTTATTTGATCGAGACGACGCGGTTTATGCTTCACCCACCTATTGATACTGCTGTTAGTGGTATATCCCAGCCATCCCCGAATATCCCAGAAACTAACATTATTAGTGTGTCGTTTTCGACTTGACTGGCTTTTCCCTAGCTAACATGGTAAGTTCAAGGGAGATACCGAAATGTAAGATGTGGCAAGCTAACACCTATTAGGATTACACTCCGGTGAAGTTTATGATAAAATGCTTTGAAGCTAATTACCCCAGAGTCTTGGTGTTGTTCTCGTTCATCAGGCCCCGTGGGTCTTTCAAGGTTTGCCAACTCCCACATTATAGTTACGAATGCATAGTCTAACTCAATATATAGGTATCTGGAAGATTCTTCGGGGGTGGCTCGATCCCGTAGTTGCGGGCAAGGTCCATTTCACAAATACAGTCAAGGATTTAGAGGAGTTCGTTGCTAAGGAGAGGCTACCCGACGAACTAGAAGGCACATCTGGCTATACCTACAAATACGTAGAGCCAGTGCCCGGTGAGAATGCCAAGATGAAGGATTTAGAGACAAAAGAGAAGCTTCTACGGGAGCGGGAAGCTCTCTACGAAGACTACGAAAGCAAGACGATCGAATGGATTAACGAAACAGATGCTACAAAGAGGGCCGCTATCTATTCGGAACGAAATACGATTGCTAAGAACCTAAGGGAGCAATACTGGCACTTAGATCCCTACATCAGGTCAAGGTCTTTCTTCGACAGGATAGGTGTTATCAAGCCCGACGGGAGCCTTGACTACTACCCTTCGAAGATCACAAACGGGACGACGGCCGCGTTGGCAGCGGGAGAAACATCAGCTGATGATGTCGATTAAAACTAATGTACACGTAGAGGAATGGAGTATGTCAATAACAAGGGCGGTTGGGTGGGTAATTAGCATAGACTAGGCATCAATATTACCGAAAGCAATGACGGGGATGTGTAATTTCTTAATTCTTTTTTGTGAACTCTTATGAATTAAAGGTCTATCAACTAGACGAGTAGTCGTTTAGCCATACATTAACATATATAGCTTGAGTACCTAACTTCAGAGAAGGCTTCTTAAAATACCCTCACATCTTGGCTTTGATCTCTTCGTAGAGCGCCTTTAGTGCGTCCATGTCCGTGGTCTGCTGGGGCCAGCCTACTCCGAGTCCTTGCTCCTCGTTCGGCTTGGGGATCTAAGGGGTGTGTTAGTAGTAGCGTTGAGATAAATTACTAATGGACATTTCTTACCATGTGGAAGTGGACCTGGAGTAGAAATAGTTGCAATTAGCTTGCTGTTACAAGTTTCTCTCATGCTTATCTCATCACATCAAGCTGGTTTCATCCAACCCCTTCTTCGCGAGAAGGGCAAGGAGACTAGGCTAAATATTAGGGGTTAGAAAACTCACATGGTCAACAACCTGGTGGGCGATACGGCCGTTGTTCTGTAGGATATTGTAGTTGGTGGCGCCGGTTGCCGCGACTAGCTTCTTGACCACGGGCAGGATCTCACTCAGCTGGTCGTCGGGGATGTCGGCTAGCTTGGCGCCGTGGAACTTGGGGATGACGAGCTTGGTGTTGTTAGTCTTATATACATTATCTTCTTTACTAATTGGGTAGGTAGGTAGTTTTAGGATGGATGAAATGAGGGGTGGTATCTTACAGCATGACCCTTGCTCAGAGGATTGATATCGAGGAACGCAAAGGTCTTGTCGCTCTCAAAGAGCTTGAAGGAGGGAATTTCTCCTGCAATTTGTTGTTAATAGATTTATTACATTTATATAACTGAGAATGTGTTGGTGAAATAGTACGAGTGAGTCGAATTCAAGACATCATCAACACCAAAATGAAACCCCGAATAGGTACCCACCCTTGATGATCTTGCAGAAGATGCAGGCGGCCATGTTGACTACTAGCAAGTGACTTAGACTTAGTATAGGTATATGTATGGAGACGTGGACCTTGATGGCTCGCTAGGTTCGATGTTCCAGATATACGGTCTCGTCGGATCTTGATAAATTACAGACAAGCTTAGAAGCTCACAGGTCGAGAGATCAATCAATCACACCAGATTCGACGTCACATAGAGGGGCACAACAGCTACCCCACCTTATTCTACAAAGCATAACCTTATGTACTTCCATGTATCCATGTATGTACGCGTCGGGCTATTTCGGTAATCGGGGTCAATTGATGCTATTGTGACATGCATTACCTTCTTTATTTTAGGTGCAAGTATACAATTCTCATAGAGATATTATCTTTGTCTTTACAATTGAAGTATTTAAAAATGATCAGGCATTATTTGTATAAGATTTAGTTAATCAGTAGTATAGTTCGTTGAAAAAAAGGCGAAAAATTAAATCAAACAAATCCATACATCAATCGCGCATGCAAACGCGCAAAATAAATCTCAAATAAGAAACCATAACTAATATGTATTGAATTTCAGGATTGGGAGTTGTAAGGACGAAAAAAAAAGGTGCAAAAATAGACCAGCAAAACAAAATTGAATCTGGGAACTCCAGAATATTGTTTCCAAAGATTAGTGAAAGGAGCATTGTGGGTTACACAAGGTTGAGTCAGGTAAAAGGCATGAGTCAAGTACTTTTATGCAATCCCGCTCCTAAAATTTCGAACTGTTATTTTGCTTTATAAGGCTTACAATGGCCGGAGAATACCCGGACCAATTATAATACACAGTTCATTTTATCGCTCAAAACACTGTGCGCTTGTAAGTCAACGCTTCGCTGTAACTTGATCAGCAATTATGTTCCTCATCAGGCTTTGTGATTACTGTTATAATTGATTCTCTAAATTTTCTACCAGGTACTTACCGAGACTCTCATCTATTTCTAAAGAGAATGGTAGTTCTTCAGTCTTTGGAAGACCAACTCCTTTACTTCAAGATAACATCTCCCCTAGTTCAATCCTCTATAGAGCGTTGTTTAGATAATATAGCCAACTAGTCCATATGTATATTATATATGATATAGTATCAAGATACAAACAAAGACAAATACATCTCTATTAGTATCTCTATTAGTACACAGAGATATATACCTTAACCTATAGTATCTAGATTCGCTAAACTATCAAATTATAGCATGTATATCACCACGATTAATTATTCCCGGTATAAGCTATATAGTTTTACTTGACTGTATACCTACCTTCTCTCCCTAATGTACCTTATAGCATCATCTGATAGGTAGTGACATTGTTGAAGACTTATCTCCGGCGGCAAATATCAAAAAGGGGCGACGGGACTTAGAGCTAATAACTCTACGGAAATTTTCTAAATAGTAGTCCCTGTAAAGTCTATAGAAAATCTCTTCGAGTGGATCTAGTAAGGTCATTCGCCACCTAATTGGGTCCTCAAGCTGCCCGAAAATACCGGGCTGGCCCGCATATCGAGCTTAACTGCTTAACTATAATTGGGAAAGGGGCGGCACAACCTGTAATAGTTCCTGCAGCCACCTACAAATACAACATGCCCAGTGGTGTCAAGTTCACTACCTAGACGAACCGAGAGGATCCCAATTCCCTAGATATACCATCAATTCAAATAACTTCATATATCATATATAAGCCAGCGGCACCTAGCATCTTCTTTCCTTCATAAGAAAACTGCCATGAGAACAAGACTGACTGCGGTAGCCAAATTGGAAAGCACTGCCGCTGTAACATACCCAACACCTAGTGACTCGTCCGCTTTGTAGATTGTAGTAGCGACTTGGGTCTTGTCCAGGTTTCTGAGCCCATCCACTCGAAGAACCAATTTCTCACCTCCATCGAAACTACCAAACCAGCGCTGTACTCCTTCTCTCGTATCACTGTCAGGGTAGTCAACGAAGCTGAATCTCCATCTGTCGTCGGAAAGCTTGAAAGGTGCTCTTTTGCCGACGGTGATGCGGATAAATTTGCCGGACCTCTCTGTAGGGACTGTATCCTCGCGGTAGGCTGAGCAGGGTATCCAATCATTATTTTCCCAATTTGGATTCTTGGGTTTAATCTCAACTGAGTATTTGCTTTCGAGATTCTCATAACGGAGCGTCTCGCTTGTATTGTTGACGACTTGAACGATCTTGATAGTCATATTGTAAGAACCCGCGGATTTGCAGCTGGTAACGTACTCTAGATTTTGATGTAATGCTGGTGACTGATAAATAATGTCGCGATGATTCTAACGTTGATTTGGCGTTCCTCAACAGATGTCTTTGGCTTCGTTTGCGTGTATACTTCGTTGGGGCAGATTATGCTGAAGAACACCATTGCTTTATATAGACAAAGGGCTAAGGTCATACATAATGTCTTTGACTCGCGACAATCAAGTTGACGCTGCAGCAGCAAATCATAGTGATACTACGACTTGACGCCCTCGTTCGTGTTATGGTTCGTTACATGGAAATTGGAGCCACGACTATTGGTTGCCATCTAATACAATGTTACAATACGAGATATTAGATCATTGGGTGAGAATTGTTATATTCACTTTGTCACATAGTTTTAGCACCACATTTCGCTCACAGATGTCGGCATAATTTCGATCATGTTTAATATTTTGCCCAGCGGTCGTAACGAAAACCTCTGGTTATAGTTATTGAGCGGGGCATGCTATACTAAATGTTTAGATCGTTACTTCTTTAAGTAATGCAGGACGAGGAATGCCAGCTGAAATCATATAATCCGGAAGGACGTTAAATAACAACTCAGCTGAAAATAAATAATATCATGCAGGCCTCTCTGATGGCCTGGTAATACGAGACGAAGAATTCCAGCTGAAATCTCGCCAACACTCTACAGCCTATCTAGTATAATATTGGAATACGTGATATTAGATTATTGGGTCAAAAATATCATGAGATCAGACTATTATACCAACCAATAAGATATTGAGTTAATAAGAATGTAATAGTAATAGAATTAGACATGCCCCTCCGATAGGAACGAAGAAATCAAAGTCCTTAAAATCTAAGAGAATTATTACATAAACTGAACCATTGTGTCAAGCTACTATTACCTTATTATAACTAGCAAAGCCGTTTGAAGAAATCTCATTGATCATTTACCAAGTATATATAGAGCTTAAAATTCCCAAGCAAGAAAGCAAGACGCAGAAACATCAGCACTCTACCTACAGAGAAAAAGCTAGCTTACTACTTGAATCTTCGCTCTACTTATTACCCACAAACCCAAATAGGTAAATTCAAGGACTCCAAACAAAGGAGTTACCAACATGTTGACTTCCAATAGAGAAACTCACTGTCATCATGAACAACAAGCTCCACGTCTGGCTTGACGAGAAACCACATTCGGTTGAGGGCCATACTGCGCAATGCACCCTCTTTTTCAAAGATAGGCAGGTCTGGGGCCCTGTCAGTTGTCACAACAATACAAAACAGCTCAGCGATGCGATTCAGAAAGCAGACGACCGCTTCGCCCTTACAGTTGAGCCGAAGAGCAAATCAATCGAAGGCCATACACGCTATATCAGCGTCAAGTCTCACGGCACAGTTCTTCTGGATAAATTATCTACTCATGATAACATGAAGGGGCTGGTTACCGCTATTGAAGCTATTCTAGCTGCTCTAGGCTAGGATTAAATGTATTTTCAAGATAGTACTAAGATGGTTGCGAGTTGGGGCCGGGTTCAATATAGTAGGGTCGAGTTTTTAACCTGGTCGGACAAGAATGGCAGGCATTCGAGACACATTACTTTTTATTCTTAGCATAGACAGGTTAAATTGAATGAAATTGGGTTGAAGCGAGTCAGATAAAGTGTCAGTTCAGTAAGTCTTTCCAACGCGACAAGTAAGGGGAACCCCTACCCTGTCTATAATGTGATGACGATGTGTAGCAAGGGGTAGACATCGTAATCCTACCTACACAACCAATGACAATCGCCGTAGCCACAATATTTACCGATTTCTATGGTAGACACCAGCCAAGTTTACTGTGGTAGCTTTGCTCTCCTAGGCATATAGAGATATATCCTGGAGCTTACCACTGATCTCGTCCACACCCACTTGTTCAATCATCTTTGTGTCTAGACTGATTCTGGGAAAGTAGGAATGACTTGCTAAATCCTCGTGGTTGAGGTTCCAACCATTAACCTCGCAGTAGAAGTTGACGACCCCCTACAGCTTGCCCCCTTTTAGAGAACAAATTGCTTTGTTAGCTACGAGGTGATCAAGTAAACGCTCCTTACTACCTACGAACTAGATACTCCACGGTTACTGTCTTTGGCGAATAGAATCGTTCCTGTAATGGTATATTACGGAGCTCGGCACCGGCCTTATAATATACTTTCGGACCGGAGTGGACCTTCGGGGACACCGGTTTTACATTGTGCACTTGGCCTCGGAAAGTGAGAAGAAAGAAAGGGAAAACACCAAAACTAAACGTATCTGCACTTTAGTTATAATTATCTTGATGATAATATTCATCAGCTATAAAATAGATTGAAACTCTGAAATTGGACGTTCCTCAAGGTAGAGAATCTAATAATGTTATCGGGCTTTGTACCTATTAGGTATATGCAGCTATCAAAGAAACTGATAAGATAGCGCTAAAGATCGGTTCCTTCTAGCGTGTCATCTTCCCTACATGTGTACCTCAAACAACCGCGCTATTGCTTAACCCCCCTGCTAGCAACTGCCTACGGGTGCAGACATACCTTAGGCCTTAGGTAGTTTGCGACTTCCGGCCGCAAAGCACACGACTCAACTTTGTCCTTCTCCAACTCGCCTCCATATTTTTTTTTTTCAATGGCGATTCGAGTTGGCGTTAAACAACTGCTTTAAGCCTCGCAGGACGGATCCTGTACGCCTCTCGCTATTTTCTCTCCTTCTCCGGGCGCGTTCGGTTTTGCGATAAGCGTGTCGTTTTGCTGAGTACAATTAATCAGCTAGGACCTTACAGTAAGAAGTGAGAAGTGAGAAGTGGTAAGATCGCAACTCGCAACTCTCAACTCTCAACGTCACTACGGTTAGCTCGGTTCGACCACACACCGCGATAATGCCTACCATCCAAGGCTTCAGCACGATGAGAGCGCGCTCATATGTATTCCGTCTACCGTTATTCACGCGCGCTATGATTGCTGTTATGGTGGCGTTCTGGATTGTCTCAATCCAATCAACATGGGATGTGCGACAATGGGGTGCCTTAATTCCCGATGAATTGACTCTGTCGACTAGTCAGTCCCCTTTACTCTTATCATATATGCTCTTCTTTATATACTAATGCGACTTTGATATAGTGTACCGAGTGAATACCTTCCCATTAATACACCTTAACTTCTTCCACGCCCTCTTCAACATCCTATCCTTAACGCCGCTCCTAGAGAGATTTGAGAACGAGTTTGGAACCTTGACCTCTCTTGCACTATTTTTCGGCCGTAAGTGCACTTGTTCATATCGTGTTGCTAGTTCTTACTATAGCGTCACTTGAGTTAACACGTACTGTAGCTTTAACAACGATACCGGCTTTGGTCTATATCTTTTGGGAGAAGTTCATTGTAAAAGGAAATACTGCTGTTATGGGAGCCAGGTACATACACAGCCCATTCTTTGACTTAGGGTTAATACTAATACATGGACGTGACAGCATCTGGGTATTTCTATTACTAGGTATCGAGGCTATTCGAACGTACAAGACCAACCCGTATCTTGTGATAGGAACACATCATGTTCCTACATGGACCACCCCTTTGGTGATGGTATTGGTAGTTGAGGCATTGATTCCCAATACTAGTTTTTTTGGTCATCTCTGCGGCGTAGGCACGGGTTATTTATGTAAGTGAACCTTGGGTATCTTCATCTTGGTATAATTATGCTAATGGTATTCTCTGCGTAGTCGGCTTAGGTTACCTCAAATTCCTTGCGCCTCCTGAGAAGGCTTTACGATGGATCGAAGCTCGTCTGAACCTGCTAGGTCGATTGCCGCACTACGTCAGTGTAGACCAGAAGACGTACGGTAGGTTCGGCGTCTTACCGACTAACAATTCAACCACGCAGATGACGCCATTAGGCTTGATGGGCTCTACGCAGCGATTAGGTCCTTAGTATAGGTTCCAAAGGTATCTGCAGAGGGTGGAGAGGGCTTCAGCAAATGCCACCCTGTATATAGCACGTGGTTATTGGGCATTCCGACATTGCATGATACTGGCGTTTCTGGGAGGGAAAATATTATTGGCATCGCAAGGCCGTATACTCATCCGCCTCGTAGCACTTGTTTGCAGGATAATGAGGTTGGTTGTCTATATTGCTAAAAACTTTTCCGAACGCTTTGAGGGTAATATTCGTGACTTGTTGTCTTGATGTCTTGAGTTCAGCTATATTCATTCTTTTTCGTCTTGTAACTTTTTAGCTCCTAGTATGGTTAATTAATGATGATAATACTGAAGGTCTATTTTTGATGTTGAAAGGAGTCTGACCCATGATAACCCATGATATATCGTTGCACCTATAAAATAATATGCAACTAATAGGTAATAGGCCATAAGGCTGATTATGTCATTTTAGGGTAGGTACCTACATACTTCAGCTTAATTAAGGATTGGACCCCTGAAAGTCAAGTCACGGTGGGACTCGTGTTACACGCGATCTTGGGGTACCTTCCCATTAGATGTACTTTTTAATTGAATTTATGGCTACAGTTTCAATGCAGCTTTAAGCTTTAAGCTGTTACACATCAACTTTCAACTTTTCCTCAGCGCATGGTTTATTTCAAGAGACTATAGAAGCTATGCCACGTTTACTCTGTAAGTCATCTTCACTTAATAGAGCTAACATACTGAAATTATAGCAATTGGCTAACTGAATATGAAAAATAGCTGCGGTAATGGCTCTGCGCCGCGATCCGCGGTTGCTGAAGCTTCCGCCATACCTGTCCCTCCTATGTATCGTCGTCGGTGTTGTATGGCTACTCATGTTACCTCTCGACGAATATTCGCGCCGTACTTATATTAGCGAGAACGCCTTATTACCTGGCCAAGTCCATACCTATTTTGGTGGTAGCGATCAGAACGTGTTCCGGGCTTACAAGCACGAGATCAACGCCCTAGAGAACAGCACCAATACCCAAGTCAACGATGAGCTCGAAACTATATTCAAGGGCCTTGGCCTTAAGGTCGGGCGACAGAATTATACATACCATTCTTCGGGCAACACGTATGTCGGAGAGAACGTGTACGCTATATTACAAGCCCCCCGTGGTGATGCTACAGAAGCCATAGTACTTGTTGCTGCCTGGAAGAATGTTGAAGAAGAGTTCAACCGCAATGGTCTGGCACTGGCTTTGGCCCTAACACGGTACTTCAAACGCTGGTCGCTGTGGTCCAAGGATATCATCTTAGTGGTGCCGCCCGATAGCCGTGCAGGCATGCAGGCTTGGGTAGACGCGTACCACGATGCTCACGATCCGTCTCAAGTAGCTCCATTACCGATGAAGTCTGGCGCACTACAAGGCGCCATCGCACTAGACTATGCGCAAGAAGGGCGCTTCGAGTCTATCGCCATCGCGTACGACGGTGTCAACGGGCAGCTACCAAACCTAGACTTGATCAACTCGGTCGTTAACATCGCAAGCGGACAGATGGGCATGGGGAGCGCGCTACAGGGGATTTTAAAACACTCGCAGAAATATGACGATAATCTAGCTACGGTGCTCCGAGGTATGCTCAACCAGGCGTTGGGACATGCCACGGGGCCTCATAGCAGTTTTATCCCGTACCATGTCGATGCAGTTACGCTGAGACCCGTGGGCAATGGCTGGCATGATGAGATGGGGCTTGGACGACTAGTTGAAGGGTTATTCCGAAGTCTAAACAATCTGTTAGAGAAGCTGCATCAGAGTTTCTTCTTTTACTTGCTTATTCATAAGCACCGCTTCGTCAGTATTGGCACGTATCTACCTAGTGCGATGCTGGTTGCTGCGAATTTTACTATCATGGCTATTGCGTTATGGGTTAAGAGCGGGTACAGAGAAATCAATGCGCCGAAGGAAGAACAGGAGAAGAAACCAGAGATAGGAGAGGCTAAAGAGAGTGAAGGAGTGAAAGAGGTAAAGGAGGCTGCGAAGCCGACTTCGGTACCGGTTGAGCGAGAAATACTTCTCCCACTTACTCTCGTAGCGGGATGTCAGTTTCTAGGGGTTATTCCGCTATTTGCCTTCAACCAGACGCCTTCTAGTGTAAGTCTTCTTATTCTCCCCCCTTCTTTAATCCCTACATCCCCATCCATACCCAACACCACCCCATATACCAGTTATTAAGCTAACGCATCAAAACAGCTCCTCACGCCAATCTTTATCCTCTTCGCCATCATCAATGCCGGCCTCCCACATCTCGCCTCTTATTTCTTAACGAATGGCATCCGCAAACCGCCTACGGCCCAGCAGTACCTACTCATCCGATCATTCTCCCTATTACTACTAGGAATGTTCCTCTCGTCCCTCGCAACTCTCAACTTCTCACTCGCCTTTATCATCGGCGTCCTATCTAGCCCGTTATCGTTTTCCCGCACGTGGCCCTCTTCCTCTCCTTCCTCATCCGCATCTTCTCCATCTACAAATACAGAGAAGGGTGTAAACGCAGCAGTATTCAGATACGCTCATTCAGCCCTTCTCCACGCCCTAGCCCCTCCCGTCGTTCTACTCATAAGTAGCGCGTTAGCCGGCGTAAGTATCCAGAGCGTACTTGAGGAGGCGGCGTTCGGTTGGCATGTCTGGGGTATGTATACCCAACTTCTCGTGTGGTGCGTCTGGTGGCCGGCGTGGCTGGTAGGCCAGATCATAGTGCTTGGGCAGCCGAAGGAGGTCGGGGGTAGGAGTACGGGAAGCGAAAAGGAGAAGAAAAATGCTTGATTTTATTGCAAAGGATTGTTGGCTGCATGGGCGGCTTTGCTGTGATTATTGAGCTGGCATATCGTCCGGATCTGAACCTGTCCCCTATTGAGATAGGTAGATAGTGTTGTATTCGGAGTCGGGTGGAATTCAGCAAGGTGTTACGATACCGGAGGTTTTGGAACAGGCATTGCTAGAGAAAAATAGACAACTACCTAACCTAGGTAGTTACAGCGACATCATATCCATTATATTTGAAATCTTGCGGTTCTACATTAATATTTAAGTAGTATGAATACCTAGGGGTGGGGATCCGAAGCTATATTACGATATCTTTAACATGGCGGATAAGGTGGGCTTGATAATGATATCTTGTAATTACGAGGACATATAGCTATGTCTATTCAGTCGGGACGATCTAAAGACGGAGTAGAATAGAGATATCAAGAAGTATAGTAATACCTTTAAGGATTACTATACTACGTCATGTACAGTATAGACGGTTAACAAGTATCATAAAGCATCACTTATCACACTGAACAGACACCCCTATTCATCATAATTTCATAAACTCGGGACGTTATGCAGCAATACGTCCAGTCCTCTCGCCGGGACCACACGTCATCTATTAGTTATCTATCATACATGGCTCGTAAGCCGTCCCGTATGCAAGAGAAGGCGTTGTGCTCGCATTCCCTCTCTCGAAGTCCTTGCGTTTTTTTTTCTTCGTGGGCAATCTTCTTGCTTTAGACAGATAAATAGACAGATCAAGGGGCCCAGATATCCTGCCCTGTGGCTTCGATCCAGTTGCCTAGCTTATTGACGTTCTCGCCCCACTCGCCCAGGCGCTGGCTCATGCTGGCGATCTGCGCCATGTCAAGCACGCGCGGTTGCACCCAGGTGAAATTGACTAACTCGTCGACCTCGTCGATGGTACCGCGTACTAAACCCAGGCTGAGAGCCTTCATGACCAAGTGCTCGATCTCGTTCTTGCGGACCTTGGTGTCGGCGGATATGGTGCCGAAGCTCATAGCGCGCTGGTGCGGGGGCCGGCGGAATACGCTTTCGGTTAAGGCCGCGAGGTAGATCTTCTGGCGGATATCCTCGAGGTGTTCTTTCAGGAGCGGGTTGGAGGAGATGTGGCCTGATAAGACGTCGTACGCAGCTAGGTCACCGCGGTTGAAAGCTAGTAGTAACTCTTGCAGCCAGGCGACTTCACCGGTTAGGGCGGCAAGGATAGGGTGCTGCAGCAGTTCACCGAAGTTATAGATGGAGTCAGAGACTAGGGCGGCAATGCCTAGGTCGTAGGCTCGAGCGCGGCGCTCGTCGGGGGAGAGGGAGGACAGGTCGATGCAGGCGAGGTAGAGGAGGGCATTGCGGTAGTAGGATGCGAAGTCGGCCTTAGCTTGGTAGTAGTCGGCGTTGACCTGATAGAAGGCAGCGTGGACTTTGGTCTCGACGCTATCAAAGGAGTCAAGGATACGTTCAGCCTTGTCTAGATCCCTGCGCGAGGCCTCGAGGTCCCGCAGGTTCAGTTCCACGCGGGCGACGGCAGCAAGGGCATAAACGAAAGCGTCTTGGGAATCCTCGTGGTCAGCCTTCTTGGCGAGGTCGGAAAGGAAGGTGAGGCGTTCTTGGTCATCTATATATTATAGTTAGTTGGATGTAATGTATAATAAATAGAATTATGGAGTTTGGAATGAGGTAATTCACCTCTGCATTGGGTAGCGGCCTTCAAGCCCAGGTCGACAAGCTTAAGTTGGTTGATCTTATCAGCAAAATTTAATATGAAGACCTTGTAGAACTTGAGGCGCTGAGGTTCGCTCTTAGGGTTGGCGAAGAACTCGATCAGGGAGTCGGTAAGTTGGTGCCATAACTTGCGCTCCCAAAAGTTCTCGAACTGGATGATGAGATATTGGAGCTCGTCCGGGGTTTCGTCCCGCTGGTCGGCCAGGAAATCGGCGATGGTGTCGACGTTCATGATATTTCTCTAGGCTGTATTTTATATGTGCAATCTGTGGGAATTATGTATAGACGAGAATGGGTTGAAATTGGTGGTGTTTATAAGTTTGGTTGGGTTTGTTTGGTTATGATGTTAAATGTTGTATAAGTGGAAGTTCGAAGCTTCTGAAGCTTCAATCAATACGCGGCGGCTGGTGTGCAGCCTGTCCGGGAAGAAAGTACCTTTGTATTGCCTTAAGTTTACTTAAGGTTTTGTGTCAAGAGATTTTTAATATGCTAGAGGTAGAGCTTTATTAGCCTTACATCTCAACCCTGCGCTAGTTATCTCAACCTTACGCTAATAGGTTCTAAATTAATAAAATTAATTAAAAATATTTTATAAATATATTATTTATTTTTTAATATATTTTAATTATTTTATTACTATTTTATAATATTTTTAAATATTTAATTAAATTATATCTTTATTAATATTTACTAAATTAAAAATTATTCTAAAAACTAAAATATTAATACAAATACACATAATATAATATTATACTAATTAATATATATAAATTCCTAACTTTTAAATTCAACTTCTCTTCTTTCTTTTTTTATTTTCTCTTTTCTTCTTCTTTTTTTTTCTCCTTCTTTTCTCTTCCCTTTCTTCTTCTTCTTTTCTCTTCTTCCCCCCTTTTCTTTTCTTTTCTTCTCCTCTTTTTCCTTTTCCTTTCCTTTTCTTTTCTTTTCTTTTCTTCCTTTTCTTTTCTTCCCTTTTCCTCTCCTTCTTTCCCTTTCTTTTCTTTTCTTCTCCTTCTTTTTCTCCTCCTCTTTCTCCCTCTCCCCCCCCTCCCCCCTCCCTCCTCTCTCCTCCCCCTCCCTCCCTCTCCTCCCTCTCCTCCTCTCCTCCCTCTCCTCCCTCTCCTCCTCTCCTCCCTCTCCTCCCTCTCCTCCCTCTCCTCCCTCTCCTCCCTCTCCTCCCTCTCCTCCTCTCCTCCCTCTCCTTTCTCCTCCCTTTTCCCCCCCTCTCTCTTTTCTTTCTTTTCTTTTCTTCCCTCCCTCTCTCTCTTCTTTTTTTCCCCTCTCTCTCTTTTCCTCCCCCTTTCTTCTCTCCCTTCCTTCCCCCCTCTCCCTCCTCCCCTCCCCCCTCTCCCTCCCCTCCCCCTCCTCCTTCCTCCCTCTCCTCCCTCTTTCCCCCTCCTTCTCCTCTTTCTTCCTCCCTTTTCTTTTTTCCCGCCCTTCCCCTCCTTCCCCCTCCCCTCTCCCCTCCTCCCTTCCCTTTTCCCCCTCCCTTCTTCCCCTCCCCCTCCTCCCCTCCTCCTCTTTCCTTTCTTCTCCCCCCTTCCTCCCCTCCTTCCTCCCTCTCTCCCTCCCCCCCCCTTCTCTTCTTCTCTTCTTTTCCTTTCTTTCCCTCCTTTCTTCCTTTTCCTTCCCCTTCCTTCCTCCCCCTCCCCCCCCCTCTTCTTCCTCCCTTCCTCTTTTTCCTCCTCTCCCTCCCTCCCCCCTTCCCCTTTCCCCTCCCTTTTTCTTTTTTTTCTCTCTCCTCTCCTTCCCCCTTTCCCCTTCTTTCTCTTCTTTTCCTCTTTTCTTCCCCCCTCTCCCTCCTCTCTCTCCCCCTCCTCTTCCCTTCCTCCTCCCCCCGCTTTTCTTTCCCTCCTCCTCTCCTTTCCCTCTCCTCCCTTCTCCCTCTCTCTTTTCTTCTCTCCTTTTCTTCCTCTTTTTTTCTCTTTTCTCTTTCTTTTCTTTCCCTCTCTCTTCTCCCTTTTTTCTTCTTTTTTCCTTTCCCTCTTCTTTTTTCTTCCTTCCCTTTTTCTTCTTTCTTTCCTCCTCTTTTTTCTTTTCCCTTTTCTTTTCTCCTTGTTTCTTCCTTTCCTTCTCCTCTCCCTTTCTCTCTTTTCTTCTCTTCTTTTTCTTTCTTTCTCTCTCTTCCTTCCTCCCCTCTTCCCTCCTTCTCTTTCCCTCTTCTCCCTCCCCCTCTCTCTCCTCTCCCCTTCCTTCCCTCTCCCCTTCTTTCCTCTTCCCTTCCTTCCGCCCTCCCTTTCCTTCTTTTCTCTTCTTCCTTCCCTTTCTCCTCCCCCTCCTCTTTTCTTCTCTTCCTTCTACTCCCCCCGGCCCTCTCCCCCCCTCGGAATTTCCCTACCCCTTCCCTCCTCTGGCTCGGCCTCTTTTTCGTTCTCTCCCCCTCTTCCCTCTTTTCTTCCCTCCTTCTCCTCTTCCCCTTTCCTTCTTCCTTCCTTCCCCTTCCTTCCCTCCTCCCCTTCCCTCTCTTTTCCCCCCCCTTTCCCTCTCCTTTCTCTCTCCCCTTCCTCTCCCCCCTCTCTCTCTCCTTTCCTCCCTTTCTCTCCCCTCTCTCTCCTCTTTCTCTCCTTTTTCCGTCCTTTTTCCTTCTCCTTCCCTCCTCTCCTTCTTCTTTCCCTCCCCTTTTTTTTCTTCTTCCTTTCCTTTCTTCCCGCTCTTTTTTCCGTTTCCCTTTTTCCCCTTCTTCTCCCCCCTTCCTCCCTCCTTCCTCCCTCCTCCGCCCTTCCTCCCTTTTTCCTCCCTTTTCTCCTCCCTTTCTCCCTCCGTCCCCCCGTTTCCGTCCTTTCTCCCTCTCTCTCTTTTTTTCCCTTTTCTTCTTTCTTCTCCCTTTCCTCCCCTCTTTTCCTCCTCCTCTCCCCTCCTCTTCCCCCCTCTCTCTCTTTTCTCCCCTCTTTTCCCTTCCTTTTCTTCCTTTCCCCTTCTCCCCCCCCCCTTTCCCCCCTCCTCCCTCTTCTCTCCCTCCTCTCTTCCCCTTCCCCTTTTTTTTCTTTTTTCCCCTCTTTCCTTCCCTTTCTTCCCCCTTCCTTTCCCCTCCCCTTTCTTCTTTCTCTTCCCTCCCTTCCCCCTCTCCTCCCTTCCCCCCTCCCTCTTCCCTCCCTCTCTCCTTCCCCCTCTCTCCCTTTCCCCTTTCTCTCTTTCTTTTCCTTCCCTTCCTCCCCCTCTCCCTTTTCTCTCCTCCCCTCTCTTCCTTCCTCTCCTCCCTTCCTCTCTTTTTCTTCTCCCTTTTCCCTCCCCCTCCCTCTCTCCCCCTCCCCCTTCCTCCCCCCCTCCTTTTCCCTCCCCCCTCTTTCTCTCCTTCTTTTCCTTTCCCCTCCTTTTTCCTCTCCTTTTTCTCTCCTTCTCCTTTCTCTCTTCTTCTCCTCCTTTTCTTTTTTCCTTCTTTTTTTCCCCCCTCCTCCTCTTCCCCTCCTTTTCTCTCTCCCCTTCCTCTTTTTTCCCCCCTTTTCTTTTCCTCTTTTTTCCTTCTTTTCCTCCCCTTTTTCCCCTCCCTTTTCCTCCTTCTTTCCTCTCTCTTTTCCTTCCTCTCCCTCTCCCTCTCCTCCTTTTTCCGTCCCCCCCCTTCTTTCCCGTTTCTTTTTTTCCCTTCTTCTCTCTTCTCCCCCCTTCCTCCCCTCCTTCCTCCCCCCCCTCCCCCTTTCTCTTCCTCTTCTCCCTTCCCTCTTCCCCTCTCTCCCTTTTCCCCCTCCCCTCCTTTTCCCCCTCCTCTTCCCTCTCTCCTTTTTTTTCCCCTTTTCCCCCTTTTCCCCCCCTCTCTTCCTCCTTTTCCTCTCTCCCTCTTTTTACTCCTTTCTTCCCTTTTCCCTCCCCTTCTCTTCCCCCCTTTCTTCCTTCCTCCTTTTTTCCTTCTCCTCTTCTCTCTTCTTTTCCCCTTCCCCCTTCCTTTTCTCCTCTCCTCTCTTCTTTTCCTTTCTTCCTTTTCTCTTTCTTCCTTCTTTTCTTTCTTCCTTTCTTTCCTCCCTCCCCCTTTTCTTTTTCCTCTCCCCCTTCCTCCCCTCCTTCCCTCCCTCCTTCCTCTCTCTCTCCCTTCCCCTCTCTCTTCTCTCCTTCTCTTTTTCCCCCCTCCCTCTTCCCCCCCTCCTTTCTTCCTTTCTCTTCTCCCTCCTTCTTTTTTCCCCCCTTTTCCTTCCCCTTTTCCCTTCCTCCCTTCCCCCCCTCCCTTTTTCTTTTCCCTTCTTCTCCCCCTTCTTCCCTTCTTCCCCCCTCCCCCCTCCCTCTTCTCCTCCCTCCCTTTCCCCTTCTTTTTCTCCTTTTCTCTTTTTCTTCCCTCCTTCCTCCTCCCCTTCCTTCTCTTTTTCCTCTTCCCCTCTCCCCCCCTCCTCCTCCCTCCCCCTTCCCCTCCCCCTTTTCCTTCTCTTTCCCTTCTCTTCCTTTCCCTCCCCTTCTTCTTTCTCTTCCCTCCCTTCCCCCCTTCTCTTCTTTTTCTTTCTTCACCTCCTTTCCTCCTTTCCTTCTCTCTCCTCCTCCCTCCCCTCTTCCTTCCTTTCCCCTCCCTCTCTTCTCCTCTTTTCTTCCCCTCCTTTCTCTCCCCCCTTCTCCCTCTCCCTTTCTTTCCTCTTCCTCCCCCTCTCCCCCTCTCCTCTCCTCTTCTTTTCCCCTCCTCTCCTCTTTTCCCTTTTCTTTCTTTCTCTCTTTTTTTCCCCTTTCTTCCTTCTTTCTCTCCTTTCTTTTCTTTTTTTTTCCCTCTCTCTCCTCCTCTCCTTCTTCCCCCCTTCCCCCCCTCCTCCTCCCTCTTCTCTCCCCCCTTTCCCTCTTGCCTTTTCTCTTCTTTTCCTTTTCTTTCTTCTTCTCTCCCCTCTTTTTCTCCTCTTCCCCTTCCTCTTTCTCCTTTCTTCCTCTTCTCCCCCTCTCTTCCCCCTTTCCCTCCCCTCTTCCTTCCCTCTCCTCCCTCCTCCCTTCCTTTCTTCCTTTCTCCTTTTCTTTTTTCTTTCCTTTCTTTCTTTCCTTTTTTTTTTTTCCTTTTCTCCTCTTCCCCCCTTTTTTTCCTTCGTCTTCCGGATTGGTGTCGCCCCTCGGGGTGGCCTCCAGTATGTATTCCTATGTATTTTTGGTTCTTATCAGATGGATGGATAGATCCATCTTGGCTGCGTATGAATCTGTGGCTAACTCTCTTAGCTACAGCCAAGCGCGCCAGTCGGATTAGCTGACTAAACTCGACGTATTAATGAATGTGGCTTGACACCTTAAACGTTAGAGCTTCAATCCCACTAAGAACAAGTGAAGTTCAAGATTCCAAACGCTTCAAATATCACCGGCTCTCTTTTACCAATTGGAAAGGCTGTGTCATTCTTGCACCCCGGTATCGAGCAAGGATGGCTTCCTTTCCGACCGCCGTACGGTCTAGTCGAAAGCTGGCCTTGAATTTAAACCAGAATCTGAACCAGGCCCGACGCATTTCCGATTTAACAATCACCCGCACCGGCAAACCCATCCTCCGCGTACAAGGTGGCAGGTTAGTCGCTTCGATTCCTCTTCTACCAATTACTATTATACTAAACATAGCTTCCACCTATAGATCTTCTCTCGGAGGTAAACAGCCAACACAATATATATACCGCGACTCTTCCAATCCTAACGGTTTATATAGGTCATACTGCGACGGTATTTGGCGCAACGGGACAGCTCGGAAGATATATCGTCAACCGATTAGGTACGGGAAATATGAGGAATTGGCGATTCTTGTCGTGTCTAATATCACATCATAGCCCGTCAAGGATGTCAGGTCATCATCCCTTCCGAGAAGATGGCCAAGCGCCACCTTAAGGTTACCGGTGATCTAGGTCGCGTCATCTTCCTCGAGTACGATCTATACAACACCGAATCGATCGAGGCGAGCGTTAGGCACTCCGATATCGTATATAACCTTGTTGGCCGGAATTACCCTACCAAGAACTACAGCCTAGAGGACGTCCACGTTGAGGGTACCGAGCGCATCGCCGAGGCCGTTGCGAAATATGACGTCGACCGCTACGTCCACGTCTCATCTTATAACGCCGACCCCAACTCACCCTCCGAATTCTTTGCGACCAAGGGAAGAGGTGAGCAGGTTGCTCGAAGTATCTTCCCGGAGACTACCATCGTCCGGCCGGCACCCGTATTCGGGTTTGAAGATAACCTTCTCCACCGGTTAGCCGGCATTACCAACCTATTCACGTCGAACAACATGCAAGAGAGATATTGGCCCGTTCACGTATGTCTATTATTGACGAGCTGAGATGCTAAGCGAGTCGCTAATTTTAATAGTCGATTGACGTGGGCCAAGCTCTGGAAGCTATGTTATATGATGACAATACGGCAGGACAGACCTACGAGCTTTACGGACCTAAGAATTACTCGACTGCCGAAATTGCCGAGTTAGTCGATCGAGAAATCTACAAGAAGCGAAGGCATATCAATGTGCCCAAAGCCATCTTGAAGCCCGTGGCCAATTTGCTCAACAAAGCATTATGGTGGCCAGTGCTTTCCGCAGAAGATGTAGATAGGGAGTTTATCGACCAAAAGATAGACCCTACCGCTAAGACTTTTGCCGACCTAGGCATCACGCCGGGCGATATTAGCAACTTCACATACCACTACTTGGTAAGCATGGTAACTATTCCATACGGGTATATAATATATTAACCATTTGAACAGCAAGGATATCGTAGCTCGGCATTCTATGATCTTCCGCCAGCGGACGGAGAAGAGAGAGGGAAGACAAAAGTACGTGCACGTATTAGACGAACAATAAAGGATAACTTGCAGGGCATTTCTGTGCAAATATGGGAAGAGACACTCGTATTGCACTGTACATATTATACTAGACCTAGTAGTTGTCCTTGATTTAAAAGCTACGAATAGTATTTACTATAAGAACTTCCTGGTTTGCAGGTTAATATTATGTTACAACGTCAAAAGTGATTTGCTGTGGTTATGAGTTTGCGACTTGAGATTTGCTCCTAAAGATTTTTTTTTTCTGCGCCCAGCGAAAATTTATCAACTTATTCCTAAGCCAACACCTAACGAAAATAAGATCAATCAAAGTCTTACCTATCAACCTAGATTTCCTTTTTCTTTCGTTTTTTTCATTTCTTTAAAATCAATTCATAAATGTCTACGCAATATGGCCGAAAGCGATGACGAACAAATGTAAGTGAGCCAGTTTAAGCTGCGAGATAGTAGTAATACATACATCTACACTATACTCTTCTACACTATATTTTATACACTCCCTATATTCAGTAGTTTGCGACATACTAAACCAGACTATAGAACCCTCTCATCCCACGCTCTCGCGGCGCTGCAGGAGTTCTACGGAGAGCGCGATGCACACGTCGATAAGTTTGAGAAACTAAAGACGGTGGCTGAGGACGAACGTGTTGCCTCGCAGCCGCTGTCTATGGATGCGTTTACTGAGGACTGGAATAAGTCGCAGTTCTGGGTGTGTTCTTATACCCATTTCGATTTCTTTTTCTCCGGGGCCTTTAGATCGGTCTCAGGAGTCAGTTTTTTGAGAGAGGGTTGCTGGCTAGGAAGATGAGGAAAACCGAGATAGAAGTACAGACGATGGAGGGCTAATTGTGTGTTGCAGTACTCGGATGAAACGGCTATTCTGTATGCGAAACAGCTTCTAGATGGCATACGCGAGGACGAGGTTGTCGCTGTGGTATCGGTGCCTAGTGTGTTTATTGCGCTGAAGAATCTGTTGGTGAGTTCCTAATGTCTAACCCAGATTTCTGTTATATTAGTGAGATTAGGGAAGGAGAGAAACGAAGGCTTTCTTATTTCACAACATATATATGTTCCTTTTCCCTTGCTCTCAAAGCCTACCCAGCATACATACATAGCAAAGGCACCAAAATTAACATAGGACGCTAACCTCATATACCCCCTCTCAGAACGCAGCAGACGCCAACACCCCCAAACCAAAAGTCGTCTTCCTCGAGCACGACCAGCGGTTCTCCGTCTTCCCAGAGTTTATATTCTACGACTTCCTGCACCCTATCAAGCTTCCCGCGGAACTAAAAGGCGGCGTCGATCGCATCATATGCGACCCCCCTTTTCTCAGCGAGGACTGCCAGACGAAAAGTTTGTACTCCCTCTCTTTTCATATACAACCCCCCCCACATCCCATTCCCTGTCTCTTCTTCCCCAACTCCCAACTAACACCAAAAACCACAGTGGCTCTAACCATCCGCTGGATGTCCCGCTCAACCCCGCGTCTCATAATCACCACGGGCGAGCGCATGGAGACGCTGGTGACGAAGCTGTACCGGTCCCTCGGCGCGCAGACTACGACGTACGAGCCGGTGCATACGCGCGGGCTTAGTAACGAGTTTTACTGCTATGCTAACTTTGAGTGTCATGCTTGGAGCTTCAAGGGCACGAAGTGAAACCGGAGAAGTGGTAGCTGTGTGAAGACAGACATGGAAGATCGATTGATACTTGAAGACGTAGTTAGTTTAACTATTTTTATCTATCCACTCATGTTTCCTTTTTATCCTCGTATTTTGGGGAAATTTACGTAAATGCCACTTTGAACTACATATGTATTCCACAACCGAGCTTCTTGAACAATATAGCTATCGTATACTTTACAAATACCATCACTTCTAACCTGCCCCAGTAGACCGAGAATCTCGCTCACAACATGTTTTGTAAATAGTCTAGGGTGGGAGCTTAGGGGTAGGGAGATAGAAAGATGAAATAGAGACCAAGCCCAAATATAAGTCCAAGGGAAACACCAGGGCCACCAGACGAAGAGAACCGTCGACCGAGATTATTCAATAGGCACTATCTGAGTTTTACGGATATCGTCTCTATTTCGCTATTTTCATCTGAGCATCTAGGTCGATAAAACACCGATACACTCGCTATCACTCGAGAACCAAACCCCAAAAGGTCAAAAACATGAAATAGAGGTGGTCATAATACCTATCTCTCTATGCGCTATTTCTCTATCTTATTCAAACACAACACAATGCCGAAAGAAGAAGAAGAAAAAAAAAACGTAAGCTCATCGCGCCCCAAACCGTGTAAATGCGTCATCAAAAACACCGCCGTCCAATTCCATTTCGGTATATTGATTGGTTTGCCACCAACGACAAACCACCACCCCCGCCTCCTTTACGCCAGCGACCGGATGATGTAGAATAGTAGATAAGCCTGGCTGCCCAGGACGTCGGATTTCTTGGCCAGTTCGACTTTGTGGTCGTTAAACGAGAACCACTAGGACGCATGTTAGTATCGCCTATCTGGTTTTATAGTACTCGGTAAACTTACTTGATCTCCAACTCGAGAATACGTTACGTAGTGACCTGTCTAGGTCAGCTTGATGAAACTTATACGGGTATCAGAACACAACTCACCCGTATCGATCTCTCCAACATGCTCGACGACGCTCAATAAGTCATATGTACATGATCGCCTTAGTTCCTGACTATCACGGGCATCCGATGTTCGACTACGCGTGGTATATGGAAGCATGCTTAGTTGTAACGGAAACTGTACTTTCGTGCTGATCTTGGATGCAACACGATCACGGTTCCCCTGTTTGAACTCGAACCTCTGGATACTTGTTAGCGTTTTTGTTGAAAACTTAAGATGGCTGATACTGACTTTGAGCTGTATAGACAGTACATTCGGCAGCAGCTTTATGCTGTGATCTCTCCGCGCTTGTTGCGATGAATTGCAGTTCCTACACCGATACTCGCACTTGTCGGATTTAATGTACTCCTCGTCAAGACATTCTTGCAACGATAACGATGCAGCGGTCTTGGGGGCCTTCTTGCCCCTCTTCTGTGACAGGTTCTCCAAGCCCAAACTTAGGTCAAGAAAAGACTCTATCGCATTGGTGACACCGCCGCAATGCTGGCAAGTCGTTTGGCTCTGAAGCTTGCCATAGAAAGTCTGGTGGATGATGCAATTGCAACTATGTTCACTGCCAGTTTCGGGCTTCTTGCCATCCCCGTTCCTCTCGTGTAACTCTTCGGCTAAGAACTGAAAGAATTCATGCGCGTCTTGTTCCTTCGTAGTGACTAAGTTTTCAAACGCCTTCTTTTCAGATATCCAAAAACCGGACAATATGTTGGCCGCGGTATAACCGTTGGTGTTTTCGAGGGCGTAGAAGTCTTGAAACATATCGTCCATGGCGCAGCTAAGGCAGTGAGGTACCTGACAATCGCTGCTCTGGTGACCGTCGCTCAAGTAGAAGTTCCTCAGTAGGGGATTGTGAAGAAAACTCTGTAAAACAACGTTTTGGTAACATGTCGCACCAGCATTGTAGATTCCTCGAAGTCCATCTGCCCTGCATGATGCGATAGTAGTATTGGAGGATATGTATCTGGGGTCATCCTTTAAAGGATCTTTCACAGTATCCGAAAACATCTCTTCATGTTTTCGCTTACGACCTGAATATGTTAGACTATTGCTTATGGCAAGGTCGGAGGGCGTGTCAACGTACTTGAGAATGAACCGGTTCCTATCTTTCTCACCCTAAGATCGTCCAGGGTTGGGTCCCATACAAAGTCTTCACAGAACTGACAGTATAATGAACCACTCCTTGAGTCGACATCTGTTGCCAGTCAGCCGAGATTCTATATGCCATATGTTCGCCTAAGACTTACAAAACCGGTGGCTCTTTTTGTTCGCATGTTTCGTACGCTCTTCTTCGGTAACAATGACAGAACATTGCAAGCAGAGGTAGTTCGAAGTTAGGGATGTAGTTATGAGCCCATCTGGACCCTTGCAAGTCTGCGGTACTAGGGGGTTGCCGTCGAAGATGACTCTCAGCAGCATCTTATAGTATTGGATTGAGTTGTTTAGGACATCTGGGTTGTTGGATAGTAATATTTGAACGTGCTCTAGAAAGGCTTCAGTATATATCACAGCAAGACATTATATCCTATAAGCTTGGAACCAAATAACTAACCACAGCCAAACAAAGGCGTCCCCGGGGTGGGCGAGTTGATCTTGACATTTTTAGGGGACGCCGGAGTGGTAGGTCGCGCAGCCATGCTTCCTCCTATGATTGCAATAGACTTATAACTGGTATACGAAAGGAGTTCCGTAGTGAATTGGCGAATATGCACGTAATAACAGCCGCGCAGGGAGGAGGAGGATTTGGTCGAGTGTAAATTAAAAGGCGGGCAGCGTCGGAAATGAGAAGGGCAAAATTGCGATAACGAAAGGCTCGAACGACCGAACGATTTAACGACCGTCGCCCTGATTTAAGGAGGGTAATAAACTATAGCGAGATTCGTGTAAGAGGAGTAGAGTTTGATCGTGGGAGGGTGAATTTGCCTTTTGCAAGAGACGGAAAATGCAGCTTAGCTACTGAAGACTGAAGACTGGCGATGCGCTCGCTTCAACTTCTAAGATTCCCTCTTACTTCAGCCTCCCCAGTATTAGTTAGCTCTCTCTCTAGTTATATATCAATTATACGCAAAATTCTTTAGAAACTTACAAAGCTTTTGAAACTACGATACGAAGTTAACTTAGCGATTAGACAATTTGTTGTCAAAAGCTTTGTAAGATACCAAACCTACCTCATGTATAGAAAATAATTATTAAACTAGACGCCGTGCAGCGTGCAGCGTCATTCAACAGGCGCAAGATAGGTAAAGATAGGTACAGATTACAGTTGAAGCAACATGCTAGAAATTCTTATCGGCACCTGATTTACACTTTTATTTTTGCTTATCTGAGCGCGCTAACGGGAAGATCAGGGGTCGTAGCAGCTATGCGCTATGCCAGTCATGGTTACCTACCTCTAAGTTAGACAAGCGCTGAAGCTGAATAAATAAATGGGGGGATTAGCCCTTCCCGTTATGTCGCTATTAGTAACCTAAAATTAAAGTCTGTACCTGAAGGTGATGATGACCTAAATGCTAGGTACATAACGCAACCTTATATTGTTGGGACCTCGGCATTTCAATTATCTCCAAGTCTATCTACCTTACATCTATCTATCTTACCTTATCTACATGTACTTACGTAGGCACCTCGTGTAGCTCATGGCATAATTACACCTTATTCTGTCCTCATCGCTGATATCATAATCTACCATCGCTATCAGTTAATAGATAATACAAGGTTAATATCTATAATTTACATTCTCAACCTGGTGCATTCGTCCTTTTACGTGGTTATTATTATAAGCTATCCTTTGACTATCTATAATTTGACTTAATAGTGGTATGAAAGCATTCCGAATAGCTTCTAAAACCACAATGGCCTCTCAACTTGTCTACATACCAGAGATCGAGCGGTTGAGTCCCGCTTGTATTCGTATTCTCGGTGGCAATCCGAGCAAATTCGCTCTTCAGGGCACCAACACATATCTAATCGGAACCGGCCCCAAGAGGTTATTAATTGATACGGGTGAGGGCAAACCCTCGTGGATTGCGGCTTTAAAGCGGACTCTCGAAGAGGAGAAAGCCACTATCCAAAGTGCTCTTCTCACTCATTGGCATCACGATCACACGGGAGGCATCGGCCAGCTATTAGAGCACTCGCCACAGACAGCCATCTACAAAAACCAACCGACAGAAGGTCAATTAGATATCTCAGATGGTCAGAAATTTGAAGTCGAAGGAGCTACCTTGACAGCTGTTCATACTCCAGGCCATGCTGTAGATCATATGGTCTTCGTCTTGCAGGAAGAAGACGCGCTATTCACAGGTGACAACGTTTTAGGTCAAGGCACATCCGTATTCGAAGATCTCGGAACCTACCTCAAGAGTCTAGCGAAGATGGAAAAGCTAGTGGGAGGCTGCGCATATCCAGCACACGGCCCGGTGCTGCCACAGGCGAGTGCTACTATCGCTGAATATATATCTCACAGGCAGCAGAGAGAACAACAGGTTCTACAAACCTTGGGTTCCGCGAAAGACCGCCATCTCTGGACTCCGATGGACCTGGTAAAAGTTATATACCGCGACGTCCCGGAAGCTCTCCACGCTCCCGCTGCAAATGGCGTGGTCCAGATCCTGCGGAAGCTCCGGGATGAAGACAGGGTCATATTGGAGGATGGGGATGCGTGGCGTCTTAAGGACCGGTCAAGTTTATGAAGGTATCAGCCCACGCCACCTCGTACGGGGCATGTCGTGACATCGGCTACATCGGTACAAAGCGGCGGAGACCGTTGTTGAAATTGCCGGTGATAGACTCAATTTTCAACGAATATGAGTGGACATAAAGTCCGGGTTTGATAGAGGGGCATTTCGTGTGCTCATACGCTTACTACTCAGCATAGCCACGGTGATACGTATACCATAGCTGCGTACACGGCATTAAGTACTTGGTCTACGTATGTATTGTACATCAAGGAGGCTTTTGTGTCTGCCTAAAGTTTATCTTGTATCGCATCGTTGGTTCATAGATCTGGCACGAGCACTATTATGGGGTAGTACCGGCATGTCGGGAACCGTCCACGAGATCCCAGGCGATCTGTCGTCATTCTTCGGATTTTACGGCATGTATCTTGCCGTAGAGGCCGAGGTGTGGTTTTTTCTTTTCTATTCTTTCTTCGTTGACATGTAAAACAGGGTCCTCTAAGACGTATTTAAGAATGCAAGGAGGAGTTTTATTAAATTATAATACAATTTTGAAAGCTGATCCTGACTCGTTTTAATAACGTTGGGTTGTTACGCAGTTATGCTACAGCTTTCGGAAACCCGGAAGCCAAGAACTGCTATAACATCGACAATAAGCAACAATTTTCTCCAAGTCGATTGGTTGAGGCTAGGAATTTCTAGATACAGAAACGTTCGAGAATCGCCTCCTTCGCTTAAATGACTCGAAGCTGAAGTCCGTTAGGAACATTAGTAGACACCTGTGCATGTATTCCGTTCGGCCTCATCCATCAGGTTCAGTAGTAAGGGACGGGACTTGCGGAGTTTACCAAATTAAAGCCTTATGGAATAGTCACTCTTCCTATGTATGTATGTGCTGTAAATAAGAGAATTGGGCTACTATAATAAAAGCATGGGTACCAACAGCGAGCCAGCCTTATGGTCAGGCGGTGTAATGGGAAATGGTCATGATTGATGGGTTACCCATTTTGTGTAATCACTGCAGTGACCCATTTTCGCCCTAGACAAGATGGATCCATCCCTTGTTCAGACTCGGAGTCCCGATTTGGACCTTGATTCAAGTCTCCTTTCGCACCCGAAATACCTATTTGGGATGCGTGATACCTACTCGGCGTCAACTTTACATATGTGTTCCGAAGAGCGAAAGACAGGGAAATATGTAGTAATGAGTTATTAGGAGTTCACGATGTTGTTAGCGTTAGCTACATCGATCATCCTAAATGGATATATTTCTCGGTATTCTTGGGCTGTCTTGTCTTCGTCACCCAAGGCCTTGGCAAAGTATGGTCGATCGATCTCATTGAACCATTGTCCTAGCGAGACCCATTGGCCAAGTAGTCGACGTTGTTGTTGTAATTACATAGTGATGATTAGGTACTGGTGGGTTTCTACATACATGCACTAATAGTACATAGGTTCTACCAAGAAGTATCAGAACCTGGTTATGGATAGTCTTGTTGGCATGCGGGATTGCTGCAAGTTGAAGACATACATACATACACACATACATACATACTACATGGTACGTAGTATAGTGGTATAGTGGTAGCATAGTAGTATGGTAATCGAATATTCGCTCGTACTCGGTATCGGTCTAGAAAACAAACCCTCATCGAAATTAGTTTCCCAATATCTTTGTGACTACACCATCGCTTAATGCTACCCTCCATCTTCCCTCGGAGGCTTAGTTAATGGAGATTCCCATTTCACTAACTACCCCAGACTAAATCTGTCACAGATATCATCCGAGGGGGTATCGGACTCGTCGCATTAGTACGTACGACTTGTCATATGCGCTCTTCACTTTAGACTCAAGGATTTGCGATATAAACGGTCTTCAATTGGTGTGTGACAACTCTCGTGCATGATGGCGTCTGGGTAAGCCAGTCGGTCCTTAGTCAAGCGATAGACCGACGTTACTAGGGATAGTTACTGTTAAACGGCGAAACATCTTCTCGGAGTTAGACGGGTCGAAGTTGTATAGAAAGATATTCGGACTCGGCTCTCTCCAGAGGATTTATTAACCATTGTACATGAATTCGCGCACGGAATATGGTAAGCCTTAACTGATCGCAAGGTTATACTACCGTCGTATATTGCTATTGTAACGGTATCAGCCATCTTGTCGATTACGCTTATGGAAGAACACCGACATAGCCATAGATACAAACAGCATTTTGAAAATGTTACCTATAATCCGTAAGCGCTACTTCGTTGTTGTACATTAACGCCGGCTTTTTTAGAGCTATCCCTGCACCCAAGTATTGTGTTACTCCACTAGTGACGAACTAGAACCCCTGTTAGCGCGGCTCCTCAAGAACGCGAAAGGCTGAGAAGTCATCCACGAGCCTGCGTGGCCAGCCTGAAAAGGTAAGCGGAGTTCACACATGATCAGATGAAAAAGTATTTCTAAGCTCAGATATGCATGCCTTACCTACAGACATCACTAATCCTATAAGTTTTTTAGAGCACGAAATATTTACTACAATAGATAGATACACATACATACATACCTATAATAAGCTTAGTGAAAAGCCTAGAAATTATTTAAAACTGTTTACTTTATACAAAACGAATGCGGATTGCTGGGCGTATACCTTAAAATGATATGTGACACGGAGGAATACGTCCAGAGGAATATGGGAACCTACTTTATGTCCGATTGCGGATGGCGGGGTCGTCGGATACTCGCTCTTTCATGTCAGAAAAAAACTTATTGATCCTTTCATAATTCGGGTCAGACCATAGGTCAGAAATTATTATTCACCATTGGTCGGGAAGCTTCTAGTAAAGGAAATCACGTCGCATGGCTAAGTGCGGAAATACCTAACCCTGTCGAAATCGCGAGGTAACGCTTTGATACATAGGACATAGATACCTAGCGGGAAGTGGGTACCTTCTAAATAGCCGATGCTGTCATTTGGTATGATGTAGGTATGTATGTATGTACCTATATTTTTATGTGTTCCTTCGACCAGCAAGTACATTGATTATATTACATGGGACTAGACATGGGTATTAGTGGTATTAGTTAAGGACGACTCATTCCTACCCCCAAGATATCCACAGTACGATTCTGCGAGCTTCCTCAAGCCCTTGACAGCCTCAATCAATATCCCATACCGCCCGTTCTTGGTTTCTTTTTCGGATACCTCGGATGGTCCATCGTGCTATTTTTTAACGCTATCGCTCGATGGCTCATCAGAAACAGATGGCGCGAACAAATGACAAGAAGAATGCGCTCGGGTGGGACCGGCCTTTTTTTTTTTTTTTGTCAATAACCAACGGGCATTGAACGGAAAGTGTATAGTACATTCAAAACTACACGCGGTAAGAGGTATCCATGAAAGAGCTATCACTGCTATTTTTACTAGTCGATCTTCGTAAGTAGTACTTACCCGTAGTATATTGCTTGTATGTATAACCCACCTGCCCGGTTACCGTACCTTCAACTTCATGGGCACAAAGGGCGCCGACACCGTTTTCCGTCTTGGTACAAAATAAATATATTCCGGAGGATATGTACCTTCCATTCCCTCCCACCAAGATGATGTTTATGAAAAGCCTTCCTCCCCCTCTTCTCCATATGACTCGTTTGTCCTCCCATACATGAGGTAGCATACTTCCGCCGAATACCACCAACCACTACTTCGCCCGGTCTTTAATGGTTATATAATTGGTATTCCTGATCCAGCTTTCTGCATATAAGCTCTAGGTACCTACCGTGAACAAAATAGAAAGCCGCCGAGGTTAGCCTTACTGCCTTACTTCCACTCGCCCTCGCAGCTTTCATAAAAGTGACTACGTCGGTGAAGCGCAATTTCTAACCGTGCTAGGGTTATAGTTCGTTCAAGGGTTTACCCACCTAAGGACAAAGAGCTCGGCCGGGGGTATGTAAATATATGTCTCCGGTTGACCCGCTCAATTTTACCATTAAACGTATTCCAAACAACTTGAATCGATATGAGGTCGACAGCTCAGTTTGCGCTCAAGGCGCTGGCGCTTGTTGCCATAGTAGGAGCTATTCCTACGATTCTTGCCCACGGTCACGACGACGAAGGCGCCACAGATATGGATATGGATATGAACATGGACATGAGTAAAGAGGATCCAAAACCAGACCCAGAATCGTATCGCCCACGTATTTTTTCGCATCCAGAGCACGTATCGAAATATATACGCATATTGCACTGATGGTAGTTGGTTGGGTAGTCATGCTGCCACTAGGTATGCCCATCTTAGTAACTTTCAGGACAGGTTCATTTTGATTCTAACCGTTCCTTTTAGCTGTTATGTTTCGATTGCGCGATCCCGGTATACGCTCCCCGTCCAGTTTCTCTTCCTCGTCACGAACGCGCTCGGCGTCGTACTAGGTATTACCTACAACGCGAACACACCCGATCTGTATCCCAACAATGCGCATCACAAGCTTGGATGGTTGGTCACTTGGGTAGTCAGCGCGCAAGTGTTTATCAGCCTTGTCGGTCGCGTCGCAGGTGTAATAGGCGGGAAAGGAGCAGAAGGAGTCGGTAAGGAGGAAGAGCAGGCGTTCATTCCGGTTTCGACGGAGGCTATGGCTGAGCACCAACGCATTAACGATGCGCTATACTCTCATCCATACCGCCATTCTAACGATAGTGGACAAGGCACCGAACCGAATACCGAGTCTTTGAGAAGTAATTCCTTGTCAACTGTGGTGGGTCGGGAATCCCCTATTGAGATGAGCGACCGACGAATCCACTATGACGATCTTGAAGATGTTCACTTTAAGCCCGCAGAAATGTTAGGTTCAAAGAAGTCCAACTCGTTCATCACCAGATTTACCGGCAAGATTTCCACCAGAGCATGGAAAGTTTTGATGTTTGCCTACAACTTTGTCGATCGTACTATTCTTATTCTCGGTTACATTGCTCTGTGTACTGGTATCATCACATTCGGACGATTCTTTGTAAGTTGACTTAAGCAAGTTTGTTAGGGTTACGACTTCGTAAGCTAACCGATCAATTTAGGAGGGTCACGGTATTTTCAGCGGCTTAGCTCATTGGATCAAGGGTGGCATATTTTTCTGGTACGGCATTTTAACTCTCGGAAGGTGGTCGGGAAGTTTCGGTGAACTGGGTTGGGTAAGTCGGAGCGGACACCGCACCCAATTAACCGATGAACATAATTACTTACGAAAAATACATAGGCATGGAATGTCCGTCCGAAACAAAGCTCTCAGAAATGGAGGCCAACTGCGGAATTCGTCGAGGGTGCTCTTATCTTCACTTACGGTTCGACCAACATCTTTCTAGAGCATCTTGGTAATGCCGGTAAAGAATTTAGCCCTCAGGATCTAGAGCACATCTCCATTACGGTTCTCTTTATCGGAGGTGGTCTGGTATGTCATTATTGTATTAACCGATATGCGTGATGAAACTAATACGGTTATGCAGCTTGCTATGCTCATTGAGTCGACGCGGATTCGGGAACTCTTAAATACTACAGTGTACGATGCCGCTCTCTCGCATCCGAGCCACGCGTACAGTGATGAGGAACGTGAAGCTTTACAGGCACCAAGGGAATACGAATTTTCCGTCAATCCTATTCCAGCACTCGTGATTTTACTTCTTGGTATCATGATGAGTTCACACACGCAGCACAACATGGTTTCTAGCATGGTTCACAAGCAGTGGGGCAACCTTTTAACTGGTGCTTCTTTTGCTCGGGGATTCACATACATGCTCGTATATCTCAAGCCTCCGCGCTCGATCCTACCATCTCGACCTCCAACTGAGCTTATTACCGCATTTGGACTCATTGCAGGTGGTACTATCTTCATGGCGAGCGTAAGTCATATCTTGGTAACTATACCGAGTTTCAGGAGCTAATGAGAACAATAGGCCAACGATACTGTTGAGGGAATGATTCACTACGACCTAGACGCCATGTTCTTCTACACCGTTACCATGGGATTAGTCGGTCTGATCATGGCCTGGGAAGTTATCCTCCTAGCCCTCAAAGGTTGGGCCGTTCGAAAGGAGTCCAGTCGATCCCCGAAATCGTGGGACCTAGCTTCCCGCGTTTAGGCGGTCTGCCTGGAAATATTCAGGAAATTCTAACAAGGAAAATTATGTTACACATGCATAAGGAAGCGACCTAGTTAATCATCAGACCATTAATAACTGGGGCTGTTGACTGTTACGGTTAAATTCTTGAATTACGGCGCACTGGGGGGCGGGGTGGTCGATCGCGATATACCCAAGATGCTCCTCTTTTGTTTTTCATTTCATATATATCTATTTGCATTCTAGACTTTCACTACTACCAATGATACCCCTAGGGAAGACAGAGTACGATTATTTATACGGAGGAATTTGGGATCGGTATTGGGAGAAATTAGAAGGAAGCCTAAGAACCAAGCTAGGTTGCCAACGGTGAGGCGGTCTTGGGATGACGGGCAGGGTGGGATGGATGGTTAAACTAGGTCAAGCAAGTCCTTAATGGCCGAGTTGATAATGAAGTTGGTTTTATAAAAAAGGGTCTGTGGGTTCATGTGTGTACTCTCGTCTGGCTGGCGATTACCTGCCAGTCTATACATGACAATTCCAACTATGCATACTCGATGTCGACATCATAATTACCTAGGTATTTAATTAAAATATGATAATAAGAGCTTCCTAGTGATTACCAACTTTAAGCTTGAAACTTGATGTTTGAGGAATATAGCAAGAGGTTATGAAGAGGCTGGATTGTGAGAGTGTTCTTAGTTGGCTACTATCCTTCGATGTTTTATATAGTTTGAAGTACATTGACTGACTATAAAGGGTCGGTGTATACTGCCCGTATCATATATATATAATCCCCTTCTCTAAATACTCAGACTATATGATGTAGCTAACGTGTATCCTACTATACGATACATGTGCTACTCAAAAGCTAGGGAAAATCACATTAGTCTTCATTGTGATGATTATAGGCTTTGGTTCCGTTATACCAATCAACCAGTTGATTAGCGATATAGAACTTGAGAGTTCTAATAGTATTTCAGCAAGCCCGTCTCGCCCCACCTCTTAAAGTCTTCACATAAAGAAACCCTTCTCACTAAGCTCATAGCTTGAGCTTGATAAATAGTAGCATGCCTTGAAAAATACTAAATAACTAGCGCCAATTAACACTTTATAATATGTTATGTTCTAACTCTTAAACTAAGAACTATAACTAAAGCGCTATTCTATTTGGCGAATTCCGAGAGCTTTTTATTAATTGAAAAGACTGCTAAATGGTGATAGCTCCACTAGTTGATAGGTTTACCGTCAAAATTGTTAACAGAAGTCTCATTGGAATCCCACTTATAGATAGAATACGACTATATGTGAGTATGAGTCTTGTCTTGTGTTTCGGGTCTTTTATTAGTTATAGCTATACGATAATCCTGGCTAATAGACTCCTCATTCATCGAAGGAACCAAATCTCCAATACGTTGATATTCGTCTTTCCTCGTTTCGTGACTCATAAAATGTTGAATAGACAGCTATACCAAGCAATGGTATGTATATCTGCAATTCTATTGTACCGCTTCTGACTCATATTTCTCTTTATGTAGTCAATTCCTTGGAATTCGTATTGGGAGTTGCTATATGATCCGAATGTTAAATGATCTGTAGGTGAAGGATGGATTCGAGCTCGACTAAAACTTGGTTGGGCCTATAAGAGTTTATAAATGTTGATATTCATACGTTCTATCTCGCATATGAAACGACTATATTGATTTTCTCTGAGTCACACACTCTACCATTGAAAAAACAGTCGCAGGCATCCAGGCATTTACACTAGGCACCCAATAGAACGACACTGCAAGTATGTAAATGGAAGGCGTAAAGAGTTCTCGGTGAGTCGTACAAGAACAATAACCTTGGCGATGAACTGATGGCAAGGGAAGAACGATGAAATACTTGCTCTCTATTGCTCGCCTTCATTCGCCGTTGCTAATTTAGGCTTAGGAACCTAACCTTAGGTAGGCCAATAAGGCGCTAAAATTATGTGTCGCAAAGATGCAAGTTACATCATCTGCTGCCCATCCTGCTGCCCCACCAAGCACATGTACCATGCAGCATGTACGCAGGCAGTCGCAGTCCAACAAGGCATAGGGAATAGAACTAGCTTGCCATTGATCAGTTCGATACATATCGTACACGGAAAGGACGATTTAACAAATATTTAAACTATTGCTAATGTCCCACCAAATCCGAGTAACATACTCTAATCTCCCCATCTAATTATTCTATATTCTATATTCAAATCCAAGTTCAATCTTTCTTTCGCAACACCCTACTTCCAACTTCCACAATGACGACTTTCAAGAGTACCCCGCTATATGGAGGAGCTCTCATTTGCGACCTCCCAGCTAACTTCGCCGACGTGAGGTACGTTTGCAAATAACTCTCTTATATCCCGAGTATATTCCAACGCTAACCGTCTGATTATTCGTATATTAGTCTTATAAGACAAGTTCCCGACCATCAAGAAGCATATATCGACAAAGATGGCTTCACCAGTATCATCTTCGATATCAATGAGCGCGTTGGCGGTCCGGGAAGTGGTGCCGAGATAGACGGTCGCGCCTTGACTACGCACCTAGAGGAACTTGTAGGAGATGACCTCGAGAATGTCAAGGTCTGGAATACCACGCCCACTGTGTTCTCCCGCCTAGAGTACGTATTATACCAAAACTAGTTTTGCGCATTCGTTTCTTCCTTCCTTCCAACACCCCACGATCCCTTCGAAGACTAACACGCGCCATCGCACTCCGAACAGCGACGAAATCCCCGCTTATACGCTGATCGCAACACACACGACGCAAAAAGCCGACAAGCCCACGGACGATAAGCCCCAGCGGCCGGTCAGCAAGACGGACTTCACGGCTATCATCTTGACGCTAGTACGGCTAGAGAACGAGAAGACGGATCTGCTCATTACTATCAACGTGCCGCATATCCGCGGCGAATACGACGAGGACGACGTCGATCTCCAACTCGGCAAGCAGGGCAAGCTCATCGGCGACGCCGTCGATTACGCCGCTAAGATCTGGGAGACTTTCAAAGTTAAGGACTGGGGTCTCTTTAACGAGGTCTAAACGGCGAAAGAATTGGGAAATAATGGGATTTGCGATGGGATATACTACATTTCCAATGGGGAATGTAGAAATAGCGTTGTCATGCGACTAGCCGGGTTTAAATTAGAAAGAGTAGGAATCACAAGAAAGGAAGGGCATGACGAGACTTTGCTAGGTTAGGGGGGGTTTCAAGGGACACTATTTCCTTTGTTTGTCCATGTCCCGCAGCCTCTCTGGGCTTCGGCTTTGATACGAATCACGAACGAGTACTTATGGATAGGAGGGACTAGCATGCATATTCGGCGGTAGGAATGTTAGGGAAGTGGAAGTGGATATGGATATGACATATGATCATTGCTTTAGGCAGATAAGGAGGGACTTTTATCTCGCGTTCGGTACCTAGGGAGTTATGTAGCCTAGATAGTATTCTAATTATCCTAAGACTAGGATTAGATAGACGTGATGATGCTTCAAAGAAGACGGACTGCCTAAGGGCTGTCTTAGCTGTGACTGTTACTATTTATCTACGTAGAATGCTAATCTATATACATTACTATGAGTATCAAGGTTCGTATGATCACGAGGTTATCGAGATATCTTTATTGTGTACGTTTAGATAGACTCTCAAATTCTCATTCTTATTTGAGTCTTCGGGACAGACAGTTAATCTGGCCCTCAGCCAACTTTACTACATACCCTTATCCTTTCTACCTAGGTATGTACCTATGATACCGGGGGGGGGTGTATTCCACCTCGTCTATCCTAAACGATCGATCGACATATAGATAGGTAGATACATTCAGCCATGCTAGAACCCGTCCGCGTACAACCCTCAGGCGTATACCCGTCTGCCGCACACCCTCAGGTCTGTAGGTAGGTAACGTGTCACTTCAGCACCGCGCTACGTGAAGATGTCATTAGTGCCCTAAGCCTTGTCTTCCTCCCCCTGTTATTGTTTGTATTGCTCATCGTCGTCGTCGTCATCATCATCATCATCGTCGATCTTTAGGACCTCGACTGCACCCTGCAGCTCCTTTACTGTTCGTACGCCCTCCTTCTGCTTCTGCTTCTGCTTCTCTTCTTTCTGCAGCTCCTTCCATCGCATCGATATAAGCGCCATCCGCTCTTTGAACGGTAGTCCCGGGTTCGTCTGGCTCAGGACGCGGGTCTCTTTCGTCATGAACTCCTGCCATGCGCTCTTCTTCTTGGGTATCGTTGTAACGGCGGCGGTACTGTCTTTCCCGCTCCCGGCCCCGCCGACATCGATGCTATTATCCGGAGTGCTTTTCGCGCCGGCAACAGAACCACGCGGCACAGGCTTAATCTGCACCAGCTGTCCAGTCCACGACATCCACCGCACCGCTGCGCACCGTATCCACGCTCTTTGAGTGTCTCTTAACCTCGATGCCACAGTTCGCGCAGCGCCAGATGTACTTGTACTCAATCTCGTAACTATGCCTCGTGGTAACCTGGATGCCGCGGTCGCCGAAGATGGCTCCGCACCGCGCGCCCCAGGCCTTGAACTCGGGGCCGTGTGCTGCTGCTTTCTTTTTCTTCTCGCCCATACCACGTTCGGCATTAGGGTTAGTGTTGGGTCCGTCAAGCATGAATACGGCCAAGTGGCAGAACTCGTGCGCGACTGTGTTCAAGAGGTCCGCCTCGTTGCCGAGAACCTTGGACGCTAGCTCTATAGACGCACTGTGTTGACGCGCAGTGGCGCCCGGACTACTAGTACCGTTGGCATGCCGTGTCGCCGTAGACACTGTTCTTTTCCAGTGCGCGCGTCCAGCCGTCGTGAGCAGGGAATTGGACCATTTAATCTGCAAGCCTCCCGTTTCCCGTGTGAGCTGTGCTAGCTGACCCTTCGTCACGCGCTCGTCCAATTCGCTGAGAAAAGTTTGTGCGAGGTTCTCCTTGCAGGCGTCGAAGGCACGCCGCGCGTCCCGGGTCTGCTTCGCTGGACTCGTGCCGGGCTTGCCTTTAGCCGTCCCCGGCGCATTCTGCTTCTTCACCTTAGTCACCTCCTCGGACACACCGGCCTCGGGCTTCTCCGGCGAATGCTCATCGATCCAGGCGAAGTTCACCTCTGGGTCCCAGAACTCCTTATGCTCGGGCTTCCAGGGCGACGCGGGGATCCTAGGTGTCTTGAGGGGAGACGCAAGCAGCGTCTTCTGCGTCTTCTGTGTCCTCTTGGGCGTTGTAGGCTCCAGCACGGGTTTTTTAACTGCTTTAGTTGAAGGCTCGTCAGAATCGGAGTCCTTGTTGAAGCTAGTAGGACGGTTAGTATTGGCCAATAATGTCTGCGTCATGATAGTGATGCCAACTACTTTTGGCGTGGCTTACATATGAAGTTTCTGAAAATCATCTTCTAAGTTTCCTGGTTGGGATGGCTTGAAGTAGTCAAGAATATTTGTCTTAGGCTCGCTTTGTTTGGGTGAATGTTTGCCTGGGTCGACGATGGTTGCCTTGGGTTGTTTGTTGTTGGGTGCCGCCTTTTTGCCTGGGTCTCTAAACAACGTTCTCTGAGGCTTCCCCCATTGAGTAGTAGGACTCCTTGAGCGCCGCGTGGGTGGTGTCAAGGAATGTTCTGAGTCTAAGTTCCACGTATCTGATTCGGACTCTGATATTGAGACGAACTCAGAAATTTCCTCTTCACTTGTCTCTATGATTTCCTGTATTGTATCTGATTCTTCTTCAGACTCATCCGAAGGTATTGATTTCTTGGTTAGCTTCCGAGAAGCCTGCTCATTATCCTCATGCCCATCTTTCTGCCTGCTTCTTTGATTAAGTATTTCCTTTTCTTTTGGCAACAGAACCGGCTTGGTGCTAGACCAGATCGTACGAGAAACTGTTTGCCGAGCCGTGGTTGGCAATGGATTTGATGCATCTCCGGATGATATATCTGATTTGGTGTTTGCTTTTTGAATAGGAGCACGAGAGCTTCTTGATTTTGACGTCCGGGTATCTTTTCCCTCGGTAGTTGCGATGTCACCCCAAGGTTTTAAGAGGGATCCGTCCACAACCTGACCCTGGCCTAGCTTCCGTCGTCGAAGAGGTGTTGATTTCACTGCTGCATTTGACTTTGCTGTCGTCTGTGTACTTTTTCTGTCGGCCTCTGGCTTTCCTTGTACTTTATGATACCGACCGATGACCACGTCTACCTCTGTGAATTCATCCTCGCTGCTATTCCCTAATTTACCTTTTAACATATTTGCGGTGCGACTTTTTCTAATGATATCATGCCGCGGTATCACTAGTAATTACGAATATATAATTTAGGCTTATGTTGGTTACTCCATAATAGAAACGTTTTTCTTTCAAATGTTCTTTCAAATGTTCTCATGTAGAATCAATAAGGTTTAGGGTTAAGTTTGATAGGTTATGATAGGTTGTGGTTGCCAGGCAACGCGGGGTGCTGACCTGAGCTTTTTACATACTGTTCCCACTGATAGGACTGATAGGTGCAGATAAGTCCACTGTAGGTCCACCTACGTCCTATCTCCAATATTTCAGGCATGCATACGGAAGTCGCCTTCAAAAGTTATGTCCATACCAAGCACCTGTCAGCCTTGGTTACAGCTGTCAACCACCTGTGACGCGGCTTAACCCACTTGGCACGCAAAAAGTATAAAGTACATTGAAATATACCCTTTATTATATCAATAACTATATAACCAAATATATTTTTAAAATAGAACGTTTAGATATGGTATAAATATAAAAGCTTAGATTTATTATGGCATCAATCTTAATACTATAACTTATATAGTTAAGGTAAAATAAATAGATTAAAATGGTATATAAAAAAGAGTACATCTGCTATCACGGCCGACAGTTGTTGCCAAGATTTGCCAAGCTGACAGGGGCCGACCTATGGACAAAACTTTTGAAGGCGACTTCCGTACTGCATACAACATTAAACCTTCATATGTGAAGCGGTGAGAACTCAATTCGGGATAAGAAGGTAAATCTATCCAGTCAATTCACAATTATTTCATCGTGTACATTTCCCTCTCTCATTGCTTTATAAGTGACTAATGGATCTCATTTACGGTCATAATAGGTTAGGTACCTCTAATGATTAGAAATATAAAATGAAATATAGCGCTGTCTAATTGACTGGTTTCAGCTTACACATTACCATTACCTTGGGTAACTGTTAATTGGCCTTTAACTAAATGAATTATCCATCATTCAATTAGCTCTTATTAGTCAATACCGCATCCACTAAGAAACAATTGAATCTAGGGCACGGACCACGGGCTTCAACTACACTATGTTTACAATGACCTAAACTACATCCGGCTTTCGCTAAAGTACCCCACAGCAATGATATGCTCAAATCATTTCCAAATATGGTATAGTTGATTACTGTGGTCCGTGCCCTAGATTCAATTGTTTCTTAGTGGATGCGGTACTCATAAAGTCAAAGCAAGCATTGCTGGGTAACTCATGGCTTTGTAAGCTTACTTTGCTGCTCAAAGATTCAATCGACTTTAACACGCACTTGCAGACGGATCTAAGTCAACTACTTAAATAACTCCGAAGTTGGTCGAGCTGCCTACCTAGGTAGTCTATGTATTTATCCTTGGCTCACCTTAGACTTGGATCCTCTAAAAATAATGACTTTTGGCGGCTTCAAGCATCGAGAGGCGTAGCCAATTAGGATGCTGGCGTTGGTGCCCTTTGCCCCTGAAATTTGAGAAAAAAAGAATCCTACCATCCATCGCCCGATCTTGAGATTGACCCACGTCTAACGAGTAGCCTAGAATAGATTATACATTCGAGAAGTGTATGGATTGAGTTTAATTTTGCTACTAATCTTTGTACTAACATAAATCCTATTTCTTCTCAGGGGTTCCTTGACTTCGAGCTTCGACATAACATTTTCTGGTTCGTTCGGCTGATTGAGAAAATCTTCCACCCAAGCCGCCTGGCTGCTAGGTAGTTTATTCCTACAATTACCACACTGTTCATAACACTGTTTATATGTATTTTTATGACCCGTATCTCTACATACATATGTACGTAGCACATGCTTATTTTTATGCCGATCTACAGATTTTCCTCTGCAAGCACTTCTAATCTATCGAAGCGAAAAAAGGATAGTCTTCAAATCTTTCGGTACTAGTATCTAGGGCTTTGTGCCGCACGCCTATCAGCTTCAGTTCGTCCAGTAAGAATTATTCTTCTCAGCCATTGCCAACTAGACGCGTGGATAGTTCTTCATCATGCATATCTTCTTGCAGGAATAATAGATTACACTACGTGTATAACACCGTACGCACACGTATGTAATTTGAGCATTCCGTCATCGATAGCCGGAAGAGGGAATAATGGCCGGTACCTGCATATAGCGTAGTTCGTCATTTGTAAGCGTTGGGTGGTGGTGGTGGTGGTGCTCCTTCGGGTTTTTCATTGGACGCCACCGCTACCTTTTTACTGCGAAGCCGTTTCGGTTGACGGGATGGGATTTGAATCAAGGCTTGTGCTCCTTTCTCAATACCCGATTCTTTCTAGGTAGCGACGAAATGGTTAGGGCGTCAGAGTCGCGTCAGGTTCTTTAATCGAATGCTATCATCACCAAGGTTTGTGCTGGCACGTGTCCTGCATACATACTACCTACTGCTACCAATGTAAATTCCCAACTTGGATCGTATTCAAGAGAGGGATAGGTGACTACATATGTATGTAGTTAGACATAAGAGCCAGTGGCAAAAGTTGGTGGGTTACACCGTCGGCATGTAATACGAAGAGAATTCAGAATACGATGTTTGTTCGAGAATTGATACGATCATTTTCTCTTCTTATAGTAGTTGATAACACCGGGCTGCCTCTACTGAAAACGAGTTGCTGATAGATTATCGAAGTAGAATTACACTCTTATTTGTTAAAAGTTGTATGCTGTACCCAATATACGAAGTAGTGGCACATTGCTTATATGACATCAGATCTTTTGCTATATTATTTTTGACTGCATATTTAGATAACAACGGGGGGATTTTCGTGATAACGAACGAGAGTATAGATTGACTGATTGACTTATTCTCGAGACTTGTTTTTGTCGACGGCCTCGCCGGCGATAGGTGAGCTGTAATCGTGTTGTTATTATGTAGTGTAGAATACTTACATGTATTGAAATGCATAAGGTAAAAAAAAGGAGATGTGGGACGATACCTATTCTGATACCTACTATGTATTCTGATGGAGGGTATGGCATTAACTGCTCGTGTCGGAAACACTGTGTAGACTTTGCTAGCCGATTGAAAATAGAAAGCTAACGGCCGGCTCGGTACACTAGGCAGCACATGTACATTATGTACATCTTAAGAGACCTTATATCTAAAGGATATGCAAAGCGTAAACTTTAATATACATTCAGAACATCAGATGGCAAGATGATAAAGATGACAACCGAAACTCTGATCTTAATGTGATGGCTACATATACCTACTAGACACAAAGGCAAGATTCTGTCAAGAATTCTGGCAGCCCAAATCAAAAAAGTAAAAAGATTCAAGTCTGGCTTTAAGTGGTTTCGTACATGGACCTACAGGTACTTGTAGGTTACAGTTTCCTTAACACTGTATCCTGTTACCTCTTTAGCACCAGGTACAGGTCGGAACATGCCCACTCCTACATAACACCCCCCCGTTATGGCTGGCTTAGTTCACCAATAAGGGGCTAAATCCTGCTAATGATGAATCAAGGACAGCTTGTTTTGGCAACTATCAACTCCACCAGGCTTTTACCTTCCCACGTTCTTCTCTAACAGATTACAACCTAACCTATCAATTTAATCAATAGCACGATACTTTGCTTTAGAAGGAAACTCGACTGCATTTACCTGCTCCACACCCTCGCCTCCAGGTAGTGACTCCATACACAGCCACGTCCAATCCCAACCTCCACTCATCTTTCCATTGCGGGTAGAAAAATGCCCCGTTTCAATCTCGATCTGGTCTAGAATATGCACTGTGACAGGAATAGTTGACCAAGAACTTCTCGTGAAGCGCGCTGGTAACGCTGGCAAGCTGATAAAGGTTTGGCTACCGGATGCACCCGGTGGGCGAAGAATAACTATTCTAGTGTAATACGTTACCTTGTGCCCAGCAGCCCTAACCCATTAACACTGTGTATTATGTACCATAGACTAGGTACCTATGTACCATACACACCTCCATTGCCCGAACATCTGTAATTAAGTGTACGTACCTAACCTCTCTATTGTACTGTTGCATACCCTGGCTAAGGGGCGATACTAAGCACTTAAGCACGGGTACCGCTGAGTGGGCTGGGCTAAGCTTTGCCCGATCCCCTGGCTATTTTCTCCTTTCTGACATTTTTCTTGATTCTCGATCCCAAGTTCCATGTCCTTTCCCCCTTTTGCCCTTGACAAAACTTGTTTTACACTCGCTTTCATCCTTCGACTTCGAATTCTTATCTTCTCATACTCTCTTTCTTCCTCATTTCAATCTTTTGTATTATCTTGTCGTTATAACTCTGCGTAGAAAACGTCAGGGGGACAGCGTGAGGATATACAGGAATAGGAAAGAGAATAGAGATTCCGCTTTACGCATAGAACCTAGAGGGAGCAGCGTCCTTTCGTTACTGTCAGGTACTATTTGGTCATTCCTTCTTTTTTGTCTTCCGCTCCCGCCGTCCGTTGATTCAACGCACGCTCGTTTAAACGGCCCGCGAGAAACGGAAACTTTAAGGAACACCGCTAGTATATTACTCTCGTCAAAACTGTCAATCGTTTTATCAAAGTCAACTCGGCGCACGAGTTGCAAGTAAATCGAAAATCACCCGACCACTCAGCGAAGGGAGATAAATTGTGAGGTGGAATTTGTCGGATTCGCCAATCAAACGCGACTTTGGTCACGCCTCGGTTTATCTTAAGGCATTCGTCAGGGGCTTATCGCGCTAATCATTCCACTAGTTTGTACTACTATTAGTGCAGACCTACCGCGTAGCCAGGAACCTTGGAAGTCAACATTCACTTTTGCACTTTCAAGTTTGACACCTGCGCCATCCCGCGTCAGGGGCATATCGCAGTAAACACATCTGTCTTTCCTCGCGAGTCAACAAATAATCGCAGTCACTACTCGCTATCAAATTCGTCACAAAGACAACTCCTGCTTGTGGCCGGCCACATTGACTCGATATATCAAATTAATAATTTTAATCTCCACAATCCACAATCGCTTGCCATTATTCGAGCCTCTACCGCTACATTTAGAACATCCCTGATGAGTCCTTAATTTGTAAGTAAAACCAGCAGGAATTATTAGATAAAATTTGTGGAAAGTATCTGCAACTACTTTTCATGGTGCTAATATCCTAGTGCTTCAGACCGCATCTTTCGCATAGTCTTGATTTCCCACGATGTCGGGCTACCAAGGAGGTGGCGGCGGTGGCCGTCACGACTACGACGACGGATATGGTCAAAACCACGATTCGTACTACCAAGACGACCAGAATGGTCACTACTATGACAATGGCTATGATGCCCACGGGGGACAGCCGCAGCAGCAGCAGCAGCCACCACCATGGAAATGGAAACGGGAATGATGGCTACTACGACGAATCGTGAGTATCTATGGCATACCATCTATAACCAGAGACGATTGCTGACAGTTCATAGTGGTTACTATAACGCCGACGCCAATAATCCTTATGCCGCAGAGGGCGGTTACTACGATAACCATGATAATTACCAAGGAGAGTACTACGACGATGGCCATGGCGGATACTATGATAACTATGGTCAAGGTGGTCAGAATGGCAATGGGGGACGACGCGGCGATTCTGAGGAAGATTCCGAGACCTTTAGCGACTTTACCATGAGGTCAGATATGGCTCGTGCCGCAGAGATGGACTACTATGGTCGTGGCGACGAGCGGTACAGCGGCTACGAGCAAGGCAGAGGATACCGGCCCCCATCTTCTCAAGTTTCCTATGGTGGCAATCGCTCATCTGGTGCCTCCACGCCCAACTATGGAATGGACTATGGTAATGTTCCCGGCACTCAAAGATCCCGGGAGCCGTATCCTGCCTGGACGTCTGACGCGCAGATCCCTTTATCTAAAGAAGAAGTTGAAGATATTTTTCTTGATCTTACCAACAAATTCGGATTCCAGCGCGACAGTATGCGGAATATGTATGATCACCTTATGGTTCTGCTCGACTCGAGGGCATCTCGAATGACGCCCAACCAAGCCCTTCTATCTCTCCACGCAGACTATATTGGTGGTGAGAACGCCAATTATCGGAAGTGGTATTTCGCTGCTCACTTGGATCTGGATGATGCTGTTGGATTTGCCAATATGGGCAAGAAGTCCAAAAAGAAGAAGTCCAAAGGCAAGGCCGGCGATCCGAATGAAGAACAGGCTCTCGAGGACTTAGAAGGCGATGACAGTTTGGAAGCAGCCGAATACAGGTGGAAGACCCGTATGAACCGCATGTCTCAGCATGACCGAGTCCGCCAGATCGCTCTATTTCTGCTTTGTTGGGGTGAGGCAAACCAAGTGCGTTTTATGGCCGAGTGTCTCTGCTTTATTTTCAAATGTGCAGATGACTACCTCAATTCGCCCGCCTGCCAAAATCTCGTCGAACCCGTCGAAGAGGGTACCTATTTGAATAACGTAATCACACCACTATATCAGTACTGCAGAGATCAAGGCTACGAGATCTCCGATGGAGTCTACGTTCGTCGCGAGCGTGACCACCACCAGATTATCGGTTACGATGATTGCAACCAGCTTTTCTGGTATCCCGAAGGTATTGAGCGTATTGTTCTCGAGGACAAGAGCAAATTAGTCGACGTCCCTCCGGCAGAACGTTATGTGAAGCTAAAGGAGGTCAACTGGAAGAAATGCTTCTTCAAGACCTACAAGGAGACGCGTTCTTGGTTCCACACGATTGTTAACTTCAATCGTATTTGGATCATACATTTAACTTGTTCTGGTTTTACACTGCCAAAAACGTCCCGACTCTTTTGGTTGGTCAGGTATATGAACAGCAAGTCAACCAGCAACCTCCGGCCTCGGCGCAATGGTCTGTTGCTGGTGCTGGTGGTGCTGTTGCAACCTTAATCCAGATCATTGCTACTTGTGCCGAATGGGCGTACGTCCCGCGACGATGGGCAGGTGCTCAGCATCTTACCAAGAAGCTTCTATTCCTACTCTTGGTATTCGTCATCAATATTGGTCCTAGCGTTTATATCTTTGGTTGGGTAGATCAACAGGAAACGCAAGCTTCTTCTGATTCTGGGTATAGTCCAGTTCTTCATCGCGCTTATCACCTTTTTATTCTTCGCCATTATGCCTCTTGGTGGTCTTTTCGGTAGTTATCTCACGAGAAACTCTCGCCAGTACGTTGCAAGCCAGACGTTTACTGCTAGCTGGCCGCATCTCAAGGGCAACGACAGAGCACTATCATACTTTCTCTGGGGGCTGTTTTCGGTATCAAGTTCGGAGAATCCTACATCTACTTGACTCTATCTCTTCGCGACCCGATTCGTTATCTTCAAATCATGGATGTTTCGAGTTGCGTGGGAGACTACACCCTCGGGCCAATACTATGCAAATATCAGCCAATAGTAGTAATGGTTCTGATGATTATCACCGATTTGATTCTCTTCTTCCTTGATACTTACATGTGGTACGTTTTGTTGAACGCGGTCATCTCTATTGCGAGATCGTTCTATTTGGGATCTTCTATCTTGACTCCTTGGAGAAATGTGTTCTCGCGGCTTCCCAAGCGAGTCTACTCCAAGATTCTGGCTACTACAGATATGGAGATCAAGTACAAGCCGAAGGTTCTAATCTCGCAGATCTGGAATGCCATTGTCATCTCCATGTACCGAGAACATCTGCTCGCCATTGACCACGTCCAAAAGCTACTCTACCACCAAGTTCCTTCCGAGCAAGAGGGCAAACGTACTCTACGTGCACCAACATTCTTCGTATCCCAGGAAGATCATTCGTTTAAGACGGAATTTTTTCCCACCTACAGTGAGGCAGAGCGTCGTATCTCTTTCTTCGCCCAGTCGCTTTCTATGCCAATTCCGGAACCTGTGCCTGTGGACAATATGCCTACCTTCACTGTTTTGATTCCTCATTACGGTGAAAAGATTCTCTTGACCCTCCGTGAAATCATCCGTGAAGATGAGCCGTACTCCCGTGTTACACAGCTTGAATATCTTAAGCAACTTCACCCTCACGAATGGGATTGCTTTGTCAAAGATACGAAGATTCTTGCCGACGAGACATCCCAATTTAACGGAGACGATGAAAAGGGAGAGAAGGATACCGCGAAGAGCAAGATCGATGATCTGCCATTTTATTGTATCGGTTTCAAGTCTTCCGCTCCTGAATACACTCTACGAACACGAATCTGGGCATCTCTTCGTTCGCAAACGCTCTACCGTACTATTTCAGGTTTCATGAATTACAGCCGTGCTATCAAATTGTTATACCGTGTTGAGAATCCAGAAGTTGTTCAAATGTTTGGCGGTAACTCGGAGAAGCTGGAGCGCGAGTTAGAAAGAATGGCTCGACGAAAGTTTAAAATCTGTGTCTCGATGCAGCGTTACGCCAAATTCAAGAAAGAGGAGATGGAGAACGCCGAATTCTTACTCCGAGCCTACCCTGATCTACAAATTGCTTATCTCGATGAAGAGCCTCCAGCGGTTGAAGGTGAAGAGCCGCGAATCTACTCTGCCCTTGTTGATGGACACTCTGAAATCATGGAGAATGGCATGCGACGGCCTAAGTTCCGCATTCAGCTCTCTGGTAACCCTGTGCTAGGTGACGGCAAATCCGACAATCAGAACCACTCGATCATTTTCTACCGTGGAGAATATATTCAGCTTATTGATGCCAATCAGGACAACTATCTGGAAGAATGCCTGAAGATCCGTTCCGTATTAGCTGAATTTGAGGAAATGAAGTCTGACAATATCTCGCCCTACACACCTGGTGTCAAGACCGAGTCTGTAGCTCCTGTCGCCATTCTCGGTGCTCGTGAGTACATTTTCTCGGAGAATATTGGTATTCTCGGCGATATTGCCGCCGGTAAGGAACAAACATTCGGTACGCTCTTTGCGAGAACCTTGTCTCAGATCGGTGGCAAACTTCATTACGGTCATCCCGATTTCCTCAACGGTATCTTCATGTGCACGCGTGGTGGTGTCTCCAAAGCTCAGAAAGGTCTTCATCTGAACGAGGATATCTACGCTGGTATGAATGCAATGCTTCGCGGTGGTCGTATCAAGCACTGCGAGTACTACCAATGTGGTAAGGGTCGTGATTTGGGTTTCGGTTCCATTCTTAACTTCACCACAAAGATCGGTACTGGTATGGGTGAACAACTACTCTCTCGCGAATACTACTATCTCGGTACTCAGCTCCCTCTGGACCGTTTCCTGTCTTTCTACTATGCCCACGCCGGTTTCCACTTGAACAATATCTTCATCATGTTGTCTTTGGAGATGTTCATGATCGTCCTAATCAACATTGGCGCGCTTCGACACGAGACAAACGCTTGTGAGTACAACCGGAATGTCCCTATTACGGATCCCTTGTTCCCCACAGGATGTCAGAACACAGATGCCCTCATGGACTGGATTTACCGCTGCGTCATTTCTATCTTCGTCGTGTTCTTCCTGAACTTCATACCTTTGGTTGTCCAAGAGTTTACAGAACGTGGTATTCTACGCGCTGCAACTCGTCTGGCCAAGCAGTTCTGCTCTCTCTCACCCTTCTTCGAAGTGTTCGTCTGTCAGATCTACGCCAATGCTGTAACACAAGATTTATCTTTTGGTGGTGCTCGATATATCGGAACTGGTCGTGGTTTCGCCACTGCTCGTATCCCCTTCGGTGTCCTCTATTCGCGTTTCGCCGCCCCCTCTATCTACTTCGGTGCGCGTTTGGTTCTGATGTTACTGTTTGCAACCTTGACGGTTTGGCAGGCGGCACTGGTATATTTCTGGATCTCGCTCATTGCACTGGTTATCTCGCCCTTCCTTTACAACCCTCACCAGTTTTCGTGGAACGACTTCTTCATCGACTACCGTGACTATCTTCGCTGGCTGTCTCGTGGTAACTCTCTCAGCCACTCGTCCTCGTGGATTTCTTTCTGCCGTCTTTCTCGTACAAGAATGACTGGTTACAAGCGCAAGGTCCTGGGTACTCCGTCCGGTAAATTATCAGCTGACGTTCCTCGTGCTGCAATGAGCAATGTCTTCTTCGGCGAGATCTTTGCTCCCCTCGTTCTCGTCGCATTAACAGGCATACCATACCTTTTCATTAACGCACAGACCGGTGTCCATGCTCATCAGGACAAAGTTGACCCTACTGCATCGCTCTTCCGTGTCGCGATTGTTGCTGTTGCCCCTATTGGTGTTAATGCCGGTGTACTCGGTGCTATGTTCGGTATGGCTTGCTGTATGGGACCACTACTGAGCATGTGCTGCAAGAGATTTGGTAGCGTGTTAGCTGCTATATCTCATGCTTTGGCTGCCATCTTTCTCCTCGTGTTTTTTGAAGTCATGTTCTTCCTTGAGGGTTTCGATTTCACAAGGACGCTCCTAGGAATGATCACTGTCGCAGCCATTCAGCGATTTATCTTGAAGCTCATTATCACATTTGCGCTTACTCGTGAATTCAAGACGGACCAGTCCAACATTGCGTTCTGGACGGGCAAATGGTACTCTATGGGCTGGCACTCGGTTTCCCAGCCGGCACGTGAATTCCTCTGCAAGATTACGGAATTAAGCATGTTCGCCGCCGATTTCGTTCTTGGTCACTTCATTCTATTTTTGATGTTCCCTGTCATCTTGATCCCGAAGATTGATATGTTACATTCCATGATGCTTTTCTGGCTTCGGCCTAGGTATGTTGTTTACTATCTTCTATTTTATTCTAAGCTAATGTTGTATCTAGTCGTCAAATTCGACCGCCTATCTACTCAATGAAGCAATCGAAACTCAGGAGGAGACGTGTCATTCGTTACGCTATTTTGTACTTTACCTTGCTTGTTGTCTTTGTCGGCCTGATTGTCGGACCAGCTGTAGCGGGTAAGCAGATCGGATCTACTTTGAATAGCGCTCTGAGCGGCCTTCCGATCCCGATTGCGCAGCCGGCTGGCCAAGATCACAACGACACTAGGAACCATACACAAACAGGTACGGGCATGCCGGGGTACTCAGGACCCGGTCTAGCATCAATGACAAAGACGGCGGACGCGGCTGGTTCAGCGGCAACGGACAAGTCTGACGACAGCGGCGACGATACTCGGAAGTTCCGATTCGTCTAAAAGGGACGCTAGAAGGGACACTTGTACCATAATAGAAAAAAAAGATGGTCCTAGTCCCTAAACCAGTACGAAAATAAGTGGGGGTGCTGGTGTGATATTCCAAGTTGTTTTTTTTGGTGCTGTGTATTGACTAGGTAAAGAAGGCGGCATGGCACATGGTATTTTCATTCTTCCTAAAGTCATGGCATCAATATTCGCAGGGTTTTTCTTCCGTTTTTTTTCTGTCTCTGGAATGGAAATGAGATGGTGTTCTATACATAATGATAAAGGCTCCGATTGCATTTATTACTACGATGACGTTTTTCATGCGTGAAGTGTTTTTTTTTATGTGACATAGTTGATGTCGATTTCGATGACGGGGAAGTAAGATAGAATATCCCACGCGACAGCTAAATATTATAGTCTAATATTATAATATCGAAGTAATCACGTATAATTGTTGGGTACGTACCTATTTGATTTAACTCTCAAGGCCTTAAATAACCCTCCTTTTTTTTCGATTCGGTTAGTTGAAGAAAAACGGGATTCCAGAATAGGGAATGATTAAGTCTATCGATTTGAACCTTGTTCGTAGGTTAAGGCTCTTTTCGGATTTAGTAAGGTTAGACTACCTTTTCAACAATTTGACATTACGTACCCGTAGCCGTACCCGAGGAGATAAAGTAGTGTGACAGATAGTGTAACATCAATTTATACGCTACATATACGGAATACTATAGTAGGTAGTAAGTAGGTGCAAGAGGTGGTATATACGGCTGTTACGCAAACTTGGCAACTGCAAAGATACCTTGAGTGCATAATAAGGTGCATACCTAAGGTACTCAAAGTAAGGTATAATTGAAGTTAATGTCTCAACTTTAAAAAGAAGAGAAGTTGCCACCAACTTATTAATAATAAGAACGTGATTATTTTCTTGAAAATCTTGATGTCTGATCTTCCTTATTTCTTATGTTTAATGTTCACGCGCTCGTACAATCCCACCACATTTCATACTCTTAAAATTATTTATAAGATATATACATAAATAAAGAAATCAAATCAAATCGAAATATATAAAATATAAAATTTTCCTGTATGCATACATACGTATTTCCCCAGTTCACCCCCACAGTCATCAAAATGTGCTCGGGACGCCTCGGAATAGATTTGTAGAGACGATCCCCTCTCCTCGGATGTCAAGGATTGGGATTAGTCCCTTGGCTCTCTTCCTTGAGATCGACACAAACCACACCGCTTAGGCACCGAATGGCGAAATAGAGGCTGACCGGTTCATGCCGAGCTAAGGCCAAGTAAAGACTAGCGAAGTCTTCGGGGAATGCAAGGCCTGTAAATTTATTCGCTTGACCCGGCGGTTTATAACAAATGCGGCTATTTATTTCCCGCTATCCGACTTCAACCCGCTTTGCCGCCACCGTCGCCGCCGTCATGCCTTACCTTAACTACGTTTGGCAGACGAACGCTAATTCTTATCGCGCCCGTGTTTTAACGGACCACGATACCATAAGCGGATGTTCCTAATCGTACCAATGTCAGAATGACTCGAGGTGTGGGCCGGTCCTGTGGGTATCAATGACGAAATGCGGATGAAGATCTTCAGGTCTGCCCCCATAATAAAAGGCACAAATTTTGCCATCTGCTACAAATCACAGCCTAGCTTGACCGTCACATTTCAATTCTCACGCGTTCCGCACGTAATGCCATGCATTGCGTCCGCCCGCGCTGCCCGTTGTTGGTGATTGTTAGTGCTGCAAACTTCTCTTGGAGTGGACACCAATCTAAGGGTCTTCTCAGACGTTATGATGACATTTCCTCGGCCCTTGCTCGGTGACACCCACCCACGAACTCAACCTCCACTGTCTACCAGCAGCTTGCTACGATAGAGGCGTGAGGACCCTTTTTTTCTTTGATACGGACCCTTTTTTCTTATGATTATTTGGATATACCTGGTTATACTGGCATATGCTGGGATATACGTATGCGAGGTAAGAGGTCGTGTAAGCAGATCGTGTAGCTCAACATAAACATATATAAGATAACCGGTGGACCATGCTCTCCTTATCCCCCAACAGCCTAGAACTCGATCTATTTCCCTATCCTCCAGCTTTTCCCCCTTCTCCTCATTCTTACCCCTTCTCACTCCAGGTTCCCCTAAATCTTACAATCTAGATTTTCCCCCTGGAAGAGTCCTACGTAGATAGTTACGATAGCCTACGAAAATGGGGCACAAAGACAACGCCGATGGCGCGCCCACGTATTGGGGCAAGTCTGGCAAGACTTTGCAAAGAATGATCACAGCCGTAGCGACGACAGATTTCCTGTTGTTCGGTTATGACCAGGGCGTCATGTCCGGTATCATCTCGGCTCCCGCCTTCACCTCTGACTTCCCGGAGGTGGATGGGGATAGCACGTACGAGGGTTTCGTCGTGTCCATCTACGCTGTCGGTTGCTTTTTGGGTGCCTGTTTCATTCTCACGTTTGGTGACCACCTCGGTCGCCGCAAGTCTATCTTCACCGGAGCCACTGTCATGATTATTGGTGTTATCATTCAGATCACTGCTATGCCTAATGGATCAGGAGGAGGCGCGACAGCACAGTTCATAATCGGGCGATGTATAACGGGTATAGGCAACGGTATCAATACTTCGACAGTACCAACCTATCAAGCAGAGTAAGTCATTGTCTGATTCTCATCTCCTTATTGAAGCGTATAGGACCTGGTTCCGCTAACCTTTGTCTCTTCGTGTTTTTAGATGCAGTCATTCGCACAACCGTGGAAAGCTCATCTGCATTGAGGGCGGCAACGTTGCGATCGGAACTTTGATTGCTTACTGGATCGACTACGGATGCACCTATGGCCCTCACGCCTTCGTTTGGCGATTCCCCATCGCTTTCCAGTGTGTCTTCGCTTTGGTCGTCATCGTTCTTATGACCCAGCTACCGGAATCTCCTAGATGGCTATTGACGAAGGATCGAAACGAAGAAGCAACCACGGTCCTGGCAGCTCTCAACGGTGAACGCCGGGACGACCCTGCTGTTCAGACACAGGTTGCCGTCATCGTCGACGCTATTCGGGCTTCTGGTCATGGCGGCGGCGTTACTCCTATGTCAGATCTCTTCACTAATGGCCCGACTCAGCACTTCCGCCGTCTCCTTCTCGGTGCCTCTTCGCAGATGATGCAGCAGCTATCCGGTTGCAACGCGGTCATCTACTACTTTCCCATCCTGTTCCAGACCTCGATCGGTACTTCGCACAACCTGGCCTTACTTCTCGGAGGTATCAACATGGTCGTCTATTCCATCTTTGCCACTACCTCGTGGTTCGCTGTCGAACGGATTGGTCGCCGAAAGCTCTACCTTATTGGTACCGTTGGCCAGTGCTTGTCCATGGTTCTCACTTTTGGTGCTCTGATTCCTGGAACGGAAGAAGCGGCTAAGGGAGCTGCTGTTGGTCTTTTCGTAAGTCGACCTATCTTACCTAGTGATACCGTTTGGTTATAGATAACTAACGCTGTTAAATAGACTTATATCGCATTCTTCGGTGCGACATGGCTTCCGCTACCGTGGTTGTACCCGGCTGAGATTAACCCGCTTAAGACGCGTGCTAAGGCCAACGCAACTTCGACTGTGTCCAATTGGCTGTGGAACTTCTTTATCGTGATGATCACTCCGGTGCTACTGAGCAACACAGGACGAAGCGGCTGGGGTACCTATCTCTTCTTCGCGATTCTCAACGCTATCTTTTTCCCTATCATCTACTTCTTATACCCGGAGACAGCTGGACGTACCCTTGAGGAGATCGACGTTATCTTCGCTAAGGGTTACGCCGAGAAGATGAGTTATGTTAAGGCTGCACAAGAGTTGCCCCGTCTTACGGAGCAAGAAGTCCAACAGAAGGCCCGCGAGTACGGGTACTGCTTATCTGACGAGGAGGCCACAGTCAGCATGCACGAGAAGGCTGAAGGTGTCCTGTCGACGCCGCCTTCTGATTAATGCTACCATGTGACGCAAGGATTCACGATTGGATGATCGTGCAACGGATCGCGATCACATGTTTTCCTATTTCAACAATGCTCGCCTTTGATTAAGGTCATGACAGTTATGATGTTTGGTTGTGGTGTTCAATATTGACACCCGACACTGCCACATTCGGTACAATTATGATGAATCGGTTCATAAACCGAAGCCATGCGTGTTATATATATGTTGGGACAGTGGAAGTACCATTAGCGGTGCCATATGATTGGGAAGTCCACGATGGGCTTTTTTTCAGTCTTTAGGAGGATACTAATCGTTTCTCTTTTCGTTGTCTTTTTTTTCTCTTTTTATATTCCCATGGGGTCGTCGAGATATACCCTCGGATCAGATATGACCCGAAACTGGATGTTGAATAGACTGGTTAGAATCAGTTTATAGATCTACTAGATTAGATCGTTGTATCTAGCTGCGTTAGAGATGTGGCGAAGTAAGGATGGGCGAGGTCCCTTATAGGCAGGCATTCCGTAGATAGGCATTCTATAGACTATGAAACAATTGGAATCGCAAAAAAATAGTCTGACCCGATTAAGCTTCATAGTGATACTGTTGTCACGAGCTGAAATGGATGGAATGATCATAGGTAAGAAATCTCGGGGGTTATAGCCCAGGTTCGTAGGCCGATGTAACGCGGCGCATAGCGGCGCTGATTCGCTTGTTATGACCTTTTTACATTTCGCTCGTCCTATCAGCTCTTCGGCGATTAAAGATGAGCTTATGATAGAATGGGTGAGATGGTCTTGTGGTGATTTTCGAATGGTGTTAGTACATAATAAGGTACCTATGTAAGATGTCAGGTTACCATCGCGATATGTATGGGAGGCCTGTTTACGCGATAGCAAACCCTCTTCCTGGCGATCATAGCCGTATGGGCCGACGTGATAAATAAGCTTGTTTTAACCTCGTTAGAGCCTCAAGCCTTATTTGCTGATTGTTGCCTTTTTCTGCTTGGTTTGTGTTAAGATCGCCGTGGTAATCGGTGATCCCTTCGTAGGTGTACATAATAGGATAGGATAGGATAGGATAGACGTGGTTACGCCGATTTGAGTATAGTTATACGTGCGTACGTACGACACGGCATATTGAATTCGCACAATCATCTATGGCTGCTTCGATGGGCGACAGCGGTACTGTCCGGTCGCGGCTCATCGCGTTGCGGCTCGTGCTGTTGGTGTTACTGTTTGCGAATGCGGTTGATGCGAAGGGGACTGCGACTATTACACCGGCGCCGTCGCGTCCAACTACCGTGCCTATATGGCTGCCGAATATGTCCGGGGAGGAATGGTCGCAGTGGCGGGGGAGTATTATTTCTAGTGTACGTACCTCTATCTTCTCCCTGGTCGTCGTACTATCTGAGTTCTTTGTGTCTGTTGGAAACGAAAAAGGGGGTGGGCGGATGGGTGGAAGGAGAAGGAGGAGGGGGGGGGAGGGGGGGGAGAGAAAGGAAAAGGTGATTAATAACTAATAAACCAACGTATAGAACGACGTCGAGACCGTGTATACAATCTTCTGCCCGGCGGAGCGTCCCGGCTGCACCGTCTTCTCTACCAATGACATGCCGGTTACATTTACGGAGGGCCCAGCGACGCTTCGTACGGCGAATACGATAGCTGGGTTGCTGTAAGTTTGTTCCCCCTTTCCCTCCTCCCTCCTCCCTCCCCCTTCCCCCTTCCCCCTTCCCCCCATCTCCTATCCAAGCTAAACATCACCACCACCACCCCAGCTCCATAACCGAAGCCTGCATCCTAGCCTCCACCACAGCAGCCACCTGCAGCGGGAGCACCTGGGTGCAACTCGGGTTCTCGCGGTTTCTCAGCTCGATATCGAATACTACGATAGCGCCGTACACGCTGTCCGGCACGGACGTGGACTGGGGCGTGCTGACGCTGGGGGACGGGCCGCTTACGAGTACTAGGGGGGGACGCGAGTATACTTATTATACTACTACTACTACCACCACTACTAATGCTGCTGCTGCTACTGCTACTACGACGACGACTAGTAATGGGTCCCCTGCTGCGGCTACGACTGGTACTAAGGCTGGGGGCAACGGGAATGCGGGAGGAGCAGGAGGAGGAGGGAATGCGGCGGCGACGGGGAAGGGTAAGCCGAAGAAGTCGGATGCGAGGATGACTGTAGGAGTAAGTGAGGAGTGGAAACGGGGAGTGGTGTTGGTGGGTTTGGTGGCTGCTTTGTTATGGTGAGGCGAGTTGAGGTGATGTAGTAAAGTGATATGAACTGACCGATTAATGAATGAATAAATGGAATGGGTCTTGTTATGAAGATTTCAACTAATTATTATAGAATAAATAGTGCGAATGATGATATATAGTGTAGACTGAAGTTTATATACAAGCTAAGAGCCATATGGAGAGCAAAGGTAGTAGACGAGTACGTAAATGACAGTGATGGATATAACTTATATATGGTACCCTAGGTAGGCATCATCTAAATGCTGAGGTTTTGGCACACACAAGGATTAGCTGTATATTATCACGACAAGGACAAGACGGAAGAACCAACAACTTACTCATATAATTGTATAAATCTAATAGACACTCCCAGATGGAAATAAAAAATACGAGCTTGAATTGATCTACAGAGAATAGAATGCTGCGCAAATCGTACACACCCACCTCCTTTTCCATTTTGGCCGCACGGATCCTACCGACTCAGCCAACCTTTTCCATCCATGCGTATATGCCTAACCTAACTCATTAATTCATAATTGACCTGCCCGTTTAAGCCGCGAGACCATCCTACTCGTCGCAAGGCGAATACTGTCCTCCCATTCCCCAGTACTGCTCGGCCATGAACGTCGCCGCCTCGGCCTTCTTCCACATGTCGTTGAACGCAGTGAAAAGAATAAGATTGCTAGCATTGGAAGTGTAGGCCTTCTTGATGGACGAGAGCGCGGTCGTCTGCTGATCCATGCCCGGAACAGCCTCGCCGTTCGATTCTCCCTGCCAAGGCCAACCCGTCTCCGTCACAACGATACGTTTGCTCGAATCGGATAGTTTACTACGAATGTTACTGACGGTTGAAGTAACAAACGAGCCTGCTCCATCGGGACCTGTGTTGGGGTCGAAGAAGGGGTGGACGTTGACAGCGCAGTAGTCAGACTCGTCGCAGAGCTCGGGATGGGCGAGAATAGCGACGAACGTATCCACAATGACGACAGGTCCTTCGTACCCAGCGCTTCTCAATAGAGAACGCGTTTGGCTCAATGCGCTGATAGACTGGTCCACAGTTGCGCCACCGTCGTTGACTAGTTCGTTACCTACTGAGACGGTGTCGACGATATCCCAGTCGTTCTGAACGCCGGCGGCCATGGTAGATACGCCATTTTCGATTGAGTTGATATCGAAAATGCCTAAGAATAATTTATTTCCATATTTCTTAGCAGCTGCATATGCTGTCGCTACCTGATCGCAATCAACGCCATACAATCGAATGACGCCGTAGTCCTTGGCTATCAGCGCAAAGTCCGCATCAACCTCGTCTGCAGTCTTGCATTCTCCGTTACCTTTGTAAGGGGAGTAAGCAACGCCGTGAAGAGCGCCGCTGCTTGAAGATGGAGAAGCTGCCGAAGAGGACGCCGATTTCGAACTGGTTGGGTACGAATCGGCGGAAACACCTTGAGAAGAAGAAGCCTGCTGAATAGTAGGAGAGGCTGCTTGATACGAAGACGATTCAGATTCCGCCGCTGGCGCAGCCTTAGTTGGCAGAGGAGAAACCTCGGTCGTGGGTGTTGTAGGAGTTGATGCTTTATACGTCTCTACCGACGCGGGGACATAAACAACCGTCTCGGTGGTAGTGCGGATTGGGTTGTTATTCTGATCCACATAAACCACGACTTCAGGGACTTCTGTAGTAGTACTGTATTTAGAATCAGTAATGGTGATTTTGTCCCTCTTCGCAATAGGGGCTCTGTTTGCCCTATGTCGGTGGAGATGTTGATGCTGATGTCCTAATAAAGATATGAGCTCTTGTCCCTAAAGGGAGATAATAGATAATATATAATAGATAATATATAGTAGATCAGAGCTATGACTTACTCGGCTGCCCAGCCGACAGGCCGAGGAGGGAAAGAAGACTAAGAGAAAGTAGTGTAGATCTCATGATGTCGATATGTTAATACGATGCTGGGTATTTCCAGAATGAGCGTGATCGCGAAACTGCGAAAAACAAATAATGAACGGCCTATATTGTTAGCGAGGCAACGATTTACTTGAAGGAGTGACGAGAATAGAGACAAAAGGGGACATGAATGCGGCAGATGACACTCAACAAGTGTCCATTAGTTACAAGAACTGCGAGGGAAACAAAAGTAGACAAAGGAGTGTAGTGAGAGCTTGTGCTAGTAGGTAAAGAGAACAATTAAGGGACTACCTAAGGTATAATGAGGTTATAGATTCGAGGAACGAGGTGCCCGTTCAAGAAAACAATATCAACATAATTGTCCATTTGTGGTGGAAGTTGCCCAGGCCTAGTTGCCCCGGCATCGAAGAAGGAAAGGGGGTAAACAAGATATGGTGAAGGAATGATGGCGTTTGTAAAGGGGGTCATCATTATTGAATACAAACAATAACAAGGGAGAAAGAGCACTTACTATCTTTTATTCTCGAATTTAGACAGAGGTCATTATCGATGTTGCCTTATTCCCGAAATATGAATACGATCGATAGGTTAATAGGTCAGTCAATAGGTAAGAAGGAGTGATTCGCAGTTGACTAGCTAATATCGCGTATCCTGATTTATCGATAACCTCAAAGGAAGGTGGTTATAGATTGTAAAAGAGTGTATTTTAGGTACTTAGGTTAAAGTATCGTAAGGAATGATGGCGGTCGTAAAACGAATTATATGAAATCTGGCAGTGTTTTAGTGTTAGTCTAAGTAAAATTCTCCTAGGGCAACGATATCGTGGATCAAGTTTTTTTTCAGTCTAAAACGTCATCACAACGCGCGGCAAGAACGCTAGAGAAATGAGACCCCACGCTTCCCTTTGGTCGAGAACCACATGATATATAGACGTCAATGTTTCACATTTCATCTAATAGTTCGTCCGGAAGGCACAAGGCACAAGGCACAAGGCACAATCATTGGTACCTACCCGTATGAAGTTTTATATATAAAGGGACAAAGACATCCCCTCCCCCTATCGACTATTCAGCCCCCGGCCCCCGATCCCCTTTTCGATAAGATAAAAATAGATGGTCCATCACAACGCCACAGTGGGACATAACTTCACTTGTATGATAGAATTAGTAATTAGTATGTATATGGTTCTAGTGTATGGTCTGATCCATCTGATCCCGGCAGTTTGCCTTTCTATCTTGAATAGGTATACACTCGTGGACTTTTCAATTATTAATCGAAACGGATTCGAGCACTTATCCATCTCAACCCTCTCAACCCAAGGTCATGTCCAGGTCGTAGTATAATAGCGCCATTACGCATACAACTACCTCATCTCGCGTCATATCGTGAAGCAACGTGAAGTAGTCGTGAATAAGATCACGAGAGACTGAATGTTTCCTAAGCAGCTAGTGACGACGTCTGCCGGCTGGGTTTCCGGGTCATAATCTTGGTGATAGCGTGTCGAATCGTTGTTCCAGCCTTTTCGATTTCCTTTTTAGACAAGCCCGACGTGATACAAACCTTCAAGGCAGGCTTGATATCTATATCGTTAGTACCGATACTGCCGATTAGCGGGAAGCTCTTCAGTCGCGTAATTAGTACACCGTTGGCGAGTGCCTATATATTCCTGTAAGTGGATAAACTTCGCTTGTGCTATTCCTGGACAACTTACCTCATCCGTAATCTCAAGGAACAGCCGCTCTTGATCTTCGTTGCTCAGTCGTCTCGATGAGACAACTTCAGGCTTGAACACTAGTAGCATAATCGGGTTCTCAGGGTCGCTTGTGCATCGGACCCATTCGCTGCGAGGGTCGAGCTGTGCCTTCATAGCCTGAATGTTGTCTCGGCATCCCTGTAGGATATCGGGGTTGCATTGTAGGACATTTAACGTCTCACTAGCTGTGACAGCAGCCATAGCAGGTAGAGCAGCCGAATAAGTGTACGATGCGGCATTGATACGCTGGTGTCGTACCACATCCTTTGAACCAGCGCAGAATCCACCAGCAGCACAGAGAGGTCCGGCCATAGAGCCAATAATCATATCAACAGCCTCAGAGTCGACGTTCTGTGCCTCAGTAAGTCCTCGTCCGTTACGGCCAAGTACGCCAAACGACCAAGTCTCGTCCAGAGCGATGCGGAACTTATATTTTTCTTTCAATTCAACCTAAAATATTAAAAATTGTCAGCATGTTATAGAACAGAATTAAGTTGGTATCAGAAAGGGTTGGCTTACGAGCTTAGGAAGATTAGAACAATCGCCAACCATCTCGAAAAGTCCCTCAGTAACAATAAATCGCCTAGTCAAGATCTTCTTCTTTGCTTGTTCTTCGGCCACTTTCTTCATAACCTGTTCCAAGTCTTCCATATCGTTATGCTCATACCATTTAATATTACTTCGGGAAGCCTCTAGTCCTTTACGAATCGAGTAGTTGACCATCCTATCAGCTACGATGACATCACCTCGCTTGCAGAAGGTCGGAATAACACTGGAGATGGTAGAGAAAGCGTGAGAGTAGATAATGCAGCTCTGGGTACCGAGGAACATGGCGATATCGTGCTCAGTTTGCATGTGGACATCTTGGTTGCCGTAAAACTGTGGGGGACCGCAAGGGCCAACTCCGTAGGTGCGCAGTGTCTGGATTGCCTTCTCCTTAATCGGCTCGCTTGCGTTGAAGTTATAGAAGTTGTAAGAGGCCAAGTTTACGACAGTTTTTCCGCTGGATAGTTTCACCTTCGGACCCGTCGGTCTATGTTGATACTGTTAGCAATGGCCATTGACAGACCGAGAGACTGATTCTTACCCAACAATAACAGGTTGCCTCTCAGCTTCTGCCTCCCAAGTTGCGTCTGAGGAGCCACAAGCGGTTCGGGTTCCCAATCTCTAACGAGCTCATCGATCTCGTCATCGCGGAGCTTCACGTAGTTGGGATCGTGGGTAGGATAAGAGGGCGACAGAAGATATCGAACGAAGAATATCACGAGCACAAGTTCTATCGCAGATCGAACGGGATCATTCTGGTAGCTTGACTGAATGTATCGAACCAAAACACTTCCAGGGACTTTTTGGAAGGCGTAGGATATTTCGTGAAGCGAAGCCTGCAAGTAGACTTGCGCCTCGTGCAAGTCCATTTTTAACAATTTAATATGGTGACGACTATTGAAGCAAAGTCATTGAAGAATTCAATATTATACAATTTGGCGTTGAATTTGTAGGTGAGTGCTTCAAGAATTCGGGACGTGAGACGGGGACAATATTATCATAGGGGAAAAGGTCGGTAACGATCTCAAATTGGAAAAGGGTCCAACTGTTGTTTCTCAATCACAATTACCTAAGGTAAAATAAAAAGGTACCCGACCTTGATCCTCTTAAACACGCTTCCGCGAATCCGGCACTAGGGACACTACGGATCTGTATGTAAGCGGCGCATCCAATTGAGGCAGCCTGGACTCCCATTAGAAAGCCGAAGACCCACTTACTCGCATCAAGGCTAATATAACTTGTTAATCCTTTTAATTGTATATATGCATGTAAATAGTAGGTACATACCTAGGTATATATACCTAGGTATATATACCTTGTAACGTAATCCATAAGTCAGAGGCCCATATAAATTAAAGGCTCAAAAATATCTAAACTATTACTTTTTAATTTTAATAATTAATTATTTAATTAATTTATAATATTTTAACTATTTAAAAAAACTAGGATAAACTTAACTTTTGGCATTATAAAACGTAATAAAAATCTTAATATAAAACGCGTTATACGTATTTATAATATTTTATATAAAACGTTACGCGGTAAAATATATAGCTATTAATAACATATAAATACAATAAAACTATAATAAAAATTAATTTAATATAAAAAGGATATTAATTATTTAACGTATTTTTAAACTAAATATTTAAGCTTTTTTTCTTAAGCTTTTTTACGTTAAAAAATAGTTAATAATTATTGTAAAAATATAACAAAAATCTATTAGAAAAAATTAAACTACAAATTTTATACGCTAGCAACCTAAATTTAAAACACGTTTAAATTATCAAATTAATTATTAAAAAGTTTTTTGCGAAAATCTTAACGTTTATTACGCGTAATATAAGCTAATTATTAATATAAAAAAAAAAAAAATATTTTATTTAAAGATATATATAATTTAATAAAACCGGGTTTATAATAGGTATAATTATTATAAAAATAGTTATTATAAGTTTAAATTAACATTAAAAGTTTTATTAGGTTATATTTAAAAATAAAAAATAATTTATAGCTATTTATTATTAATAATTATAAATTAAGCTATATTATTTTTTATTATTATAATAAATAAAATATTTTATTTTATAATATTGTAATAGTAGATTTTTATCTATTATTAATTATTATTTAAAAACAATTAGATTATAAATAAAATTAATTTGAAATAATTAACATATTTCGATAAATATTAAAAAAACATATAAAAGACATTAAACGCCTTTTAATATTAAATAATTACGAAAATTATATATCAATAAAATTTTGTAAATATTACCGTAATAATAATATTATATTTTTTTATATGCTTATTTATTTATTATTTATAAATTTTAATCTTTAAATATAAACGTTTTTTTAATTTTAAAACGCGTATACAGAATAATTATTAAAGATTTAATACAATAAGGTTTAATTTATATTAGAAAAAAAAATTTTTTCTTAATTTTTCGATAAATTTACGATATTATTTTTATTAAAAAAAATATATAAGCTAATTTTAAAACTATTAAACTAATTTTTTTAAACTTTAATCGGGTTATTTTATAACTTAATATCGTTAAAATTGCACATTTTCTTACCTTAGATCTCAAATTATTTAATTTATTTTAAATATTTAAAATATTAAAAAATATTAACGAAATTATATTATAGTTTATTTTTACGTAATAAAATCTTTACCTATTAATTTAATTTACTAATTAAAATTTTAAAAATTATTAATAAAAATAAACTACATATAAATTATATATAAAATAACTATATTAAAAAAAAAATTTTAAATTTCCAAAAAATAAATTATATATTTTTTAAACGTTAATAAATAAAAAATAAATAATTATAAAAAGGAAAATCTTTTATTTAAAAAAAAAAAACGTATTATTAGCCTAAAAAAACGGTATTAACGTTAAAAGCGATATTATAGTTATTAAAAATAATCTTATAAAAAAACAACAACAAAGTTAATAATGTTATGATATTTATAATAATATAGGTTATAACGCGTAAATTTATTAAACCAAATTAAAAACCTTTAATTATAAAAATTAAATTAATTTTTAATTAATTTTAAACGTTATTATTATATAATAATAATTTAATTAAATAGGTGTAAAATTGTGGGCCTTTGACTTATGTAGGCCTCTAATTTGTAAATCACGTTATGCACTTTTTACGTAGATTTCAATCTTGTTACCTACAACAGCTTTCTATTAACAAGGTCTTATGATATTCATTCGTTATGCGTTAATCGCCTCGATAAACGCCGGACTTTCGCTTCCTTCTACTACTTTAGAAATCGGCGTTAGATACGCTTTGCTATCACCAGATTCCTCTCCAAGCCGTCGAATGTATGATTCGGCTACTTTGATCCACATGGCCTTCTCTGTCCTGCTTGCTCCCGAACCCTGCCAGACCCAAATAGTAGACCCGGTGTCCAAGAGGAAGACATCATCGCTATCTAGATCAGAGCTATTTATTGCAGAATCTCTTACTGCGTTGAATCTCAACTCGCCGGAAGCATCTGACAGACGGAACAGCTTGCGAGGGCGATGATTGGCAGCCTCTTGACTCTTAGACGAGATAATAGGCCGTGGTGACTGAAATGGTCCTTCGACATCTTCTCCGCCTAACATGGTAACGATAGTTCGCGATCTTGACTCCGCTTGCGCTATCACTTCGACGTCAATGTGTTTCGCGATAGTCATATCGTGAACGACTTGGGCGGCCTTGGCCTTCTCCATTGGGCTACAGTTCTTACCCTGCCAGACCCAGATTTTGTTGTTGCGCTCCAACACGAAGACGTCGTTTTCGTCAAGACTCTGCCAGGTAGGCTCAACTTCGTAGATCAGGACCGAGTCAGCGCGCTTGGCAGTTGGGTGCTTGAATATTCTGAGCAACGTAAGCGTCTCCTTCGATTCCTCATCGGTCTCAACGTGTGTGAAACCAGAGCGGACACCGCCGGACAAGATCCGGATGCGAGAGAATAGGGCCACAAAGTCATCGGAAGGCTCTTTTTGGAGCTCACGGTGTTGTATGGCTACACCATGTAGAAACTCATCGAGTTCGACTGTCTTATAGGCAGCAGTGCCCGCCTCATCTTGCGTTGTCTTACTTCCGAGCCAGAAGAAGATATCGTGGGCTAACTTTTCCTGTCCATCCTTGCTTCCCACCTTGTACGAGTGTAAAACGATGTAGCTGTCTCCCTCATGAAAGTCGCCATACTGTTCTCTCGGCCATGGAACCACTTCAAAATCCTCAATTCGCCAGATGTAAAGGCCGGGGGCATTTCCGACTTCTTGCCATGCAGGCTCAGTGGCTGCTGAGTTGTACTTGACTTTATGGTCAAGTTCTGTTCCGATATTCTCAACGTTGCTATCTCTCCAGTCGTACTCTTTCATATGTACCAATCCTTCGTGTGGTGCCATCTTGACAATATGATGATGCTAGCTACGAAGTGTATGCGTATTTAGTGACCCCGTTGCACGGAGTAAAAGTTGGATACAAATAAATAAATATTCATGAGTCTGGATAATTCGGCACACAGTATTCTATTTCAGGAGGATGCTGTTGACGTAATGGAGCTGAGCTGAATGGCAATGGATTGTCTAGGTACTTTGAAACAGAATAAGGCGGGGGGCTGAAATAGTTTTATCCTTATTTGTAGTGATACATAGGTCCATTATGCATCCATCCATTATGCCAGCACTTGGTTTGTTGCTTCCCACCTTTCATACGCATCGCACCTAGTATCACGATAATCGCGGATTGGCTGTGGAATTTAGTAGACTATACTACTAAAATTAGAGATAAACGAGCTGTGGAGACCAGTTACAGTAATATCAGAAACTTTTCGCTATTCAAAACCTCCGTCTCATACTTGTCACAGCTACAACAAAACAACATCGGGGCCGTAAATCTGCACTGTCACCAATTTCCACTCTCAACCGAATAATCGGCAAAGTGAGAGCAAAAAACAAAAACAAATAAAAAAACAAGAACGGAAACATGTCGGATAAAAACACACATCCCAGGAGTTTACTTCCTATTACCTGCAACAAAGCACCAAGGAGTTCGCAGAAGACCTAGACAAGGTCCGCAACGCTGACGACTTCAAAGGCGATGCGGTAGCAATGCTCGTTAAGTCCCTACAGCAAGGCACATCTCTATTCTCGGCTGCCGACCAAGAGAGAATACTAAAGGCGCAAAAATCTGGGGAAGAAGACAAATGAAGTGCGCATAGGCACAGAGTACCTAGCTTGTTAGGGATATTCGTAGGAGGGACACACTCTTAGATAGTGCTTATTTAAATCCAATCGAGTTTTACAAAGTTTACATGTCTCTTTTCTACGGAGTGACTCAATTTGCAGCAATTCAGCAAAGAAAATGGAAGTTAAAAAGCAAAAAGCAAAAATAATCATTTATAGAAAAAGATCGACACGAGCAGGATTCGAACCTGCGCGTCCTAAGACATGAGATAGACTGGATCACATATTGTAATTCAAGTCTCACCCGTTAGACCACTCCGGCATCGTGCCTTGATTTGTTGTTGAATTGTGGCCCGTTATAGCGCTATAAGTAGGTTTTGCTTACTGTTAATGTGTTAGCCCGGAAGACCCATCCTAGCCAATCAAGACGTTCTAACCTGATTTACATAGATACAAGTGTGATCGAATTTAATTATTCTTATTGGCCGAGTGCCCGGATTGATTTGCTATATGAAATATGACCACTACTTGGGTAAGTAAGATGCAAGAATTATTCTTAACCTGACTTGGCTCTGTAGGTAGGAATGAATGGCTGGATATGGGATCTGAGATACTAATTAATAACTACTTGAGAACATGGGTTTCATGGAAACGAGTGAAAACCTGTGATTAGGCCTTAATCTACCTAGTAAGAAGCAATCTTATATGATAAACTCGAAGATACTTGCATAAATCACCACCAGCTTCAGCTTCATCTACTAGCATAGAAAGTAATCATAATATGCCTTACTTACCCTAGTCATGAGGCCAATACTCGACATTGACAAATTTCTACACGTGTATTACTACTAGCATCCACTAAGAACGACATAGTAACAACAGAAATAGTGCCCTATAGATATTTATTCGTTCGGGGCCGAAACCTTGTTCCTAACTAGGAATTATTGTCGTGTAGTAAGTAATAATGGGAAAGCTAAGATACTTCATATATCCAGGGAACTCCGATTATGATTCGTAAAGAGGAAAGCCGGGAGGAAGTCTACTCTACCGACTCCAAAGAAAATTGTCTCATAAGCATCATTCATTGCGCTATGAACCCAAAGCATTGAGCGCGATCGAGGCACTACTAACCGACCCCCCCCCTCTTTACTGCTAATATGAAGACGGATAGGAAACCTAGTCCCGAGCATCGTTGTAAGATGGCAATAGAAACTATACAGCATAGCGACACTACTATCGTAATAAAACCCAGTCCCTCAGAACTTTTGAATCCCGTATGCGCAATATCATAGCTTAGCACTCCCTCTAGCGTCGAATATCAAGGCTAGCACGGGTAGACTCGATAGATGGGCGTACAGAACTGCTCGAACTTCTTCGCCTCCTTGCGCGCTGCTCGCTTGGATCCGACGGATTTAACCCCGTAGATCTTGCAAAAAGGTTGAGAACGTCCGTCAAGGTAACGACACCAATTAGGCGGCCAGACAGGTGAGACCCCGGTAGAGTAGAAGCTGGAGGAACAGAGGGAAGTGACTGCCGGTAAGAGAGGTCTGCGAAGAAGATGGAGTCGGAACGAACACGGTGGGGCCTAGCGACGGGGTTCCTGGCGCGGAAGGAGACGGAGACGCAGACTCTACGATCCACATCCTATGTGAACGAGTAGCGACCAGCTTAGCCACCGTGTGTGCAAGTGTTGAATAAGGGTTAAATAGAATACAGGAAATGAATCCTTTCCTTTCTCGACACCTTCCTCGGTTAGGATGACCGATATAAAATGCATGCATGAGTTCTGTAGTAATGGAATACTAGTTGCGTTGGTAAGAAGTTTGACATCGGCCGTGGAAATATTGCCGACGACGTTTAAAGCATTGTCAACGACGGCTACACTTGACAGGCCTTCCTGGTTCATAAGATTGAGAGCCTCTGTCAACGGACTATCTGCGCTATGTGATTGTTAGAGAATAGTGTAGGGTTAGAACTTAGGACTCGAAATGCACGTACTTGACAGCTAATATTTGCTGGGAGCCGACGCCAACCTCGCGCAAGAGCTTAGGGTACAGATCGTCGATGACGCGAAAATTTATACCCTCGTGCCAGAAGAATTCTAAAAGCTTCAGCTGGCTTAGGATACCGATCACTTCGGCATTGTGATTGCGGACGAGTACCCGGTGTACACCACTACCAAAGATCTCGATCGCCTTGGCCAGATCTTCATCTCCCTGCAGGGTGATGAGAGACTCTTTCCGACAAATCGGCTGGATGTCGCGGAGCGGTATGTTGTCTCTAGCCTGCGCTCTTCTTGCTATGGAATCGTACAATTCTACCAAGTCGTCGCTTGGATGCGCTAATCCGACCACGACTAGAATGTAAGCGTTTAAGTCGTTGTAATCGAATGTGGAGATGGGAATGGTGCTGGTAGCATTCTCTCGTATGATAACGACATTGCTTGAGGTATTCTTGAGGAGCGCCTGAAGACATACAAGTAGTTAGAGATAAGCTGGATAAATCGATATTGGTGGATCAGGGTTGACTGTACCATTGTGGCATCCTGCACGCCGGTATCCAGTTCTACCCAGGAAACGTCATCTTTCGACACGAGCTCCCCGATTGCAACATCGCGCCAGTCCCTCCCAGCGAAGCGAGGATTCTGCTGCTTCGGAGCTGGCGGGTGGTTGAGTAATTCCTGAAGAGCGGACTGGGTAAAAGATGGATGTCGCTGATTTCGCGGGGACGGTGGCATGCCCCTCAAATTCTCTGCGAGACTTGAACGATGACTATGGCCTAGGACATGACCAGATTTGTGCAGGCTCGAAGAGGAACCGGTTCGTTGAGGGGGTGGCGGTGAGATACTCGTTTCCTTAGAATCTTTACGTCCCCTAAAATAAAATGCATTAGGATCCATAGTGAAATGGTATTATATTAGAGCTGTTGACCGCAGCAGGGTATGTTCCTAGGAATGTGTTGCAGTTATTCGCCTTCGCAAAGTCGAGGAGAGTCGGGATGGGGATGTCTTGTAGCTTCGAAGCTGTAGCTACATCAATGTACATATGGTCTAACCTAGGTACTTGTCTAAGTAGCTACCTCTTAAGTCTTGGCTTCTTCGTCTCTATCCTACCTTGCTCATATCTAGAACATTGCTTTTACAGATTGTTATGTTGCTAATGGTTCTATACATGTGTGTGTATAGGTAAGGTTTGTATGCGTATATTTGATATCATGAGGATATTAAGAGGTAGGTACCTAACCTTAGATTATATACACTTCTTATGTAAAAAAGTAGGCGGTGCCGAGACCATAGGTAAGGTCGTACCTACCCCAAGGAAGATACAGATACCTCTTATGGTCCGAATAAATTGATCCAATTGTGGATAGCGTAGGAGGTAACTACCCCGTGGAATGACAACCCCTCCTTCACCTTTCTACACCGTCACACGTCTGTCATTAGCGTCAATATGCAGCTATTTTATTAACTTTAACAAACCTTAAGTCTCCAAACTAAAATAAAAACGCCACTGTTGGAGGGGTCGAGTATCTAAGGTAAGTGGGCCGATATAAAATAGTTTAGTATATCCAATATTGTTCTAAAAAACGAAGATAATACGTTATATCTGCAGTTCCACAAGGGAACCATGAACTTGCAATGTTCTAGACGTACATACTATCTTATGCCAACTAATAAGATATAAGAGTGATTAAGAGGTTGTAATACGTGGCAGCGCAAATGGGTAGCGCATTTTCGGGATATAGAAAGCTACAACCAATCGACTGACGATAAACTGTGATATGCGGTACATGGGCCTTAAACATACCAGACAAACATTCCAGATACTAGTGAGTCTCTATGACAATGACTCAATGGAATCCATTTATACTGCACCCCATACCTGGCTTAAGCAAATTTGGTGAATCGAGATCTTTTTTAGTTTAGGTAGATTCCACATAGAGGCGGAAGAGGTAGGGCATTTACGTTGCTAGAATTCAAATTAAAAAGAGTGATTCAGTAATCTTATCAGTAAATACCCGCCAATAACTATCGATAGCTATTGTACTTCGTACCTAAATGATAACTGTACGTCTGCTGGTATTGATAAGAAGGTTGTGTGCCTGACCTAAGCCCAATTCAGCTAAATCACCCCAAGTCAAGCGATCAAAAAAGCCAAAAGCTGCTCTTTGAAGTTAGCACAGTTGGACGAAAGCATTCTGCGCACGGACCATATAGTGCACTCTAGCAGACCTAGGAATTTATTTTATTTCTTGGTGTTCAACCAGCTTGCATTGGGGAAAGAAGAAAAAAAAAAAGTCCATAACGAAACCTCCCCTCTTTCGCGACCCCTCGCTACCATTGATGCCAAATAAAAAAAACCACGACAACTGACAACGACAACACCAAAGTAGAAAAACTCACTCTTTTCTACTGCCGAACTATTTAGATCTACTATTAAGATTGTTTATACGAATCTTGCCGAACCTCACCTCACCTCTACCTCGAGTATACAGGAATTTGTTCTATGAACTTCATTACTACTGTACCTTCTTCGGCGCCCTCTACCTAATCTACGCCTAGAGCCCGTAGGCCACCGCGTCTTAGCCCTGCGGGGCACAACATCTCGAAGCGATACAACTTTGATAAACTTTGATTTTTTTTACCTCCTAATAAAACACCGCGCCTTCTTATTATTTCTTCTTCTCTGAGGTAGAATTGTTCGCGAATAGCAAAACCGCAAAACCGCAAACCTACCTCGATTATCACAAATCATGTCGGTGCTTCCGGCAGAGACTCATGCAGAGCTAACCCAGCTCTTGCAAGCTCTGCAATCCTCGGACAACACTATACGATCTCAGGCCGAGGGACATTTGCAAAATACCTGGACCAACACTCGCCCTGATATTCTGTTGATGGGCCTGGCTGAGCAGATAGCTGCTTCGCCTGAAACATCCGTAAGCAGACTCTTTGATCGTCTTCTACTTGTCATGTTTGAAAGACTAACACAACCTATATGTATAGCTGCGCTCCTTTGCTGCCGTCATATTTCGTCGAATAGCATCAAAGACACGCAAGAACGACAAAGGCGACAATTCAGAGGTATTTTATCATTACCTTTCGAACAAGCTTCCGTTATCCGCCAGAAACTCCTTGAAGCCTTAGCCAACGAGAGAGACCGCCTGGTACGGAATAAAATAAGTGACGCTGTTGCCGACGTCGCAAGACAATATTCAGAATCCAGTTAGTCTATTACCGATCTTCTGTTTTTTTTTTCTTCCTTACGCTCACGATGCATTCGCGACCACTTCCTGTTCCATCTGCCGCGTTCCCTTTATTCCTAGGAGTAGGAATTGTTAGGCGCTCCAGCGCTAATACTAAACCCTTCGCGAGACCGGCCGCTAACATGCATATCCCAGCTGAGCAATGGCCCGAGATTCTAGCCGTTCTCTTTAACCTGAGCGTGGCGACTGACGCAGGTCAACGCGAGACTGCGTTCCGTGTTTTTGCGACTACACCAGGTATTATCGAGAAACAGCATGATAATGCAGTATTGGATGCCTTCAACAGAGGATTCAAGGATGATTCTGTTGCAGTCCGCTTGGCTGCTATGGACGCCTTCGCGTCCTTCTTCAGAAACCTCCCCAAGAAGGATCAAAATAAAGTATTTTCGTTGCTACCGTACTACACACTTCTACCCCCATCAAGGATTCGCATGACTCAGAAGACCTTAGCAAAGCCCTGGTTGCCCTAATCGATTTAGCTGAGACCTCGCCTAAGATGTTTAGGCCCTTATTTCACAACCTCGTCATGTTCAGCGTCGGCGTTATACAGGACAAGGAGTTAAATGACCTCAGCCGACAGAATGCACTCGAACTCATGGCTACTTTTGCCGATTACGCCCCGTCCATGTGTCGCAAGGATCCCTCTTATACGACCGACATGATCACCCAATGTTTAAGTCTAATGACAGATCTCGGCGAAGACGATGACGATGCTGCCGAATGGTTAGCATCAGACGATTTTGATCAGGAAGAGAGCGATTTGAACCATGTCGCAGGAGAGCAGTGCATGGACCGGCTGGCCAACAAACTCGGAGGCGAAACTATTCTGGCCCCAACGTTCCACTGGCTCCCCAGAATGATGACTTCTATGGCCTGGAAGGATCGTCACGCGGCTCTGATGGCCATCTCGGCTATATCGGAGGGCTGCCGTGACCTTATGGTTAAGGAACTCAGCCATGTTCTTGAGTTGGTTGTTCCTGCGCTGAAGGACCCCCATCCGCGAGTTCGTTGGGCCGGGTGTCAGGCTCTCGGTCAGATGAGCACAGACTTCGCGCCTACGATGCAGAAAGAGTACTATGATACTGTCTTGAAAGCTATCATTCCTGTGCTTGACTCCCCGGAAGGCCGTGTTAAAGCGCATGCAGCTGCCGCATTGGTTAACTTTTGTGAGGAGGCGGAAAAGAGCATCCTTGAACCCTACCTTGACCAGTTATTATCCTCGCTATTCCAACTTCTCCAGAATGAGAAGCGCTACGTCCAGGAACAAGCACTCTCGACGATTGCCACCATCGCCGATGCCGCCGAAGCTGCCTTTTCCAAGTACTATGACACATTGATGCCTTTGCTCGTTAATGTCCTGCGACAGGAAACCGAGAAGGAGTACCGGCTACTTCGTGCTAAAGCTATGGAATGTGCTACTTTGATAGCATTGGCCGTTGGAAAGGAACGTCTCGGAAACGATGCTATGGTCTTGGTTGAACTCCTTGCTAACGTTCAAGAACATATCACCGATCCTGACGACCCACAGTCGCAATATCTCATGCACTGCTGGGGACGCATGTGTAGAGTTATGGGCGCCGATTTCTTACGCTTCTTACCAAATGTCATGCCTCCTTTAGTTGAATTAGCCAGTGCCAAGGCTGACATCCAGCTATTGGATACGGACGACGAGATTGAACAAATTCAACAAGAAGACGGATGGGAGCTCGTGCCGCTCAAGGGCAAGATGATTGGAATCAGAACTAGTACTATGGATGACAAGCATATGGCTATCGAGCTGCTCGTGGTTTACGCGCAGACCCTCGAGGGTCATTTTGCTCCGTACGTCGCTGACACGATGGAGAAAATCGCACTTCCGGGTCTCGCATTTTTCTTCCACGATCCCGTTCGATTCATTTCAGCGAAGCTTGTTCCTCAGTTACTCAGCTCGTACAAGAAGGCGTATGGCCCCGAATCGAATGAACTTCGTGGTCTATGGGCTGGAACCGTTGACAAGCTGCTCGAGGTGCTTACTGCTGAGCCGGCCATTGATGCTTTGGCTGAGATGTACCAATGCTTTTACGAGTCGGTCGAAGTAGTCGGCAAGGATTGCCTCAACTTACAACACATGGGCAAGTTTATTGACGGAGTTCACTCGGCTATTGAAGATTATAGGGACCGTGTTGCTAAACGCGAAGAAGATAAGGAAGGGGCTGCTGCCGAGGATGCCGAGGATGAAGCTGAAGATATCATGATTGCAATTGAGGACGACCAGACCTTGCTATCTGATATGAACAAGGCGTTCCATTCCATCTTCAAGAACCATGGTTCCATTTTCCTCCAGCCATGGGAACGTCTCATGGGCACGTACGAGAGCTTCCTTACCTCGGCGGATCCTACGCAGCGGCAGTGGGGTCTATGTATTATGGATGACGTCTTAGAATATTGTGGACCGGAGAGTGTTCGTTATGCTCAAGCTATTAGCACTGCTCTCCTGGAAGGTTGTAAAGATCCCTCGGCTGCTATCCGACAGGCTGCTGCGTAAGTTAAATCCAGCATCTTGGGTTATGGTGGGACCGATGTGACATCGCATTGATCACCACGGATCTCTTATAGCCCCTTTTCGATAATCGCTAACATCTCTTTAGGTATGGCATTGGTGTGGCCGCTCATCGTGGTGGAGCTCCTTGGTCTCAGTTCCTAGCTACATCGATACCCTACTTGTTTCAAGCAACTCAGATACCGGATGCGCGCGGCGAAGAGGCTGTTTACGCCACTGGTGCGTCACCCTGTTGAATTCATCATGTATTTCGGAAGTCGCTAATGTTTGCACAGAGAATGCTTGCGCGGCTATCGCAAAGATTTTGCACTTTAACAAACAGAGTTTACAGGATCCCCAAACTATCGCAGCACAATGGTATGTATCCGGCATGATCACAAATCAAACACATCTACTAACCAGTTTGCTACATAGGGTCAATACTTTGCCAGTAACAAACGACGAAGAGGCAGCGCCATATGCCTACGGCTATCTTGTGGAGTTAATCGAACAGTAAGTCCAATATTTAATAGTAGACGCGATCTTCATTCCCATACTGTTGTACAAGTGGACAAGCTACTATTTATCTTATATATAGTACATTTAATAGATCAGAATACTAACCGCTCATGTAGACAAAACCCTGCGGTAACTAGCCAGGTTGACAAGGTGTTTGTCTACGTAGGACAGGCCCTTGAAGCTGAAATGCTCCACGGACAGTTAGGCGCACGCGTGGCCCGAGCAATTCAGATCCTCCTTCAGTCGGCAAATGTTGACCCAACGCCATTGTTGCAACAGCACTTCTCGCCTGAAGGGCAACAGATCATCAGGCGTCACTTCTCATAGTTGTGGCAACTGAACGCCCTTGGGATTGCTGTGATGACTTTGCTGAGGGTTCTACGATACCAAATTCGCGTGAGGTTGCTCATAGGAATTGGCTGCAACAGATAGCAGCATAAAGAATGAGAATACCAAACCTCATAACACTACTCATCATCATTGATCGAACCCACTCACCTACTTCTAATGACGGGGCAGCCCCCCCTTACCCCTCGTCGGGGTGGAAGATTTGTGAGAGCGAATAATTCAGGGATAGAGATACGCCATGGCGCGACAACTGATGTCGCGGTTGCGGGTGGAGAGATGGAGAGTGTGGTTATCCCAGGCGAATAGGCACGGCTATAGCAGAGGAATTTGTATCGAGATCCGGTACCTAGCAATATAGAATCAAGAAAGATTACCAACATAGAGAACCTCTTAGTGTCTGTTGAATACGTGATATTTAATTTGATAGCCCAGATAACTCGCTGTATATTGAATGGCTATGGAAGCTATTTCAAAGTGACATTTAAAAGCGTTCTCGCTGTGTTTATAGCTTTGATTTTGTGGTGGTATAAGGAAATGTTGATTTGACTATGGGCTTTATGCTACCGGATGAGCTTGATATTACTTATACGCTCTCGGAGCTCTACTTATTATACTCTGCATAATCTACCCACAGTCAAGTGTTCTATGTTTTAAGTAGAGGTACTTTTATACTCCCTGCTATCTCCATCTATTCAAGTCAAGATACTACCACATCTCGTCAAAAAGTACTAAAATTACAGGATAAATTACCAAGAATCAAATTTCGCAAGCAGTGTAATAAATAGAGATCATTTCTATATCATAGATAACCCTACACTACACGTTCGACTACTTCACTATAAATAAATTCCCGTTTATGATAATAATTACCGCGACTTATTGATCTCCTATTATACACTACGCATTAAAGTTAATATATTGCGCAGCTGAGCCCATAATACTACCTATCTACCCACTTATAAACAACCCATGATTTCAGTACTCCTAGCCAGAGAAGTGGTATCTTTTGACTCCTTGAAAACGATTCCCATCATCCTCCCTTTAATAACGCCGTAGAACTTGTGCTAAGCAGGCTCGAAGAATGTAGCTATTACAGAATCACATTTGATCAAAAGGCTCGTCGCCAGGCTTGTTCCTAAGATTCGTAGTGGGATCCTATCCCACGGTCGTTCCAGCGACTTTGTCGATTTCCTCATCGCGACTGCTCCAACCATCGTAAACTCGCATCAACTTCTCGGTTTCCTTATTCATAGAACCGACCCAGTTAGCTAAGGCATCACGAGCTTGGCTCATTATCTCTTGGCTTTCCTCCTCGGCGGCAAGTTTTGCTGTCTCCTGTCGCTTCTTCTCTTCAGCCTGGCGTAGTTCATCTCTTGCCTTTCGTTTTGCGCGACGGTCCTCAACTTCACGGGCGCGGTCAGCAAGATAGCGGACGCTATGTCCAAGGCCAGCACTCTCGCTAGATACACCACGGTGTGGGCGGTCTAGAGGAGGTTGGGTGAAGAATAACACGTGACCAGCTTCGTCGCGTTGGAATTGCTCGCGAACTTCCTCAGGAATCTTGTTATTTAATGCGTCATCTAAGCGGTAAACTTCGACCGGACGGGGCGGGTTGTAGACGTTAGCTTGCCCGTGCGGACCAGGACTAGGCGCGGCGGCCATGGGAGCTCGCACGGGCGTTGGAGCAATACGATGCGACGTGTCGTAGGCGGGCATTGGTGAGTTAATTTGGTGAGGAGGCGGGTGGTGAGATTGATGGGGTACGGGAACTGGAGTAGTACTGTATTGAGGCGGGTATCCGTTGTTGTAAGCAGCAGGCTGGTGAGGAGGCTGATGTGGTTGGAAGTGTGGTACGGGAGTCATCTGTGGTGTGGTATGACCATGGCCGCCGTGTGGAGGACCTTGGACACCCTGAACCGGAAAGCCGGGATGGGGGACGCCAGCATGGTTGCCGTATTGTGGCACAGGGACCGGGGTTGGACTGGGACGCGGTGCGAAGGGATTAGGCGACGCATAAGCGCCAACATGTCCAGGCGTCGGTGTAGCTGGAGCCGGGATGGTAGAAAAGTGATGAGTATTACCCATGGCGATATCACCCTGAGCGTCAATAGAACGCGCCGCCATCATTGAAGGACGACGGACTGAATCCATCATAGGGAGAGGCGGAGGTGGAGATGGTGTTGGTTCCGGGGGTGGAGATTCCTGTAAAGAAAGAATGTATGAGCAAGGTAAGAAATTAAATTAATTTTAAGTGACGCGCTCAGTGAGACAATAAGAAGAAAAAAAGAAGAGAGAAAAGGATTACATTGCTATCCACCCGTGAACTTTTTTATCTTTGTAAAATGTCAAGAGGGTAAGAAAAGCTTTTGCAGTGTAATCGATAAGACAGAAAGAGTAAGATAGGGATAGGTATGTTAGTAGAGGGGTACGTTAAATCCATTCACTCTCTTTTGTTAATTTTTTTGATCCTTTCTTATTCCCTTTGTTCCCCTTTTTACATGTTTGCTGTTCATCTGGCATCTAGGGGGGGGAGGGGGGTATAAATGTTGCGAAATATGATTGCGATAGCGACGTTTAGGTGCGTGGGGCAAAAAAGGTAATATATAAGAAAATAAGTAGATAAGAGACAGAAGACAACTTACATTCGGCTCTCTCTCCCGACAATGCACGGCCCCAATGAGGGGTGGCGCATTAGGTGCTCCCCAGGTTGGCTTCGGCAAGGGATCCGTCGGCTTTGCATCATCTTGAAGGAGATGCTTAATAGGACTGATCACCTTCTTAAGCTTACGAGGCGCCTCAAACAAGTCCATCTCGTAGTCCTTCTCACGAACCTCGTCAGGTAAGCAGCTTGCCCACGTTTTGATCTTGTTGAGCTTGTGCTTCTCCTCGTTGTATCGCGCCTCGCAAACATAGACGTCTTTATTCTTAGGGAACCCTCTTGGCCTACCTCTGTTATATCGAGTCACGAACATAACAAAGCACCGATCTACTACTTCGTCGATGCGATGGTCTCGATATTGGCCCGTCTTGACCACTTCGTTTTCGAGAAAATGCTTCTCGAACCGATGGACCGTCTGCTCTGGGCGGTAGTACCAGCACGCATTCACCCACTTCTGACCCGACCTATCCTCCCAGGTTCGGTAGATCTGGGCCACAATGGGTTTGGTCAGATCGTTCGGGTTGGTAATATGAACCCAGTCACCTAAGTTCGGTCAATACTCCTCATCACACGCGATAGAAGACGTGATAATTTATAAAACTTACCAATTCTCCAGATCTCCCCTTTATGAAAAATTTCTGGCAGGGGTCGCCTACCGTCCTCGTCTTCGAATTCGCTATCGGGCTTGGCCTTCTCCTGTTCAGCAAGCAAATGGGTTTGTCGCTGTAACTCGACCGCATCTTTATACAGTTGGCTGTCCTCTTCGTTATACAGTTTTGCGTTCTCGAACATCAAGTCGAGGTCTCTCAGCACTTGATCTACGTTCTGATACTTCTTTCTCTTGGCTTTGCGCTTGATCAGATCCATAGCTATGGGGTTCTTTATGGCAGCGAAATAATCCGGAGTCGTTTGCTTGTCTGGAAGCCTCTCGAATGGGATGATTAGTAGATCTCCATCGGGATGCTTTGGCTTTCGGAGACCTTTCAACAGTGTGTGAATGCGGGCTTCCAACGGAGTAAAAACCTTAGGAGGGCGACCTCGTCTCTTGTGTGAATCGTCATCTCTCGCGTCGGCTTTTCGCCCCGAAGTTGAGTGACGACCACCCCGTCGCCCACGTCGTCGACCACCCTCATCGTCTGAATCATCGTCATCGTCATCTTCTTCATCATCTTCCTCCTCTTCTTCCACTTCTTCCTCATCTGGATCCGGAGGAGGGGAATCCTCCGCTTCAGGTATTTCTCCTAGGTCGGGGAGTACGGCATCCTCGGGCTTGATAGTTCCCTCATTGACTAGCCTTTGAAGTTCCTCCTTAAAGATCTCTCGTAAACGAGCGGCGTCTTGAAAGAATTCCGAGGAAGGTCGATTATAGACCATTGCATTGTGGGAGATAAGAGCGACGTCCCTGACAAATTCGGAGAAGGCCGTGTATTGTTTTCTGAGCTTTTTGGTCTATGATGGAAAGTATTAGTGTCAGGGCGACGTGAAAAGGAGGGTTCAACTGGACTGGTAACTCACTCGAACGGTACTAAAAGCGATGGGCTCCTTTATAACGTCGTAATATTCTGGGATCAGTCGTCGGTTCGGGATGCGCTGAAAATGGGAGGCAACGTGGTAGCCGCTGAAAAGTTCATTGTTAGATGAAATAACAATCACTAACCAGGTCAGTAGAACTTACTTAGCATCTCTATAAGTAGAGAGATAATTTGCCGTATTTTCGATGACAATTAACATATCATGGTCGAGACGGCCTGGAGTGCGATCCTCCTCGGGCTCCCCATCGGCATCCGCGTCATCCTCGACTTCTGCGCCAGCTTCTGCGCTCGCGTCTACAGCGGCATTGATACTTAAATCTCCTCTAGAACCCTCATGATTGTCATTGACATCTATAGAGTTCCCAGTAGCCTTAGATGTATCCATATCCTGCGAAGTATTGTTGGTATTGCTATCATTAGTTGCTTTGGCCTCGATAGACTCGCGAACCTCGACCGCGCTCTCGGCCGGTTTCTCGGCTTCGTCAGCCATAACAAGAGCTTTAAAGCTAGACGAAAAAGTGAAGCCTCTGTCTTAAATTAAATAATACAGCTTCAAGCAAAAATGTAGAGCTAGCACTTGGGGCCGGTGTGGATAATGGCGACCAAGATGTAATTTCGCGGATATATAACAAGTGCTGTTTCGAGGTCCGCGGTTTGTTGGTTGGTGTTAGTGACCGGCACCCGCTGCAGCTGCAAAGTCTCAGTTCTTAAGACTTTATCTAAGCTATATTAGCCGATAATTACCCGAATACCCACCTGCAATCACACGTATTGTTGTATCTACGTATAAATGCATACACTATATCCTATGAGCAGTATTATATACTTAACGAGTGATCAAGGTTTCATAATAGCATTTTATATTTCCAATCTCCTTAACATTGCGCAAACACATACGCATAACTTAGTATCACGAACAACAACTCGCGAGGCGAATATTAACTCAACTAACAAGCATCTATAATATACAAAATTACATCAACGATCAGTTTCCAATGCTTTGTCCAACTCAGCATCCCCCACCACCACCTCCGGCTCGGATAGCGTATCCACGTGTTTCTGTTTGCGTTTGTATTCCCTATGACTTAAGAATAGGATGGCGAGGATGGTACCAAGTTGTGCTACAGTAGTTGCTAGAACACTAATGAATCCGCCGCGAAAATTAGGCGCCCGACTTGCTGGAAATTGTACCACTTGAGTCCCGGCTGTAATAGCTTGGCCGATGGCATTCATGCTAGCTGTTACTACAGCACGTTCCTCTGCGTCTCCAGCCATAACCACTGATGCCCAGCCCATAGTCAGAGGTGAGCAAGCTAGGAAGCGGTCAGTATAAGTAATCATCTCAGGCTATTACCAGAAAAGGGGGAGAGACGAGTCATTGGCGTGATAACTTACCTGCCTCAAATCCAGTGAGTATAAATCCAGCTAAACGGCCGCTCTCACCAATATCCCAAGCCACAAGCAATGCCGTACCAACAAGAACCGGAAAAGTCACGACGATGGCGGGAATCCAAAACCGCCCGGTTTTATCTGCAATGACACCGCTGAACAGTGCAACGACAATACTCACTGCCGTAACGATGGTAGGTATCGTATTGATCTGAACGACTGAGTATATGTTGCTCTTTGCTTTTAGATATAGAGAGAACGGCTGACTTCCAGGGAGGAAGTTCTGATCCATCAATGTCCATTGGAGCACGAAGAGGTACCAATGCCACCGAGAGAATACCCGCTTGAATATATCTCGGGACAGTTGCAGCTGCGGCGGAGCTACGAGTCCTTGGATACGCTTACGCGCAAGAGCGTGCTCTTCGGTCGTGATAAAACGCGGCTTCTTCCTAGCCGGTACGTCGGGAAAGACAAAGAACCCGCTGGAATAGATTAGTATTCGCTAAAACACTAATGTCCATTATTATATAGACTTACAATACTGATATGGCAAGCGTAATGATCGTATCGACGATGAAGAGCCATCTATTTTCTAATTAGCAACATGCCATCTTAAATCTCTCAATGAATCATGTCCTAATATAGGGGGCTTACCTCCAGCCGGCCAAGCCGTGTACTTGATTCAGATTAGTATAAGCCGCAGCCTGTAAATACCCAGCAAACATAGTCCCGAGCGGGCTCGCAATGAAGAAAAGAGCGACGCGCCGTCCGATCTCCCCTGGCTTATACCAAGAACCGATAACGTAAATTGTCCCAGTAAAGGAGCAGCATTCGAAGAGCCCGGTGAAAAATCGCATAGCATACAGCGTCTCGACGTTCTTAGCCCAGGCCAGACCAAAGGTAGATAATCCCCAGCCGATTTCTAGAGCCGGGAGAACCCTGTTGGCGGGATAGTGCGTCAGGAAGTAGCACGCTGGAATCATGAAAGTACAGTATGACGCCCAAAAGGTTGCCGTGATGTAGTTGAGCTGATCGCCGTACATGCCGAGCTCTTCTTTCATACCGCTAATAACCTCGTGTATTAGCAGCCATGCACGATAATAAGTAGGTATATATGTCGAGCACTTACCTAACATATGCATTGGTGATCGACTGTTGGTCTAGGTACTTGGTGAAGAAAGACAGGCAGCCGAAGATCAAGATGCTCAAGTCGAGTTTCAGGATTAGCCATTTCTCCTCTTCTGGCATACCCTTTGGATACCACCCGATAGAGCTCATCAGCCTGACCCACAGACTCCCGATGCGAGATCTGCCATTGTCACTGCTCCCTTGCTGGCTGGGCTCCTGTCGCGTTGATGACCATATGGTCGTTTTGTGGTTCTCGTTTTCCGCCATTGTTATATCAGCATCCACGGTGGAGGCTCAAGTCTATGATAGAATAGACCTCTATCTCTTACCCTGTTGTCCTTTCGAAATGAGACATTCGTTTATATCAGTAGTAAAGGGGGTAATACTTCTACAGATAGAGTTACATATGAATTGCACTCTAGTTAGGTTTAAGAATTAACAAATTATCTTATCGGCCGTCACACATGGCAGAAAGCGAATGTTACCAGGCGTAGACCGTAATGTCGTGATCAGCTTCTTCTATGATAACACGACCCCGGCATTACCCGAACATTTATAGCGCCGGAGAGGATATAAGAATTGAGAGTGGCCTCTCCTGTTATGGATATGTTATCTTCGCGTTGCATTGTGAATATCTAGTTGCTTCTTACCAGATTGAGAGTTCCCCTCTATCGCGAAGGTGGCGTCAACGAGACCTGGTATGACGTGACAGGGATACTCTTTCGCACTCACGATATCTTCAACATATAGCTTTATTATCAGCGTCAAATACCCGAGACGTAAAGATAGTTTACTTATGCTTGTAATTACTTTTTCTTGAGCGGATTATAAAGGGGTTGCTGATGGAAGAGCTTAGGTTCCTAAGTTGGTTTAAAAGTGATATTTGATATTATCTATACATCGATAGCAACATAGAAATAATATTTAAATACATCTTTATAGTTTATATTTTAATGCTTGTTATAACAGTAAACAGCTTTAATCGAACACCCTAAATCTTGAAAATACTTATCTTTGATTATCTTAACTAAGATAGTTTAGGTACTTAAGTAATATCGAAGTGCTACATGTTCTAAGGATATGACGCATATATTAGCTTTCTCGTGTGCATTCGTATCAACGTTAATAAGGAAACTTAGCTAGACAATGCCATCGCTGCTCACAGAAAAGGAGGTCTCTTGGAGTTTCACAACATATAAGTTAATGAGATAGGTTAGATAGAGTCTAGACGAATAGAACCTTACGCACGATCTATAAGTAACTAGATTATTTGCTAACAACTCTAGTTTTCATTATCTGAAGCAATAGACGAGCCTTTAAACTCGTTCATAACATCGGTTCAATTACGATAGTTAAGAATTATTCCGGAATAAGTCTTATGATATAACTATAAATAAAGAGTTAACTTTGCACATTAACCTTTATATTCGCTCAGTCCTGGACTTGTTATGGTCTAATTAAACTTGCTATTCGTCTCTATGACTAGTATATCGACATTTACTCCCAACTATTAACTAAAACTTGACGTCAGCTTTAAGATGATAGTATCTGCGTAGTAACGTAGACCCCTATTTAAAAGGATAATAATTGCCCAACCTACATGCCGATTAACTTGAATATCCTCATCCTTTTACCGTCATTATATGAACCAAAAAAAGACTTCCTCTACACGCTTAACCATATCAAATCTCGTTAGCCACTTATATGTTAGGATATAAATCCCGCTATAGTGACTCGGGCGTATAACGATTCAGGAAATAACAGTCGATCCAAGAAGGTATATAAGTATAAATGTTACATCTTACTACATATCCTCCTAAATCGCATACCAGCTCTCATATCCAAACACACAACACTAGACTTGTAATTAAACCCTAGCCGCATGATCACCGACCGGGTACATATGTAGTGTCGGTTCCCCGTCTCCGCCGATATGAGGGGTGAGTGGCTTCCATTGACCGAGTTCTCTTTCTTTCTAGATATAACTAAACGACTTACGTGTACGAGCAACTACGGGATGTTTGATTTCTGATGTACATAGGGCGGGTCTGGTGTTGTATTCTTTTTTTCTTCTTCTTCTTCTCTTTAGACGTGGAGTCATATTGCCACGTCTTGGTTTGTATAAGGGTATTTAATATTTAATAATTTTTGATGAAATATTTGTTTTACTTCCTACCATTAGTGATCCATTCATCCCTTTGTCTTGGTCTTGGTCGTGGCCTTCTATCTTCTCTTACCCCGACATCTTGTGCTTCCTAGGTCTCCGCTGCCCCGTCTTCTTTTCCAAGTATCCGCCTTTCTACTTACTTAGGTATTTACATACACACTCACTTTTCAACCTACTTCGCTCGTTACAGCTACGATGAAGATTCGATTCAAGGCTCCCTCGGGTGGCGGAACGCTGGAACTCGACGATGCCTCTACAGTCGACCAGCTCCTCGAATCTATCAAGTCGAGCACCGGCTTCGCTGACGTCACTGTCAAGTATGGTTGGCCTCCTAAACCTCTAACCGCTGACCAAGGCCAACTCTCGGCGCAATCTCTCAACCTTCATCGAGAGAACCTGACTGTCGTCCCCAAGGAAGACGCTTCCGCTGCCGTCGCACACAATACCCCGCCCATGCCAGAGCCCGTCGCGACCACCGCACCCCCGCAGCGGCTCTCCCCGGCCTTCAATCTTCGTTTCGAAGCCAGGAGAAAAGCAAAAGCCAGGGTATTAAGGACCAGAACATTAGCGTCGCTATGCCGGAAACTGGCTCTACGCTAGGTAAGTAAAGCACTATTCAATGGCGCATTTTCCCAGGGGTCCTTGAACTAACACCTACGCGCCTCACTCCAGTCCTCCGCGTCATGCCCGACGATAACAGCTGCCTCTTCACCGCGGTCGGCGGCGCCCTTCGCGGCCTGCGCTCCGGCCCCGACGAGTCCTTCAGCGCAGATTCCCTGCGACGGCTAGTCGTCGAGCACATCCGCGCCAACCCCGAGAAATACAGCGCCGTGATCCTCGGCAAGCAACCCTCGTCCTACTGCGCCAACATGCTGCAGCGCGACACCTGGGGCGGCGAGATCGAGCTCGCCATCATCTCGGAAGTCTTCCAGCTGGAGATCTGCGTTATTGACGTCAAGACGGGCACCGTGTACCGCGTCGGCGAGGGCAACGGGTACCCCATGCGCTGCGTCCTGGTCTACTCCAACGTGCACTACGACCGCGTCGCCGAGATCTTCGTCGAGGGCCAGGAGGTCATGGAGTTCGACGTGACGCGCTGGGCCGCCGACGAAAGCAGCGATCATATCATCGCGCACGCGCAGGAGATGTGCCGGAAGCTGAAAGACGAACACCATTACTACACGGATATGTCCGACTTCGTCATCATGTGCAACGAATGCGGCTGGATCGGTCAAGGGCAGACAGCGCTTGCGAAGCACTCACTGAGCACCGGACACAAGGATATCAGCGAGATCAAGGATACCGGTGCATAGAAGACGGCTATACTTTTACTTTAAACTACCACTAGGTAGGATCCGTTAGGTCATTATAGCAGAAATTCTCGTGTACATAGTATGATATATGATATACGGATGCTGAATGCGCAGTCCGCGGAGAGCTAGAGATGGATACCCCTACTCGAGAGGAAGAGCAGTAGTAGAAACTCGAACGAGACTCACGATTACCTAGTCATGCTTTCATGTCTATAAATAAGTTCAAGATCTCTATACTGGCTTGATGCTTAGTTAACAATAGAGATAGTTACGCTTTCTCTCAATGATACGTACTAATGACGACTGCGTAATATGTGAAGAAGGGAGTATTTTAATTTACATATCCGCAATGATACTAATCCACGATGCCAGACATGGGAAAGCTAAGACGAAATTCTCATGTCGCTTGCTAGTCGTACCATGATATTCGATAGGGCACTTCAACTTTACCAAAACGATACAAAACACATAAATGTTACTTATTTTATTGTGGTATCTACTAAAGGATCTCTGCCCAAGGCCGAGGGAGTGACTTTCTCGCGATATGCTATCGACATCGACATCAACACCACCACATCCATTACTAAATAACCAGAAGGGAGATTCTTCTGTCCCCCAGCCGGTTTAACCCCCGTACCCAATGCCCTTGACCAACCCTACCGTTCCAACCCAGCTGGAAACCCCGAATAATGTTTGAGATGGATGGATGGTGCCGCCCTAAACCCTTCCTAACTCCCACCAACCTCCAACCATCCCATGCAATAGATCATGCAAGCCCATATCTTCATTAAAACTGATACTACTATAGTACACAAATTGTATGCAGCCTGTCGTTTGTCTCTCTAGTCAACCTCCCAGCGGCTATCTTCGAACTGTGAGATGCTGTTGCTGCTACTGTTGCTGCTCTGTTTATTTCTTGCCGACGCGTAAGATTCGTCGTCGTCGCTCAAATCGCTAAATTCGCCATCGGAATAATCCCACTGGACCGGGATCTTCTCACCTCCTTCGCCGATGCCGAAGATAAGGCCTCGCCATTCGCCGGCGAGAATTCTGGCGGCGACTTTCAGCATGATATTTACGAGATAAGTCGGTGGACTTAGAATGAGCTCCACCGTCTTGTTTATTATCGTGGTTGGCAGCCGACGGACAGCAGCCATACGATTCTGAGGGGTTTGCCTTGGGGGTGGCGAGAAGAAGTTAGCGGGAGGGGGTAGTGGTGATAGAGCCCTTCGGCTCATAGATAAGCTATGAGGTCGTGGCCGCGGCCGGACTTGTGGCTTCTCTTCCACGCCGGATGCGTGCGATGCCTTGGAAGACTCGGCGATAGTCACATGGCTATCTTTACGATTGGCGGGAGGAGGTAGGGAGGGCGAGGCTATTTCGTTAGCATGGTCTTTGGCCCCTTCAGAGCTTGCATCAAACGTCTTATCCGTCTCTGGCGTATTTGCGTACGCCGGATTGTCCCTTTCATGCGGAGACTGATGAGGAAGAACGATATCATCGTGTGGATGAGGAAATTGAGATTGAGAAGGCGTGATTGGACGAGATGATGGCGGCGACGGAGGGAGTGGGTTGGCTGGTAAATTCCATGACTGTACACTATGAAATGAGTCGCTTGACCCTGCAGGTGAACTTTCATCCGATTCTAAAAGACGTGAATGCGGCGGAGGATGGGGCTTCGTAGCGCCTGATGATTCTCTCGACTTTGAAGGGAGCGAAGACACAGTATTCACCTGTGGAGGAGCCGTGTAGGTTCGGCCAGCTAACATTCGGCTCATCCGTTTCTTCTTTAGATTGATAGGTGCGATACGACCGGATCCCTCGAAGGAAGAAGGTCCTTCATCAACTTCTTTACCTGTGGCTTTCCCTTTTCTATTCTTATTAAGTGCGGGAGGTTCTTGTAGCATCGACTCCCACTTTTCGAAATCGACGGCTTGTGACGCCTGGGGTTGTGTTGAGATACTATGAGAATTTACTGGGCTGAATAGCTGCTCAGCGTCCTGCACAGCTGAAGCTGCCGCTTCCTCCTGAGCTCGCATGGCGCGCTGATGATTTGTGCTCGTAGAGCTGACGTCGCTTTGTCCTGATACCGAGTGTTTGGTGTTATACGAAACCACATTATCCTTGACAATGTCCCATGGGATATTTGCTAATTCCAGCACAGTACCAAAATTGGAAGCGAGAGATTGTCCGCCGTCTTGGAGAGCCTTTAGAGCCGCTAGATCTAATTTTCTAGGACGAATACTATCTTCTCTCTCCTCGGTTACTGTCGATTCTTCAGACTCGGACATTAAGTGTGCGGATTTCGGCTGATAGTTGTATTGTGAAAAATCACGGGGTGTATGTGGTCCAATGTCATCCCTGAAAAGGGATATGTCGCTTAAAGTACTGGAACGTCTATCCATGTAAAGTTTGGCTGTCGGTGAGGATTGGGGGGAGGAGTCGGAGAAAGGCGATGATAATAAATTCTTCCCTTCCGGCGTCCAGGCCTTCTTTTTGACTGGTGTATGCGGATCTTCCGGTAATTCTACCGTGAAACTCCTCTTAAATGGACAATGTGTCTTTTCAAATAGCAATGTTTTATCCAAAACTTGTTTTAGCAATAAAGCGCGGTCCTGGTCATCGGGATCTAAAACTGGTAGCTCGATTCTCCAGTATTGAGGTCGTCGTATCTGTAAGACGAATCTGCTGTTATCCTCGTCGATGCACCAGCATTGACTTTTCGGGAGGATGGGCTGAAGGGCAGAGCCGCAGCTAAGGAAAGCCACGGACCCGGGGGCACGGTATATGCGGAACGGGCCTTGTAATAGTTAAGATTAGCTAAAGAATAGCTAAAGGGGTAGAGTTTTGTAGGCCGTCTGTAAGGGCAAACGCGGTAACCTACCAACAGCAAGAGTTCTTTCGAGTCGCGACGAAGCTGGTAAGGTACCTGGTCGATCCTCATGGGAAGAAGAGGGACGCGAACCAAATGAGCTACCTTGAGTGGAGGTAAAAGAGATTATCTTGACGGAAGGGTGGCTATAAAGAGTCTCGACCAACTCTTCGGATTGAGATGTGGTTGACCCTGCTGCTGCAGGTACAGGAGATGAGGGTCTGACGATGGGTTCTGTTATGGCTCTACGGGGCCGCGCGCATGTCTGGTCTACCTAGTGGAAACTTTGGGTCGTCCGCCATGGTGGTCACATCCCAGGCTATAAGTAGAGTGACGTGTCCGTGCTTTTTGCTATGGATGCTATATGGCTGTATGTATGGATGAATGAAACTCCCAGGAAGAGCAGACGATATGACGTCTAGGTCATGGTGTGCAAGGTGTGCAAGGACGCGAGGACGCGAGGGTCGCGGGGTCGAGGAGAAAAAGGGAAAAGACGGTGAGCTGGTTAAAAAGGGGAAATTAAAGAAATGACTTAAAAGGAAATTCGATATAGATTCAAAAAAAAAAAAAAAAAGTTAGTTATATTAAAATATCAAATGAGTTTAATAAATTCAAACGCTACGCCTTCAAAAATGCGATTCTATGTCAAATGTTGTCAAATGTTTTTTAAGCAAAACTTGGTAAATGTGAATAGTGAAAATAGTTGAGAAACTAAGGTATGCGAGAGCCGAGGGCTGCATTCGGGGAAGCTTGGACGGCTTGGAACGATATCGTTTGCAAATGCACGAATGCACGACAGAGAATCGAACTACCCTTCCCCGCGCCACAAGATTTATGGCGTGTACGGAGTAATTTTGTCAGTAGTTTGGTTAGTTTGTACATACGATATGGGCCATATGTGCGACACTGTATGTAAGATACCGTAAGCGGTGCAAGATCGGAGGTTGGTCAAGTGGGGTTTACCGATCCCAGCATCTCATCATCTCCACATGCCTAATAGGTAATCTTGTGGATTTGATTGATCCGTCTATCGATTAAGCTTAGACGCTCATGCAACTAATAAGTCGGCTAATGCATCCTTTATGTATAATATATGTATAATTTATGAAGTAATTTATGTCTGGTATAATTATATGGGAACCACTTTAATGAAGATATGTAGATAATCGATATTCGTACTTTGCATGAACTATATATTCAAGATTCAAGATCCTCATCCAGATACAGCTTCCTTCACCCTCTCAGTTACAGATGCCTTATACGTCAAACCTCCGCCGAAGCTATGCTCACTATTCTTACCTCCAGCCGTAACCTCACCCTTACTCACTCCGCTTTCAAAAGCACAACTACCCATATCCAATGTCTTAGCCGGTCCAGAAGGCATAATATCGAAGTCGAATATATCAACAGGTAACCCCAGGGTCGTACACGCATTCGGTATATCAACGATGCCCGCCACATGTCCTTGAATAGGTGCCGACGATAGTAGTAGATAGATCTGGTAGTCGTTGTATCCAAAGCGGCGGAGATATTCGATACATCCTATACTGTGTTAACTAGTTATCCCACCTCTATTTCTCATTGTACTTACGCAAAGTCGTCTGTCTATAAGCAACTGCAACGTCCATGTAATGTTGCTTACCATGTTCATCTACCGAGAAGCCCTCAAAGTAAATATGACGACCAGGTCCGAACTGCGGTTCTACCGGTCCGGGTAGGTAGATAGGTGACTTGAGACCTAGATCTGCTACCCCGTTCTTGATGACTTTGAAGTTGATTGTGATGACACCGGCCATCTCTATCGCCCCGCAGAATGAGATCTCACCGTCGCCCTCTATTTCAAATCAGCACCCTCCATTTATTTGTCTAGAGTCTAGAAACAAAGGCTCAACTCACGCGAGAAATGTAGATCCCCAACACTGAATTTCGCGCCGGGAACGTGAACCGGGAGATAGACCTTCGAACCTCTGCTTAGGTTTTTAATATCACAATTCCCACCATGTTCCGGCCGTCCCGGGATCGTCCTGGCACCTTCCCTACCGATCTTCTCCGCGAGAGCCGCGTCCGCCGCACCCGCATGCAGGCCCTTCGACTCCGGTGGCAGGGCGACCTGTCTCTCGAGCTTATTAGCCGAGATAAGTTCTGCCTCGCGCTTATTCCAAGTCTCTAGGACCTCAGCCGATGGCGCACAGCCCAGGATCCCCGGGTGGATTATTCCTGCGAACTTGACGTGCGGGATGTGGCGCGACGTAGCAAAGATGCCTTCGAAGTCCCATATGGCCTTTGCAGCCGACGGGTAGATCTCGTCCAGAAATCCGCCGCCGTTGTCTTTGTGGAAGACGCCGGTGAACCCCCAAGGCTGGTCTTGGAATGGCTGGACATCCATGATTTCAACCAGGAGGATATCGCCCGGTTGGGCACCTTCAACCTCAAAAGGGCCTGTGAGGCAATGGACCTTAGTCAGGTCAACATTGCGGATATCGTCCGCGCTGTCGTTATTTCCAATTTGACCTCCTGTCCTATGGGTTACAATTAGTTTTTATATAGAAGGTATAGTTCAATGAGCAGTGAAACTTACCAGTCAAGACATTCGATCTTAACTGTCTCACCATCCTTGATAGTACCCGCGAATGGAACTATTGATGTGTCAATACGCAGTTTTCTGGCAACAATACTTATTTTGGGACCATACTATCCGGATGCCATCTATTCTTAATACGGTATTAGTCAGGAGGTGCAGCTTTAATCTATCCAATTCGACTTACATGAATGTTTCTATGCTCTGTTGCTGGCTTATCGAGGCTTACCTTGCCAACAGTACGAATCGCGGTTTTACCCATAGCGGCTTTCTAAGATTTGCTATATTTCCAATGGTGATATCACCAGGGTCGTCGTGACTCTTGGTACTAGCGAAAGTTCTGTATCTAGCTCCTCATACACATCCGGCCGGACATCAATGTTCAATAGAAATTGTATGTTAAGGTTTATATTAAGGTACTCCCTTATATACCTCTTATAATGGAACTTACTTGGACGTACCCCGCATCGCGGTCTACGGAGTGGCACCTATCACAATAGGCATTGTGATATCACAGACTAGAAGATATTAAGCAGCCTGCGTCATGTTAATGACGGCAAGGATATGAAAGCTTGGGTATACCTAATAGTTATCCCTAATGTAAGTTGGCGTATCAAGATCTCCAACTATTTGCTCCCCCACTTAGGAATCTACCTTATCATACCTATCAAAGCCGACGAACGGAAGTACAAGTATATGCATCCAGCTGATAAGGAGAATCCCAAGCAGTTGTTTAAGTTGCCAGATAAGGGAAAACATCTCCGGGAAACGTAATTTATATAGAGAACCCGGGTATAGCTTATCTTACTATTCTCTTGGCTTGCCCGATCCGGGTATAAATTGGTTGGTGTGATAATAGAGATTATAAACCATTTTAACTAAAATATCTCGTATTTCAATGGTAAATACTCCTTACAATTTAGCATTGCCATCTCTGGCAATTAATAGGACCATTATAATTCTTTCTTGCTTCCCTGCTTTACCGACTCATCATATGATGGCGGCTCATCTCCATGGATAGCATCCAAGTTCGCTAATGGGAGGTTGAGGAACTCATGTTTGTTCTTCCAGACTTGTTGGCTTGCTGCAAATTCCTGTATTTCGGAACGGGGCGCATTCGGCGCTGGAGGAGGGTCCGTGATCTTAGTGATGAGGTACGCGGTCGATGCTTCGGCAATGCCATATATCAATACGCCAAGTAGCGGGACTCGGAGAAGCGTGTAAAAGCCAATGCCGAATCCGAAAAGAAGTCCTTCACGGCTCCTGAACCAATTTCGCTTCTGCTCCTTGGTGAAGTAAATACGGGCAAAGTAAGGCTCGAGTAGTTCACGCACCAGGCTCCGCGAAGCGAAATAGGTCTGGAGGAAAATGACGAGGTAGCGTTTCGGGAGAAAGATTCCCGTACCAAAGATGACCGCCGCCGGCCCCAGGCCAACCGCCTTGTTGAACGTATAGAAACTAGCCGCAGGAAGTACCAACCGGCCGATGTATGGGACGTACGACAGAGCGAATACGACTAAAGAAATTATCGCCTTTCGAGCAAATTTCCATATGAACATAGTAACGGCCTCGGCGGTGCTTCCAGACTGCGTATTCCCATCCAAATGCTTGAGTTTGCTGAGGTTCGGATAGTACATATCACGGAGTGTATCGGGATTTTCGTGCTTATGCTTGTGGACATAGGTCATATCTACCCATCTTAACGAGTCCATGAACCTGGTGGGTTAGGAGTTAAAATAAGCACAAGCCGTGTTGTTATAAGGAAATAACGACGTACAGGTTATCTAGTGTTGGTGTCATATACCTCATGAGAGTCATGAGGAATAAAGGAACTTGAAGGACATGGTTGGCAACCAAGTCAAGGCCGTTTACTAGGGTATCCCCACGTAGCTTTGTCAAGATCGAATATTAGAGAGAGGATGCCTAGAAGAACTTTGATCCCGATGATCTAGTTTAAGATGGTTACTTTAAGTCGACCTAAGCAGATTAGGTCTTAGGGCTCTTACTGGGACGGCAATAGCCAAACGGATCGCGATGCCAGCACCGACAGCTATGGCTGCTTGCCTATAGTGATCGTTCGTGAATATAGCGGGATTTTGTAGAGCTCGGTGAGCTATATGAGAGATGTTAACGACCTTATAGGAGCAATTGAGTTCCTTGTATATGAACAGAACATACCACCAACGAGTGTCAATTGTGCGCCACGTATGACGGCATTTAAGTCGAAGTGGGAGAGGTCGAATGCCTTCTTGAGGTCTTTCTTATCCAGCTTGTCTAACTTGTCTAATTTAGACATTTTTAGTTTGAATGCCGTTTAATTCTTAGCTGTGGGAAGAAAAGTAGTCTCTTGAATTAAGAATTAAGTAAGTGGAAGCATAAGACCATAAGACCATAAGAGCCGGATACCCGACTGATGAATGCATCGGTGACGACATCTACGTACCTAAGCTTTGTTTTATCTAATCTGACTTATTGTCTATCGATAGGAGTCCTAAGCGATACGGCGATACGGCGACACGGCAATACGGGCAATACGCTTGTGTGCTACATCAGGTAATCTCTCCACCCCGTATTTCGCAAACGGTTTTGATTCGTCATTTTGCTTTACTTCGTAAGCACTGCCACAAGCTTTATACAGAGGATGTGCTTATTCTTCCTCGATTCGACTGTAATGAACACCGAAATAAAGCTGAGATTCTGCCTCTACGAGAGGCACGTCATATATGTAGGCACCAATGAAGGAGACTAATACAAATTCATACAAGCATATAGGCTGAGTCCAGCCGCACGAACTTAAAGATGCAGTAAGGTGGAAGATATAGAAGTTTATTAGTGGTTATGCTAGGCCATTCTTCGTGGCGCGGCGTTGCATTACTTTACGCCGTATTCCTATAAGCAATGCGATTGGTCGATTGTCGTCTATGAGGCTGGGATTGCTTCATATTCAAGAAATATAAAGCAGACAAGGTATATTTCTATATTTCTGCCGAAGAGATAATTGTATATATAAGAAGACACCATGGACTTCCATCAGGGCCATGTAGATTCAGCATTCTGGATTCGGCGTGGACGGATTGATAGGAAAAATAACAACAGTTGATCGTCAAGTTATTATATTATTATTTTATTTACTTTACCTACACCTAAACGACGACGTGCCGCCAGCAAGCATGGAAGACGGAAAAAAGGTCGACGGCAGCTTCTATATATACGCTCCAAACAAGGGAGCGCCGGTGTTCTTCGCAGTCGCCTTTTTAGCTACCGGTGGTGTTCACCTTTGGCAAGCAATGTAGGTATTCTCGAAAGTGACATCCTGATAGTCTATTAGTGTAACTCTAACACCATGGACTAGTCATTATAAGAGCTGGAAGCTCACCGGGTTATATATTTTATGCGCGCTTCTATTCGGTTCGGGTTTTATTGTAAGAGAGTTAGGAGCTTTCGAGTATTCAAACCTCGGTTATTATATTGCTAGTCAATGCCTCATTTACTTTGCACCGTAAGTTCAAAGCCCACCTACCTATTGGTTCTGCGTAAGAATGTTGCTTATCGAATTATATACCAGGCCGCTATACGAACTCTGCAACTATTACATTCTCGGCCGCATATTATACTTCGTCCCCTATTATTCTCCGATACATCCTGGACGAGTATTGACGACCTTCGCCGCTATCTCTATGGTCGTCGAGGCACTGAACGGCAATGGTATTGCCTATATGGCCAATAGGACATTACCGGAGGAACAGCAGCGGGCGGGCGAGGCGCTAATGAAAGCATCGTTGATATTGCAGCTTGTGGTTGTGTCGCTTTTCGTTGTGCTCGCCGGGGTATTCCAAACGAGGTGCCGACGAAACGACATCAATCACTTCAAAGTAAACCAAGCACTCCTAACTCTTTATATCAGCACGGCTATCATCATGGTCAGGTGTATATATAGAACAGTCGAATATTTCGGTTCTACTAACGTCGACTTTTCGGACCCAAATTTTGACTTCTCGGCCTTAAGTCCAATTGTTCGCTACGAGTGGTTCTTCTACGTGTTCGAAGCGACGCTTATGCTATGCAACAGCGTGTTGTTGAACGCTCGCCATCCGCGCCGCTGGTTACCAAGTTCCACCAAAGTCTACCTCGCTAAGGATAACGTGACGGAAATCATGGGACCAGGTTATAAGCAGGAGAGGAACTTTTTGGTCACTCTCATCGATCCTTTCGATATCTACGGCATGATCAAAGGCAGAGATCAAGCAACGCGCTTTTGGGATGAACATGAACTCGAAGGGAGGAAGACTGATATTGATCCAATGCTATCCACCGCCGAAAGACAGACTAGCAGAGCTGTCTGAAAATAGAATGATTTTGAATTTGGAGTTTCTGGATCTGGAGTTTGGGGCATTCCGAAAGTTTCTGCATATATCCACATGATTAGTATAAACGGCACAATCAGTTGTGTCAAAGAATAGCAATAATACATTTCTAGAAAATATTATTGAACTTCTATTTTGCTAGAAACAGACGTATTATTTAGCATTCGTTATATTATTTGGTAGGGATTCCGAAAAAGGAGGATTCTTAGTTGGATCTATCAGGAAAGAGTAAATGTCTAACCTGTTAATGACTAGGGCATCTTAGGTACGCAGCAGCGTAGCATACATTTAGGAAGGCACTTTTGTGCTTTTTGTTTCCGTTCTATGTATTCGAAACATGTTAAAACATACTAAACATTCAATCGTCCCCCGCTTGCGGGATGAAACAATCTTATGTGATGTATCAAAAACCCGTGCAATGCAATCCACATTATTAGGGCTGGCATTGGAAGTTGAAGAATTCAGTGTTTCAACAATACGCCATTTTGGGGAGTTGTTTACGAGCAAGCTTACACTAAAGGGACCTGTGCCTTAAATGTTATGACGCTATCAACAATCTTCCTCATTATTAACAAGTTAATCGGTAAAAATAGGACAATTGCTTTCGACAGCTTAATTGCGCTGACGATGCACTTAAAAGTACCTACCTGATAGATTAAATTATTTTCAACATTGGTATCTAAAGTTGTTGTAGATAAGCGACTGGCGCTAGAGGAAGTAAGGAATTAGTTCTTCGATCTAAACGATAGCGAGAAGAAGAAGAAGTCACATGAGATGTTAGGTTAGGACCTAATTACCTGTGTAGGTACATTTAAGTCACGTAGGTCACGTTGGACAATGCAAATAACTAAAAAACCGACTTATAATTTTGCCATTGCTTTTTCATTTTTATGGGTGGGTTGCGGTATGCACAATGCAATGCGGAGGGGAAAGCTGCATGATAAGCCCAGCCGGCTGCATACGCTAAGCTCTGTGCGAGACCAAGTGTTTCTATTTCCAGAAACATCCCACTGAAGGCTATGCATTTAAGGCATGTACGAAATATTTAAGGTAATATTTGAGGTAAGGTACGTATACGATGGCAAATTGCAGTACACTTATATGCACATACCATATTCGGGTACATTTATGTAAGTACATATTTCAAATACATGTAGGTACCTAACCTAATGTAGCTGTTCTTTACAGGGGTTCATATATACATTAAGTACCTAATTCTAATATTGTGTTGGTAACAGTGGCGTTTTGTTGGTAGGTTGTTTCTTGTTTAATCTCCGAATCTTTTCGCAAAGCATCCGATATTTCATGCAATATTTACAATATCTCTTATAGCAGTACCTCGAGTAGCTCGTCATCATCAGCAATATCTTATTATCCAAAACATAATGGATTAAAAACATAAGCCTCCCGAAGATCGACGTTTGGTAAATCTAAAGTTGCTTACGATAAGAGGCATTCCCAGATCCCGTCTTATGATTATATTTAGAGGTGTTGGTCAGTAAAAAGAGAGTAGGTACCTAAATAAACGTCATAACTTATATGTACTATGTATTAGTTGTACGGCACCATACTTATTACCTCTATGCCGGTCATTCTTCGAACCCGGTAGTCCGCGCGAGCTATGATAATGTGGCTCGGTTCGGTTGTAGAACCCAACGTCCAATCCGAACGGCGTCTCATTTACCACTCAAAAGATATATCTTTATTAAATAGGTACCAGGTAGTTAAGGGGGAGAGCTATCATCTCTGTATTCAATGTTGTTGATGGCGGTGCTAGTCTATGCTCCAGTATAGAATCGCATCGACAATATTCGACAATGTACTCAAGTTTTATATGCGGTAATAGCTTCAAAGAGTATTCTCTACGAAGGTTAACGATATAGCTACCTCTATGCGAGTTTCGATCAATTGACAAATGATAAGCTAAATGGTAAACACAGCCGCAGGGATCAACATCCTTCAAACCTGCCATTTCCGCACCAAAAACTGTCAGTTCAAGGGTCCTTTCCAGGGGTCATCCAGGCGGATCTTCTAGTATTTTCCTTTTGGCTGGGGGTGAGGCGGAGCTGGAATGGATGATGGATGGATGTACATATTAGCATACTAACAATACTTACATACCTATGTTAGGATGTCAGGATGTGAGGTATGCAGGTATGCTACACTACGGAGGCAGAGAAGCAAGGAGGCATGGCACCATGTACATCTCTGGGGATCGCTTCGCCATATGTACAACAAGCTCATACCGCATGATGTACATACAATACTAACCTACGTCTAACAGTCGTACACTGCTTAGATATGCTTGGACACCGCCGTTCGTCCTCTCCAGTTTCGCCAATGAACTTGTTCGTCTAGACTAACCCGCTGCGGATATAGCAAATCATTTCGTCGTTCCGCCCCTCTTCACAGGTAACTGACAGGTTAATCATTCTTAATCTTCGATTCTATTTGTCGTTTTCTTGCTCATACATTACTGGCACACTTCTCTACCACCCTACCTCAACAATAGCAGGATTTGTTACTCACAACTTGCACATAGCACCTGTTCCTTGACATATCCCTTTCCGCCACCGTTGTTAAACCGTTCGTCTAGCCTCCGAACTACTCCTAGCGGCTTAGACGAACTTGGATTATTGGATTCTCTCCTGAATTCTTTCCCGAGGCTTATTATAATATAATACTCCACCGCACACCTACATCTACTCAGATCATCTTAATTCCTCCTGTTGCTTCTCTAACTAGAGGGCGTCGCATAATAGAGGAACAAACTCCACTGCTAACGTTGAAAAAGTACACAAATTAAAGTATTTTTGGTATTTTGGGCTGATCACACCCAACTGCCCTTTTCGAGCGTCTCGCGTTGAGGGCCTTGGCACGCTTCTAGCGGCTCGCCCGTCATATTCTAAAGACAAGCATCCATAGCCGCAGGTGTGCTCCAGGCTTGTTTCTCATCGAATCCCAACCAACCCTTGTCAGCCGAAGTGGTAGCATCCTTTATTAAGAACCGTCCTCTCTTTTATTTCCCTCCTCTCCGTGTATTGCGGAGGCCGGTACCTGGCAATATGGATCACAATCGGAACAAGGCAATACGCAGCGAACGTAACAATCTTTCCAAGCCGCAGGTTTTCGTCCAACTCGCATTTGGCGTATCTTGGTCTCAACGGCATACACCACAGACGCATACAATGACTTACATGTCTCGTAACTTGAAGAATGCGAGGGATTCCGGAAACTTTCCTCGTCAAGTACCCCCGCCGAATGCAAACTTCTTAGGTATCCCGGAATCACGCCAGCAGCGGAGTCGAGAGCATCCAGGCCGACATCATCGTCAACATAATCATACACAAGCCCGAGAACCCGGACGTTCTCGGGGTCAGAATGGTAATCAACCTGGCGAACAGGTAAGGCCCCGGCCGAGGAGGAATTCAGCGAGTGAATCTCGAGCGGAAAGGGGAAGGTCAGCGCCGCCACTATTTAATGATAGCCCGTGGGATGTTCCTCATGTATCTGCGTCTTTATTCCCACAACGTTCACAGACGGATGGAGAACAATCTTGGAAAGCATTGCCTGCGGAACCGAGCCAGTATCGACTTGGTGAAGAAGGGCTACCATGGTCTGCGTATGCATGGCCAGGAGATGTTCAGGACGATGACGACGGCGAGGAATTACCTTTTGAAAATCACCCAACCACCATCCCCCTTGATACGGAGCCATCTCGCGGCGAGGACCCCGAAAGAGTTAGGGAACTTGAGTCGTTGTCTACGGCTATGATGACAGTGGACAACGGGTTTGAGCATCAATGGTGGTATCAAGGTCCTCGGGAGTCTATGGAACGTTGGTGGACGCAACGAGCCGCAGAGGAAGCGGACGACGCACGGTCAGCCGCCCAGTGCCGAAGCAGTACTATTCTCTGACATGGCACCACGTCGGCCTTGGAACCTGGGGAGGAGAATATCCCGAATTTTAGTGATATCGTATCGCCGATATCAGAGGCGTCAAGCCCGGCCCCGAGTTTCAGTCGCCCTCTCCACAGATCATTAACGACAAGATCGGATGAACTATGGTTGGGGAGTTAAGGGCCGGACTACGATATGTGTTATAAATGAGTTTGAGTTTAGAAGAACGGAGCATTGCAGGCGATGCTTGAGCATTGGATATGCTATCAAGCGGGAGGGACTACTACAAAGCATTTGCATACTATTGGGCGTTTGGATTTAGGAAATTACTACTTTAATAATTACTATAAAGGACATCAAGTGGAGGATATTCCCACGGATCGCAATGGATTTAGCATATAGCATTATAAGAAAGTTTGGTAGCAGCCAACGTGCCCAATATTGAGTATCGATCACTTCTCTTTTCTATGGATCCATGATCATAGTTGTTCATTTGTCTCTAGGTACTTGTTTGCAACATATATGTCTAATAGACTTACCATGCATCACGACGACTCCCGCCACTATAAATCGGGGATGTTTCGTAACAGCTGTACATAGGGGAGTACCTTAGCTAAATCATATCCTACAAAGCAGGCTTAGCAATCAGCATTTAATAGTACCACCTATGAAGTCGATGCCGGTTGAACGGAATAGCTATATTAGGAGTTAAGATAGGCTTTAAGTTATGTGGAGATTTTTATTTTAACATTGCGTTGAATTTTGTAAAGCAAATCGACTTGCTACGGTGATTTACGGGACAATGCGTATGTAAAACTCCATTGTTTTTACTCGATGCCTGATAGAATTACGTTAGGTGACAAACATCAGCGGTGACTTTCTTACATAGGTAGGTAGCTACCTTAGCCTAGGTAGTATTTACCTAAGTTGTGTAAGAAAAGGAGGACAAACTAACTACCCCCTTTTCAACGTACACTACACTACAACACTTTAGATAATACGACGATGAGACCCCTAAATATTGAACCTTTATTAATTACGCGCTCGTTAATAAAAAACCTTAGTGGAGCTACTGCTAGGGGTAGCTTTCACCGAGTCGAAATAGGGCGAGATCTGGGGTTAGTCAGTTTACGAGCGTTTTGATCCTCGAACGGCGAGGAGACGGCCAATGTAACGTTGAACCTGACCCATCGTCGGGTGCCACCTCCACATATACATTCATATATTATGGGGGGATCATCGTTGATAGTACTTTAAATCGACAACTTCATCTAAATTTAGGATATGATGGTCTGCTTTCTGTACCTACCTAACATACATATTATATACCTATCTAGGTAGTATTTATATAAAATAATAGAATCAGTTAATAAACAACTAGTTATGTACATACAACTACGACTATAATAAAAAGGCCGAATCGTACATACATATGCACATATGCACATATGCCGCGGCTGTCGTCATCACGAGTACGAAACATTATACGTCTCCTACATATGTATTACATGTACACATCCAAGCCCAAGCCCCTGGAAAATTCAAGATCTACAAAACTGTCCCAAGGGGGGGTTATCGAACTATCGACAGGGTCCCATCCGAGAAGGGACCGACGACGCTTGCCGATTCGACGGCGGGCGCTTGTACCCCATCTGATCCGTAGAGCCGCCAGGGGTAATGCGTCTGCGTTTGCGTCTGTCCCCGCGGGTCTACGGATTGCATACGTCTATGTATTTACTAAAGCCGCGCACATACACCCTAGCAAGCTGAATCAGTGTCTTTGAGATCTAAGACACACCATCATCTGAAACGATCCGTGTGTGTGTATATGTGTATGTGTACCTATGTTTTGTGCAATCATCAACGTCGGCGACACGTAAATGTTTCTCGGCGGTAACGAATACAACTTCGGGTAACTACCTAGGTAATCTGAGATTCAGATGAAATTGCTGCGCCGCACCGACGTTGTGGTAGATACCCAAGGTACCTATCCATCCTATATCTTGGATCGACAACTCATCGCTCGACCTTACCTCGACAAATACTACCGTAGTATGTATGTCTTTATGTGTGATACAGGGGAGTAGACTAATAATACAACGGCTTGATTTATATATATATTAGATCATACATACCTCTATAGGTACCTAACCTACATATGTCCTGATTAGATATGTTCCATCGAGCTCTAGGTGACAGAGGCTGAGGAACAACGTGCCAGCAACGTGCACTTTACATCCAAAGCACCTAGGCATTGTATAGGTAATCTACTCATCGGCGCCTTATAGCACTATGTAGGTACTAAGGAGCTACTTCGGCAGTCAAGCTCTTGGTACGGCGCAGCATACATACTTGCGTGCAGAAGTACAGTTTAAAAATGCTAATACCTACCTAACCTAGGTATATATCAACTTCGAGGCTAGGGTTACAACGTACGGTCGAATCAACCGAAGAGGTAGGTACCTACCTAGGTAGGCTGGAGCCGGAACCACTCCTCGGCTTTCAGATATCTCGTCTGAACTAGGAAACGTCCCAACTATCAGGCCGTCAAAGCTACATCATTTCCTGGATGTGACGATGCATGGGTTTGGTATTTGAGTTCTGTGCCGCACACATAAGGCTATAAGTCCTACACACTACTACTATTTCCATTCTAATACCCCCTTGGTGCGCCCCACGCTTACTTCTTACTAGATTGGCATACTCCTTTAAGTATACCTCGAGGCTATCAGTACTCTCTATGCCGCAAGTCCGGAGATAGGTCAGGTATGTAAGCGCATTTCTAGATCACAGTAGCATTGGTTCAGCCGCCGACGGTACCTACCTACCTACCTACCTACCTTGCAGGTAAGCAACATGTATTATGACGAGTAGCCCTGCGTATAATATACTGCATCAATGTCTCCTAATGACGAAATAAAGCAGTAATATAAAGTAGTGTAACTTGACTCATATATGGTCCTGCTTGCTCCTACGGTTGTAAATGAGCACGGAAAGAAAGCCGTAAGTTAGGTTGGTAAATTAATTTACGCACTCCGGACGCAAGCACTCAGCCTCATGCTATTCAATGTCCCCTTTCGACTTATAACTCGTCTATAATACTACACGTGGAAGGGCTGACAAACAGACCGGATGAAAGTTCTCTCGAACTGAGCGCTTACTACATTGCCCCCTTCAGGTAGTATGCCCATATTTTCGTTACGTGCAGTGACGATATGGGAGGCATGCTGCTTGCTTTACTATCAAGTCATATATGAATCACTAGACTTTACTTTACTACCGCAAGGCGCCATATATGGTCAAAATTGTTTCTTCATATTCGTGTACGTCGTCTCAACATAGCAAAGCGCGCGGCTAACTAGTACTCGTCATGCGAACAAGGCAGAACGAGATACATGACATATGCCCTGCCTTGCCCTGCCCTGCCCTGTTCGTCCTCCACCAATGTAACCGTATATTCCCAGCTAGATTCCCTAGCCAGACCTAGCAACATGTAACTCGTCACAGTTTTTCTCAACATCATACCATTGCGACCAACCAACCCATCCACCAACCTAGCCGCCTCCCGAAACTTACTCTGTTGATAGCCCCGGCCCCTTTCACCTGTCCTTAACTATACTTTCAAGATAGTAGCAGTCGCACGGCCATGATAAACTCGAATAGGGCACGGTAGTTCTTGGTAACCCATCAAACTGTGAAGGACAGAAAAAAAAACAATAGACACCCAACTAAAGAATAGCCGACGCCGCGTATATGCATTCCCTCTCTTCCATAATAGCCCATCAAGGACATCCAGGTATCTCTGCAGAAGCCTCCGCACCCGTCTATCAAATACTTGCATCGCGTATTGCCGCTTGGGAAAGTAGAGTGAGAGGAAAAGAAATCATGTAAGAAGTGTGATATGGTATCTCTGCATAGCCGTGATTTGGATTGAAAAGAGAAAGAGAACCGAGATTGCCAAAAAAAGACCAATAGAAACCTGCTGCTACATGCTGACTTCTCGCTCTTCCTGGATAGCTGTCATTTCGCTGCCAACGATACCGCCCCCAAGGAGGGGTAGGCTCGGCGGAGGCATCGAAAAGACCCGGGAGTTTGATGGTGTTGTACCCCCGCTGCCGGCGCCAGTAACTACGTTCGAACCCGATGACCTATTTGCCATTGTACTCGTACCTGTTTCGGAAGGCTGCTCGATGACACTCATCTCGCTCGTGGGGACTTCTCTTTGCAGGGGAGAGGAATGCACAGGCGAGTTAGATTTCTTACTTGCACCATCGCCGTTGCCCCCACGAGAAGAATTTCGTGGAGAGACCCTGCCCGTCTGCTATAGGTAAGCAATCCGCACGAGGAAATATGGAGAGGGGTTCACCAACCTGCTTCGCCCACCTAAGGCCGCAGCTGTTACACAGATCTCTTTGACCACTCGGGCCCCTCCGCCACTCAGGCGTGTTGCGAGTATGACAGTTAGCACAATCTCGGACGAAGTTCCCAATCCCCTTTCTACGCTTGCGTTTCTTTTTGTTAGAAAGGAGGCCATGGAGTTCCTCAGCTAGTACCCGGTTTACCTTTTCCATCTGCCTCAATTCATACTGCCAGCTGGTGCATCTTGTGGTCTTGAGTTCATCAAAAATATTGTCATCTGAGGCGAGAGCCTTATCTTGGTTACCAGGAGCCATACCGCCACCTGCTGCAGCGGATAGGAGGCCATGACGTTGGTCATCTGGACTCGGAATACCTTGTACTACGGCGAAGCTGGACACTGACTTCGGTTCCGTAGATGAATGGTTGGTAGAACTCTGTCTAGTAGACAGGGTAGACGAAACCGGCCCAATTGCCCGGGAAGAGGCCTTAACTAACTTCGTCTGGGCAAGCAAAAAGGTTGGTTTCTGCCCCTTAGACGCATCACCCGGATACATAATGGTATGGGCTTGTAAAACCTGGCCTCGACGATTTTGAACCTCGTGTTTGCATGTGACTATACGTCCTCTTCTAGCTTTCTCGATCGAACGTCCGAACTCGGCACGCGATTCCTTACGCATCAACTCCTGGATGCTAGTCCCTACAAGGTTTTCCGGTTGTAAATCTAATAGAGATCGAACATTTGCGGAGACGAATAGAAACATCCCAGATGTAGAGAGTTTTGTCCATAATTCGCTATCACCTATGCCACCATTAAATTCCAACTCACGTCGACTCAGCGTAAAGACCGGACGCTTTCGACCGACAAGTATTATGCATTTTCGACCCTTTCCTTGCTCGACAAATAGTGAACCGTGGCTTTCGAACCAAGTGTAGCCACTTTGCTTTCTTCGTATACGAAAGACTATATTCACCGAGTTTCCATTGGTAGCATCCTTGAGCTCTCGGGTAACTGGAACAATATCGGAAGGATGTGATATAGACGAGATAGAATTTCCAACGAGCTCGGTGGCATCATATTCGAGTAGGCGCTTACAGGACGGTGTGAAAGATAGAGAAACAGCCCCTTCAAAGAGAGCACGTGAACGACATCATCGGTATTCTCCAGAAGCATCTTGTCCCAGGATTGTCGGTGCCAGTCAGAGGCAGATCCCTTCGGATTAAATTGCTGTAGTAGCGTAGATACATCGTCAACCCCTAATGTTTGTCCGTTCTCCGGTTCCCACTGGCTTGAAGACGGCGGTGTCCAAATATACTGTCCGATATCGCTGTGCTTGTAGTTGACTTTCATAGTTCCAGGGCCTTGATGCGAAGCGATAGCATCGGGGCATTCTACCAGATCGATTTGGAACCCAATAATATATCTGATCTCGTTGGTGTCCCATGGGATAGGGATCATGGTTAATAAGTTCAAGAAAGGCTTACCTCCTTTCCGGTAATTGATTAAACTTTGCTGCACTTCCTTGCCTTCAGCAATCTTTTGCTTCAGGTTGTAGACGGCTCCATTGTCAACGAACTCCCGTTTTGTACCTGCTTCAACTTTGCCGTCCGGGGCTTGGAGAAAACGGCAATTCTGACCAACGATGTCGTGCTGACTGTAACCAGTCAGGTTCTGAAAATTGTCTGAGACGTATATGATTGGACAATCATTCATCGTAATGTCGCAGACGACGAAAGCACAGGACATGTCGACGGCGCCGAGATTCACCTGTGGGTTTTTTCGCGTAGCCACAAGCCAAAGGGCCCTTAACATATCAAATCCACTTTTAGAATATATAGTCTTCTCCTTCGGAGGTTGAGGATTGATGACGGCTGGGATGGGGGCTTGGGAAGGGGCGGCACTCTCTGGCGTTGTGCCTGTTGTAGTCGCTATGGGCGACTCATACGAGGGCGTAGAGGACACGAGGGTTTGAGGCTGAACCTGTGGAATAGGTTGTGGTGAAATACTGGGTTGAAACCCATTCATAGTAGTGTCCAGGCTAATATTTGTCTGGTGGTTAGTTTGGCCTGGCGAAGAGAACTGTGGTGAATTGGCCATAATGCTATCGTCGCCAGCATCCACAGGCATACCGGTGCTAGGATTATTTGCCACGGCACCAAGAGCATTGCTTTCGTTCGACAGGTCCATACTAAAGTCGGCTGGCAACCCATCCATGGAATTTGATGGAAACGGGGTAGACATTGTAGTTGCCGATGAAAACATGTTCATAGAAGGGTCACCGCCCATCGAGTCCATGTTCATGTTAGAGAAGGCAATCATGCTCCCCACCATATCAGGAGAGAGGGTTGAAAAGTCATTAGCAAGCATGGTTGGGGAGGTGAACCCCGAAGTCCCCTGAAGGGGTATATTGGTGTTAAGGGTAGGAAACTCGTTGTGCATAGCGCCAGCAGAGTTTGACATAACCCCAAACGGATAGTCCCTAAAGGAATCATCGCCGCCACCAAATTCCATCATAGACATTCTTCGATCAGCTTCTACTTGGGACATCTGACCCGGGAATTGTTGTGGTAGACTTCGTCGTCGTTGTAATTCCTGAGAATTGCTACATAATATCATCGAGCGAATCAGCGCCCACCAAAGACGGATCCGTATTTGCAGCTGTAACAGGGACATGACTATATTGTGGCTGTTGCGCGGACTGATTTAATGAATTCGCAACTAGGCGTCTCTGGTTGCGCTGCAGAGAATGGCGGCGCTGCAGCTCCTCTTGGGAGAGCTGGTTGCCGAAGAAGTTGTCCATTTCGACTGCATCTGTTACAACTGCAGTAGAACCGAGGTTGAATATTGGATGGCTACCGTATCACCCGACACAAGTTTCCTCACAATAAATAGTATAAACTAGGTACGGAAACCGGAATCGATTCGAATAATAAATCGCGGGAGTATCAAAAACGTTGGATGATATCGTCGGCGATCAAATCATCATATGCGAAGGGACGGCTGGAAGACGTTGGGCAATATACTACGAGGGATAACACTGAGACTCGTGCGTCTGGGGTCGATTATGAGGGATAACGAACTTCGCTCGGATAATGCAGGGAGTAGACGAGGTATTCTATGGATGCCGGAATTCTATATAGTCGATTACTATGGCTCCGTCGGATGGGCCAAATGTGTATTCGAGGGTGATTCCTACGATATTGCTGTGTAGGAAATGAGTACTATATGATGGAAAGCGAGCGGGTATATTCGATGGGAACTGCGCGCGTAGTACACAGTAGCTTCACAGGGACACGAGAACATCGGTCGCTCCTCCAAGAGGAATATTTTTGAGCAGTTGGCTGGCTTTCCGAGGTTGAAAGGCTTATCGCAGCGGAAACATGAATGAATGGGAGAGATTTCTTCGAAAGATGGCATCTAGACGACATCTAGATGGCCTAGTTTGGCTAGCTCTCTTGTTGAAGGTGGGAGGGTCAAAGATTGAATTCGACCGACCAGGATCAAGTTGAGAAGTACTATGTAGGGGCCAAGTATGTAATAAAGTTGTCGATCAAATCCATTTGATCGAGCTAGTGCAGGCCTTTCCTGTCCGTTGGGTCTCATACCGTACTTTCCTTACCGTTTGATACGGTTACACCAGAGCGGGGAAAAACGGAACGGCCAATAAACCACGCAGAAACGCAGAAACGTGCGGTACCGGTAGGTCTTTATTACATTTGTATACAGTAAGATGCGGCCGTTCCAATATGCGGGGTTGTTCCTGGCTGCTTCTCTGGGGTACAAATGTTACCCAGCCTAATAAATTTGTATTTCTAGATGGCATTTTTGCGAAATTCTACAATTTGCATTTAATAAATAGACTCGCCTTACCCATAACTCCGGCAACTTAATACTATTAAGCAACGACTACGGCAGTTCCCGGTAATCAGTGCATAAACCTAACGAACATCATATAACTACCTAACTACATAGTAAAACATAAGCAAAATAAGTTTTAAGACATACCTATTATTTAAATACCTAAGCTCTTATCAAAGCATACGTAATAAATAGATGTCTTGTAAAGAGTTGAAACACGTGACTTGATACATTTCACTCTTCTTCAACAGTACATGCACTTTGTACAAACCCATACCTTGATATTCCCGCCCTACCGCCTGCCGTAATAAAATGTATAAATGTACCTAACACATCAGCTAGTGGAGACCGCTAGCACCATTGAGGCTGACTTTGCCGCCTTTTAAAAGCTACTCAAGTACTTCGTAAGTACGACGCCTCAACGCCTCCCGCAACTTCGTCATTCATTCCGATATGAAATTGCGACCTTTAATCCGAAAATAACCACAACTAAATTTAAATAATAATTTAAATAATACTGTTTTTCGTCTTCACGGAAGCCATCAGGTTGCCGTATCTTTGGCCTTTCGGAATTTTCTTAATAAGTCTCATCTCCTACAGAATGGACGAACCTACAGAACTTGTCAATCCGTTACCTCTGCAGTCGATCAACGTCCTTATCTCGTAAGTCCTCTTTGCTTTAATATCTAAAGTCCACCGGTTTCCTTTCCCTCATTACACTTACTGTAAAACTCATCCATCATTCTAAGATATATAAATATATGTTACTTGAGGTTTCGTCCTCGTCTTGTACAGCTGCACGTCAAGGCCTTTCCAATTCGTGCCTACCTACCAACTCTTTTTCTCATCATCTATTAGTCACTTAATCACTTAACTTCGATAACACACCACTAATATTTATCAGGCTCTCATCTTTCAATTCACAATTGATCAATCAATCACCAGAATCTACACCCATTCTCTTTATGCGATAGTTTTGTCCCCTTTTGAAAATGGCTCTTGACATCATACATGACCAAGACCTTCGCGTGTCAAGAACGCCTCCTATCATGGAAACAACTCCTCAACGACCGAGGCCTAATGGCTCGCGAGTCGTCAAGAAACGGTCATCACCTCAGCTTGGTGATGGTCTTTGTGATGTCTTTGCAGTTACAGTTGATTCTCCTGCTTGGACGGAAGATACCTTCATCTCTTCCATCGATCATGAGACTAGTAGCTCTGTTTTCACGCCATCAGAGAAAACTTCTACTGTTGTATCATCAACGCCTGATTCGAGCACTGGATCCTTCGACTTCGATCTCCGATTAGATTCTAATGACTACATTGAAACACCTAAGCATTCAGCCCCTAGCATTGTGCATTGCGAGTCGTCTCGAACCACTTCATACACGCCTGGCGGAGTCGAGTCAGCATTGCACACGCCGTCTCCAGTGTCTCTAGATGTGAGTATCAGCGCGCTTACCAGTCCATCTCCAAAGCTACTACAGCTTTCACAAATACTCGATCCTCTGGGATATCTACCTTATGCCACACCTCCTAAGAAGCCCAAAGAGCAAACTACCAAGAACCCTCTTATAACCGCGAAAACTGTATATAAGGTCGACTCGTGGTTTCATGATAGGAAATTACCGCTTCTGGAAGCCAAAGACTCAGTCGGGTCGCCTCAGTATTCATATTTATTGGACACTCTTAATGCACAACAGAAGCCCCACGAAAGAGACCAAGTCAATGTCAACCAGCTACCTCACATATCCCAATACTCAAAACTACCTCTACCGAATCCTTTATATCGCAATGTACAGTCACTATCTCCATCGCCGATCGAAATTATGCGCGAACAATTCTATGCGAAGTTGAGGAGTTACACTGATATGAACCATACTAATTCATCCTTACCTGAAGCTGACGTACACATTTTTGTGGATATGTCTAATATATTCATTGGATTCTGTGAGAGCTATAAAATCTCTAGGCAAATACCGCTCACTCGCAGGATAAGCATGCCTCCATTTTCGTTCAAAACATTGGCACTTGTGATGGAACGAGCAAGGAATGTGCAGAAAAGAGTGCTCGCCGGGTCAATATACGGCGTAGCAAACAACAATCCCCAGACATCTTGGCCGCCTTACTTTCTAGAGGCAGAACAGTTGAACTATAAGATGAATGTTTTTAGTCGTGTTCGAAAGCGTAAAGTTTCACCAAACAAGCCAAAGGGAAGAGGACGAACACCGATTGAACGCTCTGATGAAGCAGGCGATATTTCAGAAGATGTCACGTACGAAGTGAGAAATGGAGAGCAGGGCGTAGACGAGAACCTCCATCTAAATATGATGGACAGTATGTGGGACAACATGTCACATCCTGGCACAATGGTGTTGGCTACCGGAGATGCAGCGGAAGCTGAGTTTTCTGGTGGATTCTTGCAGTATGCCATTCGCGCTCTCGAAAAGGGATGGAAGCTTGAGCTAGTAACCTGGAAGCGACCTCTCTCGTCCGCTTGGACCGACCCAAAATTTCTAAAGAAGTATAAGAACCAGTTCAGTATCATCTTCCTAGATGATTTTCTAGAAGAGTTACAGACCGGCTTTCTCGCGTAGGGTATCGTCACATTTACATCTGGCTAGGAGACTACTCCTACTCCTAGTATGTTCTTAGAGAGATTTTCGGCTCTCTATTTCATTCGGCTACTATATTTCGTTGCCTACCTGTATTGCGGGCATATTTCAACCCTTTTTTTTTTTTTAATTCTCTTTTCACTTCTAGTGCAAATATGCATTAAAAAAGGCAGCATTTGGCGCACTACGGTCATTCGATTCACTACTTGTTTTTCAGACTACTTGATCTCAAGATTTTGTGGAATATGACCTGCTAGGCGAGCTGAAATATCTCGGAGCGATGATGGAGGTTTGAATTGTCTGGAGAATCGTCAATTTCGATGCTCCCACATATTCGGCGGTAAATATTTGCTTTATGGTCGGAACTATAAAGACTAGATGAGACTACGGCGAAACGACACATAACGACATGGAAGGTTCCGGATATACAACATACCTCGGAAAGATAGAGCTATGTTTTCGCATTCTGAGATCTGGCGTTTTTCACGAATGGGAACTGCTTTTTCAAGTTAGTCCTTGGTGATTGGATCCGGTTTGGTCCTTCGATATACCCTTCACAGCGAGGTTGACGGGTAAATTAGGCGATAGTATGATTCTCTGCCGGGACGATCCTATGCATATGTGGAGTTCTGGTTTGCATAGCATTATTTGCATGGATATCTCGAGAGTTGGGAACCCGACTTAGAGGTACAGACCGGAAGACGAAGTTGGTGCCTATTTAGGTATCCCTGAGCAGAATATTGGAGCTTAGTTGCTTGTGAAGTAATTAGCTTTGTTTTGGTATTATGTTAAGTGTAACCTTACGGAGTATTAATGGAAGGGTTACCTTGACGAGAAACATCCGAGTTAATAGTTAATATACAACTATATAGCTTCAACGTGGGAAAATACAGGCAGCTTTTGACCTAGGAAAATTGACGTCATGGTGACTATGCTAAATAGCTGTGTAAATTGAGCTGATGGAAAATAAATGCTACCCTACCCACCGGACAGCCCACTTGCATTATAGATTAGGTTAAGAGGTACCTAATATGTAATTTCTATCTGGGTATACATCAAATACGTTATCTACTTCTTACATGCTTATTACATGCTTCATAATGTAGCCATAATAGCTACGAGGGTAGGTACTACATATGGTAGGTACATGCAAACTACCGAATGTGATATAACTATAATAAAACATTTCAGTCTCAATCTCAATCTCACTCTCACTTTATAAGCTGAAATGCTATAGCTGCTCTTCCTCATGCCATGACTTGTTTTCTTACTATTTGACCAATTCTTCCTAAGTTGCCTACTTACTCGATACCTACTTTCTTTTTGCATTACTTATCCCTAGATAGTTACCTATCACTACCCCCTTGCCGATCGCGATTAACATCGATTTCCGAACCCGTGGGGATTTATGGGTGCTCGGGCCCGTCCCGACGGATACACCCGATCAAGCATGGCAGCCCTTGCTCAACCGCCAAGACACATAATCATCGGCATCGTCGCATTCTTCCTTGTAGCTTGCTTCGAGCTGTTCACACCGCCGTCGACGACATATCGCACGCCATCATCAGATTTTCCCTCGAGGATCGACCGGTCGTCGCTCGCCGACGTCAGCCGCGTGGCCAACGGGACCCTAGGCTTCGAGAAGATCTTCGTCGTGGGCCTCCCGGAGCGCAGCGATAAACGCGATGCTATTGCGCTTACGAGCACCCTGACGGGGTTCGCGGTTGATTGGGTCGATGGGGTTAGAGGGGAGTCGGTGCCGGATAAGGCGGTGCCGTTTGGTGCTGATAGGAAGAAGTTGTGGGAAACGAACTTGGGGAGTTGGAGAGGACATATGAATGCTATTCGCAGGTACGTCGAGTGAGGGTTTTAGTTAGGGGGCGAGTGTCGAATACCTGCGTGCGCCCTTGTACACAACAGGAGGAAATTCTAGTAGTAGCCTCCATGCGTTGAATATGCTTGGCTAGAGTTAGATGTGAACCATAGGATTGGGAACCCTAGGAAAATAAGATACTATAAGGAGGGGAGCGGGGGCGGGTAGATTTGACATGGACTAGTAAAGGGGTTGACACAACAGAGGCTGGACTAACCTATCATTAAATAGGATCGTCGAAGAGGACCTTGGATCGGCTCTCATCATGGAAGATGACATGGATTGGGACGTACGGCTTAAAACCCAGCTAGAGAGAATCGCCCAAGGTGCCAGGGCTCTTCTCCCTTCCATCTCGAACCCCAACTCTCCCTACGGCGACGATTGGGATCTCATGTGGCTCGGGCACTGCGGCGAGGTTTTCCCCGAGACGCTTGACGAGAACAAGGAAAAACCCGCGGATGACGCCGGCATCCAATACATGTCGCGCAAATTCGTCATCGAGAACGACTCCACGGTGCCTCCCAGAGATCGAGTCACCGGCCTCGTCAACTTCAAAAACCACCCCGAGTTTACGCGCTGGGTACACATCACCGGCGCCCCCATCTGCACGTTCGCATACGCGCTTTCGCAAAGAGGAGCCCGGAAAGTCCTCCTAGACCTATCAGTAGACCATCTAACAGGCCCCTTCGACAACGCCCTCGCCGGACTCTGCCGCCGTGCGGTCTCAACATGGGGCATTGAAGACACCGCGAGAGCCGGCGACCGCGGGCTCGACGCAAAGTGCATCAGCGTAACGCCTCCCGTGTTCTTCCACCACAAGGCCCGAGGTCTTGTGAACGCCGACAGCGACATCCAGACCGTCCAGGACGGGCAGGTTCGGGAGAAAGGCAGCACAGAGAATATTGTCTGGAGCGCGAGGAATAACATTAAAAACATGGTTATGGGAACTGGGATGGAGAGTCAGTATGAATAGAAAGGAGTTCGACTGTGGTCTTGTCTTGTCTTGGCTTGGCTTGGCTTGTGACACTTGGGTTGCGCATGGGATACCTATACATTGTGACGGAATGATACCTATGAGGACTATAAACGACGGCGTTAGTGGGATTTAGTAAATTAAGAACGTGGCTTCTAGTGTAGATAGAATACTCGCGATAATAAGTATAATTATATTGATTGGAGTCAAGTCTGCTTCTTCTGGTATGGGCCAATCGACGTTATCAATTCTGTTGTGCTACGTTAGGGGTCTACCCCTTTCTTGTCAGAGCCTCTGTCGACTCAATATGGGGTTAATAGGTTAGGTATTTATGTTGCTAGCGTACGATACTTGCTCATTGAAAAGGGGAGGTGACATATGCGTCAGTTTGGCTATGTGAACTGTTCTCGAAATTGTTCATGAACAAGCTGATTCCGTTCCTCAACGCACGTTCTCCGGACCCGGTATGGGACCCATAAAGATCTAATATTATTCTGTTGTCGAGGATTGGTGATATGTTAAATAAAAACTTCATCTCACGAATAAATATCTGAACTAATTCCCGGTCTGAAGGCATTAATGCCCCAGTTGACTATGCTCTGGAAACTCAAATGACTTTTATATTTCCCCTTTTCTCTACCAGGTTATCTAACGCCTAGAAAATAGAAATTTAGTCACACACTCAAATATCCTGGTGCATAACCTAAGTGTGATAGATTAGGAGGCACCACCGCGACCTCCTATGCCCCCTACGGCTAGTGCTTGCACAATATCCGCACTGATATCGGGCAGCGGCCGACCCCTTTCGGTTGGCTGGCCGATGAACTTGATTTCGGCCAGATATCGTAGGTACCTTCCCACGTCGTCCCTGCTAATGCCATAGCCAGAGCTCTCGTCTACGCCTGTCCATTTATCACCATCAGCCTTCAAAATAGCAACAGCGTTCCTGTCATCCAACTCCGGCGCTCTAGTATTTGCCGGAAGGTCATTCATACAGAAATGTGCCAGCGGCATGAGTGCATGCTGTTCTTGGTCCTTCTCGAGGGCACCCGCGGACACAAAGTTCTCTAGTTCCTGCTTCCAGGAGTTGTAGCTGATTTCTGGAGTTTTGTAGCCATAATACTCTAGTATCGATAGATATTCATTCATGCGGAGACGCGGGTGACCGGTGACGTGAACTACGTGCACTCCACCCGGAAGAGGATTTAGGGCAGCGACGACCACCCTTGCAACGTGGTTCACGGGGACAGCGTTGACAGTGTTGATGATACGTGGGCGCGCTACCAGCTGTATGCAACCCTTCAGCATCCTGATCAGAAAGTCATCGACGTTGCAGACGCCAGTCTGGTAATCACCAAGAATGTATCCAGGTCGGATAACTGAGCCCTGGAGGCCTCGTCTTCCGGCCTCTCTAACTAGTTGTTCCGATACCCACTTGGTTTGTCCGTATCCAGTGCCCAATCCGGTACGGCTTCCATTCATGTCATCACTTTCCATTATAGAACCCTCTCCAGTTCTTGTCTGATCTTCTGACAGTTTGATGTAATAGTCTGTGTCAAGGACACTAGTCGAGCTGACGAAGCAGAAAACCTTTGCCTTCCCTTCATTGCAGAGTTTCATCGCATCGATAGTCGATAATACATTCGACGCCATCATATCCTGGTACTTCCGAATCCAATGGACAGTAGCTCCGTTATGTATAACTACATCAACTTCCTGTGATAATTTTTCCCAGGATGAATCATCAATGCCGAGCTGAGGTTTTGATAAGTCGCCCACAACCGCACTTAATCTCTCCTGCCATTCATCCTTCCATAGACCATATCCTTGAAGAGAGCGACGAAGCCGTTGTAGGGCTGCTGTTGAATCCTTGGCGCCGCGCACGTGTGCGATTAACTTAACATCATGAGAAGTCCGGTCAAGGACATCCTTCACAAGATATGATCCCAAGAATCCAGTTGCTCCCGTAAGGAAGATTGTCAAACTTTTAGAGTCGTCGAGAGCTTTGAGATCGGCGGATTGATATTTGTCAGCTAACTGGCCCGTCAATTCATCAAGAGACTTAGTATAAGCCGGGGTGGCCTCTTGTGCATCGCTGGTGGTATCGGTACCGTTGGCATTCCGAAGTCTCTTCTCTACGTGAGCGCTGAAACTAGCTAGATCTGGATGCTCGTAGAATGTGCTGATAGAAACGTCTGCTCCAAAAGTCTTCCGAATTTCCAGAAGAAGTTGTTGTGCTAACAGACTGTGTCCACCCAGATCAAAGAAGACGTTTTCTCGTCTAATAGTTTTCGGGTTGAGACCCCGGATGAGATCGGCCCATTTCTGGGCCACCTTCTGTTCTGTCTCCGTCAAGGACTCCCAGCTTTTTAGATCCTCTTCCGAAGCGTCTTCAACGCGTTCGGTAACATCTGGGAAAGGAAGATTCGGCTTATCAACCTTACCATTGGGGTTTAAGGGGAGCTTCTCGAGAACTATATATATGCTCGGTACCGAATAGGCCGGCAATCGAGACTTCAAGTGATCTCGTACCTCGGTTTCCATGCTTCGATATTTCTTCAAGAAGACACGTGTAGGTCCCATCTCAACACCGTCATCTTCGACTTCTTCTATCCCCCGAGTGGCAATCCACCGCCGCCACTCAGCTGCTTCGGGGACTAAGTAGCTTACTAGTGTCGGTTCTTCGTTACGATCTCTTCGTACAAGAGTCTTGCAGTCTCGAATAAGTGGGTTTTGGCTTAGATTACTGTCGATATCGTTGAGCTCGATACGGAAACCGCGAATTTTGACTTGGTCGTCGGCACGACCGGTGCATTCAACGTCTCCAGATTCAAGGTAACGTCCCAGATCGCCCGTGCGGTAGAGCCGATCCCTCGGGCCCTTGTAGTACTTTCTCCAAGGCTCATTTTTGCTCACCTTGGCGTCTGCCTCGACCCATTTATCATTATCTACGAACCAATTCATTAAGAACTTCTGCTCATTCAAAGACGGGTCCCCAAGATAACCCCTAATAGCAACATAGTTAGCAAAAGAATATGAGAATGTCGAGAAAATACTTACTCAGCAAGACCTGCAGCCCGGACGAATATCTCCCCAACTTCGCCAACCTGGCATAATCTAGATCGGTTCTCTCTGTCGACAACTAAAAGTTGGACGTTTTGCATTCCTTGACCAGCCGGAACTGTATCCTTGAGCTTATCTAGAAAGTCCGGATCCCTCGCGCGGCTCGGGACTTCAAAGTAGCTGACGGCTCTCTGGGTCTCCGTAGTGCCGTACATATTGATAATGTTAGCGTTCACGGCAAGCTGTCTAAGTGAGCGGCATTGCCTCGTCGTTAGAACGTCGCCGACGAAAGAATACGTGTTCCAAGCTGGGAAATTCAGCGGTAGCGCCGCCAACTAGAATTTGACCCATGGCTGGGGTAAGATGAGTAACAGTAGGTTTCATTTCACGCATCCACTCAGCAAGTTTCTCATGCTGAATATCCTCTCTAGACGGGACGAGGAGTTGGGCGCCAAGGAATAGTGGTGTGAAAATATCTCTCTGCACGGGATCGTGAGCTAGACCGGAGAGAAGTGTAAATCGACTCTCAGTCGATAAGTTGAAGCGCTCGGCCATCCAGCCAAAATACCTAGTCAGGCTGTAATGTCTACCAAGGACTCCTTTTGGTCTTCCTTCACTCCCCGAGGTGAATGATAGGGTAGGATTTGAATCAGGACCCACTATCACATCAGGGGGTGAGGATGCAAGGCTTTTAAGGGGCTCGAAGATGTCTTGAGAATCAACTTGGCCTCCAGAAAGAGTTCCGTCATCGAGAAGGCGAAGTTCAGGGACTTGGGCCTTTAGTTGAAGTTCTTGGTCAATATAGCCTTGCACCAGATCGGCCAAAGGGCCATTCTCATCAGTTGCGCGGCCAATTTTTATCAGAGCACTTGGCTGTGATACCTCAAGGTAGATCTTCTGTCTAGCTGGAGGATAGGCGGGATCTAGTACCGTCATCGTAGCACCAGAAGCCTAATTGGACAATTAGCGTTACCTGGATTTAGATGAAAGTATTCGTATATAAGAGTAAAATGAATTTAAGTCTAAAGTAAGTCTAAGTTTGAAAATCAATAACATACCAAGGTACCCATCAAGGCGATGACCAAGTCAACAGAGCGATGGGCCCAGATCATTACTACATCTCCATTGGTAATACCAGCATTATGAAGATACCGGGCAAGGGTATTAGAAGCTTCATAGATCTGACGATAAGTGAAGCGTCTCTCGGGATGCGTCGAAGACTTAGTTTCTAGCACACAAGTCCTTTCGGGATATTTCTCAGCAGAGGCCCTGAAGCGCTCATGGATTGAACCAACATAACCTGACCAATCAAGGTCGATTGTTGGGTCGGGTAAGTGGCCCATTACGGCGGTATTCTATATTCAATTCCACACGAGAATTAAAGTATGAAGGTAAAGATTATTTCATCGTCTCTACGAACATTTGAACATTGAAGTAAAATATTAAAATATTAAAAAATTACGTTGATGGTGGGGTACATGTATTCAAAGTACCAGCTGCTAATATGCGATGCGTCATAGTACTTTTTACCGTGTACCTTTTACCGTGTAACTCTTCCGAGAGCGGAGCAAGAGGTACCCAAGTATATTATGCATGTATGCATGTACTAAACTAAATTTCTTATGGTAGTACCTAAGTACCTAACATATCTTCTCCTTTTCCTTTAACTATGTACCTAATATTATCACGAGAAGTCATACAGATATAAGAAGATGCTATGGAATTATATTTTTATGTATATTCTCTCATATACTTGAGTGATATGGAAAGGTACGTAGAGATATGAATCAAAAATCCCTATCAACTGCTCCCTTAAATGCAAAAATTGCCGCTGCAACATGGTCTTCCATGTTGATTTCATTTGTATACATACCGCCCTCTTTCATTTGGCGTTCCATACTTTGGATATCTCTCTCTTCCTCGTCTAGACTGTAAAGTCTTCCGAATTGTCTCGTGATATCAACTACCTGCTGGCTTCTTGGTCTACGAACGCGTCGAAGCTTCTCAAAGCTATATTAATATTATCTTTCGACTTGACTTCGGCGAAGACTCCGGCGAGTACCGCCGCATCCTCGATCGCTTGGGCTGCACCGTTGCCAGCGTGAGGAGCCGTGGCATGTGCCGCATCGCCGACAATAGCAACGTGGCCCCGGTAATAGGTAGGTGCGTGATCATGGTCTAATATTTCCCAATGATCATTTGCATATTGTTCGAGAAACTAGAATGTAGTCATAGTTACGATTATTATTTGCTAGAATAATGTGATTACACTTTAACTTACCGATACTAGCGAGGTAACTTCAGGGCAGAAATTCTTCCATTCGTCGGGATTAAAACTAGCTCTCTCGCCGTTACGTCGTTTGCTATCCCTTTGGTAGCAGGAGATGCTGTATGTATTTCCTAGATCCAAAGGAAGGCCATTGACATACCCAATAGGCGTGCAAAACATTCGGACTTTCTCGATCGACTCCTTGGGAAGCACCTTCTTTGCTTCTGCCATCCGGACGATAACGTTGAAGCAATGCCAGTCATCGTGATTAACTGCTTCCGCCGTCGGATCATCAGGGCCCAAGATGAATTTTCTAGTAGTACTCTTAACACCGTCGGCGCCAAAAACTGCGTCGAACTCCTCAATCGTGGAATCTGCAAAGGTGACAACAACCTTAGACGTATTGTTGTCTACGTCTCCCTTCTCTTCTATGCTCACCGCATGTTTTCCAAAATGAACGCGGTGTTTAGGGATGACGTCCTCTAGAAGGCCCTGGACAAAGTGTGCCCTGTGAATAGTCCTTCTTCCTTTTGCTCTGCCCAGTTCTGCCACGACAGTTTCGGCGTTTTGCCCGCTTCCAATGATGATCTGAGTTGCCATCTCCATATTTTCTTCATTGGCCATGAAATGGGACTTTTTGAAGTATGCTTTCTTGATCTCTGGTGAGATTGAGTCCATTGCTTTGATGGCATTTCCGTGGAAGGCGACACCTGCGCCGCGAACGCAAATATCCGAATATGACTCATAGAGATGTACATCGAGTAACGGGTTGCGGGAGAGCCCGACAGTTAAACAGCATCCCGCGATGCCAGCACCGATCACAGCTACCCGAAGTTTGGGAGTTTGGGTTTCCATATTGACTACGTCTGTTATTTTTCGTTTGATGAACGAGATATATGATGAGATAACTTCACTTTCCTGAATTAATGAAATTCTGGTGGTGTGCGGGAAAAAAAAGTTGGACAAGATAGGATTTATATAGACCTTGAATGGGTGGAATCCCATAAGGTCATTGTTCTACAACTAAACAAAGCTCTCATGACTTTTATCAGGCCAATGTCCTTGTTAATCAAGAAAGCATTAACCTAGCACTATGACCTTGTGTCGCGGACATTTTGTCCCTTGCCTTTCCCATTCAGGCAAGTTCAGCTCGGTCAAGCAAACCTATACCTCCGGGAGGGGTTGGGGGGGACTAGTTAACGTGAACACATACAGTCATCTAATGCCTCACCATGTGAGGCTCACGGGTAAGCGCCCTCGCCACTTGGGAGGTGAATTTAGGGTATTTAGTGATTCAGCTTATGAGACAACAACGATGTTGAGTACATGTATGATTTATTATAAAACTAGTTGTTTCCATTTATTACAATCTCCTTCTCATAAAGAAGTATGATTTGCTTCTAAGAGGTTTAATGAGTCGTAGGACTGTGATTATTTCGACTTATGTGCGAATCGATACTTTCTCGAAAACGTGATATCACGGATTCTTTTTACATGCTATAAGCCACCCTTACATCAATGCATGCTATCGGGGTTTTATGTTAAACTGAAACAGAAATATTCTCGCTCCGTCTGATTTCGTCTATTATACCTATGGCTTATGGTTATGAATGACTAGGTCTCAAAAATTCAGCCACTGCTCATTAAAGGGCGATGTTGTTCTTGGCCTTACTACGCTGCTTATATAAATTGTGAGATAGATTGAGAGACTGATTTTAAACAGCTTTATTATAATACATGAACAGTATTGAAAATTGCGTTTTGATGATGATGATGACTAATCACAATGCTTTAGCTTTAGTTATTTGATCTCCTATAGTTCTATATTGAGAATCTCAAAGCGGCACCGAGGAAGTAATTTTTTTGTCTTAATAAAATTCGGTTAATATGAAATATGTCACTGTAGAGAGTCGAATATATCTTAATGTAAATGATAATTGTCATTTTATATGTAGCCTTTCAAAGAGACATGGGGGCTTTATTTTTGGCGCCAAGACATTCATAGACAACCGAGGGAAAAGTCACTTAATGTACCAGGGATCTTACCGAAATCGCCATATTTATAACGTAATTTCTAAGTGCCGCCGCGAAGGCACGAAAGAACGAACCATTTAAATAATTAATACTCCCCACACTTAGTTATTTGCCAAGTTTTCTTTAAACATTTATCTATAAGGTGGTAAAAAGACTCAGCTAATAATGGCAGCACAAACCCAAGAAATCCCGCTCACGGCCCCACAGCCCGGGTCCGAGTCGGATTCAACTCTAGTACCGGCTTTGCCGCCCATCTCACGAAGGAAACAAGCCTCGGTACTCCTCTCCGCCTTCGTGACTATCGCTCTTACCATAGGATATAACCAAACCTTTGGTGTCTTCCAAGAGTATTATCTCTCGCCAGATCAGAATATTATAGCGCCTTCCCCGGCCTCACAGGCCACACCGCCGACAGCACTGCTCGCCTTCGTAGGTACGCTATGTTACGGGCTGACTTGGGCAGGTGGCATCCTTGTCAACCCTGTGATATCGCGTATTGAGAATGGAACTTGGGCTCTAGCCACACCTTCGAGTCGACGATGGCGCCGTAGGATCCTACGTTTCTTAACGCCAAGGACTATCACTATTTCAGGAGTGGTCATGATGTCTACTGGGTTCGCATTGGCTTCCCTCGCCAGTTCCATATGGCAGCTTCTGCTTACACAGGGTTTCCTGGTTGGCCTTGGAATGTCACTCTTGTACTTTCCACTCCTTGCACCCGCGCCTGAGTACTTCACTAGCCATCGTGCAACCGCCATGGGCTTCGTAAGTGCTTCATCCGTAATTAAATTACTATATTATTTGAAATATGGCATTGTAGTATATTATACGTCTTTGCATCCATGAAAACCATATCCGGCCGTCCAGACAGTGTGGCACTACTACTGAAATTCTTGAAGGCATTGCCACTAATCCTTTAATACTCCTAGATCCTAGCTGGTGGCGGTACTGGTGGTCTCATACTCTCGCCTGTAATCCGCACACTTCTTAGCTCCCTTGGCGGCCGTTGGACCCTCCGGATTTATGCTATATTCAATCTACTCGCCGGGCTGCCGATTGCTTGGGCTGTGCCGCGGAGTCGGTTTGCAACAGTCCCAGCCGCAGAAAGACCCGAGAGGCGAAATACCCACGTCTCACGTTCCTTGGCCGTAAAACCTACATTCCTCTTCTCTGTTGTGGCCGCGTTTCTCCAGGTTAGTACTAACAGATCTCTATCTCTCTATCTTATTTCCTAGTAGAACACTATCAATTGGAACTATGGGATACCTTGCCTGTGTTATTCAAGCTCTAACCCCCTAACCCTAATCCGTCGCATCCATCTTTCAAGATTTAGTAGCTAACCCCTATAGTCGGCCGGTGCCCAACTTCCTCTCTCCTTTCCCTTCCTATACAGTAATTCTCGGTCAAACCGCCTCTAATGGCGCCAATCTCCTGGCCGCTAGCAACGCCATAAACGCCGTGTCTCGCGTCATCACCGGCTATGCTGGCGATCGTCTCGGCCGACAGAACACACTTCTATTGACACTTTTCCTTGCTGCATCTAGCGTATTTGCCTTCTGGCTTTCTAGCATTCTCGCAACTACCTCGTCGTCGTTCTCACTTTGGTTAGCCTTCATTGTGCTCTATAGCGTCTCAGCCGGTGGGTATTATGGGCTGTTCCCGGCACTTATTGCCGAAGTCTTTGGGATCCAGCAGTACGCTGCTGTAAACGCATTCATACTTTTCGTAAGGGGGCTAGGGACTATGTTCGGAAGTCCTGTTGGCGGACAACTGTTGGGAAGTTCGGAAGAGGGAACAGGGGCATATGCTAGTATTGCGTATTGGGATGGCGCACTGTTGATGGGTGCTACAATGTGCTGCGTTGGGGTACGATGGGCTGATGGAAAGGGAAAGGGCTGGAAGTGGATTGCTTAACATGGATATGACCTAGACGTGTACAAGATGAAACATATCGTTTTGCTACTTGCATACTGCTCAATTAAAACAATTGAGTAGGCTAGACCGAATGGTTTAGAGGTATGCTAATCTTGATGCAAGCATCGTTACTTCTATGACTTCCACTTATATTATAGTAGCGCCTTAATAGTTCACTTACCGCATTGCCGGCTTTCAGTGTAGCACAAAAACTAAGCATGTTGTCTCCTTACATATTAGACGTCTGGAATATCTGTCCCTTATTGGACAGTAATACGATAGAAGAGGTATACTCTATCCCTGGCATGGGGTGTATGCATTGCTATGGCGGATAGGAAATGTACTACGGGGTTAACTTACAGCAAGGGATATTAGCATCTATTTCTATGGTATTATATAGTTGAAGCAGCAGTTAGAAGACAATATCTACCTCATACTTATTGAATTTAAATTATCATATCATGATTCTATCTAAACCCATAGGTTACGCAAAGCATTCGCCGTCAGCGTCAGTTACATAGTTGAGTTCTAAGTACATGTCAGTAGTAGCAAGAGTGGAAGCCCGGTTAGAGTCTTGTTTTACTGTAGAATGGCATAAGTAAACGTTGTGTCCATAACAGAAACTACATCATTTATTGGCCAAACTCGAACCTGACGAGACTTTTATCCGAAAAAAATGACCTGTTGGGGAACCTATCTTAGGAACCATGAGATACTGTCGATCAAAGGGGGTTATACGCGTATAACCCCATTGTATTGGGCAAATAGTCTTGTAGCTCCTCTGATTACCATCACGTTGTTCCCCTCTTGGATGGTCTGCTTCGCCACAATCTCCAAGGGATACTCCTAAGTCACCGGAATCCCGAAATAGACCGGGGTCTGACTGCATTCCGTCTGCATCATCCATGGGTTACACCTTAACCATTATTTGATACTTGCTGTGCCGCTATTCTTGCTTTGCCGAACACTGCGTTGTATGACTTTCCATATCTACGATGAATTCTAGCTGGCGGAAACGCTATGTTAGGTATTTCCGCACATTCTGATATCCCCTATATGGTAACTGGTCGGTGGATGTCTCCTAGATATTGAAGCACTGACACCCTCCTACTAACCTAGTTAACATGGGTAAATGCCTGGGCTCATCTAGAACAATATAATGCTACGTTAGTTCTAAGTTTGGTTTCGATATAGTCTGTAATGAAGATGTTGGAACAGGTCAGGATAGAATCGACGTATTCTCGCCAATTGTGATGAAAGCCAAGTCTCTATTCTATGTAGCCAACCTATTTACCGCTGCGGTTGCTACCTGCCCGGTTAAAAGCTCATCAGTTGTGCCCATTGTTAACTCTTCTAAAGCGGCAAGCTAGGTAGTCTACGGGTTCATGTGCACTCAAACACTCGATGCTGCATGCTAATTACTACCCTCGTTTCCATCGGCTATGACATTCTCGGAGCTATTGACGATCGTAGTTAACTAGTATCCAATAAGGTAATGATGTTTATTTATTAAACAAAAGGTTTCTTTGCTTGGGATCTGCCGCTGTTGAACTTTACTGCCTTACTATCGTATCGATACGCCACTCTACCCCCCTAAAAGTAAGGATACAAATATCCATAGTTTTTACAAGCAAAGATTAAATATGCTTTTGTTTCTTACTATGGTTATTGACTATGCTACCAACTTTTGGTGATTGAGAACAGCAATGCTATATAAAATGATTCTAGATGCCTACCTCTATTAATCATGTTCAGATAGAGAAGATGAAACAACAAGAATAAGGAAAGTTGCCTAGAATATGTAAGAATTATTTATCGAATAAATAAGTAGGATTAGTATTATCAACTTATTATAAGATCCTAATCAAAACGTACCCCTATATGCATTTAATAAGATAGGTATCAGTTTGTTACTTCCAGTATCTAAATCGGTACATTATACACCTATTCTGTATTCCACTTTGGATGTCTATATAAGCCTGGCAAATTCTCGATATATATGATGCGTCTAAACCTCTTGAATTGACCTGTAACGCAAGTATTGTTTCATCATTTTGACTTATTCCAAATCGAACACGATGAAGATCGCGATTCCTCTGAGTTTCCTAACCTCTCTCCTTGTCAATGGCGCCCTTGGCCATTGTACGTACGAAATGATTCCCGTTAATAGTTTCAAAACTGATTCTATTCCAGACGCATTTTCTAAACTTCGAGTCAATGGGACCGTGAGTGAACATTGGCAATATTCGGTAATATCATCTCCAAGTAATCATGTTTTCACACATTGACTTACTTTGAAGTAACCTCACAACGGGTTATGAGTATTATCCAGAGGGCTATCACTCTCAGTGGGCACCATACTACGATGTCTACGACGAGAACATCAGGTGCGGACGCGGAGCGGCTATATCAGGCCCTGGAATACAAACAGCCACAGTGATTGCTGGTGAGAACGTATCATTCGTCGTCGGCCTTGCCGGCATTGATGGTGATAATTTGTACATTTACCACGAAGGAGTAGGACAGGCGTATCTAAGTTATGTCGAAGATGGTCAAAGCTTGGAGGACTATCGTGGGGATGGGGACTGGTTTAAGATCGGAAGCATTGAACCACTAAATAAGACGCGCTGGGATCTGATATTATCTCCGGAGGTATGTTTCTCTGATCCATGAGAGAATGCCACGAGTTGGTGTTTTGGGTAGCCACCGCACCTATTGGAGAAGCAACCCGCTAATGTGAGTCGGATAGATGACATTCACCATCCCGAAAACTACGCCGCCGGGAAAGTATCTTATGCGTGCTGAGCACGTATTTCCGTTTTCAAGCGCTTGGAATGTAACGCAGTTCTATATCAGCTGCGCCCATATCAATGTTATTGGGTCAGGTGGGGGTATGTATTTACCCCTATTTCATTACAGAACAGGAAGCTCATTGCAAGTAGGTAACCCTGGTCCAATGGTCAAGTTTCCGGGTGCATACGACCTCTTTGACCCTAGTAAGTCTGGTTCAAGTTATGAATTTGAATATAGTATGCGTACTTATCTATAATAGGCATTTGGGTTCCCTTTGTAGTTGGGTCATTTCCCGCAACGGACCTGTCCGGCTATGTCGGACCCGGGCCGTGTCTGGACGGGATGAGATGAAGTGGGAGCGGGTTATGCTTGATTCCTTCCCTCATAAGAGGTAACTCCGCAGAGCGTAGGATATATAGCCTTAAGTCGTACAGGTCTTGACGTTACAATGCATACATGGTGTATATTGGTTAAGTTCTGGAACTCGATGGATTTAACAACATATAGCTGTGTACTAGTAGCATATGCTACGTCAGGTAGTTTAAAGTATAGATAGTTTCTATATAAGCTCACTCGGCTATTTATGTTAAGGTACCTTATATTCCACTCTCACTTATATTCTCCTTGATCCCTTCCTAAGCATACGGGGTAGAGATACATGTAAAACTATACTTATATCTCTCTACACTAACATGTTGCGCTTTGCTACATTCGCTTTTATCTTGTCTGGGGCCTTTGCAGCTCCCGAAGCTCCCACTTCTATTGAAATAACTCAAACCCGTCTACTCCAATGTCCATTCAAAGATCACCACAGATATTTCACTTGAATCTCTGGACATCACATACGATACTCACGCCCCAACATCGACCTCCTCTGTAGAAAATGAACATATTTGCAGCGTGCAGTTAGAATTGGACTACCAACCGGGGAAAAATTCCATTCAAGTCACGGATATTGATTATGATGGAGATGCAGAAGCAGAAATTGGGACCATGGTTGCTTGGTCAGAGACCTATGGCCCGGTAAGTGATATTGAGTATACTTTTAAAATAGAACACTTCTGATGAATTCCAGGTCCGTTTTACTACCGCCAATCTTCTCGTTGCGGAAACCGGACCTCAACGTGTTACTAATACTACACCTCCCATGTCTTCGGCTTGCAACGAGCATACGATTAAGCCAACTGTAGCCATACAAACGAGGATCTTGGGGAAACTCGGAGGTCAGATAAAGCAGAGCTTGAAGTTCAAATGGAGAGGGAACTGTGATGCCATTCCTTGCCAAGAGCTATGGGATATTACAGGAAAGCCGTCTCCGTATTGCAAACCGCAGTAAAATTGATTAAAGCTGTACTTACTAGGTAGATGTTAACATGAGCTTTAAAGATAAACCTTATTCCGCGTGTAAACAATCATAGTTTAATATCTAGGGATCTTACAACGCACGAGAACCATTTCATCAGCGGCACAGTTATCTGAGTACTAGTTACACGCTACAACGTATCTGCGCCTACGCTAAACTCACGGTATATGGTATTTGTTCATTCCATTCTATCCATTTCGTAAATTTGTGGGGGTGTAAAATAGGAGAGTAACACTAAGTATCTGCAATCCTAACTTTCGAAGGTAAGGTTACTGAATTTAAATATATTTGTATACATTTGTGTAGTTCCTAAGCTCGTATACATATCTCAGATTATCGAGTGTTTGTGATGCCAAAATCTTGTAGCCACCTAATCACCATAGTTAAATGAAACTTGATGACTATCCCTGTGTAGAGGTGTTACTGCTAATAGCTTTGTTCTGTATCTTGAGGGTGGCGTGGTAGTCTCCCTCGGAAGCATCTCCTACCGAATCTAGGGTAACAAGCGTAGCGGTGCTCGCATCAATACGGCTAGCCCGAATAAAATTCGCAGGCCAGTGAAAACGGGGGATGGCATTTTGGGGAGCTTAATAATAGACGTATTTGGGCTTGAAGCAGGCTTCTCATCGGGCTGTTCTCGAGCTAGTGATCGAAGATGCCGCCAAAGTTTAAGGAAAGGAGTCTCTAACGGACTGCGATACGATGTATCATCTATTTTACTTGCCTGCCTAATAAGTAGCGTGCGAAACGCAATGATTGATGCCATCATGACCGCGACAGCGCCTTCAGCGTGTTTCCAAAAAAACTCCCAAGTGCCATCCTGAATCCACTTATAATGGAAGCCGGCAATCTTAATGGTGGCGCAAATTGCCATGAAAACAGAGGGACATAGGGGTATTGCTAAATAAAACTTGGTAGATCGGCTAAGGAACAAACTTCTGAGTATGATAATGGGTAGGCTGACGACTAATATATTTTTAAGAATAATCAGCTAACCTAGCCATGGCGTAAGGATGAAAGGAACGCACTCATTATATCAGAAAGCACATCTAGGACCGTGACGAGTCCAGTGAGTCCAAGTGTCTTCTCATCTATAATTGAAGTAAAGCATTTCGCTATGTGAAAGTTAGACTGGGCCCGGGGGTGGTTGAAAACTACACTAACCTCCTTCTGGCCCAAAATAGGGGCATATGATAAATGGTTCCGTCACAATGAATACCCAGGATAGTACGCAGAGGGCCACTATGAACCAATAATACCAATTTACTGCTCGTGAGATAGGCCAGACAAGAGGACGCATGAATGCTAGGAAGCACCCTTTGACAGCGAATGTTGTTGTCCATATCAAAACTAGATATGAGCATGCCTTCTTCTGAAAGCTGAGAAGTTCATCGTGACGGGTAAGAAGGTAAGGTAGGGCTTGAGGAACAAGTAAAGCAGCCGAATGTAGATACATGGAATAGCAGATATGGTATATAATTCCGGTGGCGGCGCATAGAGAGGCGGCAGCAATGATCAGAAATGCGTCGTCTAGGCGTAGGCTTTGGTATTTGAGTCGTATAACCACTCGCGTGATGAAGGAGCAAAGTGCTAAGCCGGTCAAAACCCCGATAGCTATCTTGAAGGCATGCATATGAATCTTGCCCGATGACTCAACGAACTCTACAGAATTCAGGAGGTGTAGGGAAATATCCAAAGAAATATCCATATTTCATATGAACTTGAATGGGCGTGTCGACTGGTGGTGGCCTTTGATGAAGAAGGATAAGCCTGGGATGACAGGTTTCAGAGCCTGGCAAAGACTAAATAGTCATTTTGTGTGTGTGTGTGTGTGCTGTAAGTAATCGGACCTGTATTCGGGAGATTCGTCTCTATTGGGCCGCTTCAAGTTTCTATTTGCATCGAGGTGTTGGTGTTTGTATCCCGTTCATTACTACTACTTTGATTCTTAGACCATTGGGGGCTGGTATAAAATATCGGGTTTTGCCCATTCCGGCTTATGGCCCCTGATATTATGCTACCCTGGGTCTGAGGTGAGAATGCATCTTTCCTGTTGCAAATACCCACTAACCTTAGGTAATCAATCTTTGAATCATGATGTTGATTTGTTGTGGTACCTAGGCACTATTTCTACTTCAACAAAGACCAATGGGACAGACGCGAGTTTAACCTGTTCTTCAGAATATTTTATGCAGATATATCGATTGCGGAGATGCTCTTCAACCTTCCACTAGGTGGAACTAGCCTGTTGGCCCTTTGTCTGTTGGTAGTCATTGTTCTCTGGCGTCGATATACAGCTCGATGTGATGATTTTACGGGGTACAGGAAGCGCGATGATGCAAAAAGCGCCCCTTCAACTTTCCCCTATGTCTTCCCACTTACAGGGAATCTACCAATTATGTACTTATGGAGTCCGAAAGACTTCGTTTTGAACCCAAAGTAAGTACTTCTTAACTATGCCATTATCTATTGTAGTAACCAACCCATTATAGGAATTTCTTCCAGAGCGCGCATCCGGTTCTGGTCAAAATTCTTACCTAACTCAAGAGTTCTACGTGATCCAGGGTCCAGAGAATGTCAAAGCCCTCTTTAAGAGCTCATCAGTGTGTACATCAATTCCCTTCGTCAAGTTCGCTCTTGGGTATGCTTTTGGCATGCCAGCTAAGGCCCTGAATTTATACGACAAGGACAACTCCGGCGGTGGCCATGTACCTCATCCAGGCAGTAAGGTGGAGGCTCGCAACCGTATTGACTACTCGCGGCATCAGTCTATAATTCAATTCCTTGAAGGTAAAAAACTTCTGCCTTTCTGGAACAGGTTTGCAGACGACATCACACATCAGTTGTATAGTTTTCATGACCGCATAGGGTCTGACTGGAAATATAGCGCTGATCTGATGAAGACCATTGGAGATGAAGTAACAGCTTCAACTATTAATGCTCTTTGCGGCCCATATCTCCTGAGGCTGAATCCAAATTTCCTGCAGGACTTCTGGGACTTCGACCGCAACTTACAGACTTATCTCCAAGGTAGATTACTAGGAAGCATACAGTAGCGCACTTAGCTAACCCTGTTTACAGGGATACCTTGGTTTCTTGCGCCAAAGGCTCACACGGCTCGAAAGAGGGTTCTGAACGCTGTTAAAATTTGGGAGCAGCACGCAAGGGATCACTACGACGACTCCACTATGGGTACTGACGGTGACGATCCATTCTGGGGGAGCAGCTTCTTCCGAGAGCGACACGAAATGTTTCTTGAAATGGATGGTTTCGATCACGCTGCCATCGCATCCCAAGATTTCGGAGCAATATGGGCGTAAGCTACAGTTTCGGCCCCTTAATGTCAATATTGACACACGCTAACTTGTCGAATAGAGTAAGAAATTCTATCGCTACTGTATCATGGGCTATCTTCGAAATATATCGGGATCCTGAGCTGCTTGCTAGTGTAAGGGCTGAGGTTGATACCTGTGCGACCAGAAGTGCGGATGGCCGCATCCAGTTTAATATAGACCAATTGCTTCGTTTGCCAGTCCTCCAAGCTGTATATGCCGAGACATTGAGACTTAGGATGCACTTCTACATCATTAAGATGCCTGATAGGGTTGATATGAACATCCGAGACTGGATTATACCGAGGCGAAAGGTAATTGTAACGTCGACGACAGTTGCGCATATGGATTCCAAAGCGTGGAACACTGGCTTTAATAACGAGCACCCCGTCAACGAGTTCTGGGCTGGACGATTCCTCAAGTATCCATCTGGAAATAATCCCTGCAACGCTCAGGCGCACGGTTCCACCCATGGATTCCCTACGGAGGCGGACCAGGACAGTGTCCTGGACGACATTTTGCGAAACGTCAGATATTACTGACTACTGCCTTGATAATTAGCTTGTTTGACTGCGAAATATTGGAGGAGGGAAAAACCGTGCAGGAAGATTTGACCTTGAAAGGATTCGGCGGTGGAATATCGCATCCCATTAACCTAGTGCCAATATATATAAACAAAAGAGATATGTAATACCTAATGCCAAAGGGAGACTGGTCTTCTAGCCTCCTAAATAAAATAACTACAATTTACCGTGATCTAATTAATTCATTGGATTAAAATTAAAGTCAAAAGAACGCCCCCTTTTAATTCACAAATTTTCTTACACATTATGGCATTATCAGGTTTCCTTTATTCCCTTACCCTTTACATCCATATCCTCGTAACCCCGTCCCCTTACTCCATTATGCCAATTACCCATTCATGATGGCTTGTAGTACAGTGGCTCGTTGAAAACGTGATACCGGTGTCCTCTAACACCTTGTCCTCTGAATAGAGCTGGGAACCTCCATCCCTCAGGAACATCGTGCTCCTTAACCCTGCGATTTCTTTTTTCCGAATTGGTTTCTAAAGCCGCGACTTGCGCTTTTTCGGCCTCGCTTTTGGGAACTACGAATTTTGCAACTTGTAGCTCGGTATCGGTGATAGTACTTCGAGATACCCTCGCATATCCTACTCTCTGTAGGCGTTTATACAAGATATATTCGCACCAACGATCCCAATCACGGGGATCCACGTCATGCATCCCTGAAATATCGGAGACGTACGTGTTATAGTTGCCTTGAAGAGGCCTCGTCACTAGATAGGAGAGTAAGATCGATGGCCTCGGGGATGAACCCATCAGTTTGGACATATACTCAGTTTGCAGACGACGGTCTTCTGGATCCTCCTCCTGACCAGAATGGAAAACAAAGACGTCTACTAATTCACCGTAGACATCAAGGGTCGCATGGATAGCAGGAGCTAATTCACCTACGGGCGACGGAAGTAGGTGATGTGTCGAATTCATAATAGGGAATTTTGACAAGAGCGCGGCACCCCAAGTATGCTTGTTCGGCCCAGGACCATAATCGACATACATACCTAGATCCTCGGCCAGGAATTGGGTCGTGTCCCTATTACCCATTATAATATTTGTAAGTCGGACTCTAGCAGACCGATAACGTCGATTTCAAGTTCTTTTACTAAATCACGTATGCGGTACTCAGAAGACCACATATCGTTGTCAAGAGAGAAGTGGATGGTCCAAATTCCAGCGGTGATAAGTCTCGAGTCATTGTGGTGAGGCTTATAATCATTAGTTGGAAAACGTCGGAACGCAGTAGCAACGAAAAAAAAGTGTATGGTGCCTAGTACTAGAGTGTGATACTTGCGATGTCGCGATCGGGCTGGAGTTTCACATGTTTCGTGCTGGTGCGAGTGTATCGACGTGATGTTGAATATGCCAACGCCGATGAGTAACATCATTGTCGTCATAATCCAATCTGTGTGTTCGCGAACAAGGGGTCCTCCAGGGACGAAAGCGTAGGCAACCACCCAGACGTGGAATAGAACCATCAAGTTGTATAGGAAAAATCCAAGACCAAAAGTGGTGGCGGGGTTCTTCTTAGAGGCCACGGTAACGAAAGGGGTGGCGATAGCTGTTAAGTAAAAGGCAGTAGTAAGACCGCCGAAGTACCCAAACCAACCGGGATAGTGAGTGAGGATGGCCGCTCCGACGCACCCGATGCCATAAACAGACCAACTGCTGACTAATTTCGGTAGGCGAATTCCAGTCAACAATCCAGCTGTCATTGCTACTATTGTGAACCAACCATGGGGGCCAGAGAGGGGGCCGCGGACTGGATAACCATCCCAGACCCATAGAATCATAGTACTAGTGTCAGAAAGTAGTGAATGTAAACCAAAGAAGAGGCCACTAATACCCAGGGCAGCTAAGAGTGCCGAACCGTTTTGTTTATCATCTTCGGCGACGCCAGTATTAAGAGGCGCCCTACGGGTGAATCTAAGCGTAGCAAATACTGCTAATGCCAATCCAGTTCCATTATAGCCACCGTTGGCGGCGTGCATGATCGGCCATATTGGGTTGTTAGTTTGCCACGCATATTTGACAGCGGAGGACATTACTAGACCAACAGTCCAGGATAATATTTTCGATTCGAGACGGACTGGGTGAACCGATTCAGAGAACAAAGTGGCGGCCCATGCCAGACAGGACATTGCAACGCCAAAACCAACAGTGAAGAGTCTGTAGGCTGGATCTTTGACCGGCCATGCGAGAAGTCCGGCGAGAGATAAGAGATGACAGGCGCGTAGATTTTGAGTAATGAGCGAGCGAAATGGTTTAATGCTAAGAATTAAGGGCGAGATCGTAGACATTACGAGCGCTTCGTAGCCGGAGATACCCATGTGCCAAAGTGGGAAGTACCAAATAACTACACCCAGACTTGTGAGCATAGACCAAAAGACGAAGCCATGGTAGACCTCGGCAGCAGTGTCGAATACTTTGGGCCAAGAAAATTCAGCATCGAAGATACCGGCAGTAATCTTTCTCTTTTCCTCTTCGAGAACGGGGTCGCTTGAGGCGATACGTTGACCCTGCGAAACCGATCAGAAAAAAGTGACATGGTAATGCCGAGTCAACCGCATGATCGCATCAAAACTCGCCCGAACAGATGCCGCTGTCGCCCCTAAGTAGCTATGACATATCTGAATTAGAAAGACAAACTATTTTCAAATATAGGAGCCTATTACATAACGTTTACTCCAGAAAGCCAGTTGATTATCGAGCTCATGACAGATTCCGTAAGGGGATAATGCTCGTGATAAAGTCCCACAAACTAATCTGGCCAATGGTAATCTCAGTGAAATAACGATGTCCGTTAGACGAGTAGAAAAGATCTACCTTATCTTGGCTGGTTTGTAATACTTATCGACCTCGATTGCTCCAAATATGCGGCTTCGCGTAGAAAACAAAATAGGGGCGCAGCATCTAGTCCCAAGCGAGTATGCACGTCATATTAAGTCTACCTGGGAAGCCGTTGTACGTACCCCGTACTCAAACCTTTCACGTCCCTAACTACAATCTCAAAAGTATCGAAGTCGAGAGCAGTAACCGCGTCAAAGGCGACGTCAAATAGGATAAGAGACCACTCGAGGAGCGAATAAATAGTGTAAGCTGCAAGTAATGAGCAATGTCTCCACTCGAAGCTTTGAACTAACGCGTACTAACCTCCTGCAACCCGGCGGATCTTGTGCTGAATGAAGAAGTATACCATCGGAGGTATCATGCCGAAGAAAGCTGTTGCGAGATACTTTCGATACTTGATAGCTTTCCGGTTCGGTGGACTCAAGGCAATACAGCCAAAGGTCCACGGAATAGTAGCTATAAGGTAGGAAATCATAAAGATATCATGCCAATCATGATCGTCGGTCGAGGTCACGTAGGTCCACCCCCCACACGTAAGAGTCCTAAAAATACCCACGCCAGCGATGAACTTGGGGAGGGCCTTTCCGGGCTTCGTGGTAAGGAGATACCAAAGAGTAACGAGTGCAAATCTAGGTCCGGAAGTCAAAGCTATGAAAAGCATAAAGAAAGATCGCTCGGGGTATCGATCGCCTATAGTAGCAGAAACAGAGGGGAACCATTCGTCGGGATAGCCATAGAATTCATTCTTGACTATCTTATGGTAATGAAGGTACATGCCCACGGACAGAGCACTCAAGAAAGCGGCTGTTTAATCGCATTGATCAGCTAAGAAATGGTATCTAGGGGCACATATTTCACCAACCGTATGCGATAACGGTATGAACCCATGATACCCATTTCGCGTTCAAAGTGGCTACTGTCGTCCCGGTGTCTTTATCTTTGTACTTAGATGACATATTCGCATTCCCAAGTTGTGAGCCGAACGAGCCTTGCGTGGATGTTAAAGTTGAGTTATAAGAGTTATAAGAACCAAACCAAAAGGTGAAATAAAATCAACAGGAACAGTCGCAACAAACGTCGGTGGGAAAGAAGCGTTTGAAAAAACAAAAACTTGGATGTTGCGTCAATGTTCCAACGTTCCAACGCATGTGGTTAGGTACCTTCCCATTTGCTTCTCCGGATTCCTCGGTGGCCGCAATGCTAAACTTTAGGTACCTTTCGTGTGGGTCGATGAGCCAAGAAGGTTCAATCCATGTTTGTCGCGTGTGTCGTGCGCAGGAGTGATAGATCTCCGCCGCTAACTGGTCTAAACTTATAAAGAGTCAAGGGTTTTATCGCATATCAGCGGATCGAATATTAAAATTTAAGTCTAGGACGGGGTACCTATCTTATCTTTAAGATCCACTATAATTTTATTTAGTCTTCTGAAACTTTTCTGAACTGCTGGATTCTACATAACTAGACCCTACTTACTTCAAAGTCTTGGGATTATACAAATTAAGCTTCTTCCAGCCTAGTTGACCCGGACAGTTTAATCTGGTGAATAGATAGTCACTATGGCAGGCGTCCCCGAGAAAGCTCGATTCTTTCTCGAGCAAGCCGTTCCCCAGCTACGCGAATTTGAGGCCAAGGGCATATTCACCACCGACGAAATCCGTTCGCTAGTACGAAAGCGTACCGACTATGAGCACCTTGTATTGTCGCCTGGGAACAAACCAACTGACTGGTTGAACTATGCCGCTTGGGAGAAATCTCTCGAAACTCTACGCGCGAAGCGATGTCGTAGATTACAGGTTCGCACTTCATCCAAACACACGGGACAAGGACGGGTTTTCGGGATCTTGGAGCGGGCAGTGAACAGGCACCCAGGGAATATTGAACTCTGGAGGGAATACCTGAATTATGCAAGAGATATGAAGGCGACCAAACGTTACCGAAAGATCATAAGCAGGGCATTAAGAATGCACCCGGCGAAACCAGAGCTCTGGGTACTGGCGGGTAGGAGATCAGCAAATAATGGGGACATGCAGGGGGCAAGGGACTTTTTCATGCGCGGCACTAGGTTTTGCACGAAAGATGCGATAATCTGGCTTGAATACACTAAGTGCGAAATGCAGTGGTTAGAACGAAGGAATGGAGAAGAGAGAGAAGAAAGGCGGCACCAAAAAGGCGATCCAAGAACAGGCCGAACAGAGTGATGATGAAATAAAATTCGCCGAGAGGAGCGATGACGAGGACGAGGACGATAATGTTGATGAGAATGGCCAGCTCATTCTCCCAGACCCAGGAAACTTCGCTGGGAAAATGGTTATTGATGAAGACATTACGAAGAGTTTAGAAGGCACCTCGGAGGGCAACCCTGCGCTAGATGGAGTATCCCCCTTGGCTATCTTTGACATCTCAAAGAAGCATCGTTCTTCAACTCCGCGGTAGCGGAACAATTTTTCGACCTTTTTATTATTTTCAATACCGTTTCAGCTCAAGCTCGACTCGTCCAACATGTACTGGACAGTATGACAGAGCTTTATCCTAACGATCCTGCAACATGCTTCCTGCCATATCCGACAGCCATTAGTTAACGTCGGCATAAATACTCCTTCGTATCCTAAAGCTCTACGGGAAGCGCTAGCCTATCTCAAATCATCTCTTTCCACCACCACTGACAAAACTAAACTGGCCGAGAAGATAGAATTGTGGATAGGGCCTATCCTAGATTCTGAAGATCTCGATACGAGTATTCGTACAGTGCTGGAGCATACCCTTCGAACATTACCTAAGCCTTAATAAGAACAAATTACCCCCAAGACTCTATTTCAAATCTTTTGGGACCTTATTAAATTTCGCCGCCTCGCTGCTTCACTACATCTATTAAATACTCGAATTCAGAAGCGCTCACACGGCTCACGCTTAGCCGGCTCTGTTTCAGCATCTGCATATTCTCAAGCGGTTGACCTGACTGGCCCATCTCACGAAGTTCCTTCAGTCCAATCTGCTTGTTGAACTTACTGCGAAACTTGACATGTACGACGCTCCATTTCGGGTTATCGAGTTTGGAAGAAGCGTCGTAGTATGGTGCCTTAGGGTCATGTGCCGATACTAGCATACAGTAAGAAGCAAATCCGTACAATTAGGGTGGAATATGCTCACAGTCTGGAGAATGTTCTTGCACGATCTCCATAGTACCCACGATGCCCGGCTCCTTACAATTAGAGTGGTAGAAGAAAGCTACGTCGCCTTTCTTCATAGCCCGGAGGTTATTCCGGGCGGCATAATTACGAATCCCTAATAAACTTGTAAGCATCTGGATGTCATGTACAAAGCAGATATAGCTGGCTACTAGCTGGAAAACTGGCTTATTATAAATCTGAAATCTTACCATCCCAGGGTTCAGGTTCTGTTCGCGACGCCAAATCATCAATGGAGAATTTGACGTCAACACCATTTTCAAATCGTGACTCGGGCTCAGCTTTTAAGAGCCAATACGACCTTTCCGAAGAGTCGAGCTTCTCATCTGCCTCGGACTTTGTGGCTGTACTTGGCTGCGTGGCACTCTTCGCCTTCTTTGATTTTGGATTTTCCTACAATGGCATTCTTAGATTCATTTAACTGCTTAAAGTGCAACGGTGATCTAATACTACTAAAAAAAAATATTTCTCGAATTCTTACTGGAGATGTCTTTATTTTAGGTAACTTCTTAGAAACCTTCTTCTGGTCTATTTTGGGGCGTTGAGTCGTGCTCTCTTCTGTCAACTTGTTCTCAGAAGCTTCGGTCGCCAGATCTGGAGCTGCTGGTTTGCGACGCGTCGATCTTCTTAGACTAGTAGAGTCCGGCGCGGTCTCGAGCTGGCTTGCTTTTCGCTTTACCATGTTAAACAATTTAATTTCCCTATACAAAATAATTTCCGAATCAATGAATAAAAATAAGTTTCCGGGTATATTATTAAACAATTAACAAAGGATATGAAGTTTGATGTTGTTCTATTTAGAATCCATACGAACTAACGGTTAGATGCTTAAATGAGAGAGGTGCGCACGGTCCATATGCACATGGGTATGTATGTCCTTTTTTACGAGAAGTCGGACAGTCAAATATATTGCTCTTGACCCCAAGTAAAGAAAGGCATTATCTACCTACCTAGGTAGGTATCCAAGGTAGGTACCTGAATGTATCTAGTATAAGGTACATTCTTAGCGTTATATTTACATATGAGTCCTATTAATGTCGTTCATCTAGTTCCGATTCGGTGACCCTTAATAGTCGCCAATATTGTCCCGCCAGTCCCAGTAAAGGCTGATACCAGGTGTGTCCGATGACCACCAAGGGGACAATTTCGGATATGTCATGTTCTCCCAATGTTCGATGGAGCAGTATATTTCGATACTCTCCATCCCCTTGTTCGTACAGGCATGGATCCATGAGCCACATACCCCCATGAACAACATCCTTAACGCGGAAGCTCTTCGACCGCTCTATTTCGTCCTTCATCGCCTTCACCAGCATGGGTATTGAGATGGACTTCTTCAACCCGAGCCCCGGCCTTACGGAATCGAGTACGTTCTTCAACAAAGTCCCGAACGACATCTGCTCATGCATGCATACAGTCTCATTTTCACTGGTAGCAGCAATGATACACTGGTAATGTAATGTTAACTATTAATTTCCTCATAGTAAAGTCATATGCGGTCAGACATACCATAACCTTGTTAGGTGGTCCTTTGAATCCATCTTCTTCGAGGTTGCGTGAGACCCAGGCGTCAGCGCCGTGGCAGCAGTTGAGAAACATGACGATGTCGCACTGGGCCGCTTCAAGAACAGAATGAATGACGGGCCAGTCAATACTAGCATCGAAATTACCTGAGCTGTCCCGTCGGGCTACCCTAAAGGGCTGGGGCACTGGTCCTCTGGAGCTCCTACTTCCGTCACCGACGTAGTAGACCACTAAAAGTTCGTCAAAATTCGATTCTCGAGTCCAGCCCCTTAAGATATTGGCAGTTTTCTCAGCAGGGTCATCGGGCATGATGGAGTGGTCTTCAGTTTGCCATCCCCACTCGGCCAACGTCTTCACTAGTTTAGCAGCTTCGTGCGCAGGTCCATAATAGCCATTGTCGAAGATTTCGCCATGCCAATGGAGAACTATGGCCTTTATAAGGTGATACCTCCTTTCTGATTTGTTAATGTCTGGTCGTAGCATCGATGCCTCCATTTGTTTTTCAGATAGTTCAGCCGACAGTGCAAGTGAATTTGCCTCCGAGCTATCAATAATGGTGGGCTGTTTAGGAAATGGGAATGATGGTATAATTGGGGAGTCCATAACCTACGGTAGAACGCCTAGCTTTGTTCTATTAAAGAAATATTTAGGGAATTAGGAATTCCAGAGTAAGTTGATCGGTTTTAGGGGTTGTGATATAGTAAATCGGGATGAAAGTCTAGAATTTCATCTTACTCAAGGTAGTTCTGACCTTCCTCGTCATAATAAAGTAAGCAGTACAAGATCACACGGTCTTTTCTTTACATACTCGATATTTAAGAGTATATCAACCGCATATAGTTATCATGGCGTCCAATAAATGTCCCCAAAGTTCCGAAACACACACGTATACTCCACACACACATATGCGCAGTATTGGCACTTTGGGAACTTTGAGAGCTTAACCAATCATAAACCCATAAAGTTCCGGATTGCACATCCGTGCATTAAATTGTTGGAGACCTTTCGGAACTTTGGATGAATTATCAATTACCTATAACCCCTCCATTATGTAGCATTCAACACTTCGATTGGCTACACCCAGGCGTAAGCCGGGAACTTTAGGAACTTTAAGAACTTTAGTGCTACCATCCCATTATTATAACAAATCATAATTAATTTGTAGTTGTCTTAGTCAGTCTTCTGTTGAAAGGAATATTCCGAAATTCTCGCTTTACCTTCCATTCCATCAACAACATGGCGTTGCCAGATAGGCATGGACTACTACACGAGGTCCTATCCCAAGAGGAGTCACGAGCTTCTCGCTCCCAAGCATGGAATCAAGCTACCACTGAACATTCGAGTACCAATTCACATATAAAGCGGAATGGGGAGTCAAATGATAAAGACCAAGATTCTGATGAAGGAAGCCTTCCTGCGCTTAAAAAAGTCCGGCATTCAAGAACTTTTGCCTGTCCATTCTATAGGTACGATTCAAACCGCTATTATCGTTGTTTGAATTATACACTTCATAGGATAGGCGATGTAAGGCAACACATGCTCAGGTGCCATATTCGCAAAATACATTGCCCTCGATGTGGTATGGTATTTAACACAGAATCGGAATTGAATATGCATTTAACGCATAATAATATTTGCGAAGTAAGGCCTTGCCTTGTCTTCGAAGGCTTAACGAGCGAGCAAATATTGCAAATAAGGCAGGCTGCAGTGTGTTCAAGATCGACTGATGCTGCTGACAAATGGTATTGCATGTGGGATATTATATTCCCTCATCATACACGTCCCGACACACCTTATATTGAACCTGGAATGTCTGTACCTTTATTCGCTCTAAGAAAGTACATGAAGACTCAATTCACTGCGATTGTTAGGCGAGACCTAACTTCTAGGATGAATATTCCGCAAAGTACCCTAAACACCATCATGACTGTTTTACATGGGTCGGTTGAAGAATGTCTTGGTCAACTTAGTGATGTGTTTCAACTATCCCTAACCTCCCCTCTAACGGGAGAGATTAGTCTGACCGACATAATCGCCGACTTACAAGAGCCCAACCCCCTTTACAACGCGCTCATTGAAAGGTCCCTAAATAATGAAGAAGAGAAAGTGAGCACCTTGCCTCAGACGACCTCCAACAATGACTCTGATTCTATTAGAGGGTCCCATGGTCTTATACCTAATACCATACAGCCAACGCCAATTGAGTTACCAAATCACGGACGTCAACACTACGATACTCAATCAAAAGTCGCCACGCCAGCACAACCTACAGCAGAACCTGCAGCAGATGGCCGAAGACCTCCCTCTAACAAGACGTGGGAAAGATACAAAGACATAATTCACCAACTATATATGAGTGAAAATAAAACCCTCCCGGAGCTTATAGTGGCCATGAAGGAGCTCCATAGCTTTAATGCTTCGTAAGAATTCAAGCTGGAAACTTTCAAGATTTCATACTAACATACCAAGATAGTCCTAAGATGTACAAGACACAATTTAAAAGGTGGAATTTTACCAAATATAACAAATCCTTTCCGCACGAAAGCCCCCAGCTAGTGAATGAATCACAGGCAGAAAGTCAGCTGCAGGGGCCCAAATCATGCTCTTCAATACAAGCTCCTACCGCCAATAGTAGCTCTCAGGGTGTCTACACGGGACAAGATGATCAGCAACAAGTCCTTTGAGCGTTCTTAACATTGCCCCCTCGATGTTATTGGCGATAGTGGCTGTGTCTTATTATGGGAGACGAGTATCAAGCCAAATATGTTTGACGAGCTCGAGGTATTTCTTGAGATGCCATAAACTAGCTTCGTAAAGTTGATGATTCAACTAGCATAATATACATAAGCAGGCAGTCTTGAATTATAAATGGAATTTGTTTTTATGCTCATATTCTACAATCTCAAGTGCACATTTGTACTCAAACTGAATTGTGTGTTCTCATAATTGAGTATCCATTATCGGTCATCACGGGTGGTTATGTGATAACGATTTATATTAAATGAGAAAAAAACATGGCAGCGTACCTAAACTAGCCTCGCAGTTATCTTTAACACTACTTCATTATTATACGATGAACCATGGTGGGTAAATATAGCCAAATTGATTATTGTCTTATCTTAATGTTCATTATACAATTGCTTTTTTTTCCCGAAACAAGAAAAAGAAATGAATGCGGAAATCCAACCAAAGAAAGACTTTAAGCACACGCTTATACCTCAACTAAGTAGTTTTAAAGAGTAGAAAATAACTACCTTCTTATAGGTGTCTATACTTTAAATATTATGAAGAAATAAAGGATCGCGGTATGACTAGGAAAATATTACGGCTGACGAAGAAGGAATATACGCGCCCCCAAATTTAGCATTAATAAGAGGAAAATTGTTTATTGGTGAACTCTTGGAGGCTATCCAGCTGGCTGGGCCATCATCAGCCTTGTTGATCCTTAGCGCTTACAGAGATTCCTAGTATCTCCATAATATAAGGCTAAGCTACCCTATCATGTCTATTTAAAAACGCATTTTGAAATTGGTTATGGTACCAACACAGACCAAGGGTTTGCCTTATTGGTTTAGTTTTAATCCGATATGCAAGCTAAGCGAGCCAAGCAATATAGTATCTCATCCCGTGCAGCTCCAACGACGCATTGTCCGTTAGGTGACCATTCAGCTGTTTGCGTTCGAACTCGATATCGTTACCTAAGGGAGAACACGACAGAGAACAAGGAGGCTTGCAGCTCTCCACATGGAACGTACGTACCAATTCAACAAGCTGCCACCCATGTGTGGTAGCAACTGGCACTTACCCACCCCGGGTCTCTCCAATTTTGTTTCCTTTTTCTACCTTCACATTCCGGGACTCTGACCTGCTTTCCCTCTTGCAAAAGTTCCGGCTTCGTGAAAAGCTAGGAATAAAGTCGCGATGAAGTCACTATTCCTATTGTTAGCCGTGGTGATTAGGTTCTCGCCCATCTACGCTCAGACGGAAACTATAGGAGGGGACGAACCCACGACTACCGAGTCAAATGAGGCGGTCACGCATACTGTTCGGGTCGGATTACAACATGACTTTCAGCCTGATACGATAAATGCGAATCCTGGCGATACAATACGTAAGTTAAACTAATACTTCCACTGAAGTAATACTTTTAACAAATTCCTCTTAGGGTTCAACTTCTACCCAAAGAACCACTCCGTCGTTCGAGCAGACTTCAAGAAGCCCTGCATACCGTGGGAGTTAACCAATGACCCTGCTGAGACCTTCTTCAGTGGTCCGGTAGAACAAGATACGCTGCAGACGCCAATTCCCACTTGGGATTTAAAAGTGAATAGTACAGACCCAGTCTTTTTCTATTGGTAAGTGTAACAGAGACCCTGAGATTCCGATTATAATGCTAATAAAATGATAGTTCCGCACCCGGTTCTTGTATCGATTGGAAGATGGTTGGCGTCATTAACCCGGTATGCGTCTAATACCAGGTACTCATGTTAATAATATGCGTTTCTAACCTCGATAAAGAATAAGACATTCACTTTGGATATCCAAAAAGAATTTGTCGCGAACTCGACGTTTCAGCTCAGTCCTGGTGAAGAATTCCCAGACGAATCATCGCCCTCCAGTACAGCGGGGTCAGGTAGTAATCCAACATCAACGCCCGAAGACTCATCCGGTGGATCTGGGAGAACATCACTCTCCGGCGGGGCTATCGCGGGGATTGCTATCGGAGGTGTTGCTGTCATTGCTGGCATTGTCGCCTTGGTCTATATCTGCGGTAGGAAAGGCGGGATCGAAAAGGGATACCGACGAAGCAAATTGATGAATACGGCGCCGCCGCAGATAGTCGAAGCGAACTACAACGACTATGGCGCCAAGAGTCCTCCCATGGGTTCGCCTTACGCCGTGTCGTACGTGGATCCGTACAGATCACCAAGTCCTGGAGCCATAAGCTCTCAAGTTGGAAGTCCACATAATTCGTACTTAGGGCATCCGAGCCCCGGGATTCCGCCATACGCTCCTGTCAGCCCTCCTTTTCCTGGACAGGAACAATACCCGTTGTTGTAAGGATATTCATATCATTGCCCTACAAGACTTTTAGATCTAACATCGAACAGTGAGGCACCTAATTCACAGAGAAACCCGCCAGCAGAACTACCAGGGAGCATGGATCACTCATATTTGCGTTAATAAATTATGTATACGATCTAAAGCATACCATCTATATAGATGGCTGCTTGAATATCTTCGGGTTATTCCGTATAAAGACTGTAATGGCGAAATAGAGGATTAGATATTGGATACCGATATTGCATTGGCATGGCGCTAGGAGTTTTATTAATTATTGCTGTTCCATGATACCTATATACATTGGTGCTATATTCACGACATAACAACTATTAGGTTGTCATGGCGGGGAAGGGAAATGGTCGGAATGTAAGCTTGTGGTTTGTATAGAAATGAAATTAAAACTGGCTTGCCTAATATGAAACGAACGATACACTGATGAAATGAGTTTCATAAACCGCTAAAGTGAGATGAGAAGCAATAAAGAGAACGCGTACTTTTCTTATATTTGTTCTCATCGAATTCATCTAAATAGATTGGGAAGTACCAAGAATTTATATTCCAAAATGATGGTTTAGTGGATTGTTATGGAGTCGCCTAGAGGATACCTCGTCTTCCTGATGTTTCGTTTACAAATCCACAATCGTGCATTTATGGCAGTGAACAAGGTAGTAGGCAAGTTGTAAGGGCATGAGTAAAAAGAAAAAAACAACTTACAACAGGGAGAGCTACGAATCTGGCTAAGATTAGACAGCTCATGTAGCTATGATATCAAATAGAACCGTTGATAATTGAATGGTGTCATATATAGAGTGAATGCCAGGACAGTTAAATCAAATTATTAATACTCCTCTTTCGAGGGCGCTATGCGCCTCTTCTATATCCAATTCTAATATATCTACCCCTGAATCTATTCCTAGCCCGCTTAACCCCTGACATATGGGCTCGTGGTTCTACGTGTCTCCACGGTTAAATATAAGTTACGGTGATGTTTAAGGTCAAGAGACATTACAAAAATAACATCAGGATATAAACTCTAGTCAAGTCGAATTTCCGTAATAGATGCAGGTGATGATCTTATTTATTAGATGAAGCTACCTTGAAGCGATATTAAACAGGGTGTTAGATAACAGAAAACGGAGGTGTATAAACAACGATATAGTCCGCCTAAAAAATGACTTCACCAAATTCCGTTTCCGCTTTTGGATAGAGTACGGGCAGATACTGAAGAAGTAGAGTATGGATCATGCCGACTCCTCATGCTTATCAGAGTGAACAGCCGCATCTTCGACTTTATTGCCTTTTGTTCTTAGATCATCCCAACCCATACCCCACAACACTATCATGCATGCAGCAGCTACTGCGGCAACGAAATAAAAAACTCGGTCGACACTGACAGCATAAGCAGCAAGAACCCCAGGAAGATCATCACGCTGCACAATGGCGCGAAAGCCTGTGGCCCCTGCCTGGATGACTGCTGCCGCATCGGTGTGCGGTGCCTTGTCTTGTAGCTGAGACTTCAAGCTAGAGTTGAAAATCACATTACACACAACCAAAACGATAGCTGGACCTAGTGATTGGGCGAAGATAACGAAGGCCATACCGGTGGCAAGTTGCTCTTCTCCAACAGCGGCTTGGATTGATATAATGGCCTTCGTGCCGTGACTATGGTTAGCTTCTTCGTGTGGTTCAAACGGTGTACTCATTGACGTACTAGTTGCATGCTAAGCCCTGACCCAATACCTCCCAGAATTTGGAAGCCGACCCAATCCCCAGTAGGACTACCTGCTGCAACAGAGAATAGAGTCCGCTTCCCAGGGCAAGAAAATAGTGCCAGCTACAGCTATTGGAATAATAAAGCCCATTTTCTGTACTAGAATCTAGTAAGCAACTTTTGTCATCCGGGATTGGTGTACTAGGATGCTTGGAACTCACACAGAACCCCAGAGAGACCAGACATCAAGAGCTGCGGCAGAATCGTGGGCAAGAGATATACGCCACTCAACATCGCTGTCACATTATTGATAGCCTGGAAGTAAATGGGAAGAAAAAAAGTTGCACCATAAACAGCCGAAATCATGAAAGCCTGGAAGAGTCCCGATGCCCACACAACTGTCTGTTTGATCATTGAGTGCGGGAGTAGTGCATCATCTCCTTTGTGTCGATTCCAGACGAGCCACACGATAAAAGTTGCACCGGATCCACAAAATAGTCCTATGACAGTGGAAGACCTCCATGGGTACTGATTGCCTCCGTATTGAAGAGCCAAGTAGGAGTTGAAGGACGCTGGCGCAAGAGAGCGAATCCAATAAGATCTAAGTAGTGGTGTAATCTCGATAAAATCACGAAAGGCTTTTGTTTTGGCATTTGTTCAGGAATCCGCACTAAAAGGATGACCAGTGCAGTAAAAGCTCCAACCGGTAGGTTGACATAAAAACCTGGTGTCTATATCAGCGAACTGCTTGCCTTGACGAGTAGATGAATTTGGAAAGCGCTTACACCACCTCCATGTAGTATATGTGGTAAAAGCACCTCCTATGAGAGGTCCTGCTACAAGACCGACCTGCATCACTGTAGTAACGACTGGGTGAGCATAGAGGCACTTGGCATGATATAGAAGAAAACTCACAACCCATAGTCAGACCGATGAGTGCTAATTGCACACGTTAGTAATTATCAAACTTCGAGAGCTTCCAAGATCCTGTCACAAGCCCCTAGGCGGTTCCACATACCAGGTCGCTTCTCAAGAGGTGCACAGCTCGAAATAATGGTTATGGCGCCATTCGTGATACCAGCAGCACCGAATCCAGCGACGACGCGCCCGACGATCAACATATCGGATGAGACAGCAGCACCACATAAAATGGAACCGATCTCGAATATCGCGAAGAACGACAAGAACGACCACTTTATAACCACATTAGCAAAGATACTATCTATAAATCTTATCACAGCGTATATCGCTAATACGAACCTTGGTGTTGAAGTGCGTATACACCTTTCCTGTGAGTGGCTGTGGAGCGGCACTGTAACGCCTCTTAGAACGACATCTCCTAACCGAATGATGGAATCCACGAACCTGCCAAACTGGTATGCACTGGCATACCACCCAACATCTGGAAGAGAATTGAAAGTGTCGGTGATACGCGGGATTGCCTTTAGGTCAGCGAGTAAGCAAAAGAAGCTCCGCGAAAAGGTTTGACAAAGGGATCACTGAGGTGCTGACGACCATCGTGTCCAAAAGCATCAAGAAACAAGCAAGCGCCACGCTCGCGACAATCAACGCCAGTTTTGATGCCTGTCACATATTCGTTTGAATTGTCGTGGTGATTATCCGACTTGTCTATGGTCCTCCTTGGAACCCATCATCGACGTCTCCTTTGGTAGCAGCACCTCAGGGCTGCTCTCATCAGAGGAGGGGTGAGAAGCGGGTGTCAAGTTCGACATCCTCGTAGCCTATTTCGTGCAGCTGTATGTCTGTCTCGGAGGGGTTTTGCTCGGAGTGTAGAATAAGCACTTAGTCTATAGTACCTACCTAGGTAATAAATGATATAGAAGTTGGCTAAGTCTATTCAGTACAATTCTTAAGTTGCCCAGTAGTAGCAGGGTTTCTCAACCTTTCTACTCGTTTTCCTCGGCTCCTAGAAGACTTGACAAAGACAATACCACCCCCAGTCTGATAGGCGTTGGAGAGTGTGCAGCAACCAGTAGGATTGTCGATAAAATTAGCTTACAGGCACGCGAGGGTCTGCGTTGGTATGGTCGCACATGCACATGTACATGTAGTAGCATATTGCAGACTCTTTTCGATATCTAATAGGTTAGGTACCTAGCCTTGGGTAGGAACCTACTCGGTATCTACCTAGGTCCTAGATATACACCTGACCAACATCTTCTGATTTAAGCCCTTGCTATCTACTGTTTGCTGTTTGCTGTGTAACGTCGGGTAGATTGACTGGGCGTGAAAGGTAGCATGCCATGTAGGCACCCAGTACCTATCTGGAACCGGCATGGATCCATAACCCGATGTGCGGCGTTGGTCCTGTTAATTTCTATATGTAGTAGGTATCATTGGCGGAATAGTTGATCTAATATAGAGAGCAGATGAGGATTCGTGAGTTGATTGGTAAGTTGGTATTTTTAATAGGGAGGAACCTTGGAAAAGAAATATTTGTATAGGAGTGGGTAAAATAGAGAATGTATATTACACACGCCCGGGTGTCTCTTTTCTATAATGCTACCTACATAAAATCTGCAGCTCCTCCACTGTTACAGATACACCTTACGCCTGCCAAGTTTTAAATTGACAGGGTCCGTTTTAGAGTGCATCTAGATCTACATAGACATGGAAGAGAGATCAGCCATATGCAACCGTACCTAGGTACTCAGGCATGGTGACTCTCAAGAGCTAAAACCCTTCCAGCAACGTGGTAGACTTCATTTGGGCTGACTATCACTGCATATATACTATTTACCTTAGGTAAGTTCAAGTTGAATATTAAACATTTTAGTACGCACATCATTATGCATATCATACGGTACCAGATATAGGAATTAAAGTCAGGAAAAGGTGAGTTCTAATTAGATAATACCTCTCAAATTCTTGCTTTTCGAGTTACAAGCATCTCGACATCTTGTGGTGGGGCCATGAAGTTGAGAATTGAAGTTTTTCTTGTAGGCTTCTTTAAAATTTGGACGTCATAATTGAGAAGCACATGAGCAACCGCCTGTTTCATCATCTGAGCTGTGAACCATCGGCCTGGGCAAGCATGTCTTCCATAGCCGAAGGGAAGAAATGAGGTGCTTACAGTGGTCATGGTTTCTCTTGTGGTCCCTAGCGGACAGCTATTCGGGTTTGAAGGATCAAATCCTCGTGAGAAGCGGAAAGGATCGAAACGCTCAGGGTTTTGGTACAAATCCGGGTCCATATGTACCATCTGCACGGGATAAACAGACCGAACGCCAGACCCAGCCGTGATTTGGAGGCCTTGACCAAGCTCGATTGCCCCGCCAGAGATGACATCGAAGGGGAGCAGGTATGTCGACACGTCGTTGTAACGCATGGACTCACGTATTGCGGAGTCCACACTATGGAGCGCGTCGACTGCCTCTTTCGACGAAAGACCGCCGTATTCGGCCGAGACACGGCGACATTCAGTCTCGAGAGTCTTTATAACATCGTCCCCGTCTTCACTGCAATATATATCTAGCACAGCATGGGCGAAGACCCAGCCGTTGGCAAAGATGAACATGGGCGTGAGGGCAAGGATGCGTAGGGCTATCTTTTTAGCGACCATCTGCTCGGATCCATGGTTCTTGGCAACGCGAATCAACCATTGAATCACATCACCCTTGCAATGATGGTCAGTACCTAACAAACGTGAATCAAGAGAGATAGACATACCGGACCGGCATCCCGATCTTTTCCACCGTCGCATTGACGCATTTTCTCTTCAACTATAGGTACTAATATCTTCATAAGCTTTCGTTGATGATATCGGGCTCGCAATGACATGATACGCCCTAGTACAGGTCTGACTGAGGGAGGCAGACAGCTAATGAGGCAGCCGTCGGTCAAGACTGCGTTGGCATACTTTATCGACTGGTTTAGGTACTCCTGATTCCTGCATCCAGGAAGACCGACCATAACGCGCAAGGCGGCATGAGCAACAATGCGCACCATAGATTCCCACGCATCAACAGAGATTCCGCCTTTGGAATGACCCCAGCATGAGCGGAAAGCTAGGTCCCACTCTTCGGCCATGACGCTAGCTATCGGTCCCATGTTCTTCTGCGCTAGGTCCTTGCGGACGATGTCGAAGTGTATGACGTTGTCCCAGACGTCCTTGTCTGTCATGAGATACCGAAACTGAGCGTTATCGATCAGAGCATTGTAGCCTGAAAGCTCATCCCTAGGCTTCTTGAGAAGGTGCAACATCGAAGGCGGCAACACGAGCACAGCCCCGCCGTTCGACATAGTAGGAAGTGCAAAAGGCTTGTCGTACTTCGAGAATTTTTCGTAGCCTTCGCGCATTGTTTCTTGCATCACTACTACCGATTTCACGATGGCGACGAGCCATGAGACGCTGTCGTTTCTCGACGAGACGCCTACGGCATCGATCTTGCTCATCAGTCCGCTGCGCGGCTTACAACGTCTCAAATTAATGAGGACTTGAAGGAGAAGCAGCCCTGCGGCCGCAACGACCAAGGTTGATGGGTGAATCGTCGTCCACAACATGTTCCGATGCCCGGTGAATCGGGTACATTTGAGGGTTTAGGACTATACTCTCGAAACTGACTCTGTCGATCAAAGCTTGATCCATGAGAGAAAAGTAAACTCGGGTAGGCATCGCGTGGAATATAGGAAGTATACTGCAATGCGGCTCACTGAAATCGTGGTGGCAATCTAAGTCAGCTCTAGAATATGCAATACTTGTGCGGACTAATTTGTACCACACCTCCCACCCCCACGAGAATATATCCTAATTTAAGCCTTTGAATCCTCCTCGTATAACATCGCGATGTTACTCTACTGATGGGATTATATTGGGAGTGCAGGTAGCCATTACAGGGGTACATAGAAAGTAGAGTAAAGTGACGAGCCGTGGTCAGGCTTAGAGCTCTCTCATCTAAGCAAACGCGTAACCTCCAAAGTACCATTTCGGTACTGGCGGCGCCTATCATCATAGGGTATCTCACGCCTCATGAGCCGGTCGTTCCATTTCGAAGCCCTCACTCTCACTGGTTAGATGAATAGAGATGAGGCACAGCAAAATCCACCCAGCGCTTGATGGTATATGAGGCAAGCCGCGTCAGGTCAACTTCCACATCATAAAAGACGTGCCTCGGATGAACAAGTCCATCAGCACACATCTCTTTTCAGCTCATCCTAACCAGGCAGGTTGATGCGACCCTACAACATCTTGCCCCCCATGGATGCCGTGCTGTCTCAGATCTCGCAGCTGGCGTCTTCCGCTGACAGATATACGCGCCGAAGCATCATTGACTCGCTGCGGAAAGCTGCGGACTCGCTTGAGGACACCGTTGGCACCACCCATAGATTTGGACACCTTGTGAGATGATGAAAGAAATACAATTGCGGTCTGCCCGGAAACTAATTTATACTAGGATCTCGAGAAAGCCACCATCCAGCTAGGCTATGATTTGAACATCTTCAAGTTCCTAGGCACGGCCAAGGGCCCACGGACGGTAGAGGAAATTGCTAAACAGGCCAACGCCAGCCCGCAACTTATTAGTATGAATTCGCCAGTGCACCTGGAGCCCCATTCCAACAATTTCTCTGACTGTTGCGTCTAGAGAGGCTTCTGCGTTACTTCAATGCCATCAATGTCGTTACCGAAGTTCAAGTGGGTACATTTGAAGCCAATAATATCACCCGTAACTTGTGTGAGGACCTAGCGGAAGCCGCAATTGGCCATTAGTACGTCGGCTTCGACATGGTGACGTTCCTCCGTTCGTGCACAGCTAACGCTTCTGTGAATGCACAGCTATGGCATCGTGGCCAAGCAGTATCAGGAGACTCCTGCATATTTAAAGGAGATTGGCTACGAAAACCCTACAGACGAGACGAACACGGCATTCCACTATGCCTTCAACACCAAGGTTCACCCCTTCCAGTACATGGTCGAGCACCCTGAGCAACTAGATCACTTTAATAGGTATATGGCCCTCCGCCGCCAAGCTGAGCTCTCATGGCTAGCCGTGTACCCGGTCCGTGAAGAGGCCGCTGGCCTCACCGATTCGGAACGGCCTCTGTACGTCAATGTTGGTGGTGGCATCGGTCACCAGTGCGCGCAATTCAAGGAAAAGTATCCCGATCTACCGGGCCGCGTCATCCTCGAAGACCTGCCCGGCACCGTGGCACAGGCGCTGCCGACTCCCGGGGTAGAAAACCTGGTCCACGACTTTTTCATGCCGCAGCCGATCAAGGGTATGTGGGCTTGTCCTACACTAGTTCTATTAATCACCTCCCAATCTACCCATCTTTCAGTCCAGATTCTAGCTGACAATTATCATAGGAGCCAAGTTCTACTTCATGCGTGGGGTACCACACAACCACCCTCCGCACAGGGTCAAGCTTCTCTTTTCTAACATAAAGGATGCCATGGCTTCTGACTCGGTCTTGCTGGTTGACGAGACCGTACTACCTGAGAAGGGTGTCGGCTTCATTGCCTCGTCCATCGACCTAACTATGCTGGGTGCCTTTGCGAGCATGGAGCGCACCGAGGCCGAGTGGCGTGAACTTGCCGAGAGCGTGGGCCTAGTTCTGACCAAGACATACACATATAACGCTCTTGAGAATGAAACCGTCATGGAGATGAGGTTGCCCAAGTCTTCCTAACTGGATAGTTATTGATGAAGAGACAATAAGACAAAGCTCAGATACGATATGTTGTTGCTGCTGTATTGTTTATTGTATCATTTAACGTCTAGGTAGTGTGGGAGGGGGGCGCTAACCCCGTCCGTAGGGGTATGAGACGTGGCAAGCTCTAGTATACAAGATATTACCAATTCTATAGTCCCAAGTACCTAATATCAAAGTTATAGGTTGCTTATATCCTCTTCCTATAATGCCAATTTGTGCCTCTAAGGGCTTATCATCTCATAGTACGTAGTTACTACTCATCAATTTGCTATATCTCTAGCCTAAGCTTGCAAACTATTCGTTTGTTGTAAAGAACCGGTTATTTAGATAAGTGTTATAGAAGGTCTGCCCCTCTCGTCGGTTCTAATAACCCTAGGTGCTTATTCTCTCAGGCTCGGCCTCTCCCGTACTCGCATTCCTAACTAAATAAGTCTTCTATTTTAAGGATTCGACTAGTCATATCTAGCGACGTTCTAGCCTTCGTCATCAGGTCCATTAGTAGTGATAGTTGCGAGGCAATCGAGGATCTGTGATTAGGAGCGCTCACTATCCTAACCGCTACCTGTTTTACTATCCTGCAGTCAGCAATAGAGAACCAACACTTTTCTTTGCATGAGAAGGAAGCCAACACTATCGCAAACAATTTCCGGTTTCGTTCTAATGCAATGAAAAAGTGGAAAGTGTTGGTTTTCTATTTGCGGCAGTGTTGGTTTCCTTCTCATGCAAAAAAAAGTGTTGGTTCTAGGTATTGCTAATTGTGGGCGTGTACATACAGACCACACGGTGTGCTCCCAGGAATCTAGCAGGGTCTCTTCCACATACACCCCTCCTCTCTTCAAAGCCTTATCATCACCCCTGTATATTAGATCACCCTACGGGTTTCCCTAGTATTTTAGATCTTAAAGAAAACAACAATCAATCCACCATATCCATGCAAAATAACCCTGGTTCATTCTCCACTCGTTAGCGCTCCCGTCTGCAGTCAGAGAGGATCGATCTGTGGGGGAGGGGCACCAGATAGCTATGTAATATGTACGGAGGCGGTGGGGTGTGAAGAGTAAGCAAGGCTACATACAGTGGCGGATGAGGTGCATTATGGAGATGGTTACTAGATGTTGCTGAAGAAGAAGAATCCTTCCTTTCAAGGTTGCCTACCTAGGTAGGTAGGTAGCTAATTAAAGCCGTTATTTCCTTTTTCTCTGAGTATGTGCAGAATATATTCACCTTAAACGCCCGCCGCCATCCTGATCGTCTGTCCCATTTATCCCTGTCTTGTTTATCCCTGTCAATCCTTTCTTTAGGCCACCGACGCGAGCCAAACTCGTCAGCGAAAGAGGAAAATCATTATGTCGTCCGAGATTCCCACTGTCTTCGTGAGCATGGCCACCGGTACCCAAGGTGGTGCCCTAGCCCGGAAGCTCCGTACCCTAGGATGGAACGTCCGCGCCACGGCGCGAGACCTCCATCGCCCCGAGGCAAAGGCCTTAGGGGATATCGGCGTCCACCTGACGCCTGGCGACTGGGATGATGAGGACGCTCTGCGTACGGCGTTCACTGGCTGCACCAAGGCCTTCATCGGTTATACAGCGAACTTGTTGGACTTCGAGGCCGCGCCTCGGCGAGGCCAAAGTGCGGTCCGTCTCGCCAGGGAGGCCGGTGTCACACAAGCTATCTGCACCACCACTCTGGGTGCCGCCATGCTCGAGGAGGGCAAGGAGCCGCCGATCCCGCCGACGCCTCTGTTTGCTCAGCACTTTGCCAGCAAGAGACGCGTGGAGAAGGCCATCGAGGAGGGGGGTTTCGACAGTTGGACGGTCCTCCGGCCCGGCTTCTTCATGGCCAACTTCCTCGACCCCAAGGTTCGGTATGGCTATGCCGACGTGCTCGAGAAAGGCGAGTGGGCCAATGTCATGACGCCCGACCTGACCCTCGGCTTGGTGGATCACGAGTACATCGCAAAATTCGCAGCCGCTGCCTTTCAGGACCCGGCCAGGTTCAACGGCATCCACGCCGGCCTCGTCACCGAGGAGCTACCCGTCCAGGAGATGCTAGACCAGCTCGCGGCGGCCATTGGCGACGGGCGGGCGCTCAAGGCGCACTTTATGACGACGATGAAATCGACAAGGCCGTTGCGGAAGGCTCGTGGGCCGTCTTCTCACTGAGCGGTGCGTGCGCTATATGGACGTTCTGGCAGACACTGAGGAGCTAGAGAAGCTAGTGCCGGATTGACAACGTTCAAGCAATACCTGGAGAGAGAAAAGGCGCTGGTCAAATCGACCTACTTGTCATCATAAATGCGAAGTAACATTTCTTTTGGAGAAATGCAGTCAACGAGTCACGCGCCTTTACTTGAAAAAAAAAGTCTATAATTAGTTGTAATAACAGTATTTCGAATCAAACATCTAAAAACATCTAACTGAAGTTGAAATGTCTAATTTTGTGAAAGCTGTCAAAGGCTAACCAAGCGTCAGCCAACCTGTTTCTTTCCTCACGCCGGAAACCTCGGTACCTCAGGTATGTAAGGGCTGTTACGGAGCGGAACTCTATAACTGAGCAGTTATACGTGATTACGGTAATTGGATATATCTCGATTAATTGTTGGAACCTATTAATTATACACTATCTCTAGATTAACGCAGTCATAATCGTTTAAATATACTCTCTTTATATAATATTGTTTGTTATCTAAATAATACAAATTGCTATATGTATAGCGCTGCACTGGTATATTCGTAGCTACGCTACAAGTATAGCTGGTATCCCGTACGGAGCTACCGCTCCATTACGGTTTATGAATTTCTACAAGCCCCTACTCCACATATATACACACCGATGTCCTTCACAAACACTAAATAGACATTCTGAGATTACACAGTCTCCTTGGTATGTGCTCTCTGGTGTTATACGTAATGGTGTACCCATCCGTCCTGGTAATTTGATGTACAGGGAGCTGGTTACCGTTTCTGCCAGGATGACGGGAGCTGGTAAGAGAGTCTCCTACGCCTATAGAAGTTTTGCTAGTTCCCTCTGTTGTGTGAATTTGGCTTAGCTTATGAGAATCGGTGTCTAAGTCGGTATATCCGTTGGAAGCGTACTCGCTTGCGGATGACTTTCTCATGTACGCGTAGTATCTTCTTAGATTGCCCAGCTTGGAGAAGTCTGGTGTATGACAACACGCAGAGTTGGGAAGCAGCCCATGATAATGACGACAGACTGCTCCGTGTAACCGTAGATGAGCTGTGTGCTGCTATACTGCACATCGGGCGTTCCCACTGCTGCATTGGCGACCTCACCCATGGCGATCGTTTTTAGGGGACATGATCATGCTCAAGATGGAACCGCACAAGACGATTATAAGGCTAATCCTCTCACGACGGGGCAGTTGAGCTTCCAGACGAAGATGACGGGAAACAAGGCGTATGTGAGATCAGAGAAGGTGGAACATGCTGCAGAGGAGAGAGAGAAAGGATTAGCGACCTGACAAGTAAAAAGACATGAGGCATTATCTGGTGGACTCGTACATTGATTGAAGTATGCGGTATACAACCAGATTCTTGAGTCCCAGCGTCGCTCGGGAATGAGGGTGAAGTTCCACAGTGCCTCGACTGGTGTGACCTGCAAGTAGGTCAAGGGCATCTGGACGATGCCTGCAACCCACATTAGGGTGGTGAAGGGATTAAGTAATGAACCACTTGTACGGTGCGAAGAGGCGGCTGAGCAGGATAGCGATGGATGTTCGATAACGGCCGACAATAATTCCGCGGTACCGACACCCAGTTGTCCCGGAGGATGGTCATCATCTCCTCCGGGTACAGGCTGTGGTCGTGTTTGCCCATGCGTTGTATATGAACTTGTGGCCAAGGATTGAAGGGCCAGTTGAATCGTCTACGGAATATCACGAGTTAAAAATGTCGGTGACCCCTCAAGAAGACGAAGTCTGTGACTGTCGTTGGGGATGTATGCTCACCACAGCCGCGCTTATGAGATAATCATCCCAGCCCAGAGGTACTCGCTTGTGCCTACGCACGGCCAAGCGAGCCGTGACGAATACGAGAGCGGTTATCTGGAAGATCCAAGTGATGGCCATGATCGTAGGCCCCCGACCAAGATTATCTCGGTCAACGGGTGGCGGAATGCCGCTCGGGGAAGACATGATGATCAAAAAGACTTTTCTAAGGCCGATAGTGGCACGAGCAGCAACAGCTAATACAGGCGATTCGTCAAGCAGCAATGAATATCGATAATAAGGGAGCATAGGTCATTGGCACCAAGCTACGAGGGCGAGGGGTTGATACATGTAGGTCTTATAGTACGTACCGACTTTAGGACCAGCCTGCTGGAGCTCTAGCAAGTTCGGCAGGTAAATGGAAAAGCAACCTCCGAAGTATGAATCAAGAATTCACACCTTCCGTTGAGATTGTGAAAAGGAAAGGTGGTTACACACCCTCCTACTTCCTTCGAACCGTTAACACTAAAATGCGGTTATGTGGTTTCACTTAACTCCATCCTTTCAATATGTTTCGAGGGGTGTGGGCGTATGTAGTTACAATCCATATGATGTAGTGTGGTAGTATTATAGATTATTACCTCCAACCTACTTTTAAAATGTAACCCAGTAATACCAATAACATACATATGCAACAGCTCACACACGTATGCAATCACGGGATTCGACCAACCTAGCTCTTTGTCCCGGATCCTTCCAGACGGTTGGTTGTCGATAAATCGGCTCTCTATATCCATATATTGTTACGCATAGCCTTGTTCTATGTGGGACTGAGAGCCTGCAGGCTGCGCCTTGCGCCGCCAACCAACAGCTGGTAGTATATCGTTGGAGAAAAAAAAAGAATCAAACATACCTACCTAGGTACATAATCCCATGTGAATTTACATACCTATCCCTACTAGGTAAGTCAGGCACTCCCAAAGCCCTCTCACTCCATCCCCTCCTAGATCAAAATTCTACCGTCGCCGCCATGGAAGCTCTCTCTAGCTTGCTATCGTGGCAGAGCATTGTCACTACCATCGTCCTCTACTATGTGACACTTGCGCTGTATCGACTGTATCTGCATCCTCTAGCCCGATTCCCTGGCCCCAAACTCGCGGCCGTGACGCGATTGTACGAAGGCTACTATGATCTTTACCAGAGCGGCCAGTATACCTTCAAGATAGCAGAACTGCATAAACAGTACGGTGAGAAGCAACTAGCTCCCGGGTGCCGTACCATTATAACTAACATACATCTGGAACAGGCCCAATAATTCGCATCAGCCCTTATGAGCTTCATGTGAACGATGCAACTTTCTTTGATACTCTCTACAATCGCCAGGAAGGAGTATGGCACAAGTACGATTGGTCGGTTGATGCCTTTGCGACCAAAGGCGCCACTATTTGGACAGCTGATCACACCCTCCACAAGAACCGTCGTATGCCACTGAATCCCTTCTTCTCCAAGGTCAAGGTGTCGAATCAGCAGGATATGATCATGAGGCATGTCCAAGCGCTTTTTAACAGATTGTCGGGCTTTGCTGCGTCTCGGAAGACCGTAGACCTCGGCGCCGCATTTACTGCGTTCGTGCGAGATGTTGTCAACGAGTATATATTCGGGAAGCATTATAATGATCTTGGGAAGGAAGACTTTGATGCCGGTATGGTGGTCGCCGCTCAGGCTGGCGGTCTGTTGTGGCGTACTACCAAGTTCATACGCTTCTTCGGTCCCTTGATGCGGTCCATCCCGCCCCAGTGGATCATGGCAGTCTCCGACCCTGTCATGAAAGACTTCTTCCGCTTTATGATAGTAAGTTTCAACTGGCAAAATTCATGACCTGTTCAACAGCTAACGCGTATCGTGTTTGTGTGTGCTTGTGTATAGATTTCTATGAATGATACCAAGAACTTCATGAAGGCGGCAGTATCCCAAGATGATGACGGCCCACGCACATTGGTCCATGAAATTATGCAATCCAAGCTTCCACCCTCAGAGAAATCATTTGCAAGAGTATTTGATGATGTGTCTACCACAACAGGCGCTGGCTTTGAGACGACGGCTGCTGTCATACGAATCGCAGCCTTTCACGTCTACAGTAACCCCAAGATCCTCCAGAAGCTACGGGATGAGCTTGCTACTGCCCCCGATCATGACTTGAAGACGCTCGAGCAGCTTCCTTACTTGACTGCCATCATTATGGAAGCCATGCGTCTAGCCCCAGCCATAGCCACTCGCAGTGCTCGTATCGCCCAGGACAAGGACCTCATTTACGCAGACTGGCGGATACCAGCCGGCACACCCGTCGGGATGACCATGCACTTACTTCATGAGAATGAAGAAGAATATCCGGAGCCCAAGCGCTTCAATCCAGATCGATTCATGGACCCCGACCCATGGCAGCTGGGCAACAAGACCTTTGTGCCTTTCGGAAAAGGAAAGCGCAATTGCATTGGAATGTAGTAAGTGCCCTCCCTCTATAATCCACCATCCATGATCCACGATCTACCACGAGTTACGTAGACTAATATATTAATTCAGTCTTGCCTGGGCCGAGATCTACCTACTGCTCGGCCACATTGTGCAGCGCTTCGAATTCAAGTTTCCCACAACAAAGGCAGAGGATTTCTACGTCACCAAAGACAATTTTGCTCTCGGCACTCCATCTATGGGAATTGTCCCTGCTCTTGTTACCGAAGTTACAGTATGAATAAACTTTTGGTTGAGGAAAGGGGGATTGTTAAAAGGGTTATTGGGTTTGTTAAGGGAAAACGCCATGTCTATGTTTGTTTTTGTTAATCTGAAATTTCAACTGTAACTAACTTCAACAACTTGTAATTTGATATTTGATATTTGACATTTGACATTTGACATTTGATATTTGACCTGTGCTTGTGCTGTCTACGTAAACTCGCTAGTCGTACCCTAACGGATGCTACTCTTTAATCAAGGACTAGCCCTGTAAATAGGGATATAAATAGGGATAGCATTACAAGGGTTGTAGCAAATAAGAAGCTATTCAGAAATACTTCGAATCAATCCTTACCTACTTGTTATATGGGAGCTTGCGTAATCCGTACAACAACACAAGTATTCAAACTTGGATTTATGTGACCTTACTGATATGATCCCTGAACTTTGACTGCATTATTATTGCCACCCCCTCCCCTCACCTCCCCTCCTCTACCCCCTTCTAATATGTAATCAGGATTACACCCTTACACCCTCAAAATGGATATATCACGCGAGCCCCCGCTTCCTCTCCCACATCTCACACATTCCCCACATGGAGAGAGCCTCAACAAGGTACTGATGCAGGGCCGTGGATCTGATGCAACGTACAGACATGACACTAGGTAGTAGAGCTTCAGCGCTTATACATTTGGTATCATTATAAAGATAACAGTCCTTCTAGGTATCTAGGTACATATTAATACTTATCTATGGGTGTAACAGTTCCAGTGCTGGCTCCGTCGTATCGTAGATTCACTTTCCGCCCGCCTGGTAAAAGCAAATATGACCTCCCACACTCTCGACCCACGCATTATCCAATTGGCCCGAACCATCAGCACATCCGTTGCCAAGATCGACGCCGCTCTAGCAGCAAATGGTCTCCCTAGCCCGTCCTTTGACGAGGACGCGCCGGTAGACTATCTCCCCCCCGAGATCTTGGGCGCTCGAGACGCGGTACTAGATGCCTCGGCCGAGTTACACGATTTACTGCTTGAGCCGTTACACTTGATCAAGAAGCACAGCGGGGTGAGTAAACGATTGGAAATGCCCGATGTTGAAGGGCCGTCTTTTGAGTCTATGAGCCAATCCATAGTGTCATTTTAGAGTAATAACTCGGTATGCCTCCAAGCCATTTCTCGATACGGCATCGCAAACCTTGTCCCTCTAGGAGGCCATATCTCATTTGCAGAGTTGGCCAAGCAGACAGGCCTGGAAGATCAGATGATCACGCGCCTACTACGACATGCCATGACAATGCGAATATTCCGCGAGCCCGAGCCTGGACAAGTTGCCCATACGAAGGCGTCCAAGTTGATCGCCAGCTCGCACATGAATGCTTGGCTCAGGATCGGAACCCACGAGATGTGGCCTGCGGCAACCAAGGTAAGGCAGATGCAAAGGGTCATTGATTACTTTGCCGGCTTCAATTCTCACCATGTATGTACAAACAGATGCTGGATGCCGTGGAGAAATGGCCAGGATCCCAGGAGCCAAACCAAACGGTATGATCTATTACTCCGAATTCCCTGTATAATAATCTGGTGATACAATAAATGCTTGTCTGACATTGCAACTCGTAACGAAGGGATTTTCCCTATCGAAGAATTCTACCCAATCTATCTACGACTTTGTCGGGAGCACCCCAGAACGAGGTTCTCAATTCGCCGAGGCCATGGCCATCTGGGCTAGTCGTCCGGATTATGCGCCGTCGCACGCGGTCAACGGCTACGACTGGGCTGCCCTTTCCGGCTCGTTCGCCGCCTCCGACCCAAGTAGGCAGCGTATCCGAGTGGTCGACGTCGGCGGCGCCCAGGGTCATGTCGCCGTGGCCCTAGCACAGCGATTCCCACATCTTGAAGTCGTCGTCCAGGACATGGACAAGGTGATCGAGGGAGCCGAAGCGAGGTTGCCTCAAGACCTGAAGAATGAAGGCCGGGTGCGCTTCATGGCTCATGATTTATTTGCGCCGCAGCCTATCAGTGCCAGGGTTTTCTTCTTCCGTTGGATTCTACACAACTGGGCGGACAAGTACTGCATTGCCATACTACGGGCGCATATCTCGGTTCTTGGACCGGGCGTGCGCATCATCGTTATGGACACGATTATGCCGGATCCTGACGCGGGATCTGGAAGCGTGGGCGAGGTACCTCTGTGGATTGAGAAGGACTTGAGGTGCGTGTCTGCCATCGGGCAAGCTCCTAGAGAATATCTCATCCCGTCCCGTCACCATTCTCTTATCAGCGCGATACTAACACTGACCATTGTAGATCCGAAGATCTGAACATGGGTGCCATTTTTAACGCACGAGAGCGCACGTTCAGCGAGTGGAAGGCCCTGTTCACCGAGGCTGACGCCCGGTTCATCTTGAAGACCGTGAATCGGCCAAAGGGCTCGACTTTGTCACTTATGGAAATAGAATGGACATCGTAGCAGCAGAGCCAATGGAGGTTTCCTGGATGTCATATCCTGAATCGGTCCCCTCTTATTCTCACAAGGTAAATGAGCGAATGATTACACATACTTAGGATGAGAGAATGAAATTTGAATATGCATATTCTCAGTTCATACCATATCCTGACAGACGCTGATCACACAAGAAGGCTTGCGGTATCCATTTTGGGACTATAATACGAACCGAAATGTTTTATTGCAATTCTAACCTCCGTATCCTCGCTTTTTCGTAGATAGGTAGGTACACATGCATGGCAACTATTTCCATCCCTCTGCTTTAACCTCCCGTAAGGTTTTAATCAATCTCTCAAGCCCGATACGCAACGCCTCCTTTTCGACAGCAAAGCTGACGCGGAACCAGCCTGGCTCTTCTGCGGAATACCAGCTGCCGAGACCAAGTCCTACACCAGACGCAAGCAAGCGATTCCACAGCGTCATTTCACGGTCTCGATAGAATTTATCATTAGACCTAAACAAGTCGGTAGCTGAAACCTCGGACTTATCGTAAAGATAGCGCTGCAGGTTGACCCAGGCGAAAACACCAGCATTACTGGGTTCTCCAATGTTAGTCGAATTCGTATAGTACAGAGTCAATGGTCGGCAAGCTTACACCTTGGAGTAATACGGAATTTCATGTTCCTGTAGGAAGGCAGTCAAGATTGCAGAGTGCTCTGTGAGTAACTTGCGGTTCTTGCTCATAAAGTCGACCCGAAACCCATCATCCGTTAACATGTTGGCCCAGATGTCTTGCACGATATATGGTACCCATCCAAGAACGCTAAACAGGAACTTAGTTTGTGGACCAATGATCATTAATAAGTAACTTACCTGATGGTAGATACTGCCGTTATGAGACCTTCATTCCTAGAGTGTAGCACGCCTAATCGAAACCCGGCTGCACAGAAGTCCTTACCCATGCCGTAAGCAACATGGACCTTCTGAGGATTGATATTGTCGTCAAGGTTCAAGGCCAATACAGAAGTGAATGGGACTGCGTCTGGAACCTCTGGGTTGTCGTAAACAGACATGGCGAAAATTTCATCACAAATCAGGTGCAAGTCATGCTGGCCACAGAAACCGGCAATCTCTCTTAAGGTTTCCACTGGCTATTATCTTGTTAGCAAAAATTTATCCTTATTTCAAAAGCCGAGATAAATAGGATTTGGACTCACGTAGCATCTTCCCAAAGGGTTGTGCGGACTAGAACGCCACGTCAGTTGATACTTGGTCCAAATCGAAACACATGCGAATATTATTTTCTCATACTTGCACAACATCACGGCCCGGACCCTCAACATTATCCTTAGTAGCCTGCTGCAAGGCATTTTGTAACGCCTTCCTATTGATCTCGGGATCGAAAAGATCATCGAGACACTGGTATCCCTCAACGGACTGATAAGTGGCGGGTATCATCACCCCGCGTGCTCTCTCCCCGACGCCTTGCGAGATACCGGACCAAAAAGGCACCGGAATAATGATACCCTCTCCATCACCACAGATGGACCATGCCAGGGCATCCAGAACTCCTATGTCGGATTTGGGAGTCAGTAATTATTCCTTATTATAGATAGGTAGTTTAGTGATTTCTTGAGAGTTTTGGCTCATTATCTTAAGATAAGAGAAAAAAGAGACCAGCTCCCGAGACACGCCAAAGGGGTAATAGAAGAGCCCAGATGGTCACCTGCTACTCCGGGAAGTATAAGAAGCTCCTTCTCTAGGATTGACTTTTCTGCGTTAAAGTTGTCTTGGAGGAACGATATCAGGGCCTTTTGAGACGCGGCGATCCCCGCGGGCCCACGCCATAGCCAAATTGATCATCTGGGCTGATCGTCAACTTGTCACAGTATGTTAGCAGTAGCTTATTATGGTGTGTCTAGGCACTCTTACGTTGTTCTTGATGAATGTAGATACGTCCTCGTACAAAAGAGGATTCTCTGCTACACCGAGAAACACTCTTTGGCTTGTCTGTTAGCCTGTCTTTTTCCTAATGTTCCGCCAACACGGCGGCAAACAGCAAAGTCTTGTAAGTGGAGACTCACAGGCCATCTGGGTTTCCTGGGGATCGGAGACTCTTCCTCGTGTCTTCGAGCATATCCCAGGGCAGAAAGTGGTGCGTGTTGCCGGCTGCCCTCTCAGACAGCCCATATTTCGCGACAGCTTCGTCCACTGGACCTTGTGAGATATAACTGGTCATGGCTCAAAGATTACCTAAGAATTAAGTAAGATTTGTTAAGACTAGTAAGACATTTATGATTAGAATTAAAAATAAATTTACATTTCATGTAAAAATATTTTTATTTTAAAACGCCAATCGAGGTGATATTATTGCAATGCAACACTTTATACTCACCCCCGTTACACCTAATACCTAGGTCCTAGGAACGTATATGGTCGACGTATGCAGCCAACATTCTCGGCAGGGGGGTGGAAAATAGTAACGACCATTCTGGTAGGTTGGTTCTACCCCTGGTAGTCTGGATAGAGTCTTCCAAGGTTGTTATCGCGCTTGCTAGCCACTTACAGATCTCGCCGTTGGGCTGCAGTAGTCTGCTAGCAATGGCTATGTAGGTAGGGAAGCCCGAAGGAAGAGATATGCATGCGTGCGGCTAAGTAGGTCACATATCAAGGCACACACATACACCGTCACATAGTCACACAGTAGGTCAGCATCGGATCCGAAGGGTACCTAAGCAAGAAATGGCAAGTTGATCCACGAGATCATACCTTTCTCCATCCATCACTTGGTTTATCACATATTTCATAGTACCCGTTTACATCATCTTGGCGTCTGCAAGAGACGTATTACAGGCATGCAGTTACGCTCAGCTAACCGTCTATTTACCCATCTACTGGAGTCTCTGTTACACACCCGCAGCTATGGGCTTCTTGAAGCTGCTGTCCACCGCAGCGCAAATACTCTCCTTCGCTAAGTATCGTGAGAGAAGCTTACATATACCTTCTTCCACCGTCACCGACGCCTCGAGGGTTCAGTATCTTGACAAACCCTCGCAGAGGTGCTTGCAAGATGTTCTCCGGGAGAGAGCAGAGTCACTCCCGGAGAAAAACTTGCAATTCTACCCCCTAGGCGGTACCTCGTCGCCTCCTAAACAGGTAACATACAGAACATTATATGACGAGGCAAAGCAGAACAGTTTCAAGATCGCAGCCCTGTTAAACTTTCGCCCTGGAAGCCCCGTACTTATCCATTTTGAAGATCATTGGGACAACATTCTCTGGGTCTGGGCTGTGATGCTGGCTGGAGGCGTCCCGGTGCTATCCCCGCCACTAAGCAATGTGGAAGAGCACCGAACAAAACACCTACAAGCCTTATCGCAGCTTCTTGAGTCACCCATATGCATCGCGAGAGAGGCCTCTTTACATCTATTTGTAGGCAACAACCACACATTCGACCTTCACTCTGTGGAAACCCTACTACGGACACCTTCCCCAACAATACGCGGAAGCAAAGAGGCAACCGGAAAAGGGTTCGCCAATGGAGACTCTCTGGCCATGCTAATGCTTACCTCGGGAAGCTCTGGGAATGCAAAGGCCGTAGGGCTTTCACACAGGCAGATATTAGCCGCAATCTCTGGAAAGGCATCTGTACGTCCCTTACCACCAGACGGCGCGTTCCTGAATTGGATTGGCCTTGATCATGTGGCGAGCTTGGTCGAAATACACATGCAAGCACTTTGGCTGGGCGTCGACCAAGTACACGTTCATACGGCAGACGTTGTGGCTTCACCGCCACTCTTCTTGGATCTGCTTAGCAAGCACCGTGTTTCCCGTTCCTTTGCACCCAACTTCTTTTTGGCCAAGCTTGTCACGGCATGCGATGGACCTAATAAGCCTCCGTCTCGTTAGTGGGATCTATCAATCTAACCGTGCTCGCATCTGGAGGTGAGGCCAACGATATCCGGACGTGCTCCGCGGCCTCAGCTTTACTTGCTAAGCACGGTGCATCACCCACGGTCATTATGCCAGGATTCGGCATGACGGAAACCTGTGCTGGCGCTATCTTTAATTCCGATTGTCCTCGATCAGATCTGAAGGAGGCCCGAAGCAGCGCCTCTGTCGGACGTTGCATGCCGGGTATCGAGATGCGCATTATAGATAGCGCTACCGGACAAGCTGTTGAGCCTTGCCAACCCGGTCACCTTGAGATCCGCGGCACCGGTCTTCAAAGGTTACTATCGAAACTTGGCTGCTACCGCTGAAGCCTTTACTTCTGACGGTTGGTTTCGAACGGGTGATGAGGGAAGTATAGACGCCAAGGGGAATCTGAGTCTCATAGGTCGGGTCAAGGACGTCATAAACATCAACGGAGTCAAGATTGTAACCGCCGATATACAGGCGTCTCTAGAGGCAGCGCTGAGCACATATGCCCTCCGTGTTGTGAGCTTTCCTTCACGGGCCCCCAGCGCTGCCACGGAGCAAATCACCATCGCGTACATACCCAATAAACCCATAGACGTTGAGAGCGTGGTCGAAATCGATAGGCTAGCAGCTCAAGCTTGCAGCCTGGTCACTACAGCGTGTCGACCTGTTATCTTCGGCGTAGGATCGAATACTCTCCCCTTGCTTCCTTTAACCACGCTGGGAAAGATTTCAGGAGCCAAGATGCGGGCTCTTTTTGAAGCAGGCGTGTTTGAAAAGGACGTCATACGTCACCGTGAGATTATAGATAAATCAAGGCGGCAGAGAGAAGTGTCTTGGACGGGCGAACCGCTCAGTGAGACAGAGACTCTGCTACGCGCAGACATTGCAGACATTAAGGGAATGACGCATATCGAGGAAGTCGGCATCGAGACGAACTTCTTCCAGTTTGGCTTCACATCCATGGACTTTATACGACTAAAGCACCGGCTAGACACCCGCCTCGGTATCACCGTGGCTACGATTGTGTTCCTAAAGCACCCGACAGTACGGTCTTTGGCCGGAGTTTTGGACAAACAAAAAGCAGTTCCGCCTGATGATGCACTATCCGATGCTCTCCCTGCTTTCAGCGGTCCCGAGAACGCAGCCGAAGACGGAGGCAAAGACATCGACTCCATTGGTCGATTTGTAGTAACGGAGACCGAGTACGATGCGGTGGTTGTGTTGCTGCTCTTCCGGTACCAAGACGCCGCTGTGGCTTGTCCATCCCGGTGTCGGCGAGGTCCTCGTCTTCGTGGGGCTTGCCCAACATATGAACGCTGACGACCGCCCGATATATGCACTCCGTGCACGGGGGTTCGAGCCCGGTCAACCCCGGTTTGCAGATATCAACGAAGCAGTCACGACGTATGTAGCGGCGGTACGCCAGAAGCAGCCACATGGACCGTACGCGATCGCAGGGTACAGCTACGGCACGATGCTCGCGTTTGAGATGGCCAAGAGGCTCGAAGCCGACGGGTCAGGAGAAGCAGTAGGCTTCTTGGGGAGTTTCAACCTCCCGCCTCACATCAAGATGCGGATGCGGCAGCTCAGCTGGAATATGTGTCTGCTACACCTGACGCAATTCCTAGGTCTCGTCACCGCCACCTTTGCCGACGAGGAGTCCGCAGCGCCCAGCGATTCCCCATACCGCAGGGCAACCCGCAGCGAAGCTCTCGCCTGGATCCTCGAGGCCGTCGAAGCGTCGCGGATGCGCGATCTCGGTCTTGGGGAGCGCGAGCTAGCGCGCTGGGCAGACGTGGCGCACGGGCTGCAGAGCATGGCCGTCGACTACGAGCCGTCGGGATTCGTGCCGTCCATCGACATCTTCCACGCGGAGCCCCTAAAGGTAGCCGCGCCATCGCGCGAGGCATGGGTGAAGGAGCACCTGAGCAGGTGGAAAGACTTCAGTCGAAGCGAACCTCGGTTCCACGAGGTTGGTGGCGCTCACTACACCATGATTGGGCCCGAGTATGTAGCCAGTTTTTCGGAGAAGTTACAGGCCGCCTTGAATTCAAGGGGTATATAAGGCTCTAAGTATTTAAATTTAGATGTTTCAATTAACTATTAGATTCGATGAGCAATAGCAAGATAGTAATAGACAAGATTAGCAAACAGAAAGCAAGTCAGGTTCTACAAATGGTATCATATCAAGAAGCAATTTTAAGCTCATATTTTGACATTTTGGCAAAAAGAGTGACGTGGAAGCTATATCTCATCTAGACCTACGATAGGCACCTTATTACAGTGCATATTGGGAGGAGCTGTATCTAGAGAGCAAAAGAAGGATATTGTCGACTTGTTTGCTCTCCCATCCTTGAAGCTTAGGTCCAACTAATCTCCTCGAGTAATCAGCCATTAACATACTCATCGCGTCTTCCTCCGAATCCTGATCTTAGCATCCACAGGTGGCACCATGGTATTCACCAAAGCCTTCCTGGAGATTGGCTTCCCGACCAGCTCCACGTCGTAGTTTAAGACAATATAGGCGAGAGCCTGTTTCATCGTCTGAGTCGCAAACCATCGCCCTGGGCAAGCATGTCTACCATATCCGAGTGGGAGAAAAGATAAAGTAGGAGTGACGAGGAGCTCGCGCTCCTGGGCTCTTGCTTGTAGGCTGGCCTCATCCAAACCCTCAAAAGGCCGGGAAAAGCGGAACGCGTCGAACCTTTGGGGGTCTTCGTAGTATTCGGGATCCAAATGGATTTTTGCGTAGGGAACGCTATGCGGACGCCTTTCGTGACGACGATGCCGTGGCCAAGATCAACTTCACCGGCAGAGACATCCCGGAAGAGATTGGTCACGGCGACATCAGAAGTGCGCATGGATTCGCGAATTGTTGAGTCAATACGGTAGAGGGAATCGACAGCCTCTGCGGTTCCCAGACCGGCGTGTTTTTCTGATACATCTTTACACTCCGCATACAGATCGCTGATAAACTCCTCCTTGTCCGGGCTCCCGTAGACGTCGAGGACAGTGTGGGCGAAGACATAGCAGATAGCGAAGATGAGCGGCGTCATGAGCGCGATGAGCCGGTTAGCAATTCTTGTTGCGTCCAACTGCTCCGGGCCGCCCTTGCCTGCCGTCGCGATCAACCACTGCAAGAAATCCTCCTGGGTAGCATTCTCTTCTTAGTATGACATGTGACTAAAGGGGAACTATGTTGAAGCTAAAGATATAAAAGCAATAATAGATTGATGGGATTATAGTGAGATTGGTGTAAGCAGTGGAATTGAGAGACACGATTTTTAAGTTGCGTCGTGATGCGATCTATAAACTAATAAAATACAAAAAACGCAACTTACAGGTACTTTCTCATCTTGTTTGGGCGCGTTGAATATGCGTAGTCGCTCGTTGACGATGGGCACAAGCATGTTCACGCACCGAGCCTGGAAATATCTAGCCCGGAGCGCTACTATAGGACCGACGAACTTTCTAAGAGACGGAGGGAAGCAATTCATTAAAGCACCTCCTAGTAGAACAGAATTGGCGTATAATCGTGACGTTTCAAGCAGCTTCTCATCGCGACCCAGCGGTAAGCCTATCAGAATGCGTTGAGCCGTACGGGCAATAACTTGTCCACACGCATCCCAGCCGTTGATGATTTTCCACTCCTTGGATGTGCCCCAGATGTCCTCGTAGGCAAGACCAATCTCCTCCTCTGTAATAGGAGCAAATAGACGCATATCCTTCTTGGTCATTTTCCTGCGCACCACGTCGAAGTGGATGGTATTCTGGTAGATATTCGGGTCGCTAATCACAAACGGCATCTGAACTGTCTCTACGAGGCCTGGGATGTTGGTGATCTCGCTGTCGGCCTGTTTGTCCGGCCTGGTGAGCAACTGATGCATCTGCGAAGGCGGCACTACCACGACAGCCTTTCCCGTCCAGGTGGTGGGAAGAGCGTAAGGTCGACTGAGTGCCTTTGAGAACTTGGCATAGCCCTCATTTGCGATCTGTCTAGTGCAGATGATGGACGCCGCGATGGCTCGACCCCAGCGGAATAAACCGCCAGAAGCGACACCGACAGCGTCGAGCTTATCCCATAGCTCACTTTCCTTGGTGTTGCTGCGTAGAGCGGTAGAGGTAACGCGCTGTAACAAGAATAGACCTACGGCAGCTAGGGCTACTAGGAGCCAACCATCTATCCACGCCATTCCAATTGCTACAATTGCTAATAGAAAGGGAGGTGCACAGAACAAGCGAGGATTCCCATTTCTTGTCGAGAGGCAGCGAGCTACACTAGGTGGCTTGGACTTGTAGCCTCGTTGGTCTTTCCGTTGATTCCTATGCGGCACAGCTTGAATGCGTGTTCTGCCAACCCCGATTCGGCTAACTATGAAGGACGCATCCATCCATCATCGCAGATGCATAATCCTGACAATACTACATAATACCAACACGATCACCGACTGGGGTAACAGCAGTATAGCGTTGCTTGGGAAAAGCGAATGATGATTGGATGGCAGTCATACGCCACGGGTGTAGAGATATCGCGGAGCCTACATATGTAAGCGCCTTAAGAATGTACCCCGAGGGTGCGCCGATATAGATATGAACGTTTGCACGAAGCTTCACGCGTATTTATGCGACCAAGATAGCGGGTGTGGGCGAGTCCGGAAAGGTGCAGAAAGCTGCAGAAAGCTGGGGCACAGGGTATATTAAATACCTTCTTTCCATGCTAATCGAGGCCATCTGAGGTACTACGACCATTCTTAAAAAATACTCTACGTGTTTTTTATTGAGATATTAGCTCCTCATCATAACAATGGAAACGGCTTTGGATCAAGTCCGCAAGGAGGCAGCCGGGAGCGAGGACGCACGCCGGAAGGTCATTTCTGCTTTACAAAGTCTAGTTTCCTCACTTGAGACCCCCGACGAACTCTTCACAGGTTTGGGTTCATGGTCAGCCTTCCTCTACTCTCCGAATGTTGACCAAAAAAAACTGATAGGATAACAGAACCTCCAAACGGCAACAGTCCAAATTGGTATAAATTTAGGCTTGTTCAGACATTTGGTGGAGGCTTCTGAACCACTCGCGGTCGATCGTATCGCAGAAAAGACTAAAGCAGAACCGCAATTAATATGTAAAACATCCATCCCAAATATAGAAGTCGAGTCTTACATATAATCCAGCTCGGCTCTTGAGATATCTTGCTGCCATAGAAGCAGTGGAAGAGAGGAGCAGAGGTGAATATACTGCGAATCAGACAACTCGCAATCTGACAGAGAAGGTTGTCGAGGCTGGCATATCTCACTAGTATGTGCGCTTCTACTTCCTCACTACCTGCGATCAGAGATTCACCAGCTTCTAGCTTCGGCCTCAGTGCACCTCAATATCAATGCCTGCCAGATTTGTTAAAGCAGACCAGTTATCAAACTCCAGTTGATGAGGCAAACACAGCTTTTCATATGGCCTTCCGTACGACCTTGGATCCCTTCTCTTGGTTTGCGCAAAATCCTACCTACCTGGCCGACTTCCACGCGTACCATGCGCTCCGTCGACAACCAGATGCGACTTGGCTCTCGGTATATCCTATAGAGACGGAGGCCGCTGGATGGCCTACTGACCAACCCCTTTATATAAACGTGGGAGGGGGAGTCGGCCATCAATGTGCACAGTTCAAGGAGAAACATCCCAACTTGGGTGGGCGAGTTATCCTACAAGACTTACCACACTCCGTAGCAGAGGCCCTTCCAACACCCGGCGTTGAGAATATGGCGTACAACATGTTTGAACCACAACCCGTGATTGGTATGTATCTTTAGTGTGCACTTATCAATATTAACTAACTTTGTTCGTAGGCGCCAAGTTCTACCACCTTCGGGCTGTGTTGCACAATCATCCGCCTCATAAGGTGCGGATGGTGCTTGAGACGATCAAAGCCGCTATGAAACCCGAATCAGTTCTGCTGATTGATGAAATGGTTTTTCCAGAGGAAAATGTGAACTACATGGCGGCATCAGTTGACATGACCATACTTGCGGCGTTTGCTAGTATGGAGCGCACAGAAGCGCAGTGGGCGACACTGTTCGAAGATGTAGGATTGAGAATGGTGCGAACGTATACGTATTCTCCTTTGAGTTACGAAAGTGTCATGGATGTTCGTCTACCATAAGCCATCCTTGAAAGGTAAAATAAGTTGAAATGGAAGTCAACTTGTTGAATAATACTATGAGGACGTATCGTTACTAAAAAGCCACTTGATCTACCTTGGGGTTAGGGTTAGGTTCATGGTTAGTATGGGTATGAACCAGAGTTGAGGTTATCCATAAATAGTATCATATTCATCAATTACCAAAATCCTCTCATCAGGGCAATTCTTTCCCTTTTCCTTATTTGGAAGTATCAATTAATCTAGCTTAGGTATCTTTTATAAAACCAATGAACAAAATTCAACTATTCGTCACAAGCACTAAGGTATGACAGAACGTTAAGACCTATAAGGAAAAAATATCATTTCAAAAAGCTCGAAAGTCTACGGCTCTAACACTGGTACATACAAATTTATCACTACTAGCAGAAATGCCCGGATTTCACTCGGGCTCTTGTGGCACTTTGCCCGAATTTATGAGTGTTATTATCATAGGCACCCTCTTTCGAATCAGGAAGTTCATCTATGCGTGGAATTTTAAAGCTATTTATTAAATGTATCCTCTAAGTGTAGATAGATTACTTCCTTCATTCCCATCTTTTTCTCAAAATATGTATCTTTTTACTTCCGAGTCCTTCTTTTGGTGTCGGGTCCTCCTTTGGGTGTTGAGTCGTTGGTGAAGGTGCTGGGAATGAGGGTTCCGAGGGTATTGATGGTATTGTTCTCGAGTATCTCGAGAGTGTTGAGGATTCCGAGCCCCTTTCCTAGATGACGAGTTCTCCTTTTGGGTGGGTGAGGGTATCGAGGGTAAGGATGCCGAACTCTTCTCCTGGTACAGAGTCGTGAGTGAAAATGTTCAAAGTATTCAATATATTCAACTGTATGATAGTAAAAAATTCAGGCTATTGTGACAGTCCGCAGGGGTGCCCTCCTATTTTTCATAGGGACTCGGGTCCTGATTAAGAAATAATAGCTATCTTCAATATTGTAAAGTTTTGCTCCATTACCACATAACGCCTCATACCAGTTTACTTTTTTTTCAAATAAATTTACCAAAATCAGGCCGACTTCATAATTCATGTTATGACAGGTTTAAAGGCTGTAGATCCACTAACTGTTTAGAAATGCGACAAGATTTTCGTAGTATTTGATAGGTACGTATAGCGGTATACTCACGATGGTTCTATAGTAGTACTACCTGCTTCATTCATCCTCGGAAACAAGTATTGATAGAATCTACCGGCTAGGTTTTAAATATTACGACGAATAGTCGAATTGAAACACAAACTTAATAGTTTTGTGGCATGGTATCTTATCATTAGATCTAAAATTCTCTAGCAAGTGGCGGTCCATCTCTTGTCTTTTGGCTTTTCTGGAATTTTATCGAAAGAATAGCGTAGCAAAATGAATACGGCTTATTTGAGGTTTACTTGATGTCTATTTGAAGTCTAATTGTATTCAATACCTGAGGGTACTTCGTGCCCTTGTTCGCAAGGCGTAAGAGCTTGAAATTTGAATCTCAATACTAAATGGAAAATACACAAGTCCGCGAATGTCAGGGTATAAGTGGGTAAGAAGGCCTACAGGGGTCTATCTACTATATAAGGGCGCTCTGCGCCGTCGAAAGAGAGTAGAAGCCAGGCGTTACTAGTTCAATATCATCCTTTTGGTCTACCTATCCTAGATATTCACTCTGTGTATGACATCAATCACCTGGGTATAAACCCCCTGACAGTGAACGCCATTTATAAAGGTCCTAGCTACGTAATACCTATTACTTCAATAGTGTGTAAAACTACAAAACTTCTCTCCACTGCCAGTCAACCTCCGAAACTTTATCGGAAATCACTAAATTATATTAAAAGGTGCCTACCTATATAACTGAGTTGTTGTGTAACTCATCAGATCATCGGAGGACGAGTGTCTATGTTAACAAACATAGATTTGTTTAATATATCAGGTATAAGGTAGATTAGCTGAGTACCTGATATAAGGTATTATCTATTAGACTATAAGACGTTACTGATATATCCGAAGTAAAACTGATTAAGCCTCTTAGGTGAAGACTAGGAGTGGATGCCTAAGATATACGCGAGGTCATCAAGAAAACCATTATAGACTCAAAGAGAATGTTATAGTATTTCTTCCATAATAAGCTAGAAAATATCTGCGTATTTTTACGGAGAGTAATTTGAAAAGCGCGTGATATAAAAGAACCTCGGACGTATCGCTCTATGTAGTCAACTTGATTGTTTACTAGTCTAGTGCCCTAGTCACACCGAAGTAGCTTCTATTCAGCAGCATACAATAAGTCCTACCATCTGGCTCACATGGTCTTGCTGGACTGTTTTCATAGGCTACCAAGGTAGTTATGTTGCTTGCTTATCTACCGTCTTGTTTGACGAACCCCATAATTAACCAAGACTTGTTTTAATCTAAATAATGGCAAACACATAAGATGGTGTTAACGAACAAATACATGTATATAGGGTAGGTACCTAAGCAGATATATTGTACAACTATGAAAAAGAATCTGTAAAAACCTCGCTTGCAGATGAGAAAGGGTCGAGGGGTTATGATGGGAAGGCTGTTGATGAGACAAAGGTAGATGCTTCTTACGGAGATTTAGTCAAACCTGATTCGTAGTTTAAGTCGTGTGATCACTCTTAGTTTCTATATGATTTGCATATGCAGGTAGAGAACTCCCAAGGCAGCCGACATGCTAACCGACTGCCTCATGCTGCGATCAGTTGAAACATGAAAATTCTTACGCAAGCATCGGACGATCCGATTTAAGTGATGGTCGCTGTGGAAGGCTTGGTGGCCTGCTCTGGCGCCACAGGAGGTCCACCCCTCTCCTATACGTACACTCTCCTATACCTACATACATGACGTGCAGTATGTATTTGGAGTCTATCGGTACCTCCATCACAGACTTCTTCTACGAGCATGCACTGTTCAATACCAGCTGCGATTTGCTTCTAGGATACTATAATCTCACCGCTACCATGTAGGTACATGCGGCCTCCGATGCCTCGCATGATGCATAGTTGATAATCAAGGCAGTGAGTCAAAATTTTAGCTTCAGCAACTACCTTTTTGATCGAGGCTTAGTTGCAATTGGAGAAATAAAAGCTGCAGATTTCGGCCAATAATTCGTAGCAATTGATCGGAGCTACCGCAACAAGAGATTTTCGCTACATTATGACAGCCTTCTATGTTATACTGCTACCTTGGAGATAAGGTGGCGAGACGAGTTTGGGGGCTAGACTTAGCAGAAGATATACATACATGGTGTATTGTACTTCCTGAGGCTAGCCTGAATCCGGATGCGTCCGCGGGAGTCATACAGGATTGATGCCTAGATAGCTTGATATCGACTTGTAGGACTTCACAATGGTCTCATGATATCACAAGTGAAGCTGTCGTTGTTTGTTCGAAGTAATGACGTTTGTGGTGAAGTCGGACCTGTCCGAATCTGTTTGATAATGAGCTCTCGATAACGAATGAATGTTTGCGGAAAACTTGTGGCCATTATCTAATAGGTACACAGCCACTTCAGCTAACTCAGCCTCTTCAATTGAGGCCAGAGTGGGTTGTTTCGAACCCCTCCAGCGTTTTTTAGTCGGCGATGCAAATCTGCCTAGCGTAGGGCTGAATCGTATCGTCTAAAGTCCTAGGCGGGGTTTAACCCAGCTAGGAAAACGGGATCTTTTCGCTTCCTATAGTCATAATAGAAACTTCTTAAGAGGTGACGAAATAATCAAAACTCTTTGCATCAAGATATTGGAGATATAGTCGGTTGCCTCTTGGATTTTCCTGGGGTGTGAGCCTGATCTCTTTTGGGGGCTATTGAATCCTTCCTTGGTTTTTGTTCTTCCGAGGACGAGTAAATGATAAGTGTATGTTACAGATAAGCGCGAAGGCCGTTGTTATGGGCTGTGGCACAGATGCCGTCAGCACCTTCGCATATCTAGTAAAGTGGTGATACCTTTACATCACTGAGGATTAACTTTAACGAAGTTTTACATATTCGACGTGCACATGCTGACGCAGCGCGTCGTCCAAAAGTAGTACTAATGACATGGTACGTCAGCTGTATTAAATATTTGGTTGTTCATTTCGCTACAAGTTAATCCGAATAGCCGGAAAGGGTTGTGATAAAAGCAATAAAAAAACAATTCTGACATTCTGACATTATTATCTACGTAAGTTACGAATAAGGGGTGGATTATTTTTGGCATGGCAAATATTGATTATGAACTTGTGACAATTTATTTAACCTGTACGCGTACCTAGGAGGTAGGTATGTAATAGGAAATATGTATTAATAGGTTGGGGTGTGCGGCAAATATCGCCAGATTCCGGAAGCGAGGATTGGGCATCGACAAGCGACACGGAGATGAAAATCCTTTATCATGCAATCGAAACTTGTCAAAGCTGAGCTGAGCTGAACTATGTTTGACCTTTTCCGTTATGCCCCCCTTTTCATCTCCGTTTGGGTATATACTTGGGAATTATTAAGTGTGTGTCTACAACGCGTTGTTTGATGATTACGAGCCCTTTTACCAATTGATGTATGTACCTATGCACCAATTAGTGCATGTACATGTAATAGTCCTACATATTCTTTTTTTGCTGCCTGGGATTAGTGTAGATTAAGATGTAGGTTAGGTGGTTTTTCTACATGCCTACGCTAGCACGAGTACCTACATTAGTTGAATATTAGCTGATTGATAATAGGTAGGCACATGTATCTAGGTACCTAATAGTAAGAAAAAGTACATACACTAATCTGTAATGTAGCCTAGAATTGGTACAAAACACGTGATATACAAACCTTGGCTAAACTGTTAATGGTCAATTGAAGAAGAGGGGTTTTCAAAAAAAGAATGACTCTTTTGTTTTTACACTTCTACTTCGTACATACAATTCATTGTACATAGGACCTCAGGTAGGTATGCAATATTTTTGACAGAGCAAACCCCGGACTTTTGCGCCTCACCAAAAACGGACAAATGATGAATTGCTAATTGTCGTGTTTCCCGTAAAGGTGTAACTTTCTACTTACACAAAAGGCACGTGTCCACGGGAAACATCAATGTTCTAGATCATCAGCCTTGGAGGTCAGATAGTTCTTACTTCTACTGTTGGTACAAATCCTTTTGCCGGTGTAAAGTGGCTGAGTGTTTCCGATCGGGAAAGTTAATTCTTGATGCTGTACCAGGTATACTACCAGGTAAACTACCCTGGTATCTATCACGGACTTTGCAGCTTTGCCACGATGCAACAACTAGCTACCCTGGGATTTGGAGTCTTGGACCTTGCATCGATGTGCGGGAAGGCTATGTCCTCCACATTTGACGCCAAATCACATCGAGGTCGATGACTCTCTCGGAACCCTTTTTGTCGACGAGATGCATCATAGCGGGTGCAAACCGTCTGCAAGTCACCACCTCTCGCATTGGTAACTACTAGGTAGCTATCAATCTAGCTCATCTAGCCCATCTAGCTACCAGGCTACCAAGAGCTTACCTTAGGCTGTCACCCCATTACCCATTACTGCACACTACATTCCACAAAATTGGACATGTAGCAAATGGGACGAGTCGAGAGATCCGTTCATGCACACCCTTTTAGTTACTACCTGTGTTCCAGAGTTCCTCTCCGGCAGAACTACTTTCTTATGTTAATTCTTAGAGTCACTCCCCGCGCATGTCTCACGTCGCGCTTTGTATCGTGCAAGTCACTATCCTATTTGCTTAATCTACAATTCTGTAGCAGTTGTAACAGATGTAACAAAAATCTCTTTACGCGCTGATATCGAACGAACTCGCCTTTCCAGCCTTATGAGAGGGGAAACGTTCAAGGGTCCTTCATCGGTGGCCCCTCTTTGGGTTGCCTCTTGCGCATCCTCCCGTCTCGAGTCTATCAAGAATAAAAAAGCTCGAGTGAGTGGCTGAAGAGGGCGATCAAAACTGGGATCCCTTATGGAACGAACCCACGCGGTCGACCTTGCAGCCCTTGCCATGGGTGGTACCGCGTCCATGGGTGTGAAGCTACACACTCAGCTACACACCCATCCAAATTCACCTTGTACCCCAGTCCGGTCACCCGTCTTCCTTGGGCCAAACACTGCCTCTCTCGCTGGCTGTGAACATTATTGGCCCCGTCTGGAAACATACCATTCCTTTCTGGTGCGCTACCAATGCGGAAGAATGATTCATCGGCCCTGGTAACGCAGGCACCCAAGGAGTGAACATGGGAGGGATGTCGAATCCCTGCTCGAAATTATTATGTACACCACAAGACGAGGGAAAAAAAAACCTACAGGTATGTACTTACAGAAAGTCCTAAGAATTTCGATACTCCCATACTTAAAGCACCGAACCCTACCCCCCCATTCCTGTTACTTTTACCTCTCTACAGCACATCTCGTTGTATCATCTATCTTGAACCACCTTACGGAATTCAAGAAGGTGTCAGTTACTAGGCACCAGTCACTTCTCGAAAGCATACAAATTCCTCAGGTTTCCCCTTCCATACCACCCAGAGAATTCCCTTCCCGATGCCCTCATGTCTCTAGGCCAAGAAACTGAACTCCCTATTAATTGTTCCGTCTCTGACACTGCCGACTGACCATACTGCCGTGGCATCTTACCCAAGGATTATCGTCAACAACTCTGTCTATAACCATAAACGTTCACCTGGATTAGTCTCAACTGAAATCATTCCGGCTCAGGCCAGCGTGTCGCTCGGATCGCATTCTATCAGCAACTTCCGAAGTAACCGTCCGAGACCTCAGATTATTCAACCCAACCCACCGCGCATTAGTCGCATTAACACATCACCAACCGACACGATGTGCCATAAGAACATTTTTACCTACGTTTACCCTGACGGGCACAGTGCTGAGCAGATCAAGCACGACTTATGCGCCAACTCGCGCCACGGCCTACCATGCAAGCTCACCAAGACGTTCCAGCACCCAACTGAATATGTCCGATCCGGTCAATTAAGCCCGCCAGGATACAACTTTGGCCAATTACCGCCCACTCCGCCACTCTCGTCTCACTCCGCTTCTGACTCGGAGCACTCTTCCAAAGGGCGATCGGGTGTCTACATCAATGGCGAAAAGGTCATCGATCTTAACAGGCGCCCGTCGCGACGCGACAAGGGTGAGCGCGTCGGTGACCATACAGTCTACGTTGACAGCCCACCGCTATCGCGCACACCACCCCGCAAATACGACATACCGCGCAGCATGCCTTCTAGCCCCCGCGAAGAGACTATCCGCGTGCGCGAGTCACGACACCGCGAAACGAGCCCAGACGAGCGCGAAAGGTCTACTTCATCACGCAGAAGACCCTCTATCGAAGTCAAGATAGTCAATGAACCGCGACACCGGCGAAACGGGTCTAGCAAGTCGAGTTCGCAGGATGGTGATGAGGAGGAGCGTCGCCGAAAGCGTAGGAACAGTCATGTTCGATTCGAGGACGAGGAAAAGAAAGAAGAGAAGAAGAAGGATGAGAAGAAAAAGAAAGTCCAATCCGAAATTGAACGCGCGAATGAGGATATCGCCAACCGGCCTCCTATCCCGACTACAACAGTACCAGCCAACACACGATACCGCCGGGGCTCAGTAGCCGTTGATCCCAACGATGCGGCGCTTGTACTTGCGATGGACCAGATAAGCTTGGAGCGCGAACGAAAGGCCAATTTAAACCGCGAGAGGCAGCGGCGCGAGAAGCGTGAGCGCGATGAAGAAGAGGCGCAGAGGCGGCGACTGAAAGACCGCATGGCTCCCAGTCGCCGGGCTACCGTCAGCGACGCCCGAAGCCTGGGGCGAGCTCGACAGAAGATAGTTTACGATGATGGAAGATACAGCTGGGAGTAAAACGATATAAAGCCCAAAAAAAAGGTCAAAATAATGTAAAACTCTTGCATGTAAAAGGATACGACTACGGCGTTGGATTAATGATACCTGGGCACTGCGATTATTACTTGGTTTGTATTGGATTTGTTTGGTTTGGTTTTTCCCTGTTTCGATAGACAAATGCATGGCTGTTTTTTTTTTTCTATTATTCACTGTTCAAGCCTGTATTGGTATCGCTCATACGCAACCGGTTCATCACCTTGGGTTTATGAGATTTTAGGGAACTGTACACCCAATTTTCAGAAACATTCATCTGTTTTCAATACTTATATCATTTATATATACCTGTATTTATCGTACCCGCGATATCACTGATATGTATGTAGTTATCGTAAGATAGTATTATTAGATTCGAGATACCCAATAGTTAGAGCTAAGTAGCTTAGCTGACTTAAGACATCCAATAGATTACTAGTATGTATATTGTTCGCCTAGTCGACGTGGAGAAGTTGTTGATATTACTATTTCTGTGCGACAAATAAATTGGTTCGATGGTATTTGTCAATGAGAATGCTACTGTCTGAGTACCTAGGCAACGAGCTACCCCTCCAAATCTCCAAAGAGAGTAAGGCGACTCGAAATGGTCGAAGGTCAAAAAAAAGACAAGGGGAGAGACAAAAAAAAAGTTGTGCGGGACACACATTTCGCTCTCCCTATTCATCCAAACAACCCCCTATCCCACACACACCCCCTGGTTCAACTCTTTCAACCCAATTCCCACCCACGGATATTACTCACGGCCGATTGCTGCCTGATTGGCCCCTCCCTGACCTTCTCTTCCCGGTCCAGCCCGTCGAACCCGTCTTACCGATCTATTTTTCATCACATCTTCTCTGATCTTCCCAACATCATCGTACATTATCGCATTATCGCATTATCGCATTATTCCACATCGAGGCCGAGAAATCCTAGTACTCAGCGATCGACTCCCGCTCGTCCCGTAGATCCCTCACCTTTGGCTTGGTTTGGAATAGTGACCATCCAATTTTTTTGTCCTTTCTAATTTCTTCTCTGCCCCTCCGAAGAATTACCCCCTCAATCTGTCCTCAATTTGGGTTCCCCCGTCAATCATAAATAACAATTCGCAGGCTGCCTACCTATTGGTCAGTCCACCGCCTACCTACATTGTGCTAGATTAGGCAGATCTGGGTCTCTTGCAGAACCGGAGTCCCATTCTCCTCGTGGGACTATATCTTGTTTACCACGGCATAATGCAAGTACTTGGCTACAAGAGGTAGGTATGTAGCATACGGACTTCTACACGTTTTCATCATACTCGATGTATACCCCAATTATCCACAATGTTTTGTTTTTTGTCTTAGGTAGTCAAGTGGTTGCATATTGGTATCGTAGGTTAGTGGATAGCCTGAGAAGGCAGACAGATAAAACCACATGATACCATCGTAGGAATGTCCCCGCGTCGCATTCCGCTTGTCGATCTTGTTGGCGAATGCCATCTTCGGGTCTAGACCAGCGCCGCCGTATTGTAGAACTTACATGAACCGTCGCTCACTGACATCGTCAACGGCCAGGCAGCGATCTGTGTGGCGAAAGGAATCATATAATGATAGAATGATCTTCTAGACGGATGGGTCAAGTTGGCTAGCCGCCTTTTACGCTCGGATTCGGGAGATCCCTTACGTCGCTATCCATATTCTTGACAAACTTTTTTTCCTACCTTCATAAAACCATAGCCAGCAGTTCTACCATTCCCATCGCCGGCGACGTTCCCACTGGTCGACGGCATGTTGCATCGAGCGGCTTGGCGGCCTAAAGAATTTTATAGAAATGATGGCATGGGATTGTCAAATTTCATGATACCGCACTCACTCGCAATCATAGAGAGAGAGAGAGAGAGGTGCCCCATCGTCCTCTCCCCATAGAACCACCACACCCAACCCAGGCCGGGATAACTAGCAAGACTCGAAGGGTCCCGTGGCTTGATATTCACCCACACTTGAACTTCTAAGTGGGGTGGAGTGGCGCATGCTCGGCGAGAGACGAATCGACCGTTGCTTGCTATCGGTCTCGGCTCGGGATCCGGGGTGTGACGCATGGCTACCTGCAGCACACCTAGGATATACAGTCTTGCTTATCCGCTATGTGGGTAGATATACCTATACACACATACGGATAGCGGTAGTGGGAAAGTATACCTAGCTCTACACGATCAGACGAGCACCGGCTCCATGCGGGGATGTGGAGAACGTCAGAAATTTAGCTTCTATGTGTTTATGTAGTGGTGGTTTGCTCTGAGACATGCGTTTCTGTCGAGTCACGCTGCGCGTCGCTATGCATACTTTACATATCCATGCTGAAGATCTTGTTAATCTTGCGTTATACTCCTCGTTATTGGCCAACCCTATAGAAGTAGATTAGGGTTTGGAGGAATGAGTTGAGTTTATACGAACGGGTGAGTCATTCTAGTAGTCAGATGCTGGTTGGATACCGTATTGTAAATCATCCTACACGATGTCATCAACTTTACTATATCAACACATGGTTATCTCTGCTGAAGAATTTGTGGGAGTTATTAAGGAGTGACGTTTATTTCTGCGTAGAAGTAGATTGTCTTATAAAGCCTTAGCAGTTGATACAATAGACTTATAAGTCTCGCTACGAATCCTTCGATATAGGTACCAATCTCTATGCGGACTATAAGTAGTTGAGACTAGTGCTAGGACTATACACTGAGCTACTAGATCGACTAACTCCCGTAGGTGCCAAGAACGCTATACTATTGAAGCAGCATCTCCCTACATAATATTTCGGTGAGTAACCGTCCACATGACTCCAGTTTACTAAACTATCTTAGCCACTCATATTCTTACCCCGGGCCCGGGGAAGCAGGTTGTTGGATACGCCTCGTTATTAGTCCAACTATTCCCAGATTGTCTATGAAGCTAGTTATAAGCTAGTTATCATTACAGAAGCTTAAACATTAGTAGCCCCGCTTGGTTTATAGTATTGTGAGGGCTCCTATAGAGATGTAGTATAGACAAGACTTATGTCATTGTAACGCTAGAATTTATTATTGCGCATTATAACTAAACTGTCGTTTACTCAAAACCTAGTGCTAAACAATGCTAATTAGGTGACATGGGTCAACTATCAGCTTCATTCAACAACCTACTATGTCCCCTGGTCTTTCGTATAGTTGAGCCCCTCGATGGCAAGACAAAGTTTGGTACAAGGAAGCTCAGCCACAGAGGGGTGACAAATTAATTCAACTCTCATGGTATCGCATAAGCAATGTAAGACCAGAATGCGCAGGCCAATTGTATGTAAAATAATAAGTTGTTCTCTAAACTTCGTTTCTAATAATGATTGATTTATTCGCATTTATATATATATATTGGTCCGATGCTCCTATATGTCTCAAGAGCGTATAATTCAGGGGCAAAGTTATAAGCAGAAGAAAATTGCAGCTGTCTAACTACCTTAGGTAGATAAGATTGAAGAATAACTTCTGAAGGTGCTAGTACCCTCATACTATGGTCCGAACTCCAGCCCGAAGACGTGCTCACGATACCACACTACGCCTCACGTCGCGCCCTATAGGCGTCTGTGAAATCGTGTCGACTATGTTCCATGGTACTTCGCGCTGCGATATCTAACTGTCAAGACTCGCCTAGTAGAAGAAATGGAATGGACTAATGGAGACAGTTCAACGCTATAAACTACTATCAAGGCTCTAACGTGCGCAAAATCACTGACGAGGTTAGCCTGCGTGGAAGTTTTATTGGCATATGTACTAGCAATGGTAAGTAAATACTTGAATTTTTAGATAAGGCTAACAGTTAGCGAGCTGACTCCTTAAATACAATATATTCAACAAGATATCAGGTCGCCTACGCGAGATAGAATCAGACTCAAATATCGCGATTAGCCGTCTTAAGAAATGGATGAAAAATTGTGCTGCGGACGTCCGCACTTGAACCCCTTACTCCCAATGCGTATCATAGATGTGTTTGCTTCCGACCGCAGGGTATCAGTAGTTGAAACTAATGGTCAAAAAGGGATAGTTATATGTAAATATAAGTCACTATTGGGGTACATCGTCAAGGTCAATGGCCACTAAGCAGCCTTAAAGAGGGTATCGCTGTATCTTTTCTCCCCAAGACGTTCCAGGACGCGATCAAGATTACACAGCGTCTCAGAATCAGGTACCTCTGGATAGACTGTCTATGCATCATCCAGGATGATCCTGATGACTGGGAAAAGGAGGCAACCACAATGAGCAAAGTCTATCGTAATTCCCACCTAACGATATCAACAGTTGCCTGAAAAGATTAGGTAGTTACTCCGGTTATTTCTCAAGACGCGAGAAGGATTCATACGTCACTCCTGCAACATATGGCTCGGGTATGGCACTCCAAGAGAAGCAACGGGGCCGAGCAGCCACGAACTAGTATACGAACATACGTCTAGCCTAGAAAAGAGTTTGATTTATCCGTTCGAGGAGTGGTTGCCGGGATCTAGCTTCCAATTCCCTCAAAGAATAGGGGTGGGATCGTTCGGCAAGAGATACAACCCAATCGCCAACGAGCCTCCCAATTCGTGGGTATGGACTCTGCAGAAATGTCTGCTCTCTCAGCGTCTTATCCACTACGCCCGGGACCAGATGTACTTTGAATGTGCGACTTTTATTGAGTCTGATCATTGAGTCCGAAGATAGGTTCACGTTTGGTGACATCTACTTTAGGATGAAACGCCTCCTAGGCACGCAGCGCATATCCCATAAGCAGCACGGGCTTTTCCAAGCATCCGGAATCTCTTTCATCGTCGGCTAAGAGCTTCGGGGGAAGTATCCTGGAATTAGGTGGCAAGGGGGATGGCTCTCCTTGGTCAAGAACTATACGATACGCAATTTGATAGTATAGCGCGATAGGCTCACTACGTTAGCTGATGTGGCGAGAGCTGTGGCAGAAGAGATAAGGGATTACTACTACGCGGGCTTACGGCAGAAGCACTTCATGGAAGATCTATGCTGGTGGATGTATCCCTACGAAGAGATAGAGGATCGGAGGGATGCGAAGATCACACCGCTAACGGGAAAATACTTGGGGACTGTCCGTAGGCCAGCCGAGTATCGAGCGCCTAGTTGGTCGTGGGCATCACTCGATAGACCTGTCAAGTATATCCTGTTATCTTTCAGAAATCTGGTCTCCTCGATTATTAAGTGCTCAACCGTTCCTGCCGGCAAAGATCCTTATGGTAGGGTATCGAGTGGTAAGCTGGATATAGAGGCAAGGCGGATTTTTCCAATAATAGTAACTCAGACGCACAGCTGGCTGACGCTTTAACAGGGACCCATATACGAAGTTAAACCCCATACGCCGAAGAAGAGGTGGGATTGACGCGGCATTCTGGCGTAAATCGATCTAGAAGATTACCGTGGTATATCGGCCGGGAGTTTGCATCTAGACGTACCAGAAGAGTCGATCTCGTACCCCTGCTACGCTCTGTTCCTGGATCCCTCGAAAGCGCTAATCCGGCGAACTAATGAGCTAGAAACTAAGCAGAATGAAGGGGGACTAAAGACTCGGATACTCTTGTCTCCAAGCCGGTCCTGACGACTCCCGATATCAATCGCAACATGGCCGAGCATCCGGAGATGAAAACTTTCGTTTTTTAGCCATGTACTAAGTTGTTCGCATCGGAATAGGAGTTTTTAACAAAGAGCCGATGAAGAATAAAGAGCATCTCGAAAATGAAGATGAGAAGGAGCCGGAGATGTGAGACGAGGCGAAGCAGGGAAAGCTGACACTAGATAAGATCCTACACGTTGAAGGAGACCAGTCGTGGGGGCCGGTTACGAAGGATGATCCCCAAATATGGGTAACGATGGTGTAATCATATTTGAGTTCTGTTATATAATCCAATTGTAAAAATTCATTGGTCAAGTCGCTTAACCCCTTGCTAGAAATAATCGCTTCCGCTGATGTGAAATAAGATACTCATAACCATACTCAAGATTAAGTATGTACAGGTAACTAATCAGTCCGGGTATCACATCAAAACTCGCTCAGAACCAAGCAATAACGAACCGCATTCATTATTCATTCCTCCGAAACTCTCCAGACGAGCTTCTCTCCGCTCACCCCTCCCGTCCGAAGTAATTCCAACGCCTTGGTAGCTCTCTCCAGCAGAGTACGTCCTTCAACCACGCGGATGCGATTCGGTACCACGTGACCTGCAGCCAGCATGTAAGGCATGATCTCTAGTTGCAGTTTTTCCTTGAAGAGTGGGTTCTAATTGGTAGGTTTGTGGTTAGTTTATGGGTGAGCTTCCGGAAACTTGGGAAGGGTTGAGACTTACTCTCCAATAAAAAAAAGTCCGCACTCCGCGTACATTGACGCCGTCTGCCCACTGGGCGCTGGTGCTTGCATCCATCGAGTACTCGGGTACATCTGTCTCCGTTGCGTGCTTTACGATGACCGGTAGCATAATCGCGACAGTCGTACCGCTCTGGGCGATCTTGGAAATCGGACCAACCGATCCATCTTGTGAACCGATGCAGTCGACTATCAATGGAAAAGCTGGGGCGTCCCCTTTCTTATATGTCTTCAGTAAATCATCGACTATTGTTGGACTTCTATAGTCAAAGCTTCTTCGACGCCTAATTTCTTCAGAGATTCGTGATGGCGCGGCGATGCGGTCGCAATCAAGTGATGGTAACCATAAAACTTTAGGACTTGGATAGTAAGTTGTCCTACAGAGGATGCAGCACCCCAAATCAATATCGGGTCATCAGCCCTGGGTGGGATGTAGCCTTTGGGCTTCGGCCACGGAGTAGGGAGGCCCAAGTCCGTGGAGATGGCATTAAACGCCGTGACGAAGTTTTCTGGTATCGTAACAGCCTCTTCCATCGATAAGTTATCAGGTATCTGTTGATTTAACTATTAGTTTTTATACCATGATATGGAAATTTGGTATTATCTTCGGTAAGCGTCACAAACCTTTCCAAAAACCCATTCAGGAGCAGTGGCATATTCCTGATGACTCTTCCACTTCGGTTGCTGATGAGCAAAGCCAATGACTCTATCACTAACCCGTAGGTGCTTCACATTGGGCCCAACTTCGACAACAATGCCAGCTGAAGTAGATCCAGTTCTAAATGGCGTTTCAATCAAGAGCCCGCCGTCTGCCTGATGAAGGTCCAAGGGTGTAGAAGCTGTCCACTTGACATGAACCCGGATTTCATCATCTACTGGTGAGATCGTGGGGAATTGATGTATCTCATAAGGGGCTCGGGGAGCTACGATGACAAGACCGTTATGTGTTGGAGTCGTCATGGCGTATTTCTTATATTCTTAACAATTTATCAATTGGATATTGAGTCAGTCAATGTCGCTGCCGCCAAGTGGTTCATTTTAGATCTACGAAAATAGCTTCGATTTTATATTCGAAGACGTGCTTACAAATGTTAACCTCCTTTCTAGAACGAGTGAGTGTATTTATAATCGATAGTATGGGGCTGTTATATAGAACCACTTTCACTAATCTTGTTTTGGGTCGTAGCACTAACGATGCTAGCTAACATGTTGTTTGGAAGTTTTAGAGGGTTTAGGTAATGGCATGATCAAATAGGAAGCATTGCGCGATGCGATCGAGTATAAATAGAGTAAAACAATTATAAAATGTTATTGAAGCTGGGTACCTATGTTTTATCACGGGTGTTCCTTGAATATTCCACAAGTTTCGATTGTTCTCATGTCCTGTTGATATATGATGGCCCCACTCTTACTTGTTAACATGACGGGAAAGATTGGATAATGAAGTTCTGTTAACTACCGATTTATATTAGTATAGGTACCTAAGTTACCTATCTATGTAATTTATTTAATCTGGTAATAAAATGCGTTATGCCTGTCGTTTTGGTTTACTCTGAGAGATTTCATGTGTAAGTTGAGGATAAGTGTTCTAGCCGCCTCATTGATACTACTTGAACATTGTAACACAACTCGGATGCGTGCCACTGCGCCGTTTAGGATTTAGGTTAACATAAAAGAGTTAAGATATTATAATTCGTTATTCTTAAACATAGTTTAGTAGTATAGGTGCTATGAGTACTCAATATTTTCCCTGGTTCCTGAACTCCATTCCATATCCTCTCTTAATATGCAACCTGTACGTTGAGCCCAGCTGATTCTCTTTCAAAGTTTCTATGTTGCGAAACTTGGTACCAGAACTTCTCCAAGAGTCCTGCTCCCTCCTTTGCGATCGTAACGGTCTCCTTCAAACCGTCAGGGGACACATTGCTCATGGTAACAACACCATATGATTCAACCGCCTGCTCGTTTGTCGACACTTGAATCTCTGGTAATGCGAAAGCCAATTTGAATAACTCGACTGCTTCGCCTGTACCTCCAATAGGCTTAAGATGTCCGAACGCTTCGCGGAGCCAGTGTAGGGCACGCCCGCTCTTAGAAAGAGTCTTGATCGATTCAGCACCGCCAGGAACGAAAACTGCATCGAACATGGTAGATCGCATCCCTTCAAGGTGGTGGTCAGGTTTCACACCACTGCCTGGTGTCTTCGATGCGCCAGCGGGGAATATCTCGGACCTGCGAGTTCCGATGGTGAACGGTAATGCACTAGACGCTTTGACCGCCGCCTTAATAGCGCTGTAGACAGTGTTGTCAAAGCCGTCTGCAATGATAATAGCAATGCGTCGGCTAGCAATCGTCGGTTTCGCTGGCGGGAATTCAAGCTGGCTAAGCTTACTAGTTTTCTTGCCGTGGTTCGGTCTAGTTCCTTTCTCAGGCTTCGGTCCTCCGACCAACTCAGCTACGGTCTGAGCAAGTTCCAAATCGATATCAGCTAATCGTTGGGTCATGCGCTCGTAGACAATGGGATCGTCACAGTGGTCTAGTTCGAATGAGAACGCGGCAGCAACATGACTCTTCTCCGGTTCGGACAAGCTGTTATAGAACAATTGGGCCTGGTTGTAATGCTCTCGGAATTTTACACTCTTGGATCGCGCCTTAATACCTTGGACATTGAAGGGGGGCTCCGGGTATGCCCCTTCTTGCGCAGTGGCCGGCGGCCGTGCCTCGAACCTGTTGGGCCAGTAGTTAACTTGCCCTTTAGTGATAGTATGTCTTCCTTGGCCATCACGGTTGAAGTTCATAACGGGGCAGACTGGTTTATTAATAGGAAGTTCTTGCCAGTTGACTCCAAGACGGGATAGCTGTGTATCTTGGTAGCTAAAGCTACGTCCTTGCAACAGAGGATCGTCCGAATGAGCAATTCCTGGAACCATGTGCGACGTGCAAAATGCAACCTGTTCGGTCTGGGGGAAATATTCATCCACGTTCTTGTTAAGTTCGAGCTCGCCAATGTATCGGACCGGGATAATATCCTCGGGCCAAAGCTTCGTCGCATCGAGAATATCAAAATCAAATTCGTGTTCCCGAGACTCTGGGAGCACTTGGATGCCGAACTTCCATTTCGGATAAGCGCCGTTCTCAATCGCCTCCCATAAATCCTTGCGATGGAAGTCGGGATCTTGACCTGCAATCTTCAAAGCTTCATCCCAAACTAACGAGTGGACGCCAAGGTCGGGCGTAAAGTGGAACTTGACGAAGTGACGCTCGCCCTTCTTATTAACTAGAACAAAAGTGTTTACGCCAAAGCCCTGCATCATCCTATATGATCGCGGAATCGCTCGGTCTGACATCGTCCACATGAACATGTGAGTGGCCTCGGTATGCATAAACACGAAATCCCAGAAGTTGTTGTGAGCTGACTGAGCCTGCGGCACCTCGTTGTGAGGTTCAGGTTTCACGGAGTGAACAACATCCGGGAATTTCATAGAGTCCTGGATAAAGAAAACTGGTATGTTGTTTCCAACTATATCCCAATTACCTTCCTGCGTATAAAACTTGATGGCAAACCCGCGAACGTCCCGCACGGTGTCGGCGCTACCGCGAGACCCTGCCACGGTAGAGAATCGAACGAAAACAGGCGTCTCACGAGAGGTATCCGTAAGAACTCCTGCCATTGATACGTCCTCGGCGCTCTCAAATAACCGGAAGGTACCAAACGCACCAGCACCTCGTGCATGAACAACCCGTTCAGGAATTCGTTCGTGGTCAAATCTATGAATCTATAGTAGAGATTAGTGATAGATATTAAAGCAATGGCAGTGGCCATAACCGACTTTTTCTCTAGCAAATGAGTCCTCTAGAAGCATAGGACCTGTCTTGTCATTGCTTGTTACTCGTAACCATTCATCGACATTGCCTATCTTCACGCCAAAGTCGGAAGTAATCCTGTCCTTGGGCGATACCGTCTGGGTAACGGTGTCAAGATCAGCGGCCTTGCGGCCTTTCTCTCCGCCAACCATACTTTTCACTTTGTCCGCTGTATCTGATATAATACTCGATGACATAAGGGGCAATTAGGCGAAGCCGAGTCAAGAGGATTTAATAAATTATAGTGAAGAGAAGTAAGACGAGAAACTAGAAACTTTGCCGATGCGTCTACATCTCCTTCTTGTATTAGAAATATAGATTTCTTAGTCCCGCATCTGTCCGCACTTCCAAGCGGACCTCAGTATCTGTAGGTCACCATCTCACATATAATTGCGTAGCGGAACATGTCATTGACGTCAAGAAACCATCACGACAGAGAAAAAGGCTGGGCTGAGACTGAATGCCGGGTTAGGTGTGGATATGGTAGAGCGATATAGTGGATTGATTTCCCAATTCACAAGTGAATCCCGAGTGCCTCGTGGAATTGTCAAAAGTGTTGATGTAATATATGATACTTAGAGCCGCCATCTCGTCATATCCCTGTCATCTTGAGCTAGACCGTTGCAAGAATGAACCAATCACAGAAGTCATATTAGAATGCGACCACCACATCGGGAAAGCTCGGTTATCTGCCGAGACTACGTAGCATCGTGGTCAACCAGTTGCCCAATAGCTTAGAAGGAATTAGTGATGGTGGTGGATCTCAAAATGACTTGACATACAATAAACGTGGTGTTTTCAGGGGCAAGAGCTCCTAATTTGTGGTCCAATTGACTATTCTAATTGGCTAATCCCCAAGTACCCAGTACTTTGTCCAACATATTTATCAGAAAATATTTTGGAAAAAACATTGGTGAAGTCTGGGCTCTTTTAAGTCCGATGTTGCGTGGTTGAGCCGAGGAGGGATTTATAGAAGAGACCTCCACGGTATACCCCCTTACACTACATCTTGTCTATTTTCAAGCTTTACTAGAGCAGATATGTCACAACAGGTATATATGAGAAATGTAAATGTATATTCTCAGGGGGGTGTCGAAAAGCTGGATGGTGAGGCCAAGAGTCCACAGCCACTGAACATGGCAAACGAGTGTTCGGGTTTGAACTACCAAGAATTCCTACCTTAGACAATTTACTTCCATAAGAAAAAGCCTAGCTATTTCCGCATATCATTCCCTCAAATCATGGGTATGAACCATCCACGGATGTCTTTACGACGGCAAGAGCAAAGACTAATACATATCTCCTAAAGCGAGGACACTTATCTAAAGAATGTTGGCCATTCGCACTCAAGGCAACTTCAAAATCAACCATGGGATACAGCACATAAGAAGAAACTTAAGTAATAAGACGCCCATTTTCACGAAGTAGATATTAAATCGCCTACGAGTACCATACGAAAACGCCATTCGCTTCCAAAGCCTTATCTGGGTATCATAAGAAAACTAAAAGCCCTTGATCCGGATTCATTTATCCGCATCGTCCTCATCCCCATCCCATCCTAACAGACCTCCTAACGAAATACCATACACCGCTATTGCCCAGGCTTCCTAGCGTAGGCAACCATTGTATCAAGATGGCTCTTTCAACCCCCATTTATATTGCCGTCTTGAAGCCGCACTATTATCCAGACTTCTTTGACCACCAGTAACCATTAGGTTTCAACTAGCACAGCTTTAATATTGCATATGATAGCCTGGAGGACCCGGGGTGTAGAACTGGTTCTGGGTTGATGGGTCCGCCTGGTTTACGAATTCGAGCGGGTCGGGTTGCCCCTGAGCTATCACGTTGCTTAGCTGGCCACCAAAAGACGTTGGTGCCGTAGGATTGAAGTTGTACAGATTCGCGGTATCTCGAATCTGGCTCAATCCGTCGGGTTTCATGGTCTCGGCTTGCGGTAACCCCATGTCTAAAGTAAAGTCCAATGACATATCTAAGTTACCAGCGGTCGGTGTTGGATCGGCGTGCCATCCGTAAGGCGTATAAGCTGATGAGGCATTGGTATTGCCCTGGAGAGAAAGGTAGGGATACGTCAGGCCCTGCAAGCGGGTTAGGATCTTGGCTATAAAGATCTTCCGTGGGAGAGAGTGTAGGTTGCATCAGGAGGGTATTCATATTATTAGGAGCATACCCCGCTGGAACCTCCTGATGTCCCTGCGATAGATCCTCCGTATATCCAGTATATCCGTTATAACTTGGATCTAATTGCAAGGTACTCTCTCCCGTCTCTATTTTCTCTGCCGTGTCATTGTCCGCCTGGCTGTCCCTTTTCCTCCTGTCCTTTTGTGCATCTAAGTGACCGGGAGTCTTGCCACGCTTCAGATCACGCCCGCGCCTCTTGGTGTTGGATATCTTGTTCTCAAAAGCTGTAGAGCGTTTCTTAACGTTCCCGTAGATTTGACCGTTTCGATCTACAAGCTCTCCGCTCTTGGTTGCTTTGATGCCGTTCTCTTGAGCAACTCGAATTCCAATAGCATTCTGAACGTCACGCTCTCCGTTCAGCTTTCGGTTTGTGGCCTTTTGCTTTTAGGGTGTCAGCTGCGTTTTCCTTTGATAATCTTATATCAGACTTACGTTAAGTTCCGTTCTTGGGCGCCAAGCAAGACGGTGCTTGAAAGTAGCATCTTTAAAGAGAGAAATAACGACGTCCTTAGACAACTAAGCCAGTAAGTGTTAATACAATAACCATTTTAGGGGATCATGCAACATACTCTAAGGGCGTCGCACACTGCTTCGAACCTCTCCATAAAGGATCCGTACGAGTTGTACGGGGGCTCCTTGCAATAGAGGTAGTTTGGAAGCCTACACTGTCCTATTTGTGCGTCTCGTGTCGACATCTGGACTAATATTAGCATGGGGACTTGATTCAAGGTTGTATACTCTTACCAATAAAGGCCATAAGGCTAACTCAAACTCTAAGTCAGCATAATTCCCTTGCCGGAGGCGCCTGACGCTCTGTGAACCCTCGGGTTCGTATGTTTGGCTGCAATCATGTGCAGCTTCAAATAGCAGCTTCACTAGCTGCTGTTGACTGTGGGAATCAGGTGGGAAGTCGGAACAATCACCCCTTGGGCGATTGTGGATTTTCAAGTATTGATCATTAACTTGACGGAAATGGCCAAAATCTTGGATCAACCCTTGATATGTGCCGCTATTCGAAGACATCATATGCTCCATTTGCACCTGAGTAGCTCCATGCGTATCTGTACCCAAAGTAGGTAGCATGGGTGCGCTCACACTCGTTGACATCGTCCGGGGTATTTCAATTTGCGGGTATGTGTTGATGTTATAGTTGGGGTGGAGCAGAGGTAGGACACAGAGGATTCTTGTACTGCTCCTCCAGTTGAGTGATATAACGAGTCTGGCTGTTGGAGAACATGGTGTTTAAAGGGAGAGCAAGTCGGTAAAGCGAATTGGTGAAGCAAGCTAGTAATGTGTAGGTGCTAGAAGTGAGGTAATGAGTAGATGGAAACGGCGGCAGAGAAGAATGGGTAGAATAGAATATCCGATGAATATTAGGATATTTGTTTAGAGTATGAAGGAGATGGGTAACTTCTGGTAGGGATGGGGGCTTGGGGGCTTCTGGTTTATATTAAATTGGAAAGAGGACGACTTACTCTAAGGGATCGTAACACGAGTACCGGTTATGTAGTGTCGTGTGAGCAAAAGCAAGGATAGCAATGGTAGGAGCAAGTGGGATAGCAAAGAGGAAAGAAGAGCAACTGGTGATTGAGCAAAGTTGTGGATGGTGAGTTAGAAGATGGGATGAACAACACGGGATTTGTCTAGGTTTATATGTGTGACCTTGGTTCCCACGAAGGGGTAGAATAGAAGGCACGTCTCCCAATTTGGAAGTTATCGTGAGTAACTTCAATAGGAGTAGATCGATGCTACTAATGGACATGACGCAGGGAGGTTTTGGTATCTGCCAATCATAAGGCGGAAACCTACTAGAATTCCATCAATTGGTAGTAATTAGACCTGATGGGAATCAGAGCGGAATAGATATTATCTCGTGACTTGGTACTTTATCTGAACAAACAGCATCATGTTCGATAATCTACAAGAGTAAACTTGCACTAAGATTGTGGACCCACGTCTTACGGAGGCTGTGATTTGACAAAGTCACATACTAACGGGATGGATTGGACAGAACTGAAGCAGGACACAATAGATAGAAGGAACATGTTGGATATAGCAGCCAATAAAACAGCAGAATAGCTTTGGTAGCGAGCAAGTTCGTTATCTAAAGGAATCTGATATTCTAGTAATTACGGGGAGATGCTGAGTTGTTTAGTGGATTGAATGGATTTTTCCTCAATTCTAAAGAAGAACCTGAATTGGAATGGACAGATATTCTACGAGGGCTATCTGACGAGGAGGGATACTTGACGGACGTGTGAAGACGAAGTACTACACAATCCTGAGTAATTGCTAGCCTCGTGATTTGGTTATCAAGAAAGGGGGTGAGGCTAGATAAACTATTAGCACATAGACCAAGACACATCAAAAGCTGCCTGGTAGGAATAGGAATATTGAACGTGTTGGAGAGATCGATTTTTTTAAAAAAAATTTTAAGGAAATAATATGTGAAATAGCATGTCATTATATTTAGTATATTAGGAAGATAGTCCATAGTAATGGCACAACGGTCTTTTTGTAAGAGAAAAAAACCAGGACGAAAAGATTGAGGGGTAGTGATAAACAATTATTCCATGGTACTGGTATATTTACCTCCTAAGGCATTACATGTTCACTCAAATTCGAGAGGTTAGGCAGTAGTAGATCCCTTTTAGCGATATTTTGGGGTGAGGTTAGTAATTCTATGTCAACGATACTATGGTCAACAATACTTAGGTATGTTTGCTACTTCTGGTGTTTACCCCTTTATGTTTACCCCTTTTATTTATCATCCACCAAGTGAGTCAGGTAGGAGAGATAACATACCTGCGCCTCAGGCCTTACTAAAAAATTACCCACAAAGCCAGATAAAATACATTCAGATTGAACAGAGAGGACCGTCCAATTCCCTCTAGGACTAGTTATCTGTTCATATCCTAGAATTCTTAATTCAAGTCCGTGAGTTGTAAATCTATGTTAGTAACATTTTTTAACTTCACCAGTTAGGCACGTGTAGACAGCTGTAGACAGCTGTCACCACCTGACGTGTGTGCTGATCCACTTGGCCACTGCTAGTAACACTTCTAAACTTGAAATGGATCCATATTGAAAAACGTTGAGTGTGTATCACATTTTTGACTTACTTTGTTCCCCATTGAAAACCTAAAGGAGTTTTCTCGGAGTTTTCACAAAAAGCGTGCGTCTACTAAGCACATAAGGGTGCTATTATTCTTCCAATTGCCCAGAAACATGTCGAGATGGGCCGTGGAAGGTTCAAACAGACAAATAGCCATGATATTGCAAACGTAACAACCTATAATTACATAGAACTCAGGAGTTTCAATTTATTCACCAGGTTAGAAGAATCTATTGAAATCAATAATTTCTAACATTTTTTCTTTTTGCCAAACAAAAAAACAAGCGCAAGCGAAATATTAAGCTAATTTATTCAATGGTTAAATACTTACAATACTCAGCTCTCGGATAGTTTTATAGAGGGAATCCGGTAACTCCAAATCAAGTACCTAGTTAACTTATGTCGCAGCCACCAATGTCGAGAATAAAGCTCGAATTGGTCTAATATCGTCACAGTTCTATGTGGTTTCATCCAAGCGGCCTACATGTCATTTTCTTGGGTGTTATAAAGAATGTATTGACTATCAACGTTTTGCGTTATAGCAATATGGGTATCTTGCACCTTCAACCCCCGTTTTAGAAGTAAGTGTAGATCTATGGAATCTAGTTCTGGTCGAGTCCAGGTCTATCTAACCAGTCTACTATCGAAATTAGTCTGGAGCAAATCTGGCTCCACAGACTTCGTTAATCGAAGCATTATCAAGTTTATGCACCGGTGGTTGTTGTTACTGTCAACCATATTATTGGTACCAACTAGAAGCAGTAGAAAGAGTTAAACCCTTAGTTCTCAATCTCCTCGCGACTTCCGGCCTCATCACTCTTCCCGCTCTTTTCACTGTAAGCCTTCTCGTGAACAACACCAGCAGGGCCAGCAGAACGCGCCGCACCCCTAGCGGCAACATCGATAAGTCCGTACTTAAGAGCTTCTTGCTCGACCTCCTCGGGACTGAGAAGAGGTAATTCTTCCGCAGCCTTGACATAAGACTTATTCTCAACGAATCCCTTAGCGAAGATGATGTCAATCTCTTCCAGGGATCGCTTGGCTGTTTCAGGGTAAAAGAACCAGATGATGGGCAAGAAGCAGGCGTTAACGACGGCAAAGAACAGATAAGTGCCCCAACCAATGTTGCTGATCATAATCGGCGTGATCATGACGATAAGGACTGTAATAACCAATTAGTTACCGATACTTATAGAAAGGAGAAAGGAGTTTAATAAGCTTTGCCCGACGATTCGGGCAACGACCTAGTACCATAAAATAGCGATAAAGGAGACATAAAATTAATACATACAGTTGAATAGCCAGTTAGTGCAAGTCGAAGTAGCGTTCGCCTTCGCGCGAGTCTTGATGGGGTTGATCTCAGCAGGATACAACCAGGGGAGCGGGAGCCAAGTTGCGCCAAATGAGGCGATGTAGGTCTGTCAATAAACTATTAGCAAATCTCATGTAGTTAACAGATTCCATGAATATGAAACTTACGAAAAGACCGACAGCTGCACCCTTAGCCGCGTTGGATGCTTGACCGGGAATATGAGGACCAGGAATAAGACAAGCGAATGTCAGAACCATCGATAGGCACTGTCCGATAGTTCCATAAAGGAATAACTTTCGTCGGCCAACCCGCTCGATGATAAACCAAGAGGTCGTAGCAAAGATAGCGTAGACAATCATGTTCACGCCACCCATTAGTAGTGCCATGTTCTCGTCGCCTGGAGTGATGCTGTCCTCAAAAAGAATAGGGAAGTAGTAAATGACTGCATTGCAACCACCTATTTGCTGCATCAACTGACTGCTGGAGCCAAGCAACATACGTCGGAAATGTTGAGTCTTGCCACCAGTAAAGAGGGCTTTGACCGGGGTGCTCTTCTGGCCGGTGAAGCCACTGGCACGGATAGAATCCAAGATGATGTCTCGTTCCGTGTGAGTCTCTTCGCTGCCCATTTCAAAACCTCGCAGGGCTGAGATGACAGTCTCGGCATCCTCATACCGCTCGTGGGTGAGAAGCCAACGGGGACTTTCCGGCAGGAAAACCATAGAAACGCACACGAAAATACCAAAAATGATCTGGAAAGCGATAGGGAAACGCCATGAAAGGTCTTCGCTGCCAAAACTGCAGCCATAGTCGATCCAGTATGCGATTACAGTACCAAATGCGATAATACCGCCTTCGATACAGATAAGTAAACCTCTGTTGGAAGTTCTGCTACATTCGGCTATAAAAATGTTAGAATTGGTATAAAAAACTAAAACATAAAAGTCCACATAGCGCCGCATAAGAGTTACGTACCTTGATAAGTTGGAATAGTGGAGGTGTTGATACCATTGCCGACGCCAGTAACAACTCTACCAATAATGAATTGAGCTAGCGGTTGATGGCCCGGGAACGAAGTGACTTGAATTGTGGCGCCGATAATCATGATAAATCCTCCGAGTATCATTGCCTTCCTTCTGCCAAGTAAATCACCGACTCCGAGAATAAACATGGCGCCAATGAGACATCCGATCTCGTAAATAGCGGTGACAAGACCTTGCATAGTCGGATTGCCTTTTACTTCTGTGAATACATTTGAGAAATGGGTCGAACCAATGATACCGCTCATTCTAAAACCGGGTCAGTATTTTTGAATTATGCTAGAGTAACGTTATTGAAACATGATGCGACCCGTGCACGACAACGTCGCGGTCGATGAACATGTACAGGTGGTATCATAGGGGACTTTGGGTGGTATTACAACTTACACTCCTTGATCGTAACCGAATAGCAAAAATCCCGTAGTAGCCACCGTACTGACCATTATGGACAGCGACCCCCTGAAGGCCCATGTACGTCGGCGTTGTCCCCGTCGCCGCCGCCATGATGAATTATACGGTTCGGAGTTTAGTAAAAAAGAGCCAACGCGTTGTAAAATATCCGAGGGTTCACAATTATGCAGGCAGATCTAACAAGATCTCTCTCTACAAGATCTCTCTCTCTAATGGTGGCCTCGGCGAAAATGAGGGGTGAAATTTGACCGACTCCGGATTTTCAATCTAGTACCAGACTGAAGGGACGTATGGAGGTGTGGGAGTAAGACCTGGAGAGTCCGGAGAATGGCGGGCCTGACCCTCATATAAATGATGGAGAAATGATCCAAGTTTGTTTGCTGACAAAGGTCATTAGACATGCAGACACTTAGACACTGTATGCAGACAAAGCCAAGGAGATCAAAAAGGCTCGTGAGAGGTGGGAACTGTACACGCAGACCACGCTAAACTGAACTTTTGCACGAGAACTACAGATGGCTACAGATGGCTACGGCTACGAAAGGTGGTACTAAGGCTGGCTCTCAGACTCATCCTGGATCTTTTGAACCAAGCTTGAACCAAGCTTTTTGTCCATGCGTACCAGTTGGCCAGTTGGGATTACAACTCTGCAAGGCCCTGCATGCCTGTTGGACCGGGGCCGAGCCAACCGCTGATCTTGCCGATCTCTAAAAAGTTTCCCTTTGGCTACATTTGGCAACCTTTGTTAGTCATGGATGTTGGTGGAGTCGAGTGAGTCGAGTCCCAATACGTTTATACGGTTGATTTCCGTGTTAGGCATGCTTTCCACTTGTCATGGTATGACGACCGGAAAGATGAGGTCATATCCTTAGTATCCTAGCACGTCCTAGTATTGCCCGGTCATTGTCCCATTATTCCCTCGGTTCGGCTAAGAGGATGCTAAGAGTAAAATTTGGCATTGGGCTGAGCTAACTGGTTGAATTCAGGGGTCCAGCGGCATTCCCCCATGTAAGGCATGCAAGGTAACGGAATGGCTTGCCTTAGATACCTAAAAATCATACGCTAGCATCGGTCTAGTCCTCAGTCTAGTCCTCAGTCCGTTTAGTTCATCTTCAAGTCTCTTCACCCCCTTCACCCAGTCAGGCCAGTCAAAATTCAATTTAGCAAAACTCGCCGATAAAGCTTTGTTACTAAAAAGAAGAAACGATGTTGTAATGTCATACATGATACACGAGGTAGTGTATTGTTTTTCTTTACATTCAATGAATATATGATGAAAATGCTACGTAATAAGAGGAATCGAAACGTCGTAACTAGTCCATCTATGTAAAGAATGGCTTATCGACAAAGGTTTAAAAAGGGTGCGACTACTGGGCTGACAGAACTATTATATACAATATGTACAATCATTATACATTGTGGCGTTTTCGGCTTTCCCAAGTAAGTAGAACCGGCTAACTAATGTATGATCGTCACCGACTATTGCCGTTACCGTTCCCTGAATCCTTCAAATCTCCAAATCTATGCGGGGGTTAGGAACGACCTTTTTTTTCCCCCTCGATGGGTCCTTGCAACTTCTTGGGGGTACCCCAGGCTTTTCCACCTCTCCCACCGTTCCCCCCCTCGCCTCGAGTCCCAAGAACCAAGGATTACCAAGACAAGGGGGCCCTATCAACCACAGTAGATACCCCCGCTGTAACCGCACACCGTGGTTTTTACGTGGGGCTCCAGAGTGGATGATAGAGTGGATGATTTAGTGGAGGTTTATTTCCACTACACGCTCAATACCCAACGAGATCCAGCAATCCTCCTCCTTCAGGGTCCACTATCGCCATCTAATAGCCCTATTGCCCGGCCAGAGTTCGGTGAGATATTCCAAGGTCTTACCTCGTTCGAAAGAAAGATGCATCGCGGATGATACAGCCTGCATGAATTCTCAGGTATTACAACTAAAAAAATCCCAGGCGCGCCACATGAGTGAGAACTGACGAGACTTGTGCATGAGAGATTCTGGTTGGAAGAAATTCGCAATCAGATGCCCTCCTTCCCCAGGCGCACCAACAATCGCCTAGTTATACTCAAACAGGAAGATGATGTTCAAAAGCTGTCAAACTGGCAGAGACGCGGCGCCGCTGCATGTTGACCCGAAGGTTGGCTGGCTGGTTGGCTGTAAGTCCACGCGGCTGCATTGTTCTTCCAAGTCTACGGGATGAGCTAAAGCACGATTTTTACCGGCCGGTATCTCGCGTCAGGCTGCAAGCATGAACTAAGATTCATGTCGATCTGCATCAATCATAGTCTGTGGCTTTTCTGTTTGCCAGAATCGAATTAGTGTAAAACATATAATTAGAAATAAATTCCACAATATTAGTTAAAATCTCGAAAGAAATAAATAATAATAATAATCAACCAAGTTTACGAGGTTTGCAAAAATCCGTACGTAGCAACCAGTAATAATAGGAGTGGGAAATGCAAGGCACGATTCCTATTAAAATTTGTAAGAAATATTCGCCATGTCCGGAAAAAACTCGCGTTTATTTGGAGAAAAGACAGGCAAGTTTCAGCTTTTCAAATTTCTCATTATAGTAAGCCGGAAGATAGATCTTCATTCTAACCAACGACGATAAAAAGGGGGTACACATGGTATATATAATACGAGCACTCCAATACGCGGCGCTTAGGTGGCTCGACAACGTGAAAATGAAGTCATTATGCATACGAAGGATTCTTGCGAACATTAAAAATTCGAGCTATCACATGCTTATCTTAATGCTTTTTTTTACTAACTATATACGAAGGAATGATATGCGGATAAGGGTTTGTATGTAGTATAGTGTATACACAGATCTAGATATTACGAATACAATGCACGTGGAACTGAAGTAACTCTCCCCCTTACATCCTTGCATCCCCTTACGGCGTGTAACGGGCCACCAAACTTCCCCAGGACCCTGTGAAATCTGGCTGTGTGAGGATGTCAGTTCCATCCCCGAGGTGGAGAGCCGTCTGAGTACTCTTTGAGCATATACCGTATGCTTTGAGGTTTATCGGTGTCTCGGAAATCCAATGCATGTGGTCTGCCGTGGAAAAAAAAAAGTCAGTAACTTATGCAGGAATAGGAGATTAAATGACTGCTTCTTCTTAACTTACCCTGGCAATCTCCCGAACATCCCTGGTAGCCCGGGCCGCTAAAGAAGGCCCAGGATGCGGATGCGTACGTGAATATATCGGAGCCGCCTTGGATGTAGTTCGCGAACCCCATTCGGCATCTTTTATTTCCATCATCACACACATGAGAAATCCGGGTCTCCCCAGTTCTTCGCATCCGGTTTCCAAGGAGATGGCGGTATTTGCTGAACATTATCGCCCTGGTCATAGTTCGTCTCCGATTGTAGCAAGCTAACCATAACGTTTTTCGCGTTTCGCAAGTTGAGTTGATACAGCCACCAATGTTCACTGCCGAGCGCGTGGAGCCAGGTGCCCTTGGTAGACTCGACAAGCACGCCGCCCTTTGCAGCTATACTACAACCGCCGCTCCCTTCGGTGAAGTGGTCGGCAACCCAATTCCAAACATTCTCAATGTACGCGGATGAGCTAGAGGTGAGATGTAATCCAATGAAAGCTGCCTGACATTCGTTGCTCGCATCGCCGCAAGCGTCAGCAAGCGCAGACGCTCCAAGCGTGCCACCGACGGTAATTAACGAGTTCCACAAGGCCACATCACCGGGGGACGAGCCTGCAATATTAAATTGCAGAATAATAGCACCAGGAAGGACATCGGAGACGGTGAACCGCATGTCTTGGATTTGAGCCGTTCCAACGTCGCCATTTTTGCCGACAGAGACAACCGGTTTCGGATTAGCCGAGTCCTTGAACTTGTCGCCGTTACCAGTGATCGTCGCCCAAGCCTCGCCAACAATACGCGAGCCTTTTGGTATAATTAAAGTATCGTCTACTCTATACTTGCCGAATGGGAAATAAGCAATCTTGTTATGTCTGCCGCATATTGTAATACTTGGTTAAGTGCCCCCGACTCGTCCACAGTGTTGTCTCCAAGGTACTTTGTGACCACCATTTTGGCTGAATCTTCACGTTGATAAAGTCCGAGACAGGGTTCTTTGCATAGCTGGGAGCGGGGACAACTGGGATACTTGCCATCCGGTGCCAAAGCAGCGGGTCGGTTCAGTGTGAGGACACGGGGCCGTAGATAGGATTGCCATTCACGGTGTTTCCGTATGACTAGTTATCCACATGGCTTTTAGGACCTAATGCCGTTTCTCCCCGTACTTGAGCAATTCTGAGTTGGTATCTTGTCCAGGTTCTCAAAAGGAATGATGGGTATCCTATTAGCCTCTCGTTAGTTTCTGTCAACTGACAGTGTTACGAAGGGGTTGTGACCGTATTCGGGTCTCGCGAATAAAACGCATTGAAAGTTATGGAGTAGAGAAATTATAAGGGGTCAACCCCGTGGGGTCTCCTTAGTAAGAACGACGATCACTGACCTGAAGTTGCGAAAGTCACGCCAGAACTGATGGATTTTGCGTCAATGAGGGCAATCCACGGGGAACCACCGTCATGCCTAACTGCGGTTCCCACGGTATCGAACGTCGCGCCGATAATACTAATAGTATTCCCGCCGTTTATCAGCATACCAACCGAGTTTTCGTAAAAATAAATGCTCTTGTAAAGGGCTTGCTGATGGCCATTATGCCAAATTCCGTTCTTGATCGATTTTATTAGTAATTTTCCCACCATGTCAACTGGAAGAGGGTTCTATGCTAATTACCTGGCCGTGTTCGACTCGAACGTCAGCTAGACCGAGAGTAGAGCCCCTCCCAAGTTGGATACCAGTATGTCCATTGCCGTTAACAGGTGATGCCATAACAATTTTGATATTCTGCAACTGAGCGACTTGAGCAACTCCCCAGCCGAGTGCAGTGAATTCGTTACCTAGTAATCATTGTTAGAAACAGGCCCAGGAACTCGTCATAGTACCAGAACAATATTACCTCCTGGAATACTAGTAGTGTCAAGTATCACATTCTTTACTCCAACCGCAAAGGAAAGTTCTCCTTCCCATCAGTTCCCGGATCCTGACCTGTGACACATAGTTAGAAAAATCCACGCTCTCTTTTATGGTAAGACGGGCTTACCAGATAGAAGGGTTTGCTCTCCCGAGAAGCCGGCTGCGGCTTTAATTATAGGCGGCTGACAAAAGTTAGTGAGTATAGGCGGCTAGAGGTAACTTATACACTTACATCTGTGGCATCACCCATAAGAATAGTATCGGTGTTCATGCGGATGGTCTCGCTAACTTCGTACGTCCCAGGTGGGATATATACTACCTAATTATATCTTAGCCCGAGACCGATGACCTTTCATAGTAAACTCATACCCTTGGTTGAGACGCTAGCCATTGGGAGTTTCGCGAATTGCCATTTCCCGCGTCTTTTATGGCGTTCGCAATACCAGGACCATCGCCAGGCTTTACAGCAATATATACAGGATAGCTGTCATCGCCCAGGTCTGGCGCATAGCCGCGACCCTGGCCCGTGTGGTCCATATTAGCATACCAGAAGCTAGTGGCCCGCTTAGAGATGGTTTCGGTGTCTCCTGGACCCGTGGGATACTGTAACATGAAGCTCTGCCCAGCAGAGCAGCAACGAGAAGCTTAAGGACAGCCATATCGAATATTCGTTAATGTTGTATGAGCCTATGTTGAGACTCAGCAAGCTAGCTAAGATATTTACCTCGCAAAGCTAGCGAGTGAAGTTATATATATTTGAGGCGGCATTGGGCCAGACGCTGGCGGCATTTCTAACGGGGCTTATGAGGATGAGGTCCGTATACGAACTTCGCATCCGGAAGCTGCTTCTGATGACGCCAGCAACACCTAGGGCCCTGAATATTCATACAATCTAGCTGTTGAAACTATGCTAAAGGTTCATGATGATGCCAGATTATTTGATTACGAAGAAGTCGAATGGAGTTTAACATTTACCTCTACATATGTAAGACTTACGGCAGTCGAAGATGACATTTCGCCTTGTAGAGGAGGGCGATCGTTGTTGTCCTTTCCCATTAGCTACCTAATTTATGGTTTTCCATTATCGTTTCCATAATAGTTAGCTCCATTGTCCAATAAGGATAGCACATTGCATCCATCTCACTTTACTTCTCACCGTAGCATCAATTACACCACCCCCCCTAAATCTTATGAGAGACTTTGACCTTGCGTAAACTAATCGATAGTTTAATAATTTACTTAATTCTTCACCTTAAAATATTGATGCAGATCATATAGAAATAACCTACTTCACGTCATGATGACATATCCCGTGAAAGACTTCAAGTCGGTTATGGTACATCGCAAAGAGAGCCATTATATTCTTCGGGCAATTTAGTGAAAGAGTTACCCCGAATCTACTACGTTTCAAGGTAGCTCCTACCACTATGTGGCTATTATAAGGTAGGTAGGTGGATTTGCAGTAGCCCGATATAGAAATAGACCTTCCCTTTTGAAGATGGCCAAGGTAAGGGAACGTAGCAAATTGAGCTAACTTTAGATTTGACAGGTACCTTACCTAGGTATTTATGCAATCCTATAATATCGAAGTTCTTTGCTTTACGAAACCTTCAAATTTAATTTCTGCGGCTCAAACGCAAGCACTGTGTTGTATTAAATAGATAAACTTATATATGTTAGTCAATTATTTTGATTGAGTACTTGGGCTTGAGATATATTATTAACTACGTTAGGTACTTAATATAGGTACTTAATATAGGTACTTAATATAGGTACTTATATATTACTTATATTTGTTACTTATCATCTTCTTTCAATAACTAATGTTTAAACTTGTAGCATTCAACTCATACTAAAAACCTAGATACTAGGAAGTAATTGTCCCCAGAATATCACCCTGCTTTGAAGTTCTGACTCAGCTACAAAACTATTATGCGCACATGATCTAATAAGTTTGAGATCGACGATGAGCTTTATGATTAATGAAGACTAAAGATACATACATAGTACTGGGCTTTATCAAGTTGCTACGCCGATCAACTCATGTAGCTTTAGCTGCCTGATAGATTGCATGAACTCTCGACGGCAGTTTTTACGTCCTCAAATTGTTTGCTTTTCTAGCAAACGTGTACCCGCTTGCCCGTTTTGATACAAAGAACTAGCAATTCGGCGTCGCCCCGTTCTTGATTTCCCGTGTAACAGGAATATGTTAAGAGGTACCTATTAGCTTCTGGGACTTGATCTGCTTTATGTCGATCCATGCGATCTAAACATGTAGGGAGGGTCTGTTAGGAGGTAGGTAATGGGTTAGTTAGTTCATAAGAGCTTCTTTTCGACTCTGACTAAAACTACACCGACCGAAAAGAATCGACCGGTCCATAGTTATTTTGGGCCCATATAACGTTAAGAATTAGTGCTTTCTAGCATATTAAAACGTCCCTCGTTTGTCCCTGTCGTTAGGTCCTTCTTAAGGGATTCATACCAAGCTTATGATACTCTCCTCGGAGTCTACTCGACCCTTATCACTCAATTGACATCCTTGTGCCCCCTTAGCTGTAATGATCTAGATCAAGATAAGACAAAGATATAATTTTACAACGATGTTGCCATCTATAATATATAGTAGTATAATAGTAGGAACCCGCCCCAACTTTGGAATTGCCCTTCAACTCGGCCACCATATTGCGTCATAACCCACCCGTCACCCAAAAACCAAAAAAAACTGACACCTATTGCGGTTTAATCTATGGGACGAACCAGTCCATATTGATCCATATAGAGTGGCTTGTTAGATGTAGTTATGTAGCTGTATACCCAAGTTAACGCAATGAATGACTAGTAGCAACGGGTAAATAAAGAAGTAAAAAATGATTGATACTTACGTGCATCGTCCGTCATGCTGGCGGTCAACGCCCCCTCTTGTAGCCCAGAGGCTCTCCATCTTAAGTCGATGAGGATTCTTCGGCTTGCCCTCGGCAATTCGCTTCTTCTCAAAGTAGACATAAGCAGTATAGAAGACCGGGCTGGTGCATCCAGAAGTGGCACCTTTCTTGCCACGGAAATCAGCAAGTTGCTTCGACTGAAAACATTTACCTTTAGGCTGTCTGAGTTGTGCATATATATCACGGCAAAATTGTGCAGCGGTCAAACCCGGCGTTTTGAGATGCGCGTTGATCTTCCTGCGAACTTCGTCACATGTGTCGTATACTGGAACAGAATCTGTTTCTTCACCAGGTAGAGAAACGTTGTTGATATCCGTCCCGGAAACTAGTGGCACTGTCGCCTTGCTGGCGCCACTGGACCCTGCGGCAGCAGCAGCAGCAGCTTCGGTCTTCTGTCGCTTTTTCACATCCGGCATCTTGAGACCAGCCATCTCTCGCTGTTTGAACCATTGCCAAGCGACATTATAAACCATACTTCCGGCTCCATCCATACTTCCTCTCTTAGACAGAAATAAATTGATGCTTTTAAAGTTGCTGCCGATGGCATGGCAGAACTCTCCTTTCTTCATGATGTCGCTATCCAAAAGCTTGTTGATTTTGCCCCTTACTTGGTTGCAACTCATATCCATGAACAGATGATCAGTTTCGATATGGGAAAGGTCCTGCTTGTATGCGGCAATATCATCGTCTAGCGACGTTTCTGACTTGCGTTTCTTGCCAGCGGTAGCAGCGACCTTCGGGGCCGGTACAGCGACTTCGGTTGCGGGAGGTTGTCCAGCAGCCTTCTTGCCGGACGGCGGAAGAATAGGGGTCTGGTTTGCCCGACTACTAGCATCTTGAAGAGCTGGCCGCGCCGCCTATATTTTAGTTAATGAATCAGAACCATCTTATTAAATGTGGGGCTTACTTTACCATAGAGTCTTTCGTTGCCATAATTGTAGCACCTGAAGTTTATACTTTAGAGCTCAATTTATGTAAAATTATAACTGTAACTAGTTTGAAAAAATAAATCTTTCGTTGTAGAACTATCAAATAGAATAACAAACATAATATAGAGACGTGACGTGACGTGACAGTTTACATCGAGATCACTAACACTACGCTACAACGCGGTGGTTCGTGCTGAATAGGACCAAGCTTTGACGCTAACGATAATTGACGTCACTTAAATTTCACTAAGACCATTTAGACCATGTACCTAGGTACCTAGACTCAGATAATCCTAAACTTCCCCTTTCCCAACCACGCTTTCCTAGTAATAACTCTTAAATCATTTATCTGAGGCGGCGGTTCTGCCCGGCGTTGTTACGCTTCTTCAAACGGTAGGTAATTGCCCGCTTGCGTGCAGCAGGGGATTGGGTAAAGGCCGCTGAACCTCCAAACGGTCCTGCAATTGCTTGGTTCCGAACTCTCACGATGCAGACGTTCTGAGCGTCGCCGACAGTAGCGTCGCAAGTCATTCCCTCGGGCATCTGTACAGTCAAGGGAAAATCTGTATTTTTAGCTGCGGATAGTCCTAGGAACCCTAGACCCGGAACATCCTGAGTTACTTCGGCAGTCTTAAACGCGTTAGGGTCCTGACCACCCGAAGTTCCATCAACAGCAGCCTCTATCGGACCAGCACCATCTTGGTTGATTTGTCGGAATGTCATGGTGATTGAACCGTCATCCGCACATGTAGGTAGTCCCGATGTGGCACCCTGTCCAGCCGTAGCGGCAACCGAGGTTTCTTCAGGCGTCTCGGTCTTGCTGCCCGCGCCGGTCTTAGCTTTATTACCACCAGTGCGGCCACCAGTGAGACCACTGGTAAGACCTGAAAGCAAATCGCCCAGTCCTCGAGGGAGGAGGTTCTCTTCTTTGCTACGTTTCCCGGGATGTTATCCTCCACACCGGTGGCAGCAGCAGAACCATTGTTGGTTGGAACCGTTGTGCCTGCTCCCATGAAACTCTGGATCATGGCGGTGGCGTCGATGGGTCCATTACCTTGGGTCCTGCCCAGAGCATTCGCCTTGCCCGATGTTATCTCACGGTCTCTAATAATTGCTGTATCGGCCTGTGACCCACAGGAGTTGGAGCTGCAATCTCGGGGCGTACCGTCGGCAACTATCTCCAATCAGTATACAACATCAAAGCGCGAGATGGATTCTTAACATACCACTAAGTCCGGGCATCACTACACCGTTTGCTCCTTTGATAGATGTCACAAGACCGTGACTATAAACAGTGGCAAGAAGGCTGGAAGTGGCAATAAGTGAGTACCTCATCTTGACGACTTGAGGAACTAATAAACAGGAATTATGACGTTAAAATATGCCACCAGGGCTGTCCTCAAGACAATAGAAAGGAATTATGGATTAAACAAATAGTGAGTTGAAGGTTTTGGTGTGGTGCTGACGAGAGTAGAATTGCTGAACCTGCGATTCATTCCGAGTCTTATATACACCATTTTGGCTGAAGCAAACTATTCGACATGTAGCAAGCAGTGCGTCTCTATCAATTACACCAGCCATTTTGCCTCTATTTTGCGTGAAATATCGTCCGAAGTTTCCGAAACGATGGACAAAACGTAGAGAAATAGTTTCGCAACCAATCGCATCTCAGCATCTAGATGTTCCCACTTTTCAGATCTAACTAACCGATCGCCTCCTTGGCTTCAAGACAAGCATTTAGACTCATCGAGGCTTAGCTATGATAATGTTTAAAGCTATCACGTTTCGAACTCTCCGAGTCTGAGTAGATCTCCCAAGGGCGCTAGAAAAGACATGGAATGCAGCAACTTTCTAGAATCGCGTTTGGCATCGATATACCTAACGCAGAACGCCAAGTCCCTTGTATTTTGGAGAAACAAGATGACTATAATTCAACAATTATCGAAAATATCTCTTGATAATGCCATACAGTTATATTTAATTGCAGATGCTCATAAATAACTGATTTACATCTTTTTATCATTTTTCTTTTTATGTCTTTGACGCTTTTACGACCATATCCCAACGCAACGACCGCTCGCCAAGAGAATGCTGAGGCTCCCAGGTTGAGACACTGCAGCAGGGGCTCAAACATCCCCTGAAAAAATCTGTTTTCTGGATAACTAGATTGAAACTAAGATGATTGGCCAATCGGCAAAGCCTTCTCTATTCGCATCAAGGCCTCTTTTGGACCTTGTTCCGAATGTGGCACTGGCAACCCTAAGCAGGTTACACCATCTCCTTGTATTCTACGCATAATATGACGTGCGGCTATCGATGCGGTTAACGGGAAGCTGCCCTTGAGGAGATCTTTGCGAATCCCGAGGATCTTTTGAGATTGTTGGGCTCCCAGCCGGTATGTATCAGATATCCCCAGCCCCGTCCACCAGCCAGTCAGCGCCTTGGTTAAGGTCTCATGATCTCTAGGGACTTAATTAGGAATAACTCACTATACACGATGGTGGTCCAGATTGTACCAATCGCAACACTTGCCAGTTTTTGGCCTCAGGTCGGTTGCCTCAGCGATTGCCACCATAACACAAAGTAGAATCGAATCGGATATGACACATGATATCAGGAATACCACCCCGGTATTAACTTAAAATAATCATATGTATAAGTGAGAGCTGAAAGATCCGTGCCCTACTCGGTAAATGATAATATTCTATCGTATTGTACTGAATATGTAACATATCCGTAATACCTCATAAAAGGGGAAATAATTATAAATTTGCTACACGAGCCTGGCGCGCGATAGCCTCCTATTGCATACCGGCTCATGTGTGCCGAGAGGATCTACGATATTCAAATCCCAAGTTTCGATAAACTACGCATAACGTAATAAGCGCGAGGCGGCATTGACTAATGTGTAATTGAAGCAGACTCGGGTTTCGTATCCAAGGGACTAACTATAGATTATATTGTCTAGTTAACGGGTTGGGAAACGTATACCTAAGTAATCCTGTGCACATCTAATGACAGCAATTCCCAATTGTAATTCTCTTTACTATATTTAGCATGTGATAAGCCTCGCCCCTATTCGAGTATTAGTCATCTTAGGCATTTGCAATCCTGGAATAGTAGTTTCTCTTAACCATGTCGCTATCCGAGCTGATAGTCCTCATGATCACAACGCCTCCAAAACAGATATGTCAAGACATTACTGGCGGCTAAGGGATGTTGCTTTATCAAACTTATGTTTCCACAATCAATTTATATTCCCCCCGTCAAACTGATTCTTCAATCATATCTGGGCTGTTGCAGTTGACAAGAAAGATCTAGGTAGGCTCCTCTTTAAATCTGCACCAACTCCTAGAGTTTTCCTGTAACTTAGGTACATTTATTTACAAGATGAATACGTTAGCTTAAGCTCGTCGTTTACCACGCGAAAAGTGTCCATAAACATCTCTAAGCTGTCAGGTATGGCTTTGACAGTGGCTCTGTCGAGGGTGGCCATTCAGATTAAGTTCAGATATGCCATGTCGAATTCATCGTCTGTAACGGCAAATTATTTTTTCTGTTCCTTATATGAGATAGGAATCAGTTACCGACTTTGCTCTCTTTCACTCGATAATATTAATTTCTAATGGGTCACTGGGGTCCTTGCTAAGTAATACATTGGTGAAAGAAGCCGCGGACTCCGAAACATATAGTTCAGTCTTCGAATATACTTGTAAAATTCAGCAGGATTATTTTATTGCACGAATCATCCGATGCTACCGGTGCGACTTGCTAAGGAGAACCCCCCCTGTTGGGTCTGTCCCGATTAGGAAACCGCTCTCTGATTGGTTCTACCGCAGCTAGAATCCGTATCATCATTCTACGTCCCTATTCTAGGGGGCAATACATCGAATCAATGTATGATAAACGTAGATGTATAGAAGAACCCCGAAATTTTCACTTGATCTTCCCGGGTTTTACGGAAATCGAATAGTCCAAAGTCCGCATAGAATAAGAGGATAAAATGGCGTATTTCTCTCATCTACCTATCTCTACCCACTGTCATAGACGCTACCTATATCACTATCACTTAACAGCCTTCTATTACCATTCTAAGGCACTACTTAATATCATACAATAAACTCTCTTTCAACAGATATAGAAATGGTGTCCTTTTGGGAATTTGTATCTGAGCAATGGCAAAAGCTCCCTGTCCTCGCTACGACGGAGACCTGTGCTGGGAAAACGTATATTGTTACAGGCTCCAATACCGGCTTAGGGCTTGAAGCCGCGAAGCATTTAGTCCGTGTCCGAGCTAAGAAAGTGATTATCGCAGTCCGAAACCTTAAAGCAGGTGAAGCGGCGAAGGCCGAGATCGAGTCCGCGACGAACAATCGCGGCATCGCCGAGGTATGGCACCTCGACTTGACAAGCTTTGAATCCGTCAAAGATTTTGCGAAGAGGGCTATCGAGAAATTAGATCGTATCGACGGTCTAATCGAAAATGCCAGCGTCGCGCTCGTCAAGTTCTCCCTTGCAGAGGGATACGAGTCATCCTTCACCGTCAATGTTCTGAGCAACTTTCTTCTGGCGATCCTCCTCCTTCCAAAGATGACCGAGACGGCGAAACGCTTCAACATCCAGCCTCACTTGACAATTGTTACGAGCGAAGCTGGATTTGCAGTCAAGGAGGCCTTTGATAGTGTAAAGGATAATCTACTGACGAGGTTGAACGACCCGAAAACGTCGGATATGAGACAAAGGTCCGAAGTTCTTAGCTTTTAATGATATCTAGTCACCTTCTAATGACTTGTCTCACAGGTACCCGGTCACCAAGCTCATCCAACAGTTCGCAGGCCGCCACCTCGCAGCCCTTCTACCAGTTTCAAAAACGGGGGTTGTCCTGAACCTTGTGAACCCTGGCCTATGCAGGACTGCGCTTAGCCGAAATGCAGGATTGCTTTTGCGTCTGCAGATTGTCATAGCCAACTTTTTTATCGGGAGAACTGTTGAAATGGGTAGTCGCACGTTGTTACACGCAGTGGTAGCTGGGGAAGAGAGCCACGGGTGCTACGTCTCGGCTTGCGAGGTTAAGGAGTAAGTGACCAGTCGTTTTGCCCTGTGGCTGTTAGATTGCTGACGTGTTGTTAAGACATCAGGTACCCAGCTGGGTTAAAGGTGACGAGGGTAGGAAACAAGGAAAGCTTATATGGGATGAGATAGTAAGGGTTCTTGAGACAGTTAATCCTGGTTGTCTGAGTAAAGTGTTGTAATATGGGCGGCATTTGGTGTACGGATTAGGAGATACAGTCTTTTATAGATTTTGATGATAAACATTCACACGGAGCCTAGCAAAGAGAGGTTGTATGATTTAGGCGTATAAACCTATTAAGATTATACGCGCCTAGGTACAGTTTAAATGGTTCCATAATAGCCTTCCTGGTTTATCGTGAAGAGAGTTGATCCATGGAAACTTGAAGAAAATTTGATATACATCATCCCAACTTTGGAGATCCAATGATAGGACAATCTGTCTTATCCTCTGTATCAACTTCTCATCCTCAGATCTTTTGAATATTGTTATTTCGGCCATAAATAAAGCCCATAGTATGGCTTCCTTGTTTTCTGTATCCTCGGTAAAGTTTTCTTGGACGAGGACTCCTATTTTCTGGCGTAGAAGAGGTAGATCAGGGAGTCTATGCATAAGGGAAAGTAGGAAATTGGCCATTATCATCAATAGCCCCATGTGTATGATATTCTCGAGACTATCAGTTGGGTCTGTGTTGAGGGGTCTGGTGTGAACGAGTCGATAGCCGATGAGGATGAGGGTGTCATGATACGTGTACCCATCCATCTTAATAATATCGTCAACATTCTCGTTAAGAAACCAAGTGAGGCTCATAATGTCTATCCAGACTTCTTTCATGCGAGGGTTCAGCTGCACGAACGGCTGCGATGTGAGTAGGCCAAGTATTTGAGACGTCCCAAGTCTCTCACGGAGCCAGTTCAGGGTGGCGACACCCGGCACTTCATCGACGCTAAACCGTGTAGGCAATCCTAAATAAATAGCAAACTCAAGATCGGCTCTGCTGTGATGTTAGGAACGGTTATATATAGTATTGTGGCGACGGTTCTCACCTGAATATCTTTTGAGTAAGCTCTGGTTTATCTTTCATAAGCTGGGAGATTCCGCCGCGGAGCTCAACCATCTGCTGAAGCCCTCTGAAATGGATCAGGCCTTGGTTATACTGACCACACATCCGCTCGTATTGGAGCATAGCAACTACCGAAGCCATTGTCATGTCTGACAACGCCTCCCCCCCGGATAGTCTCTGATTGACTAGGCGGAGGCTGTCTGATAGGTGGCTCAATCCTTCCGTGGAATCCTCGGAGTTTGCAGTTAATAGGTTTTTAGCAGCAATAGACATCGCTATAGAGCAGTGAAAGTCTTTAAACTATTAGCTCGTTCTTATGCGCGGGTTCGGTAGAGGGACTTGCATGCTTCATCTACAAACCAGAATTGGATCCATATCGAACCAGCCACAGAAAAATCAATGACATTGCCGAGCCCGGGCATATGAGGGACGCTGATAAGGAATGCGAAGGCTAGACGATAGTAAGAATTATGTTCATATGTATAGGTAGGTATCTATAAAAATAGTCGTAGATTCGGCCGCTACCTTTCTGAACAAGAGTTCTAGATCCAGGGGTTGACTCAACTGGTAGGGAGGAAACGGATAAGCTGTCACCAACTTGAGGCTCTATCGTAGGTAATGCCGTGCGATGGTGCTGAGAGACCAACTGTTTGGTTTTATAATCAGATTTAGCAATATCAGCTTTGGTTGCGGCTCTTCTCCCCCGCGATGGGTGTTTTTTGCCGACATTCCGCCCCTTCGCCGCTTGACTGCGGATCAACTTTCTCGTGTTGTGATCAATTATAGTATTGTCGACGAATTCAAAGGGCATCGTTCCTTACATCAATAAGTATTTTCAATGTATATAAAATTTTAATCTGGATTCATGATGGCATCGGATAAAATAACTAAGAATATGTAGGTTCAGGTACATATAGAGATTGGACTCATGAGGGCATACCTTTCTTGGCGACGGATATATCGGAGTTAAATCACTCTCGACTCGATTAATAGAATTAAGTACACTGTGCCTAAACCAATGTGAAAATGTTTCTACATTCCTTCTCTACAATCTACGTCTTCTTAAAAGGCTTTACGAATAGATGTTATCCTCTTGATCGTCCTCATATTCCTTCTTCTTGATTTTGTTTCCCGTAATAATTTCGCCGTAGACCCTGGGTCATAGATGCCACCCTGTGAATCCATTCATCACGATCTGCTCCTTGCAGTGGGGCATTATCGAGTGCTGCGTCGACTTGGGACCCGAATGGTGATGGCCTATGATACTGAGATGTTGATGCGTAGGGTTCTTCTGTTGCCCAGTCGCGGGGGTAGCGCTATAGGCATTTCTTTTCGTGAGAACTCCGATCCAGCTCTGTTACGTGCAGCTAATCGCGCTTGCCTTCGCTGTTCTTCTAGCTTCTTCTCTTGTCTCTGTTCTTTTATCCTCTCTTCTTCTATTTCTCTGTCTTCGTCCCACATTCTTCGGAACAGCTCTTGGTACTGGACTAATGTAGTCACTTCCCGACGAAGGCGGATAAGATGAGCAAGTAGGAAAAGTCCGAGACAAATAGACACGAGGGTCGAGGTCCACCAGAAAAGTCGTTTGGTATTGTCTTTGATGTCATCTAGCTAAATGCGATCCGTATAAGATTAGTCCGGTAGGCGCATGCATAGATTTTATTTTTTTCAAACTCACCGAATTCTGGAGATGGGTTACGTATTTGATAGTACCATGTAGAGCGGTTGATAATTGATCTCCCACATCCCTCCCTTCGTACAAGATGTCAACATTAGATTGTCCGCTCATGGCTGCCTTGCTTCATCAAACAAACTAATACCAAGGCTCTTGTTGGTTATTGTAGCAGTAACGAATATAATATGAATTTTTCTTAAAAGTTTCGTCCTCATAGATGACAAGACGCGGATTGGCTCGAGATTCCATGACAAGTCCTTGTGGTCCGCATTGGAATGTAGTGTAAACAAAGACCCGAATTATTGAACTTCTCCTAATAGAGCTTTGGGCTAGAATTAGAATCCGTTTTCAAACCAAATGAGTTTTTACACTACTGATAATAAGGATACAACACCAGAAGATAAAGCTGGACATCGAGCCATATCGTTTGCCATTTAGTATCCACAAATGCACGACTCTGACGTCCAGTTATAACCACGTGCTTTTAATGTGATAATGGGGAGTTCTTTAAGATTGTAGCGCACATAGACTTACTAATCTTGCTATAATTTATATACTCCGGTATACGTATATAGACTGAAGCTTTGTAGAGCCATCGAGTCGCGATCGTGTATTGAAGAGCCAACACGAATTAAGAGTCCTGCCATCTCAAATATACTTTTCCAATCTCGGGTTATCAGAAGACCTAGTTGGTAAAATTCACTGAATCGCCCCAGTCGTGGATGAGAGCTGAGAATTTAGGACATTGTTCTTGGTCCTTAGCGAGAGAAATGCCTTCACCGCCCTTGTAGGAGAATTGTTTCGCCGCCTGACTGTGAGCATATGCGATAAATTCAGGAGCTGAGATTGGGGGATCGGCTGCATCCTGTCGAAGCTGTCTAAAGATCGTTTGGATTTCCTCAGCTTGGGATTTTAGTGTAGCAACTGAGTCCTCAACTTGTTGATCTTCATAGACATGTCCACCCACTTGAGAACCGGCGGCGGCGCTATCAGCTACTATGGAGTCTAGGAGGAGTTGGGATCTGAGTTCTGCATCTGTAAGCTCAGCCTTGGCGGCTTTCTCGAAGAACTGATGTATATTTTTGAAAGATCATCACCCTTCTTCTGTCGCGAGGTGACATAGTGATCAAGCTTTCTAATTTGCATGTGTGGAGTGAGCGCATTAGCTTTATCAACGTTTATCGGGACGGGGCCGTAGAGTTCCATCTGACGCCGAATATTCTCAAGCAATGTGTGGTCCTTTACTTTGCCGCCTCCCTTTTTTTGGCCCGAAGGGGGATTCTTAGCCAGTCTTTTGGTTATGTCCAACTCCTGTGTGTTTATATGGGTAAATGTGCCGAGAAGGGATTGATGATGATAAGCTAACATCTTAATACGATCTGCTAGAAGACGGAGGCGTTCATTCATGAAACTAAGAATAGCAGATGTCTATATCGAGTCAATTATAGGTTTAAGTGTTAGAAATTGAAGTACCAACTTACATAGCGAGAAACGGTTGCATCACGTATAGTCTGGCGCTCAGAGCACGTTTCGACCTTCCCCAGGATGGGCTTGAGAAATTCTTTCTCTACCACCATATGCGCAAGCGGCACCATCTCATCCCACAGAGATCGTATTTCAGCATATACATCGTCACGCTCATCATTGACGGCCTGCGCATTACTAGGCGCGAAAGAGACGCGTTTATTATGAATATAGAAGTCTCCAGAAAAACAGTATCTAACGATGCGCGGCATTTTGTAGCCAGTGATAAAACAATCCTATTATCTAGTTAGTAAGAGCGTAAAATTGGAGATACAGAATATACTTAACTGATTGGCATGGCGTCTGGCCGTCCGAAGAATTGCATCCTCGTCGATAACATCGTCGCCTAACTCGTAATATAGGGCATTTAATCTACCAAGGATATGATCATAAGATACAATCGTGGTTTCGAAAACTTGATTTGGAGCAACAGATTTTAACCTTTCATTGGTATCTGTCCCTATCGAAGTGGACTTGCTTTGGCCAGTCTCTTCAAGTTGATTCGTATGGTGGCTGATTTTATCTTCTAGGGTGCGGATCTTTCCAATATTAGTATCAGGAACTCTTCAACCTTTGGGGTTAGTATATACCTTTGATCTAAGTAGATCTTTCCTGCGAGATAGATCGGAGATCTTTTGCTTTACCATGGACACTTCATCATTTGTTTCGGGAGGTCGTTGTAAATTGGCAATACTACGGCGAACATAGTCTTTGTATTTCACTAGAAGTTTCTCAAGGACATTATTATACTGGTTAATGTCATGGAGAGCAGCTTTAACCATGTTATGATCAATAGTCTTCTGACTAAATGGCATCTCGGAAAATATGTCCACTCCCCCACGAGATTGGGTTGACCGGTGGCCACGACTAGCTGATTGAAGAGAATTTAGACTGCGATGTTAGTTAATAATAGATACTCAACGTATATCAGATGAAAGTGGTCTGACGTACTACTTCAACTCGTCCTCCGACAGCACACTCAAGGGACCGTTCGATTCAGCCAATGATACTAAGCGGGTCCATTCAGAGGATACCTCGTTACAGATAAAAGAGAGTAGGTTCTTTTGACTTTCGTTCGTAGCATTTACAGCCCCACAGACTTGATTGAAGAGACGCATCTCGGTCTCCGATAGGGCCGAAAGACTAGCCATCTTGAAATATGGCAAAGTAGACTACCTACGATATATCAACTGTCAGACATCATATGCAGCTATAGTACGAGATGCATGTAGTACAGGAAAGAAAGGGGGCGAAAGGGGGCAAAAGGGGCAAAAGGGGTCGAACGCCAAATGAACGGGAACTGATTCAAAAGACCTAATGCGGTATAGTTTCATAGTTTAGTCCTCGTGTTATTGAAAAAGTAAGGCGATATGGCCAAACCCCCATCGGATGTTTCTTATGGATAGAATAAGATGATATTAAGATGACTGTATAGAGTGGTAGTCTTCCGGCTACAAGATGACCATACTAACCTAAGATATTTACTCGTTCAGGTAGATAGAATCGGTGCCGCGGACAATCCGGTGGCCTGATATTGGAAACTGTAGCCGGTACGCGGTAATGACACGATATCGAATCTAGAACGGCCTAGACAACTTCAAAGACTGAGCATAAATCCTTGACTCTGAAAATTGTAATATCCTCATTTGCTACTATGAAAAGGCGGTCTTGAGCCAGATAAGTCTAGCCGTAGACTAAATAAGTTGTGACATGAAGCAGGGAGTTGATGTATGGCAAGTTTGACCGCTTCCGCCGAGAAGGTCAATTTGGACTAGGAAGCCAACTTGAGTGAAGAGAATTATGATGAGTATTGTAACTTCTGAAGAATTATTTGGCCGCTTATAGCTTCATGTAAGCTAGGATATAGTAAGAGGGGAGGGAAGGAGGGGATAAGCTTGTTGCATTGGTGTGCACTGATTCAGTTTAATAGCTTGTGGCTTGTTACACGATATCCGAGATAACATCTATGTGCGGTACGAAGTAGACGCGAAAATATTGGGGATTTCCAATTTGTTTACATTAGGTTTAGGTACCTCACTTGACCAGTATGTACCTATGTACTTCGTACTTTATAGAATTTGAAAATTCTCCACAACTATATGATCATATCATAAGTGCATATCCTTATATACATGCATATTGGCTTGGCATTAGTTACCTAAGTTAGGTAATTGCATTGCAAATTCTTATCAACAATCAACAAAAAATGAAAGATTTCAATTTCAATCACCCAAGTTCTTAGAAGAAATAGTCAAGTTCTTGTTTCAACTTCTTTTTAATGTACATACCTAGGTATTGCGGCTATTTTTACCTTATTGTAGATTTGCATATTTAAATCAATGGCATTCCTTCATGATACCTATCGAAAACCAAATTGTCAAACAGAAATTGGATGCCTTTTAAGACAAGGGCCCTTCTAGACCAGAGCCGCAACAAGCCGCTGGACAACCTGGACTTGCAGCATGTTGCAGGTACAAAATCACACCCGCATATACCCATATTCATAGTCAAAAATCCCAACTACACTACAATCACCGCTTTTCTTGAAAATTTTACATATGAGCAACGTCTCGTTAGCCATGATTCTTAGAAAGAAAAAAAAAAACATGATATTTGGGATCTTCAGTGAATCCTTATACGATGACTATCACTACAAATGACGTCGGCAAGGCTGTTGGTCACAGTTACCATGCGTCGTGTTTCTGTGACAAAATAGAGACGACCCCGCCGTGTCCGTCTATACAAGGACGTACAGCAATATCGACCATGATCCATGATGACCATGATGCTTCAAAGATGCTTCAATGGTAGCGCCGTCGGAATGATACGGATTCACTTAGGCTCGAAGATGAACAAGTCCAGATTGAGAGAGATCTTCTGACTTTATTGCGTCAACGTCCAGAACCGTTCGCATTGCTGCGCTTGTCTCATACGCTGTGTTTGCAAGCAAAGGGCCCTGAATGGTCCACCTCCAAACTGTACCACCTTCAGTCCAGCGGTCAACCATTCATTTCCTAAAATGGGACACGAGCTGTTCTTTATCGTGGCCTTTCCTGAAGTCTAGCCCTAAAGTATACTATTACTCTTTCTTAAAACCTCTTCATGGCCTTTTCACAGGTTAGCCCAAGACTTGTTTTCATCTTGGTCCAACTCTATCCAGATAGTCTCAAGTAATATTGGGGTCAGATTTGGAAAAATGCAAACTGACGTAGATGATACAAGATCTGATTCTTTATTAAGATAGGAGGTCCCAGGGCTCTGTTTAGACACCGGCCATCCGTTTGCATGTGCATGTGCGAACCCGTTTCCGCTATTCCTCCCCGTCGCCATGTCAAAGTGACAGCGGCCGAATGTACCGACACTCAAGACTTTAGCAATGGTAGCAAATTCAGATTAACGTTGGGCGATGCTGCAGTGATTGGGCTATCTTTTTGGCTTGTGCTCATGAGTCTGTATCCCATTCTCGTCGTCGTTGTACCTATTAGGACCCGCCCGGTTGCCCACTTGTCTGGCTAGATACGTGAGACGTCATGGAACCGTATCTCCATGCCATCCTAGCATGGTTGCGATTGACCTCAATTCCTCTGTGCTCTTCGGATACTTCTCAGGGGCTTGTGCAAATCCATATGAATCTGCCATGCATTTCGGCCGTGGAAAATATAAGTGACTTTGATCTAGCTAGTTCACATTGAATACCCGCTTCCCGAGTCACAGAATCTTCCTTCAAACAAACTATATCAAGCAGTATATATCCTAGCTGTTCCCGAGCAAGTCTTTTCAATCCCTTTATTGCTTCAAGACATATTAATCTTCCAGAACTCATCTCTACCCCGCTATATGTCTTTCCATCCCGAAGAGCCCTTGTACTTCATACTTGAACAAATTAGACATGTATTCAACCATCCAACAGTTATGTAGGGCCCTACATAAACAAGAAACAGCTAAAAGATACCAGGATGCCGGGGTAGGGCTGGCGTTTATCGGACTGAACCAGGTTCTGGTTGTTCCTATTCAGATCATCCTTGATCTCTACTCTATAAACCTCCCCGCCTCTATCCTGGTGATGCTTCTCTTCTCTTTTCTCCTCCTCATCGCCAACTGCATTCATGGGGGAACTGAGAAGTTATACTCCAAGCATCTACGCGGGCCGACTGACTTCCTTGGCCGGCACATGTCTTTCGGTTTCGTAGCATCCTTCATAATGCTTAACAGAGACCACATATCTAATGTCATGGATGTCCCTAGGATTGCTGGGGCTTTTTGTAAGTTATCAGATAGTATTGCCTTTTGCAGGACTTGACTAACTAAAACTAGTTATCACCACTTTTGCGGGCTATATTAGCACATATTTAGTTACGCTCGGGAGTTCCCAGCTAGAACAACGACTACGAGGTGTACGAGAGAAAGTTTCCGACGTCGAAAGCCGCCCTAAATCCTGGCCTAGCCCCTCCGCAGCATGGCCGGCTCCGCCAACAGATAGGGGTGTCAAGCGGATATCTCAATTGTCTCGGATAAGTGTGGCTATATCGAACGAGAGGCCTCTCATTTTGGCCGAGGCAGTGAAAGGAGGTCCAGCCTCGCAACTTATAGAACAGATCGTACACACCGGCCCGCTATGGATTTGCATCTTTCTACTTGCCATCGTCGGGGTTCCGGTATATTTCGCGACTAGGTACGAGGCACCGTTTGAAGTTCTATGCTTCATTCTATTCTGGATTTTATCCGTCCAGTTTCAGAGGTCATTAAAGAGTTCATACCGTCTCCTAAGGTTTCCATACCTAAGATCAGTAATGGTCATATCTGCGAATCCGGTGCTCGTGACTTGGGCAATTGGAACAGCTTATCTCTGGATTAAGACAGCATATAGAGGACAAAGTATCGATGTCACTATCACCGAATTTCACTGGCACCAGACTCTGGCGGAGAGCATAGTTGCGGTTGTAAAGGGCGGGAGGATATCAAATAATATTGGCGCTGGTGACCTATCCGGGCCGGTCTTGGATGCTGGCATCGTCTGTATGGGGTTCAAGATGTTCGAGTACCGAAAAGAGCTATGGGAAAGCGTATACACAGTGTTAGCCACATGTGCATTACTTTCCGTGGTAAATGTCTTCCTCAACATTATCCTCGCCCGCGCATTGGGATTACAGCCCGCCGACGCCCTGGCCTTTGCTGCCCGATCCGTTACTATTGCTCTTGGAGTGCCGGCGGTTGAGAGCTTGGGCGGTAGCACTACACTCATGAGTGCACTTGTTATTTTTGGCGGGATTCTCTTCCAGATGGGTGGGGATTGGCTATTCTCACTCCTGCGGATTAATGACCAGGAACGCCAGCCGAAATCTAACGACTCCAACAACAGTAGTTACACGGAAACTACGAGGTCTACGGATATGTGGGACGAGAAAGACATGCAGAAGCAAATTACTAGGACCGACAATGCGGTTATCGCAGCCGGTGTGACTGTAGGCATCAACGCAGCAGCGATGGGCACAGCGCATCTAATAGAGCGGGATTCGAGAGCTACAGCATATTCCGCATTGTCAATGACGATGTTTGGGGCTATGACGGTGGCACTCACTGCGGTTCCTAGCGTCTCGGAGATCATAATATCTCTAGCATCGAGATGAGGTAAATACCATATTTTAGAGATCATAGTTAGCGATTACGATGATATATGAGATATTAGACGACATCACGTTGCATAGAGATTTTTAGGTATGGCGAATGATACCACTACATAGGCTTCGATACACATGGATGGGAAATAGGAGCATGCTCCGGGTCTGGCCTTTCTTCTCGGAAGGTTTACGAATATAAAATAATATTCCTTCTAGCTTATTCTCATGCAATGATGTCATGGTCGTAATCGTACTCCCAACGGGATCGTGATTGTTCAACCGACTTTCTTACTAGCATTAGAAAATTCTCTTACCCCTTAGCCGTATTACGTCGAGTACCGATAAGAAAGATATGAACTCGGACCGTAATTGGGATCGCGATTGAGATTCGGCATCTTGCTAACTCAATCACGATCCGGTACGAGATGAAATCCTGTAAAACTGCCGTATCGTCGATCCCATGGCGCACACATACCTACCAGCGCAGGCGCTATCTCCGGTCCTCGCAACGTCGCACGGCACGGCGCGTCCCGTAAGCTCTTAGCTTCTACGTCATGGACATTCGTCTTTTCGCCTTCTAGAAGATATCGAGAGAAAGCCATGCCCCTTCCTCGAACGCGTCTTAGTTTATATCGGTCCGTCCTGCTGGATCATGAGTTGTATTCAATGTAGATAAGTCTATATCGCCATCCACGGGCACTATGGTAACCATAGTACTAGAAGCCGAAGCTAGAAGTCTGCAGGGAATTGCGGACACTCGTAACATGGTAACAATATAGAAGCCGTAGAGGAAAGTCATACTCGGCTCACATACATCTCCAGTGACATCTAGTTCTTTAAAATGTAAGATGGCATATGTAAATATACTATTACTATGATTCCCATTGGTTTCAAATATATTTATCTTATTTCCTAGAAATTACGATGACCTTGATATGGCTATAGGCTAAAATGCGCCTTGACTCAGAAGACTTATACTTCTCACTGTATATTGTAGGCTAACAAGGTAGTAATCGAATGACTCGTAACTTTGACGTAGATCTTAATGAGAGCTTCTTCTATATAATTACTCGTGGATAGAAATATAGATAATACGGCAAACCTACCTTTCATCAAGTGTAGGTTGACGTTAAGGAATATAAAAGGGGTAACTAGGGCGTGTAACTAAACTAGAGTATGATGAACAAAAGGATATGATGAATAAAAGGATATAGCCATGAAATTTACGGTAGCCCCTAAAGATATATACAAGATCTACAAAACAATTCAGGATATCTACTTGGAATCCGGTTCTTGTCATAGAGCTACATGTATGTGAGGTATTAGGGGAGAAAGGCTCATTGAGTTGCAGAAGCGTCACATCACATGCTAATTTTTAGTATTAGAAATTGAGCTGTCCTTGATGTGCCTCTTTCTAGGCTAAAGAATCATGAATTATAAGCAGTGGCTTAATATCATGTTTGGTGAACCTCATATAGAGGCAGCCATGCGCGTGAGCAACAAGACTTCTCACCCCTAAAAATACACCAAGGACTCAAACTAACCTTTCGATTAGATGCAGCCCACTTGCGGTTTCTACAACACCACTCATCTGCCCAGGTTGTAGTGCGAAAGCAGCCTCTTCAAATTCCTTTTGCATGTCCCCCTTACCGAAGTATCCTAAATCTCCCCTCTTTCTGGCCGAACTGCAGTCGCTTTCAGTCATGGCGATCTCTCCAAGAGACACGGTTCCACTCTTGATCTTCTGCTCGTGACCCTTGATAATAGCCATTGCTTCCTCCTTGGTTCGGGTAATTTTGCTCTCGCGCCAGCTCGCAGGTCGCCGGCTGTCGCGGTGTTTGACTAGTAGGTGGGCGGCGCGGATTTTGCCCTCGGGGTGGCTGACGGGAGCCATCTGAGACGAAGTAGAATGGTGAATTGCCATATATTGTTTCAACTTCTCGGTATCGGTTCCAATCGGTGGTTCCCAGCGAGAAATTTTCTCGCTCGCGTTGAAATAGTATGGAAGGTTCTTGGAGTTGCTGTGGCGCACCTCCCAGTTAGGTGGTAATCCCGAGTCATCCTGACCGCAGGAAAAATTAGTGGATGTATTAATATAAAGATGAATGAATGGGTAAAACAGATTTGCAACTCTAATCTCTCTAGCAAGCTTGAGGCTAACTTACCATGCTGGCGGTGTGATACGAAGACTACTATTTGGCTGATGAACAGCTTTTATAATTTATTTAATAGCTGTTTAAGCTAGGCTGGAGCAAAAATATACAGTCCGGAGTATGCGTCGATCTTGAAGAAAGAGTGGACGAATTTTTGATGTTTACCTCAAGGGAAGCTTTTCAAGCTCAGAATTGAAAGCTATAGCTTGTTAATTGGAGCTTCCTTAAAAGGTAAATTAAATCTAAGGAAGTGACAACATAAGCTTTGCTTTTTTATCTTTTCCAAGATATATGAAAAAGCGAGTGGCGATGACGATGGTGTTATGGTGTTGTATGTTGATGATGTAGTGAGTTGCCAGGGAAGAATTGCGTCGAATAACCAAGGGTAGATAGGTACATACGTAAGTACCTTTTCCTGACCTTAGGTAAGAAAGATCACGAGGATGCTGTCAGTTGAGCGGGGCAACGCTGACCTGACGACGGAATGAGTTTGAAACGGGGGTGGTGAATGGGCGAATCTAAAAGTGATTGGTCTACAGAATTAGTGTGGATCATTGAATCATACTATGCATTTAGTACCAATCAGGTGGTTTATTAACCATGGGCTTGAGCCACGTCCGTGTTAGTCATCGTTAAGAATACTTTCTCCGATGTTCCGAAGCTTCACTGCGCAAAACCAATTAAAAGTTAGCGCCAATACTACTGCTGAATCTAGAATACACTAACTTAATTCTTAAGCGGTCACTTAAAGCTTGAACAAAAAGTGACTAAGGTCCTTTCCATCTTTGATTAACAACAACCACCAAACGGCATCAGTCTTTCAACAAAGTCTTTCAACATTTCATCCCACATTTTCAACACCTGTTCAATCTTGGCCACAGCGAAACTGCAATAAAATACATAAGCGCAACTTCGTTTCATCAAGGATAAAACTGTCCCACTGGAATCATCATCTACCTAGGTATTTGACAATCATCAACTCCCAAGGTCTCGTCGCATCCTACTCTACCATTACATCCAACTAGTATCTAGTGCCATCAGGAACCTTACACAGCAACATGTCGTCGCCGGCGCCAAGCAACGACGGGGACGCCCCCAAGAACAACCAGGAGCAGATCACTTTCCGTTTCTGCGCAGAGTGTTCCAACATGTTGTACCCTAAAGAAGATGAAGATGCTCATAAGCTTCAGTTCACCTGTCGTACGTGCCAATATACCGAAGAGGCTACGTCTTCTTGCGTCTTTCGCAATGTTATCAACAGTGCAGCAGGCGAGACAGCTGGTGTGACCCAGGACGTGGGATCGGACCCGACGGTTCGTAATCATATTTCTTTTCCACCCAGGCTTTTCCCCATTCCCACCCCCATCTCCCTTCTACTGATTGCAGCCTGGCTGTCTGTCTGAGATGTGGCGTGACGCTCCTACATTGTGATCGGTGCAAGGACCCTGCATCGGTGGACGAGTACAATCATTTCGTTCGACACAACTCGGATTATGCCGTTACGAGAACCTTGGACTCCATACGATTCGCCAGTTATTGGGCCTCCCAGGACGATGACGGAAAAGCTGCTTGGGCCGACGAATTTGCATCATGTAGCGAACCAATTATTCCCCATCTCTCACAAGATAAGGACAGTCTTGCCTATTATATTTCTAGCAATAACTTCCTTACGTCACTTGACGCCTTGGATGCTGATCCTCCCGAGGCTCTTGAGAATCCTCCGGAGTATGGCGAAATATTGATGCCTTACTCTGAGCTCATTTCTGCCCAGTCAACGCAAATCGCCTCACGATGATCTTGTTCTTTAGATTTGATGATAATATTTTCATATCTACGTCTTGTTTATTCCCATTTGTCACATATTTTGGGCAACAGATAGACCAACAGACAGACAGCCGGGAAATGGCATGCACATAATTCTCTGGATTTCTCTTCAGCACTGGGCGCCCAGCTTTGGAGAGCATGCATCGTATGTATTCTCTCTTGGGGAACCTAGTGCTAACGCCTTGTTTTCTTGGCATCTAGCTTCCGCGGTCCAACAAAACTTGCCCCATATGCAAGCATGAAGAAGCTGTATTCTTTCAGTCCCAGCAACGAAGCGCAGAAACAGGCATGGTCAGTGTTTTCCCCTATCTTAAGTAGTGGATTGATGAGCACCAAATATCTAACTATCTCCTGACAGAAACTTTTCTACGTATGCTGCGAATGTGGTCACATATTTCAGTAAAGAGGATCATGAAGGTTTATGATCATGAAGATTAGGTTGCAGCACATATGCAGGGACTTTCATCCTACAATTAAGGTCGTTTTCGGTATTGCATGACTCGGCGTTTGGAAGCGATTCCGCGGAATTTCTTAAAGAAATTTCCCTGGCAAGGAAAACTGCACTTTGATATGGTATCAATATTTTTAATTTCTCTTTACAAAGTCACATTTATGTATTGTGGCTGCTGCACTCTACGCCCGTTGCCGAGCGAGGAGCCGGGTATGACTGGGGCAGAGTTTCACTACACATATAGGCGAGGGTTTCCGGTGATGTAATGTAATACTTCGGGATTTTGTAAACTTGATCGCGAGAATAACGCGCGACTTTTCATATCGTGTACCAACTATCTAGTACGACGCTGGTATGCCTTGTCAAGGTTTGCTATGTGCGCGTTTAGTATATAGTACATGATATTTACAGCTTCTGGTGTGTTGATGCTCATTCTCTTGACTCATCTTAAAACTCCAAGGCTCTTGCAGTTGGCGTAAGTATAATTTGCATTTTAATACCGTCCGCATTCTTATGATGCATAGACACGGCCCCTCTTAGTAAGTAATGTTGCCTACGCCTACGCATGCGCAGGTGCCATACTCAAGATCTTGCTCCATCCCCGTCTCCTTAATTCGGCACCTACTACGCCGTTCACACGAGTGCCGATAGGATCTCCGGCCTTATTGATAAGAACGCAGGCGTTGTCGTCGAAGCGGACGACGCTACCATCAGGGCGCTGGACCTGCTTCCTGGTGCGTACAATAATAGCATGACGGATATCGCCGCGTTTGACTTTATTTGCCGCTGAAGCTGCACCCATACCAGCATCACTTGCGCCGCGCTGCTTTTGGACGATGGCTACTATTCTGTCACCTGACGTATCTAGTTTAGCGGCCGATGATCCTCGAAGGATGATTGATTAAGATGTACGATCGAGCTATGTATGAGATAGGAACCTACCAATGGTGGCGTGTCTTTTCTGGCCAACTACTAAGGCGCATTCGACTATGGCGGCACCTGAGTTGTCGATGCAGTTAAGCATCGTCTATATTTCCCTCCAAGTTAATATAGGAAAACACTATGAGCTTTAAAATGGTCTTATAATACCTTAAGTTGAATCATCTTGGTCGGTTGATACCTTTGGTACCGGGTTCCAATCCTAGATAATGCGATGCGGTGGCACGCGGAGGTATTGAAATGCTTGAGTATTTGTTTGATTGAGGTCGAAAATTCGAGGCTCTATCAAAAATGATCTAAGGCTGAATTTGCCAAGATAAAATATTATTGGCCACTATCTCAAGATCCCGGCCCTAGATCTAGTTAGTGGATTTTCGTGACGTCTCCTATGTAAGTAGCCCCGGCGTCTCTAAATTGGAAGTGGCTTATTTTGGTATCCAACATGGTTCCATCAGATGAGGCTTATAAGATGTGGTGGCTAAGCTACCCGTATAAGTTAGATTAAGTAGGTGGTACACCCCTGGTATTGTTAATCTGGTTAGTGACTTCCCTCCCGAATTGATCGACTGATTGCATCAGAGGTCTCCCCCGGGGTCCGGGCTGGTTGAAGTTGGTTGACCTGCCACCCTCTTTTCCCACTTTTCTTGCACTCTCACTTTTGCGCCGGCTTAACAGGGGGCGGCACTTCACCCACGGTTCCTGATGGATTAATTAGAACTATTCTTTGTTTCTTTTTTTGATTTTTAGACTCAAGCTCACAAATAGATCATTCCAATTGGGTTTCCTCTAATATTCAACGAAGACTATCCTTTTAATAGTTTCTCCTCATCGTACTGAACAACTTTTCTTTGGTGTCAATGAGAATTGCCGCGGTCAAAAGCCAATATACCCTCTTCTCCCATTTCATTATCTTTCCCATCCTCTCTCGTTCCCTTACCCCGGTTCAACTTTCGCAGAACGATATATATCATAAAACTCGCCTTTCTTGTCCATACCATCCATCTCGCTCGAAAGGCTTGTGACAAGAACTCTAAAAGGCATTGATAAGCGTATGCGCTGGCGCTCGGAGGCACTTGTCAACTTCAACTCGGCCCCCCCTTGACTGCATTTCAGCCCAGAAAATCATCCCATTGCAACTAGGTGTCACCCTTCCACCTTACTCACATCTTACTTGCATGAAAAAGTCGGACACTCCTTGGGGCCGGAGAAAACTTGTAAATATAAACCACCTATCCTGGGATTACGTCCTGCACATCCTGCATATCCTGCACATTACTTCACGGTAGTTCCTTTAAAACTTTTGTTTTGGCTTTATACATACTATTGTATCGCAATCCCTCCTTGGTCTGGCTGGGTAAAGCTGCGTGTCGCAATGCCTCCTAACTCATCTGCGGCATTGAAGAAGCAGCAGATTACTCTTTCGCAATTATCATCGTACGATGATATACTAACAGATGCTCTTGTCGACCATGTGAGTGGAAAGGCCTATATCTAACAGCGATGGTGCATTGTAATACAAAGAAAAACTAACCGTATTCTCCAGGCGTACTACTGGACCGCAATCCCCAAGAACCGCCCGTCTTATCACCCTTCGCGAGGTGTAAAAGAAGAGGAGATCGCCAAGATTATCCAATCTCATCTTATTGTCGACCCTAATATCGAAATTGCCGAGTCTAAATTACTTGCGACAGACGGGTTGCGTAAATTCCATGATGCGCTCAGGACTCCGAAAGAAAAGGCCGACTTCCGAGCCCATCTTCGTCGGTACATGCAAATCTACCTACCGGACTGTCCCTTTGAGGTCAGCTCGACCAACCGATATACGATCGTTACTCACGAAGCAGCAGTGACTGCGCGCAAGTTTGTCAAGAAGGGTCAGCCAGTCAAGTACTTGTCTGGTATCCAGGTGTTGATCACAGAGAAGGAGGAGAAGGAACTCTCCAAGAGGAAGAAAGATTTTAGTATCGTGGTTAGCGCGAGGAACAAATGCGCAAGCTTGTTCATGGGACCTGCGCGATTCGCAAACCATGACTGCGAAGCTAATGCGCGTTTGATGATCACTGGTCAAGCCGGAATCGAGATCATCGCTGCAAGGAATATCGAAGTAGGGGACGAGATTACTGTTACATACTCCGAGAACTATTTCGGAGCCGACAATTGCGAATGTCTATGCCGAACGTGCGAGAATAACTTGATAAACGGATGGGCACCAGCCGATGGTACCGTAGCCCTGAAGAAGAGCATCGAAGCAACTACTGCGGAGGGATACTCGTTACGTCACAAGAGGCGAGATAATAGTTGCGCGTCTGCATCCCGAACCCCCTCCGTCACGCCGGATATCCGACCCCGAATTTTAAAGACCCGATCCAGGACGCTAAAAGGAGATTCTGAGATGGGATCTGCATTTGGGTCTCCAGCACCCCAGGGCATCTTACGCCAAAAGCGGAAGCGAGAGTTCGAGTCGCTACAATCACCGCCAGTTACTCCTAACAAAAAACTAAAGGTGTTGCAGTATGACGTTGAGGCTATGCCAGCTCCTCTAAGCTTATCTAGACAAAGTAGCGACGAGGGTTCAACCAGTACCAGCTCTTCAGAAAGGGAGAGTATAGATATGGTTCTGACGGATGCCACAACGCCCGAAGAAGACGTTAAAGAGCCTATCTTAAAGTCGCCGACCCTAACGCCTGCGAAACTATTAACTGGTTCTCTTAAGCAGGAAGACTCAGAGGCATCTCCACTTTCTGAAATCACCTACACACCTTCAAATCTTGAAGTCCAAGACTCGATAGCTGTTGTACCACTACCTACGGTTGAGAGCATTGTTCAAATCGACAGCTCTATACTGACCCCTCCAGCTAGCCAAGTTGAGGAACCGCCATCAGATATCGTAGAACTTCCAGCCCCCATCGTTGCTATCACACCCATCTCTACCTCGACGCAAGCCGTTACCTCCACTCTTGAGGAGACGGAGTCCTCGATTTCAACTAAACAGCCTAGCCCCAAACGAGGTCGCCCCAGGGGTAGACCGCCAAAGAGCGGCCTTCCAACTGTTAGCCACGCAACCGAAGAGTCTACACCTCTATCTCGTACCCGAACCCCTGGAGATTATACTCTTACCCCAGTGCTACTTTCTGAGCCTAACACCGCCTGGATACATTGCACCGTGTGTAGCGAGCCATTTGTGCAGTACAATGCCTATTATACGCGAAGTTCCTGTCCACGATGCGAGCGTCACTCTAAGTTATACGGCTACCAGTGGCCTAAAACTGAGAAAGAGGGTAAGCACGATAAAGAAGAGCGCGTTCTAGATCATCGTACAGTCCATCGATTCTTAACAGCAGAGGACGAAGCAAGAATCCGCGGACGAAAGTTACCTTCGGTGACTACTACAACTACTCCTGAGAAGGAGACTCCGGAGAAAAGGGGAAGAGGCCGACCTCGGAAAGTACGCCCCGAACTAGGCCTCGAAGATGAAATGCACAACGAAGAAGACGACGAACTTGGTAACATTAGACGAAGTCAAGAAAACGACAACCGAGTATAAAGGTTTCATGTTAGCATACCGTCATATGGTGATTTTGGCAGCATGGGAATGGATTAATTGGCTACTTTTAACAGTCACCATCCCAATATGGGATATGTAACATATTTCCCCTAGGCATATTCCCGGCATTATTTGCCATAGCGTTTGCATCATTTGTCGAGTTCAATTGTATATCAAATAGATAAGGTACCCACATACATTAGGTACCTAACGTATTCTATCTAATATGTACACTGCAGCATAGCTGCTTCAATCTCTGTTTTTCAAGATTCTACATGACCCGTTCGATGTATTCGATTGCTAGTCGAACAAATGATAATTATCAACTTATTGTCGATCACGTGTACAAGAGAGGTGCTGTGATGTCGATATGTAACCTTTTGGCATACTGTGTACGGAAGATCTTCAGGAGAGTCTCAGCCACATTCGACGTCATACCATATGCTTGGACCCATCTCTTTAGCCGTCTCTCATGTTTCCAACAGCAGCGATACACGTCACAATGTACAATATCTACGCAGGTACATGATATTAGACGTTTCAGGGGTTTCCCTTGAAACAGCTCTCTTTCTACCTACAGGTCACTAGGATGTTAAATGTTATTTGGTGGAGATGTTACTTGAAGCAGTTAATAAGTATCGTAGTGCTTTATTTATATGGCAAGATACAAAACCGTTCGAAGATTCTAGCATAAGTTTTGCTTGAATAGGTAATTTTGGACGATAAAAGTCTCCCAAAATCAGGAGACATATTTGTAGTTGTATTTTGCCATAATATTTTGAATGTCCTAATACTTCGCTCTTTCAAGTAACATCTCCACCAAATAACATTTAACATCCTAGTGACCTATATGTACCTATGTAATATGTAACGTATCTAGGTAAGCTTAGCTGTTGGTTAAATGATTTCCGTTTCTTCCGCGTGACACCTTACGACGTTGGCTTGACTTTACATTTCGCATCCTCTAAGTGAACCCTACTTCTTAGACAAACCCGCTCTTATTATTCTAGTTTACTTAATCTAAATTCATACTAAACTTCAGCACCCTGTTTCATCAATTCAACTTTATTCTCAACATAGTTCATCTCCACTTCAAACTTCACAATGAGCCGCTGGTCGCAGTACGATACCGACGAGGAACGCCTCCCGGAGGGCATGCAACGTATCGGCTACGATTCCGATACCCAAACCTACACATTCCGCGATGCTGAGGGCACTATCTGGGAGAGCGCACCTGGTAACCAGTACGGTGAACTCCATCGTGTCAATACAACATACGCACCTTACGGTGACGAGGAAGCACACGATGCAACAGAGCCACTGCACACAGCCTCCAAGGGACCACATACTTCATGGCGACATGAGATGATGCCCTTGCTCAATTGGTTCTTACTGGTCGGTCTATTCCTGATCCTTATCTTTTGGATCATCAGCGGTACGACTAAACGGATTGAACCGATTACTTGCGGAGAGCACAGTAGTCCGTACAAGATCAAACCAGGCGACACATGCTGGGCCATTGCGGAGGGACATGATGTCCCACTTGATTCTCTCATCCACGAGAACGAAGGTCTTGATTGCGATAAGTTGCCCATCGGTGGTACGGCATGTATCCCAAGGGTCTAGGTCGTCGCTACACCAAGGGTTACAGGGTCTTCTGGTTGCTCTAGGGTCCTGGTTACTCCAGGGTCCTTGACACAGTAGTATTGGCTTGCGGGCTTCTGTTGTCGGGATCAAATCATTTGCTTCGTTTCGTTGGCGTTTACAGATATGTACAGACAGCTGTGCTACCTTTCCACATTTAGATTCGCGTCTCATGCTGGGTTTATTTCGGTCGCTATCTTAACTATCCACCAGAAGAAACTATGTGTACAGCTTCCCCAGCTTTGTGTACGGTTCCCTGTCTAAGCTCCAGGCAGTAATACAAGCCGACACTTGCCTACTTCGTGGAACTCGTCTACGAGCTGTCGGGTTCCCTTGATCGAAGTCAGGCCGTAAAAAAAATCAGATGAACCAATGCAAGCCTCGACAATACTTCGTCATAGGCTTCAATAATCGGCCGGCATGGTCGATAGCTTTCCGCCGTCGTTGACGAGGATGAATCCGTTACAGAAAGAACCTGCCTTGCTGGCCAGATAGAGGACAGCGCCAGCCATTTCATCATCACTTCCGAATTTTCTAGCCGGAATAAATTTAGGATCGTCAACCGACTCTGTAGCTGGATCGCGTGATCCAATCAGATTCGCTGCTAGCTCGGAAGGGAATACTACAGATCTGTTAATCTTTGGATCGTCGAGATGGCTAAGAAAGTCAAGGAACTTACGCCCTGGGGCAAGCGCATTGACTCTGATGCCGTGCCCGTTGAGACCCGTACTTGTGTGCTTGGTAAGATGGATAAGCGCTGACTTGCTTCCCGCATAAGCAGGCGGAGACAAGAACGTTCGACTAAATGCCGAGATGCTACTGGTGATGATAACCTGGCTCTAGGAGTATCTTAGCAAAGGTAATCGAGCGTTTGTCAAGGCTTTCATACCTGGATCGAAGGAACATCACTGCCTTTCTTTATCGGAGCTCCGAACCCCCCTTTCAAGGCCTGTTTGTTACCCGCATCTAAGAGTTCGAGAAATGCAAATATGGAGAACATGGTACCAGTCACGTTTACGTGGAAGGCGTTGCTGAACTCCTCCATGGAAGTGTCTTCAAATAGATTCTTCCGAAGCTCTGAGACGGATGCTCCCCTAGTCCAGGATGCTAGTGGACCGAGAGCACCCGAGTTGGCGATAAATAGGTTTACGTAGCCGATGTCTCTTGTTATAAAGTCAACTGCGGATTGGAGGGAATCCTTAGTCGAAATATCACATTGTACAGGAATAATACTGGGATGCGCAGTGGCGGCCGTTTCGAGAGTCTCTCGTCGTCGTCCTAGAATATAGATCTTCTTTGCTCCAGCCCCCGCAAAAGCCCTAGCCATAACGTTTCCAATACCTATAAATAGATTAGATGAGATCAGAGAAGATTCGGAAGTGTTAGAACCTTACCGCTTCCACCACCGGTGATGACAGCCACCATGCCATCCACCCGAAACAGTCCGGACGAGTCCATTTTCAGTTCCTTGGATGTAGGAATCTACGAAAGCAGTTATATCAACCTGCAGCTGGGTAATTATACTAAGGATGTCCTGGTGAAAACCATGAGCATAGTTGTCTATAAGTACTATTTTCGTATGGTATGCAGGGACACTCTCAATTAAGGTACATTTGAAATGTATTTATAAAATCCGCAAAGTCCGGTACGTAGGGGATGTCCGTAACCTTTGGGACGGGCCAATAATGTAGCCGATTAGTAAGACACGGAATACATAGGTAGTTGTGAATAGGTAGCCTCGGGATTAAATATAAACGGACCTCCTAATGTCCGTGAGGTGAGAGTTTAAAGCAAAATCTAGGACTGTTGCTCATGCAATCGTGTCTTCGAATTGTTTCTAGCCACTTGTCGAGTTCGTAGATATAACTTCCGAAAGCTGAGTGGTTCGTTCAACATCTTGAGTTGCACCAACCCCGGCAGCAGCGTTTGGATTCCGCGGAGGTGAGAGATACGATATCGGGAAGATATCATATCGAATATACTCACCTCTAATAGATTTCAGCGCGTTCAACCTCACCCAGTATTAAACAGCCTATAGTTGCATTTCTACTAGTACTATTCGTAAAAATAGTAAGGGACTGTCACACCGAGCCTAGTTACTAATAGCAATATAACCGTTGTCTTGAAACCAAAGCGAATAATCATCCCGAGATTTATACTAGTAACCAATAACAAGTGCTACGCTAGTACAGGGAGCATGGGCATGGCAACCAGTATAGTGAAGTGGGCGTATATTCAACAAATAGTATACTGATAGCATTGTGGAGCCTTGGGTTAGGATCGCGCTCTCGAAGGTTTCAATGGACCTTTATCAGCTGCGAAGTGCGGTGGTCTTAAATAAAATAGTGTATACTTCCGAAGATGTTTACGGTAGTTAGATTGTTAAGATCTTAGAGTCTTAATATACCATGTTACAGCAATAAAAATATACATCGTAGAAGTTCTAAGTTGGAGTGACAAGATTTTAGGTAAATTTAAGGAGAGGGACCGAATAATCGTGAATCTTGATACTTAACTCCTTTCTAAAATCATAAACTATTTCAATTTTCTCTGGGTCGGTTTAAGTGTTGAAAACTTGCTGGCAATAGGTCTTTGCTGGCCTGGCCAGATACTCCGCTGTTCATTCGCTCCTAACTTGGTATAATTCGTCTATATTTCAGTAACTCAAAAGTAAACATACATGACTACCATCTTAGTACCCCAGTGATTAAATTGAAAGGTCGTTAATCTTGCATAAACATTATAATATGTTAACAAAATACGTATCAACGGGGATATAGTAAAGTCAATATTATACCACTCTTATTTAGCACACGAGATCACTAATACCTATGCCTAGGTAACGGTTCTTGGTGTATTGTACCTAGATATTAAGTATACTATTAAACTTCAATTTAAGCGACATATATCTTATACTCCCAATAAATCTACCTTCCAGTTTCGTTCTCTATACTTGCTACCCCACGATACAAGTATTCCTCTCCTTTGCGAAGCCTAAATCCAAATCTATATTTATACTAAAAGGAAAGAAATATGAGAAAGCTTTACTATTATTTATGTGAGAAGTTGCATATTAGATTGAGACGTCGCTTAAGAATTACGATATTACACACTATTCCCTATCCATTATTCTCCAAGTTCACGAATATCGAAGTGGGGCAATTGAATAACACGATGCGAAGCATTAGCCGCCAAGTCTACTATTCAGAGTATAGATCTACTCTTGTATTGACATGTTCGTCTAAGACTTATTTAATGGGACAAATATGAAACGCAACTCTCAAACTAGGTTATCTGCCGACGTCCAAAGCACGTCGCAGATCCTCAGATCATCGGAGCTATATAGGAGTAGCACACAGAAAACCCATTGGCTTGGTCAGTCTGGGGTTGCTGATCTCACGCCAAGCGCACTTCCGGCTAAAGGACGTCAGAGCGCATCTTACGAGGTTGAGCCGCGTCGACTTTCGCCTAGCGTGTCTCCGGCTCCGGGAGTATCACCATCGTTCTTCTCGGTCCCCACATGTCAACTCGAAGCGCGTTTGATCTACCTTGGGTGGTTTGGTATAGGAGCTTAGTTGACGTCTATCGTTCGTTCGTTAACGGATAATTGGAATGATGCTTGTTTGATACCCAACTGAAGAAAAACTACAAATAGACACATGTTCCGGATGAATAGATGCCAAAATCGTGAAATCCATCTCGCACATAAACATTTCTTCCATTCTTCACTGTATAAAATAATTTTACGACCTGGTGTCGCTTGGTTTATCTTTAACTATCATTGTATATTCAATTTACTCCAATACCCTACCCGTCAAAATGGTTCACATCAACGTTGCTACACTCCTGACGCGTAAGTCAAGTTATAGCTAAAGTCCCTTGTCTGGATTACATGGATATTGATCATTTTATACGTCTTAGTCGCCGTTGCGGCTTTGGCCCAAGTTACGCCTAACAATGCCGGCGCTAAAGATGTAGGCCAGGGTAACGGACAACAGTTCATCACCGGTGGTTGCACTTCTGATGCTGTAAGTGATAGTTCTATGCATCATTCGTGGAGCAACGCTTCCATAGCCATCTTGACCACTAATTTGGTAATAAATGATTAGGACTGCTCGTCTGCATGCTGTGCCGAAGTTCAAACCACAGGCCTAGGTGTCTGCTCTGCAGAAGCTGCGTCGCTTCAAAACGGGAAGTTGGGCTGTGGCTTCGTCGACCCCAATGCCGACCAGACTATCGCTGCTGCTCAAGCTCAAGTCGAAAAGCAGGGTTTCTAGAATGGAAATTTCCAAGAAATTTGTCGCTAAGCTAAAGGATTTCGCTTAGAGCTACTATGTATGGGAACCTAGATCGAACGTGAGCTTTGAGAAGCATATATCGCATCAATCAATGCACAATGTACAAAATTAAATGCCTACGTGGCAGAACACCTCGCAAAATGTCCTATGTCTTGATATTAAACGGTGACGAGTCTCGGTGACGAATCTCAGAGAATAAGGGTCAGGTATATTGCTTATAGACACTCAACTCATCTAGACGCCCGGGTTAAGTACCAGGTATTTAATACCCTTAACATCAAGTGGATATTTTTATTAATGCCATCCAACTCGGGCGTGATTTCCGCTTTCCCGGCTCGTCGGCATGTTACCGACCGCTCTCTGTAGTTCCGCTTTGTCTTGTTACCGGTCCTTCCGTCCCGCTCAAGGCAGCTACCACCTCCTATACCACTTTCTCATTATGCTATGATACTGAGCTTACTCATTGTCTTCATCTAAATCTCTATATACATCTTACTCTTCTTCATCCTCTTAGTTCTCGGTCTCGCCGGCACTATCCCTCCTTGTCCAACCCACAAGTTACCACGACACAGATTTCAACATACCTGCGTGCCACAATTCGCGCCAGCCGTACCAAGAACGGGGTTAAGCTCTGCGAGCTGCGAGCTGCGAGACCGTGAGACCGTTGCGATTAGCAGCAAGTCGCAGTAGTCTCCGCTCATACAGCGGTCCCACTTACTACAATTATCAGGCTGGCCGGCCTGCAGATAGTCAAAGGGGGGCTGTCGAAATATGGAGAGCCCGCACGTGAGCGTAACCGTTCTGCAATACAGAGGTCGCTGTCATCAGGCTGCTGGTCTTGCCCTGTAATGTTGCTAATGTAGTTAAATGGGCTGACCCCAGGATCAGAAAACGCCACAGCCAGGGCCGCAATAACGACCACCATCATCCCTCAGACATGCCGATTGGAATGAGTGCTGCAACGACCCGGGGATATAGACGGCAGCGGCTTCAACCTCCAGGTCGCCTAAGACAGTTTGGTTTCCGCAGCCAGTCCATACCAAAGACATCCACGCGGCCAACGACGACGAACAGTCGTCGGTGCAAATGCAGGACAACGATGTTGAGGAATAGAAGAAGTCCAGGTGAAGACTCTTGACCGGGGGGTCACAAGCGGCGACGTCGGCGAGGAGCGCGTCAGAACATACTGAAGTCAGCGTGGGGGGGGACCACTGTTATACAGCATCATCGTGGCAGATACTGTCACCACATGAGGCCAGAACAGGACGAGAAGGAAAAACGGTATGAGCGACGACCTATTGACTTTACCCCTTAGTCGGGGTAAGGGTAGGTCAACAAATATCATGATAATGATGGGGATTTCGATCTCCACTGATTATCAAGGATTCCTAGGTAGGTTGTGCTGGGACCTAAATCTTCCTTTCAAGTTATTCGGGACAGGCGATTATCATCCTTTTATTATGGAAGAGTCCTTGTTACCCCGTTACATCAATACTGGCTATGACTGAAAGTTGGTATAAATGAACAGCCGTAACCAACATAAACCTATCTATATATTGTACGATTGGTGGTTTGTAAGTAAGTGCACAGTATCGATGTTAGCTAACCGGTCTACGTCGCATAGTCTAATGGATAAGGCAAATATTCATATAGTCTGTACCGCCTCTCAGCAAGAGTCTCGCGTCAGCCACTTGAAACTATTTATCTCATCCCTTTCACAAATTGAAATGCCCTTGCTTCCGTAAATATAATTCGCTAGAGACAATATCTATCCATCGCATTATGTAGCACATTTTGAACGCCAAGGCCGATGTCGATATAATTTAATACAATCAACACCACACGTTTTAGTCACTCAATGTGTACTGCAGATAAATGGGTATGCATAGACATGGTTATCTAACAGGTACCTAGGATGCATATCAGTGTAGGTTATCTTTGGCGAATGCTCGAGTCTGTCTTACCAACAAGAGTACTATGTTTGAAGGCTACCTATCTACCCAGGGATGTCGAGGTCACAAGGGAAAGTCGGATGGCGATGTTGGTGCCTCAATTATAAGGTATAGGAGAGGGTTACTGCTGGCTTACTCTGAGGTCAAGAGCAGCGCCTGAAGAACTCGAGCCAGCTTATTGTGTATACCTGCAGTTAGCAATGGCTGACAAGCTAAGCAGACCATTTAACTACCCAGCAAAAAACCATCGCGACCACAAATTACCCCTATGCAATGTTAATAATGACCCTCTCACTACCAGCTCAGGCCCTGCAGCGGCTTTAGGCACTATCAGTCTGTCATCCCTCTTAGGCAGGGGGATCGTTGATGACTATACGTGCGCGCCAAACCGGCCGTGCAGCAACAAAGCCTGCTGCCCCAAAGCTACACTCGAGTGCAACTATGGCGAGGAGGCATGCGGCATGTCAGGCATATCGCCCAATGACGTGTGATAGTCCAACTGTGATGCGAAGTCTGAGTGCGGCAAGGACACCAAGGCTCCCGGCCTTGAATGTCCTCTCAATGTCTACTGCGATAAATGGGGGTTTTATAGTATGACCGACGATTATTGCGATATCAAAGACCACAGTGTTACGGGCAGGTGCCAGTTCAACTGCAACCAGCCTAGGCCCAAAAACAAGGCCGATTCACAGTCTCGCGTCATTGGGCACTATGAGGCATGGAGGTTCGATAGGGAGTGCCAGGGGATGGTATGTTAGTTCTTTTACTCGGAGTAATGAGCGGTACTAACTTGGTTACGTCTCAGTCATTCGACGACATCCCTGTAGATTCTCTCACTCACCTATACTCCTCCTTTGATTCCATCACACCTGGCGACTATAGCATCACTGGCATAGAGGGTTTGCCGGAATAGCTGTATTCCAATTTAGCCAGCCTCAAGCAGAGGAGCCCAGCGCTCAAGACAGTTATCGCCATTAGGAGTTGGACTTTCGACGACCGTGGCAAACATCATTACTGCTTCGTTACTAGACGGCTAAGCCAGGCTTGGTGGGTTTTTAATCTAGGCCATAGACTAGGACGGCGACAGCCTGACAGCGCTGCAAGCCGTCATATCACCCAAGAATCTCGGCGACATGAGCGCAGCAAGTGGGAAGGATGACTGGCAGAGCTCCAATAAATACTGCTATGTCACGCCCTGCGATGGCAAGTGTGACCCAGGCGACATCAAGATAACAGACCAGAAGTGCGGAACTGGCGACAAACGGAGCAGGCTGTGTTATCCTCTCTCGGGGGCTCCGGATCCCAAGGACTATACATGGCGAGGGAACCCGTGGTATTGCAACGACTACTGTCATGACGACGAGGTCATGATGGAGATGAACAAGTGGGGCGGAGACGACAGTGAGTGTCATGATGGCAACAAGGCGTACTGCTGCAAGAGTCCGTTGGCTGAGAAGAAGTGGTGATATTGGGCAGGTGTCGGTGGGAGCTGTTTCGGCGACGGCCTGCCACTCACCTTCTCGAGCTCGGTGTTAACCATCCTAGAAGACGTAGCCAAGATCATGCTTAGGGTTGTCGGTCGTAGCGTACCGCTGGCCGCGCTGACGGGTGAGGCGCTCCTATTCGTGCTCGCTGAGCTTGACCTGGACACAGACAAATACTACTGCTGCCCGAAAGGAGACATTGACAAGTGGTCCAATTGTGCATGGGATGGTGAGCCGAGTAGCTGTTTCGACGGTCACTACCCCGACATGACATTCGCATAGTTGACGGACAGCTATTTCGGCGGCGGCGAGACATGCGGCATACAGCTTTGGCGAGTGCGCACCTTTTGCTGTGAACCCAAGGATAGTCTGCTCCTCCTACTCGTACCACTTAAGAAATGGTTTGTGAACCCACCACCGGGCGATAACATTGACACTAACTTCACGTTAGGGACTAACGAAACATCAGATTCCCAACAGAACCTTAATGATGCCGCCTTCCAGTTCGTCGTGCTCGCGTCGCTTGGGACGTTACAGGTATCGCCGGACAAACGCGATGGCTTATACTGGGGCATCTTCAACGTCGCGATCTTGAGACGCGTTGGTTCGGGTCCAGTATTTTGGCATGGCTCGCGCAGATGGTCAAGCCTGAAATCAAACGCGAGTTCACGTACAAGTATCAGAACACGCTGACGGCTAAGCTCATCGACGAGACTTGGTCTTGCACCAAGGGCGATGTATCGTACGAGGGACACCTACTCGCCTAGGCACTGCTTAAAGTCAAAGTCGAGTCCAGCTTCGGCTTCACCCCAACTGCCACTTAACTATCGCTACTGCTCGATATAAGTCAAAGCTACCTTACCTTTTATAATAAGAGCAAGATCACGCGTGTATTAACACTTATTAACACTCGAGGCTGTTGCCAAGGTCTTTTATTCCAAAGGGACCCGGCAGCAGAGGCAATAGTGGGCGAGGCCAGCGTCATAGTTAAGTTGAAGGGAGGCATCTCCACACAGGATACATGTCCATTCACGTGGGGGGCTCGACGTAGGCGCCCTTCTCTACGCGAGGGTCAAGGTGCCGCAGGTTTTCAAGTTACCCGGCGCTACGTAAACTATTACTTGTATTGGCTACGTATACTCGCCGGTCTTACTTTAAAAGGTGTTGCGTTTTAATTAAAAATTAGTTTTGTAATTAGGAATTAACCTGAAAATTACTTAATATATATAATTTTAATAATAATTTTATATAAATAAAATATTTTTTAAATATATATAAGTTTTTAAATTTATATATATATTTTTTTATTAATAATGTTTAATATATATTTTAATTGTAAATTAAAATATATAAAATATATATATATATAATAAGTAAATTTATTTTATATTTTTACATTAATAACTTTTTTTACGTAATTATAAATTTATTATACGCATTAATTAAATTATTTTAATATATTAAAATTAAAATTTAAAAAACAGGTTTTATTTTTCGTTTTTTTTTATTGGCGTTATAAACGTTACGAAACTTTTAATCCGTGTATTTATATATATAAAACGTAAAAAAGGCGTTTTTCAAACTTTAATTTTAAAGACGTTTAAAGTTTTTAACCGTATTTAATATATATTTAAAAAATTTTAATAAAATTATATCGATAATAATATAATAAATAATAATAATGTTTAAAATATCTTTTATTTTAATTATTTAAAGCTAATTTTTTATTTTAATTACTTTTTTATTTTTTTTATATATTTATATAATATTACGTTATAATATTATAAGCTTTAATGTTTAAAAATATGTAATAGTTTTAAAACGTTATATTTACGCATTTATATTTATACGTTTATATTTATAACCATTTATAACTATTTATAACCACGTTTAAAATATTTTTTTATTTTTTAATTTAAAGTTATTTATTTAATTATTCAAATATTTTAACTTTTTTTATATATTTATGTAATATTACGTTATAATATTGTAAGTTTTAACGTTTAAATAGTTTTAAAACGTTATATTTATGTATTTATATTTACGCGTTTATATTTATACGTTTATATTTATACGTTTATATTTATACGTTTATATTTATAACTACTTATAATTACGTTTAAAATATTTTATATTTTAATTATTTAAGGTTAATTTTTTACTTTTATTACCTTTTTGTTTTTTTTACATATTTATATAATATTGCGTTATAAAATTATAAGTTTTAACGTTTAAATTATAACGTTTGTTACGATCGGTATTGTAACCGGCGTTATAACCGGCGTTATAACCGGTATTATAATTAATTTCGGCTTAAAACGTATACGTTTTATTTAATACCTTATTTAAATAATTAAATTAATATTTATTTTTTATATAAAAATTTTACTTATTATAAAACGTATTAAAATTAATATTTTTAATTAATTTAATTATTAATAATACCATATATAAAAAAAAATGTTTAAAGTTACTTTAAATTAAAAATTGAAAAATGTTTTCGGGAAAATATGCCGGGATATAATTGGTTAAAAAAAGTTGTAGTTAAAAAAGGTATTTCCTTTTAAATCATTTTTAAATTTTTAATTTAAATTTGTTAAAATAATAATTAAAATTATAGTTTTAAAGCGTTTTAAATGTAATAAAATTAACTTTTTTATATAATTTTTCTTTTTATTTTATTTATATTAAATTAAATTAAATTTTTTTTATAAAATAATATATTTATATTTTTAAAATGTTTAAAATTTAACGTTAAATTATAATATTATAAATTAATAATTATTAATATTAATAATTTAAAATATTTTAAAATTAAATGCGGTTTTTATTAATAAAATATTATTAAAAATATATAAAAATAATTAAAGAAAATTTTTTAATAAATAAAAATAAAAATTTATAAATTAATAGTTTAGATTTATTTATTGAATTTATTTAAAAATACAATAATTAATTAATATATATATTTTAAAACTTATAATTATTTATTATTTTATTTAATTTAATTTTATAATTTTATTATAATTGAAAATAATATGATTTTTAATTAAATATTTTAAAATTAATGTTTTATTTGTTTTTATTTGTTTTTATATATATTAATTAAACTTTTTATTTTTATAAAATAGAAAGTTTTTAATTAAATATAATTATTTGTTATTTATTATATTTAATTTAATTTAATTTATTTTATAATAATATAATTAATATTAATAAATATTTTAAATATTTTATTAATATTTAATTTTATTATTATATTAATTAAATTATTATTTTTTATAAATTTATTTAATATTATTTATTTTTTATTTTTTATGTAATTATTATAATAATATAATATTAATTATTAATTTCTTTTTTTTTTCATTATATTAAATTTAATAATATATTTATATAATTAAAATAAATAAAAAATTAATTTTATTAAAAATCAACATTACTATTATATTAATTATTATAATTATAATTATATTATAAATTATTATATATATTTTACTTATTAAAACCCTCTTAATAATTTACTTACATTTTATTAAATTTTAATAAATTAAATTACCTTTTATAATAAATAATTTATTATTTATATTTTTTTTAATAATAAATATTTTATAACTAATTTAAAAATCAAAATTTTTATTATTTACAAATAATTTATTTATAAACATAAATATTTTCGCAATTACCAAATTTAAAAAAATATATTTTAAACCTTATTACAAATTATTCCGCTATTATTAAAACTTTTTATTAAACCTAATAATTTTATTTTTACTAAATTCTTAATATTAAACCATTTTAAATATATTAAATATTACCTTTAATTAACAAATAATAATTATATAAATTTTATAAACCTTTTATTATATATATTATTATAACGCATTATTTATATTAATTTTAATAATTTTTATCCTTTTATTTTATTTTTTTTATTATAAATAAATATTACTTTCCACATTTTTAATTATTATATAATTATTAAATATTAATAAATTCTTTTATATAAAATACGTTTTAAACTTTATTATAAACTTTATTTTTTTTAATTTCTTATTTTTTATTTTATTAAATATTTTATTAAATACTTTAAATATATTATTTATTTACATTATTATTAATCTAAATGTTTATATTAAATTTAATATTATAAAATATAAATTATACATTAATATTATCATTAATATTTTTTTTTATAATATTTAAAATATATAACTTATTAATATATTCCTATTTTAAATATTTTATATAATAATTTAATTACTATTATAATTATAATTTTTAATAATTTTACCATAATTATTTAATTTTAATTTATTCCAAATTATATATAAACTTATATAACATTTTATAACTATATTACAATTCCTTTTTTTTATATTTAAAAATAAAATAAAAATAATTATAATTTACTAACTTAATTATTATATTATTAAAAATTATATAAATATAATTTCCTTACTTTTATTATTATATTTTTATATAACCAACCTTAACTTTTTATATAATTTATTAATTACTTTTTCTTTAATTTTATATATAATCTTTAAATTAAATAAATAAATATTTTTAGATTTTTTTTATTATATTTTTAAATATAAATATACCTTTTTCAATTAAACTTTTAATTTTTTATTTATTTAATTTTTTAAATAAGATTTTTAATATAATAATTTTACTTTTATTATAAAATTATATTGTAAATTTTATATTTTCTACTTTTTTTAAAAAGAAATAATTTGTATTATTATTTCTTTTTTTCAATTTATTTTTACTATTAAATAATCTTTTTTATAATTTTTTAAATATAAATATTTTAACTTTTAAAATATAATTATTTATTATATTATTAAAATTTTAATTTATTTCATTTTTTTATTATATAAAAACTTAATTATTTTATTTTATAAATATAATTTTATAATTATAATATAAAATTTAACCAATTTATTATTAATTTAAACTGTATATATTTTACTATTCTATATAATTAACATATAAAATCCTATTTATCTTTTATTTTTATAATATATCTATATTTTTAATTATAATAAAAACTTTAATATATTTATTATATTTGATTTATTTTTTATTTTTAATACGTTATTTACTTATTATTATATTTTAACTAATACTTTTTTAATAATTATAATTATTTTTTTATATTAATTATAAATTTATTTATTATAAAATTTATATTTGTATTAAATATAAAATTATTTAAAAATTTAAAATAATTATTTATTTATATTATTTATAATATATTTTAAATATATTTTACAATTATATTTTTTAAAAATTTAATAATTTAAAATAATATTATTTTATTAATTATATAAAAAATTAATTTAATTTTAATATATATTATATTAATATATATTTTATAATTAAAATCTATATTATTTTTTATTATAAATTTAAATCTTTTAAATATATTTTTATATATTTAATATTAATAATAATTTTATTAAATTTTTTATATTTTATTTTATTAAAAATATAATATAATTAATTAATTATAAAATAATTAAATTATTAATAAATTTATTAAAATTTAATTTTTATAAAATAATAATGATTATTGTTATTAGTATATTTTTATTTTGTTATTAAAGGTTTATTAATATATTTTATATAATAAATATATTTTTATTAATTATTTTAATTAAATTAATTAAATTATATTTTAATTTATTAATTTTTATAATTTATTTAATTTAATAAATTAATTTATATAATATATATTGTTAGTTTTGCCTTAATTAAA